CCTTTTTTCCCCTCTTTTCCCCCTTTTTTCCCCCACTTCTAGGCACCCCCTGCCACCTTCTCCTGCCACGCGGACGAGACCCCACACGGGGGCGTCCATAGGCGCCCGCACGGAAAAATTGTTTGACCCCCCACTTTTTCCTCCTCTCCCACGCATCTCCTACCAACGCTATCCTAACCTGATTAGAACAAGTTACCACGGGTTAGGATGTTACCCGTCCGTTCAGGTACCGGAAGTTGGGACCCGGGGGGATCGACGGCGGACGTCGTTTGGAAGCGAAACTTCCTTTTCCGTTTTCTCCTACGCCGCGTAGTTTCCGAGTTACGCCACTCCGATGAACCGACCAATCGGAGCGCAGCATTCTAATTTCCGCTGTATCTCCTTAACTTCGGGTCATTTTTTTTATTGTTTATTTAAGTCACCTGTTCACTTCAGTGATACGTCCCGACCGCACCGTTCGCGCCGTAGAACGGTCCCCATCGATTAGTGTGTAGTCGGGCCACCCCGGCGCCACCTTTTCCGCGGCGCGCGAGGAAGAAGCAATCGGTGTATTCCAGTTTAGTCTGTCACGGGTTGTCGCGAAGAAAGGTGAAGCACGGAAGCTGCCGTGTTTACCCGAAGTGTCCTCCTCTTGCTACGGTTGCAATAGGGCCCTTTCCGGAACATACTCGGTAACGTCTGGTAACCGTTAAGTGTCGCGAATTATCGACGTCGCGTTGTGCGTTCCCGTGTTGAGTGACCGCGAATGCGCCGGAAAGTGCGACTGGTTGAAATTCGGTTGCATGTACCACCGATAAGATGCAAAAGCGTACTGCAACCCCGACCGACGTCAAGAAGGAGTTTCATGGAACTGAGACTTGAAACCCCGGGTCTCCTTCCAGAGGAATATCCTGGGGGAGTATTACACGAAGAAGACGAGACGTTCGCCGGTTAGTCGCAATTTCCCGTTCCTCCGACGCCCTCCATGCCGCGAAACGTAAGCTCCGTACCGGTACGGGAGTTGGTTGTAATTTATGCGAATACTATCGTTAATACTAAAGATAAATATCAATAATAATATGTAGAAACAAGGAGAAGCGTTAACTCCGGTTCGGAAGAAACACCGATGTCTGTGTCTTCGCATCGAGCGCATTAATAATATTAATTTATCGATTTCATTAATTTATTTATTTAACATAAGTTTGTACATCCGTTAACAGATTTTTCAAAGATCATTTCAATGATTACATTTCCGACAGTGACGATCGTTTAAAAGCAGACGTTTAGTTTACCGTGATCTAGGTGGTCATCGTCGAAACATTGCATTTCAAGTAGATCTCATTTTGAATGTCGAACTGAGAATTCCTTTAGAGAACTTCAAGTTTTCTCGTCTATGCTCGGTTTGTATGCGAAAAGTATTGAAATTTTTTATTCTGATATCGCGACTCCCGAGCTGAAGTTCGTTCCTTTTAAAGTATTATCACTTTATCACTTTGCCGGCATGGAAAATACCCATGTTGTCGACGGGCGTTTGGTACAAAAGTTCCTAACCTCTTCATTTACAATTAGCGACTCCCAATTAAGAGGCTCGTCAAACAAAATCAGTGATTGAGAAACCGTTCGGCACTGCAATTAGTTTCAACGAGACATCATAGACTTGACCCAAGAGAGTCCATTTCAAAGAAATACCCCAACGAGGTCTTCGGGGTGTCTTGTTTGCACATTCTTTTTGGCGTAAAATAATAATATCCTCTTTATTCGGTGCGCATATATTACATTTTATTTAAATCAGCTAATTGAGATGATCGATCGGTTGATTTTAGTAGCGATTAAGCAATCGGAGATGCTCTCTACCGTTTTCGATAATTTAAACTTTGTACGAATACACATTGGAGCAGGTCAATGGGAATGAGATTCCCCTTCATCGAACGAGTTTTCGCAGTTTCATACCGATAGCTGAGTCCCGGATGGTTCGGTCCCAGTTGATGCAGGCTTTCGCTGCTTACTTCTTCGATACGATAAAGTCTTCCATCTGCTCCAATACCAATGCTGGGAGCAGGACCGGAGAGCGTTATGAACGAAATATATTAATCTTCGAGATTATGGCAGGGCTACGCGACGTACGAGTACTCGTCGGCGCTGTTTGGTGTACGTTCGATGTACTGCTTATCTATCAGGGCTTCGATGCACTTTTTGATCATGCCGATGGATGGAGCGAAAGTCAACTTAGACTGTCCGAGTACCTAGAAAATAGATTTTAACGTATTATAAAAGGTCAGCCTATATATTAGGAAGATCGAAAAGAAATTCATTATTTTTATGCTTCGAGTTTGGGGCAAAAATAATGGATTTCTTTCCGGTCCCCCTAAAATATCTGAAAAGTCAAATGGTTTGTGAAAGTATTTTCCGAATTCGGTGTACCGATTCGTTTAAAATTTTACCGCGCGATTATCCTGTATAAGTTTACTATTCAATTTGATGAGTTGATTAATTGAATAAACACCTCGTAATATTTTTATGAATGATAAAGAAAGGAATTTTCAGCACGTGTTCGATTCATTTTCAATGCATGGCTATTTATCAATTTTGACAGTGAAAATAGTTTATCACTTTGGTAATGACCGGTTGGAGTGAAGTATTAGAAAAAAAAATCTTACTTCCTGTATGAGTTGGTTATGTCTCAAGAGCTTCCTGCTCTTCATAATTCTCACTATAGCTGCTTGAAGGTAGAGTTTCCTATCATCGTCGACACTTCGGTGCGTCGCTTCCGTGTCATGAGGGGCAGTATCTCTTTGCAGAGCACCGGTGACCTTGAACTTGGTCCTCTTGTTAGAATAATCCAAGTTCAGTGAGAGGATCGTGTCTTCCTCGAGTTCGTTTTCCGTCGATTTCTTCAAGATTTTGCAGTCGACGAGACTCGCGGCATGTTTGGCCAACTGTTCATGGGAAAGTCTCAGTGATGCGGCTGCTTCCCTACAATTATTATAATCTTTTATATATATAAAAACCAAATATCACTCACTCACTGACTGATCATCGTCCAGCTTAAACTGCTGGACATAGAAACGTGAAATTTGGGGGTTATGTTCCTTTGGTAACATAGATGCTCGCTAAGAAAGGATTTTTCGAGATTCAACCCCTAAGAGGGTGGAAAGAAGTAAAATGGGTTTATGTCCGTTCAAGACTGCACAAATGTCATCACCAGGGTTCCGATAAAATTATCTGAAGCCTCGAAATGCAAAATGTACTCGGAGACGAACATAATTCGGTTAGCGTTACCTGCAGGAGATGGTGTCGCAGTGTTGGAAGAGCAACAGTAAGGCCATCTGGTATGTCTGAACAGTAACGACGTAAGGTTTTTTCAAGTAATTGAACTTGAGTTCGCCCTGGCACAAGTGATGCAGCCAAGTCAGCTTCCTGCCACTGAAGTGTGCATGGTAGAAGGTCTCGAAGGCTTGCACTGACTTTTCCAGCTGTTGTGGGACATGAAAGGGTCCTGGTGACGGAGGCAAGCCCAGTGGCCAGGCCCCAGCCTGAAGTACGTAGATCATGAAGCCTATTCCCAACTGGTTCTCCTCGTCCCGTTCCCTTAAACTGGCCACGAATTTTGCGTTCAAATCCGCCGAGACGGATATGTCGGTGAACATGCGATGCAGCTTGTTGGTGAACTCGTATCCGCAGGCTTGTTTCAGTCTATCGATCATGGCCTCCTCGAATTCCATCGCATGGGACTGCTGGTGGATCAGACGCTTCGCTAACATGCGCGCGTAGAATTTCTGGAAGACGTCTTTGTCATCCACGTACTTAAAGACAGTAATGGAGCGATCCAGTTTCTTGTCGATCTCAGTGTCCGAGACACCCTTTAGTGACTTCTTCAGCAGGGAGTCACAGTACTTTGCTAGCTATGAGGAAAAAAGATTAGGAACTTTAGATAGATTAAATAAATATTCAGTGCTATGTAAGTAAACTATTACAAGAAAAAAAAAAAAAATTAACTGCCCGAGTCTTTCTCCGAAGTTTGATGGAAAATGGTAATGCAATTATACACGTGTAAGAACCACGGATATTAAATTGATATCTTTGCTATATGATTTCTATACCCTTGAATGTACATTCCAGCAGGTCAAACATTAATGACACGAACAACCAGGGACTAAGAGATTTGAGAACATTATCATTTTTTAATTCTAATTATTGTCTTGTAATCTGTGACTAAACGACTCGTCTATTAAAATGATATTTCTGTAGAATGACAAGGATGAAAAAAACAAGGAACAAAAAGATAACCTGCTACTCGAATACACCACCGAAATAGGTTTCATATAAAAATTGAATCGAATATAAAAAAAGAGTATCCTAGGTCTAAATAATTTTTTTTTAAATATAAGGTAAAACACTTATAAATATCTGAAATATAAACGATATATATTTTACAGAACCTGAAAAATGATTTCTTACTAGTTCTGGGGCACGTGCCGGTTGTCTTGGGGCTGGCCTATGATTGACCATTGCGGAACAAGCCTTATCGAGGGCACCAACAAACGCTTGATCACCGTTAAACACCTCTTTGATCATCTCAAAGTATTTCGAATGCACATCCAGTATGCTCTCCACAAATTGCGTGTGTACCTAACAACGTATGGGTTTAATTCATTTTGTCAGAACATGTCAAACTCCTCGATGAATCTGAACGGCATATATGTATCGAACTCAGTGAGTGCGCAGTTCCGGCGAAGCCAATATCATAAGGGCAATGAGTGTTACGAACATAAATAATTGCCAATTGTTTTCTAGAATCATTCTTAATCCTCACATTTTCTCCATGTAATGCACCGATGGCTTGCAATCCTTGCTGCGTAATGTGCTGTGTAAGCTTCTGCACCAATGGAACGAGGCCCGAAGATAATGGCCTCAACAGAGGATACAGCAACGACAAGTCTCTTCGTTTTTCTTTCTCTATCATTTGGTCGGTTTCGACGTGCAACCAGGCGACATGAGCAGCGATCATTTTCTCTTCGCAGCACAGTCTAACCTGATGGAAGTTGACATTGATCTTGCTAATTAGTAATAAGTCCATAACGCAATTATATCTTTCATTTAAGGGGATGTGAAAGCAGCATGCAAAAGGTCAATCGTTCATGAAACTTTTTTTTACAAGTTCGTAAAAAAGTTTCATCAACTATTCAGCTTTTGGATACAAGCATGGAATTTATTGACTAACTTTTGTCAAAGTTAAATTAAGAATTTAACATTTTTACCTTTGGTACTGAGCTAGCGTGAAGAAATTTGTAGGCTCTTAATTCTTCCTGGGTTAGCCAGCATGTGACTCGTTCCATATAACGAGTTACGTCGGACTGTTGTAACAATTCCGATGCTTCTCTTGAATAAAAGTCTCCACTCGCTTCTAGAAAGGGGGCTTCAAAAATTTCTTGATACAACTGTTGAAGGATATAAACTATTAAAATGAAGAACAATATAAACCAAATCTGTCTTGATTTTCAGTTTTTGTTGTTTTATTCCTGATGCTATCGATCTCAAAAGCACGATCTAGTTCAACTGATTAAAACAAAATATTGGAATACAAATAACGAACGTAATTTGCAACGTCTTAATAATTTTAAATTCACTACTACTATTTGTCATTACATATTATGTAGATCAACTCGAATAAAAATGAAAATCAAGATTAATTATACTTCCACTGTAGCAATTCAGTTACATAATTATTTTATTTATACACATTTCAGAGAATACTCAGAGAGAGAGAGAGAGAGAGAGAGAGAGAGAGAGAGAGAGAGAGAGAGAGGAACCCATAAAATATGAAACGATATTACGTGAAACTTACGTGTAATTGTCTATTCATCTTATACTCTTCTACATGGACAAAACTTTCGACAACACCAGAAATCACGTCCGAGGTGGCTGGTTGAGTCTGTCCAACACGATCTGCATGGATCGCATCCAGAAGAAGTGCCACCAAGGATTTCCTTAAAGGAGTGATCATTTTCTTTTTCCAGATGTCAAGACCCAGTTCACCAATTTCCATTTGCTCCTGGTAGTCCGCAGCTGTCGACGTCAAAGCTCCATAAATGATCTCTGCTTCAGAGAGTTTCTGCTTCCTTATATATTGTTGATTTAAATAAAGGTACAATCGGTGTAGACAATTGATGCCCTGAGAGTACTGAGTCCAGGTGGAGTGATAACTCTGGAGCAGTCCAATGTCTCCTTGCATTTGAACCTTTTTCAGCAAATGCGTTACATGGTCATCGAGGAACCTTTTCGTCTCGTCGTATAGTCGGTCCGCCAATGGCTCCGGTTGTGCCACGCAAAGTGAGTAAACGTCACTATAAATTGTCCATTACGTTAACACTTATTTTTAAATGAAAGTCGTTTGAAATTGGTATTCAGGTGATGTGAAAGAGTCCGCCTATATGTATATAGGCTGACTATATTTTGTTTTAAGTGATATTTTATTGTTATATATACCTGAACCTATCGTTCCACACTGCACGTGGCACACTTGACATCGTGATGACATTTTTCACGGTCTCCTGTAGCAAGTTCCAGGTTTTATCAAAATCTACCTCCTTAGACTTTAGCGACATTCTTCCGTCCGCCTTCTATCTCTGTCAAGCCGAGACCAATTGTGCACCACTTTGAATTCTCAATTGTGAATCTTAAGAAACGTCAAGGGCAACAATGGAATACCTGTAAACAATATCATGAAAACAATTCGACACTGAAGCTCAGTAAGGCGTTATTCAATTTTCAATTCGTTTTCACGTAGAAGTGAATGTTAATAAATAAATATTAAACAGTTCTTAGGAATCATCCTCGAGGCTTCTAAATAATAAATTTTAATCTATCAATTGGCTGAGAATGCATGACACGACGCATTAAAACACCGATTTTATACACTAAAATTCGGCGACATATATAAATAAACCTTTAATTTCATTGCAAAGTGTTTGCACAAATTAGACAATTAAAGTTACTGGTTTAAATTAATGTTCCTAATAACGTATGTAAAACAAATCTATTGGATTATTTAGTCGATTACTTCAATCTGCATTTACCTAAAAACATATTTCAATTTCATGGTCAATATGAACTTTACAATTTCTATAAATTCTCACATGAAATCAGTCACTTAATTACTGATTACTCAGATTCTCCCCATTATTCAATTTATTCCCACTTTGTCTCAAACACAGATCCTTAGATTTCACATAAACGATCTGAAGACGTTATCTAGATCCGTTACCCATTTTTCTCATAATAAAATTGCATTCTCAACCAATCGTCTCACAAGCACCATTTACCTCGACTTAAGGAGTTACTACCAATATGATTCGATAAAATAAAGCTATACGCCGCAATGGAATATAGTCAATTGCTGACAAAACTGGCCAACAAAGGAATACCACGGGTGTTCTGAGTGACTAAATAAATTCACCCAAGAATACACACAACGGAAGAACACATTAAGCCAGTCTGTCGATTCGATAGGTCGATTCGATAGCCCGATTAAAAGGTACTAACTGAACAAATTTGCCCAAGAATACATGCAACAGAAAAACCAATCGAGCCAATCGGTCGACACGATAGCCCAATTACAAGCTACTTTGATCTCGTTCGCATCGTACCGGTAGTCCTGAAGCGCAAATCAGTTCTGTATTGTCTCTCTCGTTACACCGATCTCATTTCCAGCTGACCGGTCTCGCAGGACTCGTGGATCTCATCCTAAATTGAAACTAACCAGCCGCTCCAACAAAGCTCGGTGCACCGCCCGAGAAAGTCCCGGGGTCACGAAAGCGCGTGTTCGCTTTCGAGGTTATTTATTTTGGGTGGCCGTCGAGTCATTCCAAGCTACGAGAGGCATGACACTTGCAATAGCGGAGCCTTATCTCGGCGTCTTCGAGACTTTTCTTGCCCGTTCACTCTCGCTCCGTCCTTCTCACTCTGCCAAGGTCTCGTATGCTCCCCTCTCTTTCAGCCTGTCAGGAAAACTCCCGGAAGCCGTTGAGCACCTTTTGCTTCAGTCCGGCTAAACGCGCGGACGGGTTAAAACTCCCACGGGTCCAATATTTGAGAGACTTTCCTCTGTTCCGATATATCGAGAGATATCATTACACCGCCATTTTCTTCTTCGCTCGCTACTCGGCTGCTCGTTCTCTGCACGCGCGAAGAGGGCGATCACGGAAAAAGTTTATGACGTCACACCAGGAAGCGGCGGTGCATCGAGAGGGAAGACCTCTCGTCAGATTCTTCATTAAACGATGGTGGCTCCATCATGATGTACCAGTACAGTGGCGGTTAGAGTTGGGCAGAGATGAGTTGGGAGATTGCTTACGGGCAGGATCGCGCGATCGCACCGGTCCGATAAAGGATCGACCAATCACGGTCCTTTATCGGGCCGGTGACGTCATCCAATCACGGAGTCGGTCACTTGGGTTCCATTTCTACATATAATTCACAACCCATGGCTGGTTGTAACTGGTGAACGCTGGTGAAGCTCGGTATTGCGAAAATTTACAAGCTTCGCCGCTGCATTGGAGTTTTCGAAGAAAACTATCGTTTCCTAACTCATCGAAATGGTAATTGCTTTAACAAAAAATTCGAAATTACTTTTTACTTTCAATATTCAATTATGTTGACAGTTTATTTAAATCATAGTGTTTCATTGTTCGGATAAAACAAACAAGTTTACGTATAGGTTATGGTAATGTCAATCCCTCAGATGACAATGCATATTTGCAATATAAAGTATGATGTTACAACTTTGCAATTTAACACATCTTATTTAAAAATAAATCCTCGTGTTTAATCTAAAAATCATGATTCTTTTTATAAGGGCATGTCAATGCTATGACAAAATTCATGTGATATGTTGGTGTACTACGTCATATTCTTCGCAAAGTTAACGTGAACCTTATATTGTTGTAATATAGAATTTTAGTGTTATAAAGGCATTCTTTGATGATTGAATTTGTTGTAGAGTATTCTTTCGTACAATGGCGGTGCCATAATTGCGATGAAGGGAAAGAACTGTGTGGCTATCGCGGCGGATCGTCGGTTTGGTATACAGACACATACGGTGGCGTGTGATTATCAAAAGATTTTTGAAATGGGTCCCTACTTATATCTGGGCCTTCCTGGCCTTGCAACCGATACACAAACCGTGATGGAAAGACTACGCTTCAGGTTGAATCTATATGAGCTAAAAGAAAATCGTAGAATTCATCCAAAAACATTTGGTAACATGGTTGCAAATATGCTTTACGATAAGCGATTTGGACCTTACTTTGTCGAGCCAGTAGTAGCTGGTTTAGATCCAGAAACCTTTGAACCATATATCTGTAATATGGATCTTATTGGTTGCATCAACTCACCAATGGACTTTGTAGTTGGTGGTTCTTGCACAGAACAGCTTTATGGAATGTGCGAATCCCTATACGAACCTAATATGGAGCCAGTCGATCTGTTCGAAACTATTAGCCAAGCTCTGGTTAATGCATTCGACCGTGATGCGATCTCTGGTTGGGGAGCCATCGTACACGTTATGTATGTATGATATCAAGAAAAGTTAATTCCATGAATCAAACGATGCATATTTTTATTAAGCCAATGACAAGACTTATATAAAATTGTTAAGTTTATTATGTGATCGTCTAATTTTCTTCTAGATTGATTCCATAAGATTTTGTAAGGAACAATTACATTTTACTTATCTTTTATGAAACATGATGCTAAATTGTTGACAGTGGGAGAATTTGAAATTATCTTTTACATTATATGCTGTATCAATTTCTTAATTTGAAATACTTCCCCTGTTTAGCTGACATTTTCGATTTGTTTTAGAGAAAAGGATAAAGTGACAACAAGAACCTTGAAGACGCGAATGGATTGAAGTCCACTGTTAATTGTAATAATTATTATTGTTGCGTTCAAGGAATCGAACGAGCAGAGATAATGGGAGCCTCAATAATTAAGATAATAATAAAGTATGTTCCATTTGACCATTTTCACAGTACCACGGATGTAGCAGTTTATAATTGTCTGAAATCATTCCGATCCTGAAGCAAATTACACTTTTATTAACTAATTCATTCCTTTCCCATTCCTGACATGCTTTCTGGTGTAAGATGGTATACGGTGCAGTAGCTTTTTGTTGTGTGTAGTCACGTTCTCGAACTAAGTGTTCTTATCATTTAATATTGCGTTTAAAATTCCCTCCATTTTTTTCGATCTGGTGATTTCCAATGATGTAATTTCTTAAAGATTAGCAACCCCGCTTGGAAGTTGTCTACAGTAGGGATGTTCGATTCTCTTAGTAGGATCGATTCTTGAATCGAACATGCCTAGCTACAGTTGCCAGTAATAAGATGGCCGAATAATTTCATCTTGCTCGTTTATGATTGAGAAAAAATGGCTTTTCACGCGTTTTGTAAAACTTTCCGGCAACTAAAACTTTACGAGGCCGGTGAGATTACACTTTCAATTCTTTTAATTAACCTCTGTTACAATGAACAACTTCGTTATGTATTAAAACTTCCTTCTCTCGTAGATAACCTTACTTTTCGGATCGTCGATTTTATTTAGACAATGAATTCTTTTTTTAATTAGACAGAAATACTTATAGTTCGAAAGTGTGAAACGGTTTGGACTTAAGTTAGAGTAATTTTATAGATTATGCGGTAATCGTTAATCTGTCCGAGATCCTGTTTCTGTGTCAAGTATTTGAATAAAACATTTGTTGTCGACGGGTCTTATATTATTCATTTCAATAAGTATTTTGGGATTTTATTTATTGCGATCTTTTATTAATGGTTTTATCGAAGTATGTATTGCTAATGGAGAAACCATGTTTATTTGCTTTGTGTTAAATTAATTCCAGGTGCTCGTGTCTTAAAATGTCATAGCGCGTTGCAGTCTACGCTTTCTACGCAGTCGGTTTCATGTCAAGACAAGCCAGAGCTTCTTACTGCATTTCAGGCAATTGGTGAAATTCGCATAGGATTTTTTCCTATGAGGATAAACATTGACATTGGTCTGCCACAGATAAGAGGAATAGTTCCACCTGTAACTGAATTACCAATTGTTCCTATAATTAGAATCAGGGAACCGCCGGTTAAAGTGCATGTGGATAATGGGGAAACAAGGCGTGTTTCAATAGAGGCCCCGCAGCAAGGGATAATCGAAGAAAAGCAGGCTGCCCGTTTGATTGTTATTAGAAGGCGCAAAATGAGGAAGCATAAGCTACGCAAGCTCAGGAAAAGGATCAAGTTCATTAGGTTGAAAATAAGGCAGAAACGAGAGTTAAAGAAGGAAAAGATTTTTCAAGCCGAGTTGCTGGCACAGATCAAGCAGGCAGAAAATTTCGATGCTAAAGAATACGTAGCATCGAGAATCAAGGAACTTACTAAAGAGGAATTACCTAAGAGGTATCGGGGTGAAGTTCTGCCAGTAGATTTAATTAGAGAATTCCTGGCGAATCATGCAGCAAGGAAAGAAGAGAAGAGGAAACGCCACCAGCGGCGGCTGACTCTCTAAATTTCATCGTTTGTATAATTAAAGCGATTTGTAAATAAGGGAAAAGTAAAACTGATAACAAGTAATACGTTCAATCTTCTACCTGCCACTCAATGCAGAAATTGACGTTCAATTCAATATTGGGATAACTGTTATGCCAAATTACAAGTTAATTTTGTTCTCAGAGAACTGAACATGATTTAAAAAAAGGAAATTATTAGAATTAAGACTGTAACAGGAATTTCTGTTTGTAACAGGAACATAGGATAACCTAGGAGGGGGGATGGAGCTCCCTTTGGGGGCTCCCTTCCTTTCCCGATAGTTTCCGAGTTACGGCCCTCCAAAGAACCGACCAATCAGAGCGCAGCATTTTTATTTTCGCTGTATCTCCGGAACCACGGGTCGTAGAAAAAAACTAGCAAAAAACTAACATGTCTAGACAAACTTTAGCGCTTTTCGATCCTGTTTTTTCAGAACCATCTGGTACGCAAACGGTTAAACGTCTATTCGACAAGTTATTAAATAAAGTAATTCTGAAAGTCATCAAGTAGGACAAGCTTTTAAAAGGTCAAATCGAACGAATCAAACAATCTTTTACAAATGATTTAATCGAGTTTTCTTTTCTTTCTCTCTTTACAAAAATAAGTCACTTGCGCGTTCAGCTCTTATTATCTACTATGTACATTGGTTCCGCCGCAATAACATTCTAAGTAAGTGTACCTCTTATGCAATGCGAATTAGGAATGCAGTAGGTACGCACTGATTCCATTTGCCTTCGGAACAACTTAATATCGACGTAATCCTGTGTTATTTATATATTTCATTTATAAATAATTCTCCGTCGAGTTTATAATACTATAATACAATAATAGCACCTGTCAATTCTGTTCAGCAAAGCATACTTTGCACGAAGCACCATAGTCCAAGACCTTGTCTGTGGTATCAAATAATTGTCTCTTTGTCAAAGATTCTAGCTAATTGAACGGCGTTCAAAGTCATGCAGTTCCAAATTATTCAATACAGCCTTCTTAATACCACGAGGTGAAGTGAAACAGCTTCTTTGTCAATAACTCTCTTGTGCTCGAAGAGTCATGCTTCGATTCAATGTCCTCTTTTTATCCTCATCGGAGATCTTTGGATCATGTTCCAATGAACTAGCACAATTGGATACCCAGAGTTTCCTTCAATCGTCACGGTAAAACATGTCCTTTCTTAATTTCCAAGATTTTTGGCTTATGTCCGATCCTGCCAGTCTTCAAGGTATTACTCCTGCCCGAGAAGTAATCCTCTATCTCTTGCAGCGTTTTTCCTTTAGTCTCTGGCAGACAAATATAAAAGTATATTGTCCCAAAGAGAGATATGCACCCATACATGATGAAAGTTCCATGTCTGGTCATAAGATCGGAGAGCAGTGGATAGGTCTTGACAACCATGAATACAAAGGAATGCGCAGCCATGGTGGTCAGTCCTCCGATGGTGCCCCTAACCTGAACCGGATAGACCTCTCCGATCATGACCCAAGGTATCACCAGGAATCCTAGAGTACACGTAATGGTATACGAAAATATACAGAACACAGGCACCCAAGTCCACGTAGGAGTCACACCGATGTCAACCCAGTAGTCCTTCAGCCACATGTATCCACCTAATCCAATCATGGATAGTCCGCAACCCACCGAAGAGATCATTGTCAAGGGCCTCCTTCCACATTTTCTACACAAAATGCAGGCAAAGATGGTCGACAGTAGTCTGATGACTCCTAGGATGACCGCAGCCAGATATTTATCCAACGAGGCTCCAGAGTCTTTGAAGATGTCCACTGCATAGAAGGTTATGGTGTTCGTTCCGGACCACTGGTAAATCAAAAAGTAAAGGAACAATAATGTGAAAGGCTTTAGAGCGTTCGGCTGTAGAAGAGCTCGAACTATTTCCCGGAGACCCGTGAGCCTCTTCAGGTTGTTCTTGTTCGAGAAATCAACCAGAGCCTTCATCTCCTTGTCTAGGTTATACGTGCTGCCTCGGAATTTCTGGAGGGCCTTGCGAGCCTCTTGGGGGTTATTCCTGGATATCAAGTAAGAGGGTGTCTCCGGAAAGATGAACATCAGAAGGAGAGCCATCAGGGGTAGAATGGCACTTATTCCAGCACAGATGTTCCACCGGAGCATGCTACCCAGAGCGTATTCGATGAGCACTCCAGTGCTCACTCCGACACTAGCTACAGCTGTCAGCATTCCTCGGAGATGAGGTTGAGTCACTTCGCTGGTGTAAACTCTTGCCGGTGCTCCTACCATACCCGAGCCCAGGCCTACGAAGAATCTTCCTGCGTAGATCATTCGAATGTCCGTAGCGGTGCTGATCAGGATCCAACCTAGCAGTGCTGGAATCTCGGTTATTATCAAGGATCTTTTCCTGCCTAGGATGTCCATCATGTACCCCGAAGTCAGGCAGCCAATTGGTGTGCCGATGGCTGACATGCTGGCTGAAAGTAAAGTTCACCCGATTAACATTGTATATACATTTTCACTCGTATCTTATCGAGACCTCATATTACCACGGATTTAGAATAGCAGCGCATGAAACATTTGGTTTTATCCCGGTGAAATGCGAGTTTATCGATTACCAGAGTGTTCTAAATTGTCGTACAATTGTCCTGACGCCATCGTTTCTCATATTTGAGCCTTCAATAATTGTATGTCGATCGAAATATGACAGGTCAACGCCATTTTGGTTCTGGTCCGGACTAAGTTAAAAATTTGGTTTGATCGATTGAAAATCGAAATTTGGAAAGTGCGCTCACGAGTCATGTGTCAAAGATTCGGACGGTCCCGTCTGGTCCCGTCCAATGCTCTTAAAGAAAACGTCTTATTCGAGTCGACTGATTTGAGGAGGGTTTCATATCACCTTAAAGTCTCAGCCGGTTCGGTGGAACGCTTTCTTTTTGAAAAGAAAAGAAAAAAAAAAACGTGTGATATTCGAATCAACTGGTTCGAGACGGGCTTTACTTCACCGTCGGACTTGGTAATTTCTTCTAAGATGTCTTACCGATCCATGACTCTTCGGACTCCGTATTAATGGTTATCATGCTGTCAGGCTCCTTGAGCTGCGGAATGGCAATGGCCGAGAATCCGAAGACCATTCCGGTGTTAATGGTGCCGAGTTGAGCCACGAAGGCAGCCAACACTTGTCTGAGCGCACTGCCTCTCTCGGTCTTCCCAGCTTCTGGATCATGTTGGGATCCATTCGGCGTCAATGGAGTTCTTCCATCTTCCAAAGCGGCCGGCTGAATCTTAGGTCGCATCGACGAGTCAACCAGAGATGTCTTTTCCGGGTCGACCGTCTCCGCATTCTTTCTGTATTATAAGTATAAGAGAAAAGTTACAATCGTTAGTCTTCTCCCATTGTATCTGTACTGATAAATTCGGTATATCCCTTTAGGTTTAAGCCCGTGACTCGCGGAAGTTGTTCGTCTCGTCCAAGGACGTTGGAATATTCTGCAAGCAGCTTTGGCACGGAACTTGGAAAAGTATTTTAAAATCGAGAGGCAGTGGCCAAGTATTCGAAGGCTCAAGTGTACGTCGATGTACATCGATGGACGTGAATGCTTTCCCTTCGTATATTGGCGGCAACGTATCTGCAAGAAGGACACTCATTTTCGCCAGTGTACGCATCGGAATGCAAGTGCACGTAAACGTACATTAGTGCAATATACGCGCATTTACTATATATACCTGTACGTACACTGGCGCTCATGAATGACTTCCTCGTGTACATGGCGCAGCCTGGTGGTGGTGACGTAAACGTAACATAAAAAACGAGCTCGAGAACTTATGTACTTGCGGTACCTGATGTATAATAAACTGTAAAGCAACTCATTGAACAATAACAATGAGTACGTTTAATTAGAGGAGCATGTCTAGCAAACCCTCTAATTGCCTATTCCCGATCCTTGAAAATCACTCGTGGATCTAAAGCACGAAACTCGGTGCCACCTCCTCGGTTGTCCTATGATCCTGTTCCACCTCTGGCCCCTTGCAACAGGAACATAGAACCACCGAGGAGGTGGCACGGAATTCTCCCGGGCAAAAATTGTAGGGGTTGAAATTTCCGATTTCTAACGATCATAGGACAACCGAGGAGGTGGCACCGAGTTTCGTGTCTTAGATCTACGAATGGTTTTCAAGGATCACCCTGAAAAGCCTGTCGCCCGAGTTATGAGACAAAAGCCACGCGTGTTGCAACTAAAAATAAAATTCGACGACTTTCAGAATACCTTGGGGCCCCTCAAAGGCGTCGTTATACCATGAAATTCGTAACACTCGATTAAACAAAATTGTCTGATATTTGCGACATCTACTCATTCTACCTGGACTTATGGTGCAGGGAAAAAGGGGTGAAATATAAAAGAAAGAAACTATCGAGTTGGTATTGTATCATTGGTACTGTACTACATTGAATTTAATGAAACATACGTATAAATCGAAATGTACGCTTATAAATGTGATAAAATGATTAATTTTTGAACTGCAGTTATTTAAAAGTGTATGGTCAAATGTGATCCATTGGATGTTTACTTCCGCGTTATAATCGCAGACAGATAAGCAACGAAATGTTTAGGTTAGATGTCATTGCTGTCAAGTCTCATGCCAATTGACTCTTCCCTTGACTATTTGGCAGCGATTAGATATGCGCGAGCGCGTTTCAGAAATGAAGGAGTAGGGTTCAAAGATTAACACCTACTACTTCTACTTGAGAGTAGACACAGTCCTTGTGCGTTTGACACGAAACCAAGTCCCGCAAGTATGTTTCATTTGAAACACTATGAATCCATTAATCTCAAGGAAAGGATCTTTTTACAGACGCGAAGAGATCGTTCGTCTCTCGTGAAGATCCAAGTGCTATTTTAATTCGTAAATAATAAATCGCCCAGACGTTGAAAGATCAAATTATTAACTACTCAGTGCACGCGTAATTGGTGCGAGTCTTAACAGGGAAAAAATCCATCTAATGTACGATGGAAATTACGAGTAATCAGATGACAGCTATAGAATGCCGTCAATTTTGCCAACATGTCTTAATCCGCTATTTAAAGTTTAACAATTGTTTATGCCATTATTGGCAGCATTGTTCTCCGGTAATTGGTTCTCATAAATATGCACCGCGCAATTGATGCAACTGCATAAATTCCATACGAAACTCAAACGCAGCTGCTTCTAAAAGGAATTAACTTCTGTCATCCTTTTCAACGTTTCCCTGTCTATTTCGGTCTAGGCTTCACTATTCCAGTTTTCCATACATTCCATGGAAAATCTTGGATTTTAAGCATGTCAGGAATAGGAACTGCGGAAACATACAGTCCCATATTCACGTAAATTACATCACGTATGAAATTTCTTAAGTAAAATACCTAGTAATTCGCTGTAAGAAGACTGCGCACAATGACTCATGCTCGAGGGTGTACGTGGCTAAAATCGCATCAGCCCCATAAACCCAGAACCAACAATTGCGTCATACTCACTCCGCCATGGTGTGCGTGAACGAGTCTGGTACTTTCGCGAAGTCGCAGTTGGGTTTCTCCTCAAAACTCGTAGTTCATGACCAAGGTCCGCTAGCGGGCCTCACTTCCCAAATCCGTATCCGCGAGGATCTCGTTTCAAAAGATGAAAGAAAAAAAAGAAAAGAAAGAATTTAAGCTTCCCGATTTTTCTCACTCGATCGCGCCGAGTACGTGCAGTTTTTTCCTACGCCCGCGAGACATTTGCACGATCGTGGATCAGCCTCCTTCTCGATTTGACGGCAGCGACTGTCCCGCCTCGAGTCACCCGGTACGAATCCGCGACCAGAGGAACGCGGCCTCGCGGGTGTCGCCGAGGAGAAGCGCGCGGCGAATGGCGCACGCGGCTACGCCTGGAGCTTTATATAGACCTTGGTCGGCCGTCGGAGGAGAGGGGGGCGCAGGTCTCGCGACTACGCCTCTAGGCGGCGCTACGGACGCGTGCAAATTAGAGTTCGAAAATTCTCGTGACGGCGGGGGTGCCGCCGCCGTTGTGAGAGTCGCGAATAAATTGCGTTAAATGTGATAACATTTGCTTAAACAAAGTATTAAAGGTAGCAAAACTGTAGATTAAAGGGTACTTCTCACCCGAGGCCAAAAAACGAAACAGCAGCAACATACTAAGACTCATAGAAACGAAAGTATAAAACGCTACAAACCCGCTACAGTTTTTATCGCGAGAGATTACGAGACTGGACTTTGGCGAACTTTTGAAAAAAGTTTGTTTCTTTTTAAGCCTTGATGAGTACCCGATGGGGTTATAAAAAGTAAATACTACATTTATAGCGGCCATGAAAATATCGTAAAATCACATTTTTTACGATTCACAAAACCATTTCGATTGTATTGAGCAATGAGCAACGATTGTATTGAACAGTGAAAAATGTGATTTCAGGGCCTTAAATTGTGCCATTAACGTTATCGATTTTTGGTATTGCATTTAGTTTTGTTAGCATTATTAAATAATTCAAGAGTGCAACATTTTAATAGGTCAGTGTGGACGAGCATGGGTATCGTAATAGTTTCAGATTCTTATATTTTACCAGCACTCGAAACGTCACTCGTGACTGATTATCTCAAATTCTTATCACTGAGAATCTTATCAACTAAATATTATCCCCGACTATTCAATAATTATGCAATAGGTCTTAGCACAGCTCGGTAACGGAAGAAGTCAAGTAAAAAGGGAATATAATTCTTGTTCACGCAATCAATTTTATCGTCACACTCTTTTACCTTCTCAGCGTAGATTTTTTGCAACCCATTTATTTACTATAAGAAAAAATTGTACTTGTTTGTTACTAGGAGGGTTCCGAAGAATTTGGAGAAAGAGAAAGAATGTTGGAGATCGAAAGATGATAAGCGAGACCGAGCGAACCGAGATAAGAGAAATCGTCATATTCCGAATCTCCTCCTGCACTAGACAGGATGACAAATACATTGTTAAGTAGGATTGAAATGAAACATGTGACCAGAGTTATCTATTTATTAATTAAAGAGGAACTTTTATTTTACATTTTAGATGTAGGAAATAAAATTTGCTGCGGTGAATTGGTACCGAATATTTCCCTCGGAAATAATAATACTAAAATTTCGGTGTTTCTTGGCAGGGAGTCAAAGATTGATTTTGAAATTCTTCGGGAAGCCTGTCGACTCGTGACTAAGGTTAAACATCTTAATCCACACTTTTTGCTCGGACAGCCACGAGCCTCGTATCTTCCCCTGATCGTCGATAAGGTGATACTCGTAAATAAGCTTATTTGATCGAAGCTTTATCGGAGAAAATAAGAATGGCGTGGCCCGGTTATGCCGTTATTTACAGATGATTTCTACGGAAGGCCATTCCATGTGCAGCTCGTAACTCGTGACTAACCGTCTAAGTTGGCGGGTACTCACAGGTGCCACCTGGTGGAGCTGCTGCCATTGGAGAAGGTGTCGTAATTCCTGATCTCGTTCATGCCAGGTGTCGGTCGGGATTCGGTTTCGCCTCGGGACGAGAGGCGCGCTCCGAGCGGTCGGGGATTAAATAGTTTTCTGCCGCTTATCGACGAGCCGTCACGAGTTTCCGTATCGGGGCGGCTTCTCTTATTTTTTCCGAGCGAGTCAACGCCGATAGGTCAGGCTCGCCGTCGACCTCTGCACTCGTTCGCGACGGTCCGCTTTATCTAGTTTTACATTTCGCCGTTTTTATGCATATGCCCCCTACGTTATCTATTTATCCAAATAGAATTCCGGTCGAGGGGGCATTAACTCAGGAAATCATGTATTTTAACTCTTTGAAGTGATACGAAAGGGTCATTCTATATGTACGAAGCGTCAAAATATTTCTCTAACTTTTCTCCAAACTGGATCCATCGATCCATTTGACATTTCAACGCGTCATTATGGAGGCCCTGAAGGCGTTAACGAGAGTTTTCACCTTTATAATTACATTCTAGCCTCACTTTGCACAAGTTCCTTTGCGTCGACTACTTCGCACCTCAGCGACGTTTTCAAGTACGTTACGGAGTTTGATAAGAGTCGAGCCGTTCGTTTTTCGCTCCCAAAATGCAAAATGCAAAATGCATTTGGAGTTATAAATAACTAAGTTTCGCGTTTTTAGAAATTAATTAAGTTAGAACGAACAAGACAGCGCAATTCATTCTGAAGAAATTTGACGCAGCCAATTCAGGTTGGAATGTCATCGCTTGCAGGGCACTGATAAATCCATGATTAACGAAAAAAACATATTATCAATGAAAACAACCAAGTTTTTTTTTCAAACTACTCACTCGCTGGCCGTTACTAAGTTTGCACCGATTAAGCAGGTTTAATGAGATTTCAGATAAAAAGAGGTATCGAATAAAAATCCTCGCCACAATATACGTTTAACGTAGCTTTGACGTTTCGTTCACACGCGAAATCGTCAGGCATTGATAAGAATGCGATAAGTAGAACTTCTGTTTGTCACAAACGAAGTCACATGCAAATTTCTACGCCTCACCTGGGCTCCTACTTTGTTACTAAACAACCTGTTCCGAGGTATATTTTCGTCCGCAAACATTAAATCTTATTATCAAGAGATTTTTAGATTTACCTTTTACTCTTCAAGAATGTCTTGAGTGAAAATTGGGCGATCTCAACTGAAGTAAATCATTTCTTTTTACGAAAATCATATATTTCGTATTTATTGTGCAGTTGTAAAAGATTCCGAAATTTATGGCGAATACGTATCGAATTGAGAGAAAAATTCCGTTAAATGAACTATTTTTCAACTAGTTCTTACAGTTGAAAAAGTACTTGGATACTTTTGGTAGTAAAATTAATATTTGATTTCTGAAGTAGGAAATCTAGTAATAGTTATTATAATAGTTTACCTTCTGACGCTTCTTCCCGTGTCGCGACTAGCACCTGCGCCGAGTACGCTGCTCCGTCGGTAAGGAGACGCACTGCAGCCGCCGGTAAAAGTCAGCCGGCCATGCGCCGGCGCCAAGCCGTCTGATTCGGAAGGAAGCACGCGCACGGACGGAGCGCCGATAATTAATCAATCGAATCGCGGGCCCCGAGGTTACGGAAGCCGCTCGCCGAGACGACTCCTAACCTCTGCCTCTTCTCCTCTGGCCGTTCCGGTGATTTCCCTTTTTCTTCCACCCTTCTACCCTTCTACCCTTCTTCTCTCCGTCGAAGCATTCACACTTTGGGGCGTTATCGGTGCAGCCGGTTATCGACGGAAAGATTCCCGGGAACGATATATCGAAATGCCGATACGTCGCCGAGATATCGAGTGTTGATCATTTCTTAAGTCCTCGAACATCGAACATGCAATCTCGGTAAGTCCGAGATTCCTTTTTTTGGTGCAATTTTGTGATCGTTTATAGAATGTTTATGCGTGTAGGAGTAACGTGAGGTCTTTAGATTTAATTGTTTGTTTTGAAGTAGGCGAAATGGAATTGATGGATGGTCTCGTTGTTTTGTAGGGCGGAGGTTTAAGCGGGATCGCGGAATCGCGCGGCCGGATTCGAAACAAGTCTTTGGTTACCCAACGTATGTAAAGCGTAATGTCAATTGCAAATCACATGACCACCGGTCGAGCAGGTTTGCCAACTTGTACAGGAAAAGGTGTTCCCCTCCTTTAAAAACACCCACGTCTCGCGTGCTCGGCGGAATTGCATAAAACAATCAGGCGGTCGACAACGATGCCTGATCAGGAGTTTAAACACGATCTAGCGAAACGACCGTACCGTTGAAAGAAATAGAATAAGTTTCGCGCCATATACTACTACATGCCAAGAAAGAAACTACGGGGAACAATCGACTGATATCTACTTTTGAGTCGACATTGATAATAAAGAGCGGTCAAATCAATTTACCGGAGAAGAATAATTGCCATTTCCATTCGAATAGAAAGAATAGAAAGTTTCATAAATGTATCACCTTAAATCCCCATACTTATATCTTTTCTTAAAAAGAAAGGAGCCACTCGGAGGAGTGGACAAAGGAGTGGAAGAATCGCAGCCGTGACGTAAAAATGGACGGGGGAGGATCCGGATTGGTCACCGATAACGGCGACCGCTGGACGCGGGCCAGGGAAACGATCGATTAACCGCGCCACCCAGCTGATAAGGGCGTGACGAAACGAGTCATGTGCCTTTGGCCACGTGAGGCCGTAATCGGGTCTCTTCCGGTGACGCGTACGTATCGCCGAGTACGCACGTTCGTTGCATGCACACGGTCGTTGCGGAATGGATGCCTGACAAGGGGCCAAAAAATTCATTTCTAGGTGAGATACCTGTGACCATCGAAATTACCCCTATTGCCCCCATTTACCTTAGATTGCATACGCGTAAATGGAGCCGCTCCCAACGACGAGCAAAAAGAGTAGGAGTTTGATTGCCGTATTTACCTCTAACGGGTTTACCGGTTTCCGATTCGGCAGAAACGGGGAAAAGATATTTTCGCGCGATGCCATTGTTGACCCGACGTATCGCGTTCGGCATTCGTTGGAACTCGATAACGGACGGACGTATGCATTTCTCCGGGAGGATTTTCTTTATCCCGACTGTTGTTTACCAGGCCAGGGAGCGAATGACGCGGGAACCACTTTTCCTCTTGTCGGTTTCAGTAGATCCGAAACGTTCACTCGCTTGTGCCAGAGTTTCGAGGAATGGGCGCGACGTGGCTTAACCAAGAAATTGAGACTCTAACAATGTAAAGCAGGCCATTGATATATCGTTCCACGTGACCCGCGTTTACCTTACGCATACGTTCCTTTAAAATGTAACCTTCTCGTCCGCATCGCGCACCATCAAATTGTTCATCATTAAATTCGTACGGAGGCGACGTCAACCAATGTAATTCTACGGAATTCAATGTAAAAAAAGTTATGTCAACGTAAACGTTCGATATGCGTCGGCAAAAGAGGCATTTTGCAGAGGCACGCAATGAGTTATGCGCATAATTGGCTGGACTTTACAGCGGATTCTCTGCGTGTGCGTGAGCCGAGGCACGTCCAGTCGCGATAACTTGACATTTACAGCGAAGCCTCGATTGAACCGCGTAAGTGAGCAATGACACATTTGGACACGGTGCACGCGACAATCGCGTGCTAGTCACGAGGCGCGTGCAACAAGCGCCTCGCGACAAACAATGGCATTGAAATTAAATTAGCCTAGCCATTTGCACGTTGACTTGCAAGCGACATCCCGAGGTGCGTGCTGCATTCTGCATCCTAAAATTCTTTCACAGGCAGTCTCTTAAAGGGTTCACTTCGATATAGAAACGTTTCATTTTACCGGGAAAATTGCCTACTGAAAGTGGCGTCGCAGCAAATGAAGACACATCGTGTCGGAGATTTTCCTTCGCTCTCTGTTTCTAAATGATGCACACAATGGGGCGAGGCAAGGAAGTTTGGTAATGTAAATGCACTTGGAAATGAGTTGTATGCCCTGTTAAAATATTTCACAAAATGACCAATTCCACCGAAGAGAGTATAGATGAATTTGAGTTTATCGAGCTTCGTATCATCTTAAAAATCAATGTCGTGGGACAATATCGGTCGCGTGTCTCTTCCTTTCACGTGTCACGGTCGCATGCAACCCGAAGCCTTAAGCTCGGCACGTGATTATCCCTAGGGTTTCCGGTGGTCGATTTTCGTTTAAGGCGATTACAATGCTTTTTAAGTCAAGGGGCCATTCCGACTTGCATCACTCGCCGGTGAAAAGTTCCCGATGATGGATTTCACCCACAAGCGCGTCCACCAGATCCTGACGTCCATCTTGGAGCCACTGGAGATCTTCGAGGCGGACGAAGATCATCTCGACGAAGGGGTCTCTTAAGAAGCCATCCCGACATTTTTTCCTTTCCTGAACCGAACGGAGTTGAAAAAGCTCCGCACAGCCCCGTAAAGATCGGACCGCTCGAAAGGAGGCGCCGCCTCAATCGACGTGGCAATGATCGACGAAGAAGTCGTTACGAAGACCGACAATTGTGTCCGGGCTTAAATCAGGGCCTACAAGTATACGGAAGTAATGGCGTCGACTAATGGGCCGAGATTTGGTGCTAATTTAGAATAAATCGAAGGTGTCAAGATGAAGCGTTCGAGGATCTTGCGATCCAAGTCGGAAATCGATTTCAGTCGGAAAGTGAACGTGATCGATGAGTTATTAGGCCTGGACGTGAATCACCTGAGAACTTCTAGGACCATGACCTTCGGCGTGAGTTTGTCTGGAATTGAACGCGAATTTAAGTCGAAATACTTCACCTTATAAAGGGATACACCACTTGAAACGTTGCGCTACGTTTGATTTAATATTTAAGCGGGAAGGCGAGGGAAGCAAGACGTTAATTGGTCATTCCCAAGAAGACGACGACGACGACGACGACGACCGCGGCGACGACCGCGGCGACAAGGTGTTTTGGCCCAATTGCGATTCGACAATATGGATGAGGTCGTGCGAACGGGAGGTCATCGATCCGATCAAGGGCAAGGTCACCGGCGCGATACCAAAGTGGCTCCGGGGAATTCTGCTTAGAAACGGACCCGGCAGTCTTAAAGTTGGCGAATACAGGTTCCAGCATTTATTCGATAGTTCTGCTTTGTTGCACAGGTGAATTCAAATCATTCGCTTATTTTCTTAGGGCCGGTTGCACCAAATATTACAAAATTAAATGGCGGATCGCTTTTATTGTTCTAATGTAAAGCTCCAAGATGAAAATATGAAATGGATCCTCCTTACGTTAGGTTCGAGATTGCAGATGGCGGAGTGACCTATCAAAATCGTTTCGTCGAGACCGACGTTTTTCGAAAAAATCACGAAGCTAAGAGAATCGTTGTGACGGATTTCGGAACGAAAGCCGTTCCAGATCCCTGCAGAAGTATTTTCCAGAGGTTTGGAAAATCTTTCATTGCAATTAGTACCTCTTCGTTAATTTAACACTTGAAATTTCTACTGCTTGTGTTTGCGAATAACATTTGTCCGCATAATATAGATTTTAACCGACAAAGTATGGCTGGCGATATTTATATACAAGGTGACACTGAAGAAGAAAATGATTTCTAGGGTCGCCTCGGCTTTCAGTCTCGTGAACGACACTTCTGATAATTCGATGATATCGGTTTATCCTTTCGGCGACGAATTTTACACCTTCACGGAGTCGCCAGTTATACATCGAATAGACCCGAAAACATTGGAAACGAAGAAGAAGGTATTTCAAAGTGCTCGGAAGAATGATCGAAATTAAATAATAAGTACAGAGAATTTGTCAATATCTTTCACCGGCTCGAAAAGTAAAATCAAAGCAATCAATGTCGAAAATACTAATTATACGTTTCTTTTCTTCTCAGCAGTTAATATTACCGATTTATGTATACGCAGGTGATCCTTTCGGATTATGTAAATATTGTTAATCATACATCCCATCCACATGTTCTGAGCGACGGCACGGTCTACAATGTAGGAATGAGGATAACTCCTAGAGGGCCGGCTTACAGTGTCGTGTGTTTTGCTCCAAATCGTCTCGCGATCGGTGAGTCTTCTACAAATATCTACTGTATGCATATCCGACAGCCACATACGCTTATTTCGCTTTGGTTTAACTTTGGCCGAATATAGGTATCCGATATTTTGCAGATCACCCCGGAGAAGCTAAAGAGCTTTCTATGTTCGACCAGGCTACTATAGTAGCTTCTGTACCCGCCAGACGAGTTTTGAATCCATCGTACATGCATACTTTTGGAATTACCGATAATTACTTCGTCATCATTGAACAGCCCCTGTCAGTGGCACTCGTTAGATTGGTATCCTGCAAAATCAGGGACGAACCCATGTACAGCTGTCTGAAGTGGTCCGAAGAGGATAAAGTAAATGCTAATATTCTGCTCTTTTACGTTATACGTAATCAGCGCAAGAGAGTATCTGAAACTGAGCCTTGATAATAGATTGCAACGATCTTCTAACGATAAGAGGGAAATTAAAAAACTTGATTATCAGAAATCAAGATATTTCAATCATAATTCAATTTTATATATTATTCCTTATAATTGCAGACTTTGATTCACGTCGTATCCAAAAACACTGGCCGGGTAGAAAAGACTTTCCGGACGGAAGCCTTCTTCTTCTTACACATAATTAATCAATTTGAGACCAGAGATCGAGACCACATTGTTTTGGACATTTGCTGTTACAGAGATGCAAAGATGCTCGACTGCATGTACATCGACGCTATGAAGGTAAATATTTGCAAATTATTCTCAATCAATTTCGGGCGGAAGAGTTTATCGAGGATCGGCATAAAGACGTCGTTACGGAGACTTACTAGTTTTAAATTGACTTTAGAATATGCACAGCAATCCCGATTATTCGAAAATGTTCCGAGGAAGGCCGCTGCGTTTCATATTGCCCATGAAAACTCCCAACCCGGAAGTGAGCCCCGAGGAAAACTTGATAGGAGTGAAAACGGGGCACCGAAGTTACCACGATACGAAAATGGACCCGAAGGTCGACCAGGTTCTAGACCCTTTCGAGGAAAATGAGACCGAGGCAGAGCCAAGCGATGTCTTGAAGAGGGAGCCTTCCGCTCATAGGCTCGAAAGTGGCGAGACTTTCGTCAAACCAGAACTGCTCTGTGATTTGGGCTGTGAAACTCCCAGAATTAATTACGAGCTTTATTTGGGACGGGAGTATCGATACTTTTACGCGATTTCGAGCGACGTCGACGGCGAAAATCCCGGATCGGTAAGGAAGGAATCGCATTTTCCATTATCCATTTCGATTCAGTGCAAAACTAATGTAGTGATATTTGTGTTATGTTTATGCGAACAGTTCACTTTTTAAGCTTATATTTTATGTTTCAGATCATTAAAGTCGACACGATGACGAAGACCAGAAAGGTTTGGTTTGAGAAAAATATTTTCCCGAGTGAACCGATTTTTGTGCCCGACCCCCACGGCAAGGTAATTTCGAATACACATCTTTTTTATCCGTGATATTATTTAAAACGATTTTGCCGATTTTGCCGATTTTGCCGATTTTCAAGGCAGCATCGAATTTATTTTGCTATCATCTCGAATTTAACTTTGCATCTTGCAATTGGCAATATTCCTATCAGTCGGATTTATTCAGGATCCAATTGTCATTTAATCTTTGCAGAGCGAGGACGACGGGATTGTGGTAAGTTCATTAGTTTGGGGCCAGGAACGCGAAAACGAAGTCGGACTTTTGATTTTGAACGCCCAGAATTTGCAAGAAATGGCGCGAGCCACGTTCAGTACACCAGGACCCGTGCCGAAGTGTTTACACGGGTGGTTTAGTTTAAACAAGTAATTTTACATAAGTATCTGTAAGGCGATATGCTTGTAAATCCGTTGAGAGATGCCCCAGCCCGTTAGAAATACTGCAGAAATACTGCAGAAATACTACCATAATTACTTTAACCTCTAGAGACAGGAAAGATAACAAAGCCATTCTCGGGAATACAAAATATCTAAATACATGCGCTGTAATTAATGTATATTAGAATTAATGCAATCCACGTTGCATAAATTATAGCGACTAACTCTGACGCGTGCGCACAATTGCGGAGAAATAATAATAATAATCACATAAAATCACGTCAAGTACAATAAGTTATTTTAATGACTTTTGCCCGAGGATGGTACAGTATTTACACAGACGGGACTAAATGTCAGGGAAAACAAATCCACAACAATAACAACGTAGGGTCGCCGTAATTCTCCTCGCCCGGGACAATTGACCTCTTAATTAATTGCGAGGTGAGGTGATATTCACACGCAATTGGCGTCTACGGAGCTCTAAATCTTTTTCGCGTCAGTCTGATGGAATGTAAAATGGCTGTAAATGGCCCGGGGCACGCTCGAAAATCTCTAGATTCGTATTTCATCTTTTTCAAAGTCCTCTACTTCTTTCTTCTTTTCATCGAGGTCGACATTTGCGCAAACGAGTTCCCATGAATTCGTATATGGCTTTTTCAAGAAGCGGCCATTTTGGAGAGCTCCAAGTGTTGAACTCAACGAAAGATATCCTCCCCGTTCTCGAGTATCGCTTATCATCTGCTCGAAAGAATATGTTTTTCGGCACTTTGCTGAAATTATTCATGTTTGTATTTATTTTTATTACTAACTAGTTTCGCAGATCGCGGCCCCTACGTCAAGGAAACTTGTGAATACGAAGAGTCTCTCGCGGAGGCTCGGTCAGCGAATTACAAAGCTGGAAAATTGCCTAACAAAAAGGAAAGATTAATCGCTGCCGGTCATTGAAATTAGTATTTTCTTAATCTTGTAATCACTATCGATAGAAAATGTCAATCGTTGATAAGGTAGTCGTTTTCAGCCAACGGATTAGCCATGTAAGCAGGAAATAAAAATATCCTTTTTATACCAATCTACCTCTTAAGACCCCGAGTTTACTATAATTACTTAATTCATTTGCATTCATTTCAGATTGCAATCGGTAATTCGACTTTTCAGACGCCGCTTTCACATCCCCTTAAATGTAATGCTTCTTTCTTTTATAATAAGTTATTTGGTTGCAGTCACCTTAACACTTATGACTTATGACTTATGACAATTGAATCCACAATTTAGGCATCCATTTCCCATGAACACGGAAATACCGATTAATGCACTTTTTGGCACATTTCGTTTTTTATCGTGGAAATTTATAATCCACGATAATAATTACAATTTTCATATTTAGGAATAATTACTAATACATCACCTGGAATTATTAGAATTACGTAATTACATCACTGCAATTGACTTTACTTCTTCTCTCACTCTTGTGCTTCCTTATTACAAGAAATTCAGGAACATTTACATTCCGACATACATCCGTCAACATCGGTAGATTTTTTCGACTCTAAATTCTCTAAATTCACTAATCGAGGGTTATTCGAATTCGCGAGCTGAGCAAATACATTATTAAATACTATAAAACTCCATTCTATGTAATTATTTACCTAGGTCGTAAATCCTAGACGGAAATTCCCCATAGAAAGGAGTACAACGTTGAAAGAATTAACACCGTCCGCGGAGTGCAATTAAAATAGCGTTAAATAACCCATTCCCAAGACTATCAACAGTTTTCAATCGCTTTGACGCTGTACATCATCTTTCACATCATCTTAAGGAAAAATACGTACCGAGTTCCTAGGAGGGGATGGTTGGGAAGACACGGGTCCTTCGGGTCGTTTCGCCAATCGTCGCGACAACGACTATCACAATTCGCTTTTTCGAGAGATGAACCGCGCGCAGGTCAGACCTTCTCCATCTTCTCGATCTTGTCCGCATTCGTCGACACTACCGAGTTCCCATCCGTCGAAATCTTCTTTTCCGACTCGGTCTCGCTTTTCGTCAGACTCGACAGCGATCCTGCAACATGGGGCTCCGCGTGCGTCGGCAGGATTCCGGCATTGGCGTCCTCGATGGCCTTCCTCAGCTGGAAAGAATGTTTTCCATTATTTATTTGAAAAAAAAAAAAAAAAATTAGCGTAATGCGCCTTGCGCGTTTGAGCTTCACCGAGGTATTACCGAGTATAGAAAAAGAAATGAACGTTTGACGTTTCAACTGGAAAAAATGAAGTACCTCTTTAAGGGCAACCACGCCGACCAGCCTCCCAATGGCGGTGACATAGGCGTGGTTGACGCCGACCATGCTGAAGAGGCTGTGGACCTTGAGGAGCGAAGTCCTTTCGACCAGCTGGAAAGGAGCAGGATCGATATGGCACTTCGAAAAGTCCACTTCGAGGGCCATTTCGCTTTCTTCCCATCTCTTCTGGTCCTCGGCGGACATGTCGATGACTCGTTCTCGAGGCTGCAATATCAAATGAAAAAAAAAGAAACCTCTTAAAGTACCCAAACTCGGAATGTCTCCACCGCGAGAAATAATTCCGATGAATGGAATTAGTTCTTCATTATTCTTCGGAGTTACGTGATGCGCCTCGCCGTCACCTTGTTTTTATAAGACGGCGAGTGAAACGAAAGAGAAGTCAATGCTTTACGAAAATTGTCACAATTCAACTAAATTCCTCGAAAGGTCGGTACCATGTTCAGGCATACCTTTTAAGGAAATTAATTTTGTACGAATCTTTCCATGATAACAGCAACATCTTCGTGAAAGAACTACGGAAAAGGGCGCAACGTTTACGAGGGAATTTGAAGCAGATAGTTAACGATAATTCCTTAAGGTGATGTGAAAGTGGCGACACAGAGGTCTCGTTTATGAAACTTTCCTCCGAACTGTCCTCTGAACTATAGAAGGTTTCTCACCAGCTGGACCTTCTTCGAGGTAGCTGGACTCGGTGTTAACATTGGCTGAAGAGCTTGGGCATTTACGGTATCGGTGCTGTCTCTCCGATTTCCGCCAGTTCCCAATTCGGGGTCAGGGTCCACATCCTGAAGAGTCGCAGATTTCCTGAAAATTGCTTCAAAGGCCAGGCGAATCCTGAAAATCGAAAGCTATTACAGTCAAACTATACCTATACTACGTTCTTAAGGTGATATGAAAGGGTTATTCTATATATCAGAACGTCAAAATATTTATAAAAATTTTCTCCAAATTGGGTGCACCGAATCATTTGAAACTTCACCACGAAATTATAGAGGCCCTAAAGAAGAACGCGATGCTCGTGAAATTTCATTTTGCGATAAAAAATTTGCATTTATCTCGGACAAGAACTAAAAAGACATTTGTTCTTCACTAAAGGATTTGATTTACAGTACCTGCTTTCAGCACCAGTCACTGTAGTGTAAGGAGTAACAGCTGGACTGACTAAAGGACTGAAACCTTTTAGAGTGAAGGAATTGGTTTTCTTTAAAATTGACTTTTTTGGTTGCGATCCGAAAACCGGCGTATGATATGTGTGCTGAAAAAGAGGAATTAAATAAAATATACAATATTTAAAACAGTATAAAATGAATCAAATAATGTGCAACTCATCGACATTTGAATATCGAGCATTATTTCACTCATCGAAGACATTTCTCTTCCTTTGGTGATGAAAACTCACATGATCGGAACCACCGCCATTGATTGGCGATATCGACAAGTCACCGACACTTTGTCTCTGCATTTTCAAGATGTCAGGTGCCGGAATGACCTCGAATCTTGACGGTCTTCTGGTTCTCTCCTGCTCTCTCAGTTGCTTTTCCATTTCCTCTCTTGCCCTCTCTTCGGCTTCTTTTTGCCACTTTTGGGCAACCTATAATTTTAAAAACAAGTTTCTTCATAAAAAAAAATGCATATATATAATTTTTTTACAACTTTTCACACTGTACATAGAAATTGTGTGAAAATAAATGGCCTTCCTAACCTGTAGCCTCCTTTCTCGACCGATGTGCTTTTCTATGAGTTTGATGAGTTCCAGCCTCTGAATCGAACCCAAAAGAATCATCGAATCGGGATTATCGACTAAAGGGAATCCCCGAAGTTTCCGATTTTCCTTAAGAATTTCCTTAAGTATCTGGTACGTGATACCATGCCAAATGTACTTCACGTTCCTAACCATGAAGTCTTCGACGTAAACATTATACATACCTGAGGAATAATTATTATAATTACGGATTCAAATGGTAAAACACATAAAATTTGCAGAATGAAGTTAACGTTATTATATATATTATAATTTTTAGGTTATAAACATAATAAAAATGAATTTTTTACTTTACGATTATTATCGGACACTTTATTTGGTATCAAAAAACACGACGTATGGTCGCGTCCTCCTCGTTGCTACCGGTCTCTAATTGAAATTCAAAAGGGCGAGACCCTATTTAATTGGGACCGTATGCCTCCTAAGAACCTCTAATACCCAAAAATAAGGCCGTACACTAATACCTCAATTTCCGACGAATATCCTCTCTTTCTTCGGGACTCTCAAAGATTTGAAAATTGACCAAATGTCACGGCGGCTTCCTTAGCGCACGTCTATCCTAAGCCGTGGTGTCTCTCCAAGAATGCACAAAAATGAACGAGAGGCGACCACACGTGACCACACGCGACGCCAGAGAGATTGTGCTCACGGGCAAGGTCGCACGATCGCGTCCTGTGCTGCCCCCCGGTGGAGGATGCGGACGGCTAACGCATTTGCCACCTGTTACCCCTTAGTGGCGGCTCAACACATGTCTGATGGAAATTCTACATAGGGACCGGTGGCAACGATCGATGTAGGGTAATCGGAGGGCCTACTCCGTATTAAATATTCTTTATTTCGGGTGCGGGGGACTAGGATGATCCTTCGATGGACCTGATTCCCCGTAACGTGAGGGGGCATCGAGCCTACCACGTTACAATATATAGAAAATAAAGGAGAAATATTTTGCGCTACTAGAACCGATTAAGGCGTGCGGGATGAAGTCACTTTGCGAATTCCTGAATTCGTTAAATCGAGCAATAAATAATATATAGTAGGTAATAAGAGATAAATGAATAAGGGAAAAGTACTCACCGGAGCTAGAAGGTAATAAGTCGGGCAGGTACGGTAATTTTTTTATGAGAATGATGCTGTCGTATATGCTGGGCTGTAGCAGAGCAGCGATCGCATTGCTTATGAGCACTGCTATCATAATCGGTACTATGTGAGTAATTTGTCCGCTCATTTCGAAAACTATGACACTGACGGAAATGGTGTGCGTCACCGCTCCGGAAAATGCAGCTGCACCTACGGTTGCATATCCACCTAAAAATGGAAAAAAATCATATACCTCACTTTGAAGATCCGTTCAATTTTATTTAATTCTAATTTTGAGCAATAACAGAAACAAGATAACATTGATAACTCTTAAAGCGGCCAACTAATTCTTTTAATTTTGACTCCTGCTTTAACTTTACCCGGATTTTAATTATTCAACACTCGATTAAAGAAGCAATAAAATATTCCCTCGAGTTGTTCTTTCTTGTATGAATTTGAAATAAAGGGATACTTTTGAGGGATCGTAATACCTGGAATGATGGGTGTTATGATTCCCCCATATCTGACGCCATTCGGGAACCAGAGGGCCATTCCTTCGCCTACGGCCCTTCCTAAGGCCGCTCCGATTTTGAAAACTGGGATGAAAATCCCCGAGGGCACTGGCACCGTTGAGCATATTATCGAAAAGATGAACTGCAACGTGTTAAGAAGAAAAAAAAAGAAATATCGTTAAAAGCTACTTAGAAAGATATATAACGATTACTAAAATGTTTGGTAACTATTTTCTGAGTCAAGAAATAATTAGTCCACCAAAAAGGGTATAGATGAATTTTAATTGACCGATCTCGATTAAATTTCTCAGCACCTTTCGCATCGTCTTAAAGTTTCGGAGACTTTTGAAACTTGTATCGAAAGATAATCAGAAAGATAATCTGATTTGACGAGAAATTTGTCAACGTTTCCCGCGAAGTGACTCATCGGCGAAATAAACTACCGATAAACAAATGTTGTTTCGGTAAGGAAGAAGGCCTACCGTAAACGCGCCGTAACTTAAAAGTCCGACAAAGACGTCGGTGTACGGGGTGGTCCAGTGCTTGACGATGTTCATCTCCTCGACACTAAGGACTTTCTTCGTCCACGTGAAATTCGTGAAGAGTCCAGCAACTTGGTCATGCGCGTTCAAATCTCCCGCCATGAACTGACCCAGGCCAAGAGGAAACGAGACGGAAGCGACCAACAGCGAGACGATTCCGGGATACAAGAAGCGGCTGGAAATAAAATTGGCTTGTCTACATTCAAGATAGCGTTTCCCCCATTGGACGCCCTAAGAACTGAATAGGATACGAACTTTGATCAGGTAACGTCCTTACTTTTTCTGCAGGAAGCTGTTCATGCTCTTGTTCTTCCTCATGAAGATGACGTACTGCCTGTGCAGCCAGACGTAGAAGGCTCCCCCGAGTCCGCTGCCAACCCCGATCAACGCGAAGATGAACAGCTCTTGGGGGTCGAAGGGAAAGTCCATGGTGAAATTGGTGGCGAACATGGCGGTGATGGTCTCCTCCCTCTGGAACCAGATGGCGAGGAGTCGGAACATGGTGGCCCCGCAAACGGCTGCGAAGAATCCCCTCCAGTAGTTCCTGACGGCGAAGTACACGGTGGTGACTTCGATGCTGAAGAGCACCCCACCGATGGGAGCTGCGAAGCAGGAGGCCACTCCGACCGCACAAGCTGCCGCCAGCATCTCGCAATTCCGGCTCTCGTTCTCGTAGATCCCCTGGAAGCTGGTAACCAGCTTGGAGAGCAGAGTGGCCACGATGCTGGCGATGTGGACGAAGGGACCCTCCTTGCCCAGGGGCAGGCCCGAGCCCAAAGTGGCGGTCAGACCTATCACCTTGGCCACCAGGGTGCGGAAGGTCAGGTACTCCTTGAGGGCCACTCCTCGGAGAATCGTCTTCATCTCCGGGATCCCGGAACCGATGCTCTGGGGCGCCACGATGTGGACGAATCCGGCGCTGAACAGGATCAGGCACACCGGGAGGGACACCCAGGCCAGATACTGCAGCGCTGGATGGGACGTGAGGTCCTGATACAGCCATATCCTGGCTATGGGACGAAAGAGGTGAGAAAACGCTACATCCACGGGACAAATGTATGCAACTGACCATTGTTGCACATGGAGATCCCTCGGTCCATGGCGTAGCTGATAAGAGCCATAATGACTCCCAGCAGAGCCAGGAAAACCCAATCCTCTCCGAGTCTGGCCCCCGTGTGTTTCCACGCAAAGGCCAGAAGGGCCAACAGCTTCCTGCATAACGGACCTCTTCTTGATTTCCTGAGCTCTTCGGCTCTTGCCTTGTCGAATCTTCTCCTGGACTTGTCGTGAGATCGTAACCTCCTGGCCTCTTCTTTCGCGTATTCACCCAGGTCCTTCGTGTACCGGCCATACATCTGAAAATTATTTCCGATTGGTTAATAGGAACCATATTCTATACTTCGATCTAATTCGAACATGTCCATCGCTATCGAGCACCATGCAACGAGCGACACTTTTACGAACGAACGATACTTGAAATGGCTAGTAAAAAGAATAAAAACCCTTGATGCGTTGTCGCGTTATTAATATCAATGCTAACGAACGATTCGAGCGTTAGGCAAACCTTACGAATCGCTTAAATTAATTTGACTATTTCCGTAATACAAAATGGGTGGGTCTACAGTCGACTGAAAATCTGTACCATCTTCTCTTCGTCCAGAGATAGATGTTGGAAAATATAGAAAACGTTTCCTCGGTCCGGGAACAAGCGCACACGTAGTCACTTACAACATAGTCATCGTTGCAGACGAAGTAGGCCCTGTTGAGAATGGTGGCCGGCATGGAGCCACTTCGGGCATTCAAGTCACCGAGTTCCCAGAGGCCGAGCGGTCCAACTTTTCGACCACCGAATCCGAATCCGAATCCGAATCCGAATCCGAATTCGAATCCGAATCCGAATCCGAATCCGAATCCGAATCGGAACCCGAACCCGAACCCGAACCCGAACCCGAACCCGAAGCGTCGCGACGCGTCGAGTCAGCAGGACTTTTCGAAAATCCACACATCCTCGACCCCTCTTTTCCGACCCTTTCCACGCCACTTTCTTTGGACGGATTGTCGAAATTGCCCTAGCATACTAGCATTTTCCAACCGCGACTCCCCCTCGATTAACCGCACTAACGTTATCGTTCTTACACGAATGTTCGTGAATTCAAATCGGAAGGATTAAACGCCATTCTGGTCATTTCTGTATAAGTTATAGGTTGCCGATCTAATTGCTGGATTTCGTGCAATTCCCGCGGATTGCCTATAATTTCGATTTCGCTTCGGCAATCCCAGTGAAACTTTTCACAGTTTTTATTGTAATTTAAATCAGTGTTAACTTAATCGACGCACATCAAACACCGATCACTGACACTTTTGCAACATTTGGTTTCGACCAGCACTTCCGATCGCGCATTTTCCTCATTTCTACTCATAAGGAAAAAAGAAACGAAAAAGAGATGGCCGAATCACGTTCGCAAGCCGAGTTACGAGACTCGAGACTGCGTCGTGACTCGTCTGGCTAGGTTGAATTTGTCGAAATTTGGCAGGAGCCAAAAACATTATTTTTAGACCCTAGCATAGACGGTATGGACCGTCCAATTGTTTATTCGCTGTACGATCGCACCAATAGCGCCGGTTCACCTCGGCGTCGTTTCATTAATTAGGGATAATAAATCACATTAATGAGACCTAAGTTAATTCTTTTAGAAAAAATTTCAACAAGCTATCGTCAAGTGAAATGAGTAATTAGAAAAAGTGAAGAAAAACTATCGTGGTGGGGTGATGTGGTAAATGTTATGGTATGATAATTATTTGATTTGCAGAGGGGCATAAAGAGAGGAGTAAGCAGATAATCTGATAAGATTCGTGTAGGTCAAGGAGATGGGAAGGTGAAAAGATTCTAGAGGTAGGTCAGGCACCCGGTAATTTGACGTCATATTGGGGCAACGCGACGCTCTGTATATACAAATGACGTCAATAATGACCAAGTCCTACTGGGCAATCAGCCGCGCGATTCTAATTTTAGTAATTGGATCTGCATAATTAGCGATCTCCCCTATCAATGGACCGAGGACCCAATCACGCGTTTCGTTCTACATCGAGAAAGCAACGCGTCGAGTGAAGAGTTAGTTCTCGTTAATTCAATTTATTCATTGCCCGTGATATTTCGGGAATAAAATCATGCCAAGGCATTCGTTTGTTTGTTTCGCTTGAAGGAAACAAAAGATACAATCCGAACGCAAAAAGCTCTGCCCGGACGGTCAATTGGTCGGTGCAGCTTTGTTCGTCGACTTTTGTCCACGCGAGATAATTCATGTGCATGCAAAAATTCAATTGCTGGGGCAATTTGAGCGCACGCAATTTGAGCGCTATGCCGGTCACGCGTGTCTCGTATCCGTAACGAGTGCTCGAGTCTCATTCGGTCGGGCATGAAATAAAGGCATCGCCTGTAGAAGTCCCCGGCGCCATTAAACGGTCGCGACTCGCGCGTCACCACCTGTAATTTCCGAACGGCCGTTTAAAGGGGGCGATTAGCGAAAATATTGAAAATATCAATTGGCACAATTACGTCACGCCAAAGGCGGCCTCGTCGCGCAATACCAGGTGACGTGACGAGGTCTTGGAGTGGTCATGTGAGGGACGCGCTCGGCCGCCATGTTGGCGACCTTCCAGGGATTTACGCGTGGAACCGTCGACAGAAAAGAAGGAGATTCGCTGCTTTCGTGTAATCGCGGGACTTCCGGAAGAAATGGAGGAGGGTCGCATGACAACGGAGTCACGAGGTCGGAGCGTTTATTTAAAATTCGCTCGCCCACTTGGCGAGGGTCCAAAGGTCACCCCTCTGGTCTGGTCTGGTCTGGTCTGGTTGCATTGCCGCAGTTTATGGCCCGTGTTGAGTCTCCCTCGAATTAGATTTGGATTCGGATTCGGATTCGGATTCGGATTCGTCACCAGTGGCATTGTGTTTTTCTTCGAGATTACACGCCGAGAGTGAAGAACAACGGAGCTATACAACGTTCTTCAATGCCGAACAACAATGCATGCCGGTTGCCAAAAAGAAATAATCGACGAATCGGTCCACGATGAGGAGAAACAATAATCCAAATATACCTTTGCATTGTTAATCACCATTCGTGTATACCACTGTACCTAAAGACATGCATTTATATGCTCCTATAAGCTACAAGAAGCAACGACACTTTGCAAACAATTGAAGATGATTTTCTTTCTCTCTATTGTGTGAATTTTATTTGTGTAAAAAACACTAAGTGAGAGGAAAAAATGATTTCCATGCAATCGTGCAAGGATATTCAAAAGTGTCCTTACAATCGTGTTAATGTAGTCGAACGGATCGAACTCATGTTGTTCCTCTTCGGGGTTCGGTGGAGGACACGGGTAGAATGCTTGCGAAGGTCTGGTGAGACACAATTCGAGATTTCATTTTTTCTCCAAAATCGAGAGGATGGGGAAAAAACGAGCGGCAGAGTTTAAATTTACGATCTCTAGAAAAAATGTAATCTCAAGATACGATGCCGATACGAAAGGGTCATTCCTTTGAAACGTTCATCGAGTTTCCGAAACCGCGAGAAAGCATACTCTGCAATAACCAACGGAAAGTTTATCAAAATTTGGAAAAAGAATAGGGTTGGATGAAACTATGAAAATTCACGGTAAAGCCGAGGTAGGTCCGGGTTTACGCAATACCGCAGTTTTCTTGTTTGAAAAACTCCGCCGCTCGTAGGGAATTCGTGATTTTCGAGATTTTTTAAAAAACCAGTACCTATGGGGGTGGTTTTTCCGATTCTCCTTCAGTTTCGCCATGAGCCTTGTGAACTCCTCCCACTCTTTGTCGACTTCCTCTTCGCTTCCTTCCGGGTGGTGATGGTGAAGGCTCTCTTCCAGTCTCTCCTTTATGCCTTGGCCCGCCATTTTTATCTTCGGCCTTTACTTTCTAGCACGATAAACCGTGGATTTCCCCCTCGCCTTAAACCAAAACTACTTCGGTCGTCGCGCCGATTCGGCGAAAGTCGGCGAAAGTCGGCGAAATGGGGCGGAGGGCGGCCATCTTGTTTTAGAGGGCGCGCTTTTTCGAAAATCGCCCGATGCCGGTGCGGGGGAGGGTCCTCGCGGACTGAAAAGGAGGCTCCATTGTCACCGTGGAGCCTGTGAGTCACACTGAGTGGAAACTCTGCTCCATCGGCGCACACCGCTGTCGGCCAATTTACCAGCTCGTTAGTCTGACCATTACGACTCGAAAGCGGCCATCTTGCCGTGCCGAGTAAATCGCGACTGCGGGTATGCAAGCGTTTGCTTTCTTCCGTTAATATTTATTTTCATAACATCTCGTTATCTCATTATCGTAATCTGGAAACTCGGATGTAAAGAGGTCACGTCGGAAGGGGACGCGAAGGGGACGCGAAGGGGACGCGAAGGGGACTCGAAGGGGACTCGAAGGGGACTCGAAGAGTGGAGATCGAAACGAGCGAATCTCTCGCTCGGACTGTACAAAGCTGTTCGGTAATTGGCCACTTCCACCGGCGAGGGCTCGTAGGAAGCTGACTTGAAAGTCACGAGTTATCATTGGCCGAAATGACCCACGCAATTTCTGCGATCTTAACGGGCCATCTCGAATTTCAGATCCCCCCTTCCTCTCGAGAGCCTACCGTCGAAAATGCTCTTTTATATCTTTCAGCAAAGAAATGAAGCTCTTCAAATCAATCGTTCCTTTAAGGATATCAGACAGGATATATCAGTCCGGAACTTTGACACGTGACTCGTAAGAACCTAAGAATTGATCCGACACTTTGAAGATTTCCATTTTTAATCGCAGATCGTTTTAATCGCGAGAGTTGAGCACCCATTCATACAATTAATCGAATATAATGCAATGGATTTTCATTGGTAAGTAGTGATTGAAAATAAAACCTTGCAGTGATGCGAGCTGGTCACGGAAGGTTGCAGCGAACTGGACCGCCATATCGTTCCATCTTCGAAATGTGAAGATCGGTCGACCAAAAAATACTCTTTCTTTTTGCCGAACATCCTAGGGGAGAGATAAAACGTTTTTTCGGAGGGCTTCCACGGCGATCCTTCTTTTCGGCAAACTTCTCTCACGACCGGTAATCGACAATAATGATCTGTGAAATACGCGCGGGCGAATGTTTGATAATCGTCTCCCGCGCTAAGGACTTTTCTCTCATTCTTTCAATCATATTTCGATTATATTACGATTACATTGCCATTACATTGCGATTACGTTGCGATTACGTTGCGATTACATTGCGATTCTTCGGGACGAAATATCAATTATTGCCGCATACCGCATTGAAAACTCGGAAACGGAAACTCGCGCGAACAGAAAAGTAAAGGGAGACGAGTGTTTACCGAGTTGATCCCGAACCGCGAAAGACGGTCGATCGATACGACAGGAATCGCGGATTTTCACGATACCGGCACCGACGATCGGAAGCCACTGGCACACTAGGGCATTTTTCCAACCGGCCCGAAGTTAGTTCATCTACTCGCGTAAATTCGGCCGAATGTTTGCGCCGGATTGTATATCGAGTGTTGCGTGTCAGAGATATCGCGGTAAGGACAGATTCAAAAGAGCCGCCATTATGCAAATTTGCAGACGAAACCGCGTATCTCACGCTGCAATATGGCCGCCACCGATACGCCGTGACAGATACAAATTAGAACATGGATCTCGTTTTTCTTTGCCAAATCAATGGTATCAACGCGACGCGATCTATTGTAGTGCAAAGTGTTTACTGTGCGGACGGAAACGTTCGATCTAATTTTGCGTCGGAATCTTTTACACGAGTTTTCTATAATTAGGATAAGAAAATGGCGGATGTCGGGAGGATGCAATTTACTGCTCATTGCGTTAATTAAAATCGACCGAGTCATTCCTGAGTGGTATAATATGTATCGAAAGTCTTCTTCACCGTTATTAATGATATATACCGAAGGACTTATAATACACAGTAGTCCGAAGTAAACCAAAGACATCGAATAATAACGCGTGACTCGCTTGCGTCAGGATTGACGATGACAAAATGAATCATTTATCTAAAAAATTAACGGCCGCGGCAAACCTATATTTTTCCCAAGTGAGCATCGGCCCGACAGTTTTCGCATTTAAATATTTGCCGATCGTCACGTGCTTTAAACGTTAATCAAAGCCTCGAGGGTGACGAGGGGCGGCCATTTTGAATTTCTCCAAATGAATGAAGGAATGGGAGCTGCAACGTCAACGATCATCCAGACTTTTCGGTGAGACCGCACAAATTATTTGATTAATGTGCTCTCACGTTACTCCCCGAATTGTTCATGACCAAACAAACGTACCTGAGCAAACTTATTCGATCACTATCCGAAACACAAATTTTAGATTTCTGGCACGTAGGTCGTTTCCATTCCGATCGAATTTTCGATAACAACCTTCAAACTAAGAATTTCGAGTTTCTGCGGGGGATTATGAAAATTGATAACTATCCTTTATAAAACGGTGTAAGTAAACGGTAAGAGAAAGAAGTAAGTAAATCGTATGGAGATTTATTTCGATTTATTAAATGTGCAGTTGAAATAATGGAGAGATGGATACCTCGTTTGAATCACGCGCCTCCCGAGTACTGCACCTAGTTTGTTTGGATATTTGTTCGAGCCGAGCGGCTCTCGAACCCTTTCCTCGGCTAGTTCCACGGATGTCAAGATAGGTTCCATGACCCCACGTGGAATTAGACTAGTGAATTAGTTAATGCGCGACATCAAACAGCTATGAATCATCCAGCTCGAATGCACATCGAGCGTGCGATTGCATTTCGGCCAGGTCGTTTGTCCAATTAAGCTTCTTTCCTGTTTAGTCTCGTCGTAAAATGCCGCCTATTGTCGCACGGAAATTAAGCCTTCACCTTCCGCCTCGCGCGATTATTCTACTCGAAGTGATACGTGTCGCCGAAAGAAAAAGAAGAAAAAGAAGAAACAGAAAAAATGAGGAAAATTATAGACGCAATTTATTAAAGAAATAATGAAATAACCACACCGGAGGTAAATTCAATTCATTTCCCATGCACTATGCCGTGCAAGTGTGCCGTGTTTTTAATTAAAGGATTTCTCTTTCTACATACTAGCTATCGAGATACCGCTGCGTTTCTTCCGATTTTACGGACGCAAAAAGGCCGGAGGCATTTCGAACTTTCTTTCTTGCGATGCAGAATGCGGATGCGAATGTCAGTGAGCTGAATTTATCGGTACTTTTCCCTACGACTGTACGCACTAGTGTCAGCTTGTTAAAAGCGTGCCAAGATTTTTCGCGTGACCGATCAAAGATTCCAACTATAGGCGCCGCAAGCGTCGCCCGAGGAAAGTTGGCGATACATCCAACTATTGGAAATTGACATTTCAACAGCTTTTACGTGATAGAGGGTAATTCCTCCCGTATTGAGAGAATTTTGCCCCCATTAAATATTGTCCAAGCTTTCACGTGACCAGTTAATGCACATCCGATCTAATGGGCAGGCAAAAGTACCGATCAAGTCATTGCACTCGTTACACATGTATAAACCTACTACACCGTAAAATAACATGTCCGATATTTCCTATTAACCAATAACCTTAAAATTGAACTACCCCTTACTTCTCTAAAACAATTACCGTTAAAAATCAAAAATACAAAATTGAACGCGATCCTCGCTGAAATAGAGATTTTACATTAAATGGCTTAAATATAATTGAAAGGAAATGTTGAAAGTACGGAGACGGTTGCAGAACTTTCTTCCTGGATTTATTGAATCGCTGTCACGTGACTGTCAAGTGCACTCGCGATCGGACGATTGCACAGTAAATTATGCTAATGCCGTACGCAAGGCGTTAAGCAATGCTAATGCGCGTATTCCACTTTGGAGGTTAGAACGAGCGCACAGGCTCCTCTGAAACATTTACACTCTTTGCGCGTCCTTCACCGAGGCGTAGCTATTACATCGCTCAAAGGAGGCCTGGTAGACTAGATTCCTCTCGAGAAACAGGAAACTAGGAAAATTCTCGCGAATACGTCAAATTAATCAGTCCTTCGAAGTATTAACGTGTTCACGTATACGCTAAAGGACGTTTACACCCCAGTGAAACGTAATTTAAACGTGATCGACCACGGACTACGGGAAGAGGGGAGGGTCTTTCCCCCTTCTTTCAGCCGGAGAAGAAGAAGCCGGTAAACAAGGTTATCGGTGGCAGACGCTACGTCTGCCCCCGCGATAGGCCAATTCTCCAGAAATATCGGGCCGCCATTTTCCTTTTCTCGCGCAAGGAACGCGCATTTTTAACTACTTCTTTTTAACTCGGATCGGACAGTCGGCTGAAAATGACCAATTGTCGTCCATTGTTCCGCAGTATTTCGCATTAAGCATCCAATTTCCATTCAAAATGGATGAGAAGAGTTGTGCAAGAAACCGCAGGTCGAAAACTTCCCAGAGAAGGAAAGTGAAAAATCAATCGGGAAAGCTCCAAAAGGGGCAGGGAAAAATAAATGAACCCAACGATCGATGATTCGCCTCGATCCGACGAGGTGAGTCAAGGTCGCCATCTTAGGTTGACCATCGGTACCGCGCCCGTTGCGTCATCGCGCGACTCGCGTTTCCAACGAATTATTGAATTACACGGGAAAACCCGATCGCAACGTTGCTTTACCGATCACATGATATTTACTTGGCATCGCAGCTAAGATTAGATTATAAGATTACAAAATATTTGACGTAGACCCGCCACCGGAAGAGGACCAACCCAAGGAGCCTTTCCAGCATCGGAGCGACCCGGAATATCTGCGCCGATGAAGACGTGCCGAAAAAATGTCAAAGCTTCGACTTCCCAGTAGACGCATCCCCGCCACCCCTTCTAACGAGTCCCATCTCCCGAACCCCCAAGTTCTTCGCCATCTCCCTGGACTCCTCGATCTGATTCTCGTGATAGGAAATCCCCCCGTCTCTGTCCACTTTGGCCATGGCCTGTCTCTCCGGATCCCCGGCGACCATGACCCTCTTCCCCGTGTTGGGAAGATCCCTGAGCTGTTGGAGCAGATGATCCAACCTCCGTCGGTGCCCTGGGCCGAACGCTTCCGGATTGACGGCGATGAAGCAGTGCCCCAAATTGGCCACCTTGTCTCCCGTGTCCCAGAGTCTGATGTTGGGGCCGTAACTGCTTCCGCCGAGGACTCCGCACAACACTTCTACGAGAAGGGCCAAGCCAAAACCTTTGTAGCCAGAGTTCTCTTCCGCTCCACCGAGGGGCATCAGCATTTTCGTTCGATAGGCCAATTTGGCGTCCGTGGTGGTCCTTCCTGCCGGGTCCAGGGCCCAACCTTCCGGAATGTCTTGTTCCTTTCGAATTGCCAGTTGTATCTTCCCCAAAGCTACGGCCGTGGTGGCCATGTCCAGCACGAACTGGTCCCGGTCCGTTCCCATTCCCAGCGACATCGGATTCGTGCCCAGAGCTGCTTTCGTGCTCCTCGCGGGAGCCATCAAGGGACTCGTGTTCGTGCACGTGAACCCCAACATTTTGCGTTCCATGGCCAGAAGAGAGTAGTAACCGCAGATTCCGTAATGATTAGACCCTCTGGCTGCCACCATACCTATTCCGAACTTTTTCGCCTTTTCTATGGCCAGCTCCATGCAGAACTTCCCTATCACTTGGCCCATCCCGTTTTTTCCATCCACCACTGCTATCGCCTGGAAGAGTAAAATTCAACTTTCCATTTCAAATGAACGCTTCTATGAAGAACTGCGAGTGGAAGTGCAAGAATAGCGACCCCTAAGATCAAGGAAAACTGCACAATTTTACGTGGTCTAACCCTACGGAGTGACCATAAGACTCGAATAAAAGACCACCGATTACCCGATTTCGTTATCACCGAGCACTCCAAATGTGATATCCACGGGTTATGTCACGAAGGCCGTCGTCGTCAAAGCGTTATCTCGTGTACAGAGTGAATATTCCCGCCGTTTTCCCAGTTTGTTTAAGTGTCCCCAATCCCAAGGTGTCTCGATTTTCTCCAGGTAGAGAACATTCATAAATGGAATGATCGACTTAACGAACGGAACGACAGATTGTCGAATATTTAAGGAGACCCATGCCTATTCAAATCTTTATAATCACGGTTTCTTTACGTTAGTCTCCGATTTGCACTTTTATTCGTTAGGGCTCGCGATTTTCCTTGGCCAGCGAGATATTTTAAAAAGGAATCAACGACGACGTTAATGCGTATTTTCTAGTAGCACGAGCAACCGGAGGGTAATAATCGTTAAGGACGAGTCATTGAAGCGTCTTATCGGGTCATCGGACTTCGCGATGATTGCGAGGGTATCATCGAGGCCTCCAATTGAAGGCAACGAGTCGGTCCGTGATAACTTCATGCTATGATTTCATCTTTAATTCCACATCAAACGTCATTCCGATCCCAGTTACTCCCGTATCAAAAATGTACACCCAAAAAATGTAAAATTAATCCCGTTTGAAAAAGAAATAAATAATACGTGACATCACTTTGAAGACCTTCCCCGTTAAATCTAGCAGGAAAAGAAATATTGACTTGCATTTAATGGAAGTTTTAATTAATTACAAGCGATAACCCTAACTTTTAATTGAGGTCATAGCTGGAGCGCGTTTCACGGAAAAATCGACGTCCCTGACGACGGTTTATCAAAACGGAACGATCAATCGATACATGAATGTCACGTTGAGGTTTCTCACGATCAAGATTAGTACGAGCCGCTCTTCCTAAACGACAAACTCGAGTTCGGGACGAGGGATTCAAATCGCCTCCTGGAGACGGCGGGCCGAACCTGGAAGTCGACGACGACCTCTGGCCGACCGGCGGGGTCGGTGACTTTCTTCTGGACGTCCTTGACGTACATGAAGACCCTGTTCATGCCGTGGCTAAAATGGCCGCGGTAGTCGGCGGTCATCAGGTGGTGGCCCACGACGTCGGCGTCCCGGGGACTCGCGCCGACCTTGCGGAGGCAATCGGCGACGAAGCGGACGACCTCCTCCTTCGGGACGACGAGGTCGTCGTGGCCCTGGCTCAGCGTCCTGGCGACGGCCATCTTGGTCCCCAGCGGTCCGGCCGTCGCCCGGGCGATGGCGCCACACAGGCTCGGGAGAAGCGAGCGCCCGGTTGCCATGTCGGCCACTCTCGACCGTCTGCGCGCCGGGCGCCACGGTCGGCCAATTGGGGTGGCGCGTCGCGACGCTGGCGCCGCGGCGGCCCTCCGCGCATCCAGCGCTATCCAGCCTTATCGCTCGAGGCTCCCCGATTATCCCTCTTGTAAATGTAACGCTCCGTTCGCAATCTTAGGTCGCCCGAGAACAAACGAGACTACGATGACCCGCGAGAGAAGCTTGAAAATGTTGCGCCGTTCGATCTTCCAGCTTATGGGGAATGGCGTCGCTTAAGGCCTTCTTAGATATTTGTGGCACGACGCTAAGAACTGGTTTGGAGTATTAATGGCCATGGAAAATGTCTCGTACGCGAGGTTGGGTTTTGGGTATAATGGGGTGGGGGGGGGGGATTTCATTTAACCTTAATACGGCAGAATAAATAGTCCCAAGATCCGTATCACCGTAGATTATTAATGTCGCGTCCTGCACATACATCGAAGGCAAAGATCCAGTTATAGCTGGCAAAAAGTGCAGTCGTTACTGTCAATATTTGGCGTTTTATCATCCACCTTTTACGGCCGCGGCGCGGACGCAGCCGCCATCTGTGAGAACCCCGTGGTACTTTTGGCGATGGAAAAGGTCGCCACTTTGAAGCGCTTAGCGTCCGTCTAATTTGCTCGCCTCGACATTTCGCGTGTCCCTTCGGGACTGCGAGATGGGAAGAGGAAGGGGAAGTCTGAAATACCGCGCTTTACATAAAATCCTGACTTATGGCGGCAGTTATGGACTCGCCATTACTCATGCGGCGTGAAATATCGCGGCGCGATGGCAGAGAGATGACGACCTTGCACTTGCGCGTGCAACATTGCGGAAACGTTGCAGCAAACTTCGCAACAACAACACCGTGTATACACGACTCAAATTGTCTAGTACTATAAATTGTGAAATTTCAATCTGCTCCATGTACCCAGTTCGAAGAAAATTGTATAAACGATTGATTTCTTAGACGTCACTTTCGTATCACCTTAATGTTGAAAATAAAATGAGTAATGAATACCCGGTAATACGTATAATGCAGCAGCGCCATAAAGTTACGAGCACGTATATAAAAAAACGTTTCATGGCGCGAACTGACGAGAAGCGGTGACTTGTCCGCGTAGCGATTCGATTAGAAATGAATGGAGCACGTGCACAGGGAATATCGCGAAAGTGCAATTTACGAGGATAGGTCGGAAGTAAACGCCCTCGTGAGGGGAATATGGGCATCCAGCCAATAGGAACGGAGGGAATCGTAAATCTGTCACGGCTTGAGAGGCGAGGATGCATAAAAAATAGTCATTTCTTCGAACTACTTGCAATCGCGGTCTTGAAAGTTTCGAATTAAACGACCGAATGAATCCTACTTATCTATGCCGATAAACGTATAATGCTTGTCAATTCTAATTACGTAGCCCAACCGAATTTTTGGGGAGCACGCGAGCCGCCATATTCAATTGGCAGGCAACGTACGACAATTTCCTGGAAGGTCTTTCTTTCCTTCTTAAGCCAACGACGCATCCTATATCTTTCAACGCGTAAAAAGATCCACCTTTCGATAGATTTAAGGTGATATGAAAGGGTCATTCCAAATACCGCAAGTTATGTGTTTATTGTCGAACCGCTATAAGGAGGATCCTGGAGTGAGCCGGAAAATGTAATTTTTATCACCGACGCGAAAGGTCGGATAAAAAAAAATTATTGCAATCGCGCACTTCCGTGATTTCTGACGATAATTACGGATACTAGTTTTTATCGCCGCGCGCGATTCAACGGCGCTTCCTTGATAAGGACAACTGAATGAAAAAGCGTTTCATGGTTTTGTAACGTAGCTAAGGGTGATTCGTCGCAATCAGAGCTGAATATTCTTCAAGATATTTCATCGTAATCAGATGTGTGATCAAAAGCACTCGAGATATCGCATTCTTCCTTGAAGTTTCTTGAAGGATGACGTACCGAGCCTACCCAACTCTGGATTAAGTAATCCCGCCGCGTCGGGGTAAACACCCGTAGTAGGAGTCGCCGTTTCTCCTGTACCGGAAAACCAGCTTCGAGTCATTTTTCCTTTTTCCCACGCGGAATCACGTGCCGTCACGTGCCGTCACGTGCCGTCACGTGCCGTCACGTGACCAGGTCCTGAAGCTACTTTCACGCCTCGTCACCTGACGTGTTTATTAGTCAGCATCATGCGAGGTTATGTTAATGACATCGGTGGCATCAGTCCGCCGTTTAATCGGGATTGATCCGAACTCCTACGCAAAGCGGTCACGTGCCGAGTGACTTCACAACTCGCTTTCTACTCTGAAGTTGGTCGCGAGGTCGGAGGGGGAATTTCTTTTCAACGGACATTGAGATTTTTTTTCCTTATGCGATCGTCCGTTTTTGTCTTGCTAAGGTTCACGAAAATCGCCATTTGGGGAAACTTTTGAGGTTATAGCGAAGAGGGGTGTTCGGTTTCCGAAGTTTTGAGGTTAGGGTCAATGTAGCCGGAAAGTCGGTTCAAATGTTCCGCTTCCGGTAGACGACTATTTTCGAAACGGAGCAGGGCCTCGGTCGCGGAAAAGTGAAAATAGACTCGCATCGGGCCGCCATTTTTCGGCTCGAAATCGCTTCGCTTTGGCCAAAGAGATTCTCCCCTCCTGATCGACCATTAACCCCTTCGAATTGCGCTTCCCGCGGCACCATCCGATCGAATTCGCCCATACGTCGGAAGAGCTTAGCGCTCAAAGGGTTGATAGCATAATGACGAAAGAAGCGAATCGTCCCGCTGCTTTTTCCACATACTTTGCACGGGAAGAGGAGAAAACAGAAAACGACTCACCAATGTGTTCTGGTACCCGAGTCCGTAATCCTCGTTGACGATTCCACCAGGAGACGCCATTTTGGATGCGAACTGGTTCTGCAAATGGCGGCAAACGGCGGCTCTCGCGAACTTCGGAGCCTCGGCAAGAGGAAGTCGACGTGGCCGCTTTTATTTCAAACTTGGAGCATTTCTAGGTTCGTCCCGATTCTTCCTTCCTTTGCGGAAAGTTGAATTTCGAGTCTCTTCGGCGATTCGATCGGAGCTCGAGCGAACTCCCGTCGACGAGTCCGCGCCCTCTCGCAGTCAAGGCCGAGGAGGGACGCCGAAGAGGATCGCGAATTCGAGGTTATGTCCGGTCTCGTCGAGCTCCGCATCCTTTCCTTCCCCGGCAACAAAATGGCGGCATGGACTATCTCGGTGCCCGCCGTTCCGTTTTATCGGTTCTCTTGCCCATCTTCTTTCCGCGTCGTCTTCGCGCTCCTTTTCTTCCGATGCTTGCTGGAAACGAACGGAAAATACAATTCATTTTCTCTCTCGTATAATCACGTAACGAGCCAATTATTAAGTTTAACCGATATCAGAAGTATAATGGAGAGAAATGCGGAACAAAAAACGCATATTGGCCAATCGCGAACCGCGTTAGAAAGAATGCAATAAAACGCGTTAACGGTGATTCGTCAACCGTTTACACTTTTTACCAACCTCTGTCCTTCCATGATCCAGGGCGAATGGAAAGTAAACGGTAGGGTCAATGTTTCAAGATTCTGCATTGACCATGTACCGTTTATAGCTTGTAGCTTAATAGAAAATTAACACGTGTAAGGTGATATGAAAGGGTCGTAAGACGTCAAATCACTGATAAAAAAAAAAAATTTAGAGTCCAGGGCGTTTATCTCTTTCGACGGTACAATGAAAAATAAACGATAGGCCTATTATGATCCCTCTTCAAACTCCGGAGATTTGAAGAAATTGCAAGATTCAGTGAAACGAAACGCACATAACGGACTAGAGTACTCGCGTTGACCAGGAATGTGGAATGACAAAGAGTAAACCTACACTCGTCCGATCGTTCGTCCCAGTCGACAATGTTTACATTCCGAACGAGCATGCTTTTTATGGCATTCTTGCTGTCGAGTAGGCGAACTAGTTGACTGTTTTCGGAGTACGAAACTTTAAGAATTCCCTCAAACTACGATCAAATTAATATAAACAGAGAATCTATCAAATCACAGTTATGCCATTGAAATTTTCTTCAATTTCGACATTTCGTCGGCATGTCATTTATTAGTGAAACGAATTCTGATAAGCTGCGAATAATATTGGCGAGGTACATATCCGCGAAATTGCTGTACTTCTATATCTACCTTTTTTGAGAGTCATAAGACAATAGGCACATTTTTAATCACAATTTTCCTCCAAGTTTTCGCACTCGCCGCAGATGAAAAAGAATCATTCCGAAGTTGCTTTACCCTTTAATAAAGATTTCGCGGCGAAAGGTCGCTGATAAACATTCTATCGGAAAAAAAATATTTTCAACCAGCCGAGTATTATTCTGGACGGATTTTGAAATGCGCGGATACCGTTGTCTTTGCGTCTCAACTTGCAAAATTGCACGTTACGTTAAGTTGCATGCTAAAATCATTTTACTTTAATTCTTGAAATTAAGAAAAATGCAAAAAAAGGGCCGACAGTCTGGGGACAAACTGGCATATGGAATAATAACAATTTGGTATAATTAAGATCAATATGTACCTTATGAAGATAATCTGCCCATCAGTCGAGGACTTCTAATTTTCCGGACACACGGACACTGGTCACTTATCACTGACATCTTTCCTCCGTAATTTCCTCCATAAGGAAAAGCGTTAAGAAAAATGGACTAACCCTTCCTATCGCAAAATCAATCTCACAATAAACGAACTAGTTTTATTTAATCCCCACATCACCCCAGTCATTTGACGACCGTCCGAAATCCCGGAAAATTCGGTTTATTCCCTCCTCCGATTACCCCTCAAATTGCACGTCCAAATTTTCAATTCCAAATTAAACATCTTATCCGACGACATTAAAATTCCCACGTCCGTTAGAACGGGAGAATGTCGCGATAAACGTAAAGTGCGATCCGCGCGTTACGAGAGAGGACACCGGGTCGGAAGTTACGAAAATTTGTAGGTTAGGTTCAAGATTCTCGAAAGTGAAGAAGAAGAAGCCGGGACGCGAAACCGACGAGACAGTCCGCCCTGACGTCCGTCAGACGACTGATAGGTGCATGAATGAAGCGCCGTGATTTCCCGGGGGTTTCGCGCGAAAATCATAAATCTCGTCCACGAGGCCGCGATCGGGAGGGTTCGGAAGTTTCCGGGGGGCCTCGGGGCCGGCCGGGCTCGGCCGAGCGCTCCCATTGGTCGAGCCGCCGGCTCGACGCGATTCCATTGGAAGTGGTCGGCACAGAGGGAGAATGACCCGATTAGCGGTAGACTGCCGGCGAATTTTTTGACTGTGGTGGCCCATTTAAAACCAGTCATTTCGACTGGGACGGGTGGTCTAGTGTTCAACTTCGACCCGGAAGACGACAATTCAATGAGGGATTCACTTCGGAGGACGGTGGGGGTGTCGCCATTGTGAGCGTCGAGAAATGTGAGTTTCATCATTCTTTGTATAAGCCAACATTTGTTTAAACAAAGTATTTAACATAGCAAAATTGTGGATTAAGGAGAGATACACTAAGGTCAAAAAACGGAAAACGAAAGTATAAACGTGATAAACATCCTAACACGCTGCCAAACCCTGGCTTAAAGGGGAACCAACCCAAGGTCAATAAAACATGCATTTGTTTTCGTTACACTGCCCTCCGGAATTATTTCTTCTTGATAACTGCCTCAAAAGAATCTCCCCTTTATGCATAATTTCGTATACTTCTGTTCTGGAACATGGGAAGAACTTTTTCTTAAAGTCCTGTGCTTAGAAAAGTGATATACAAAAATAAGTAACATATGTCGAGTTATGAAGGAAGAAATTGCAGATGGAATAATAGGCATTCTTGGATATGTTGGATTGTACTTTCGCGCTTTCAATTTTTATATGAACATTAATGTGTAGGACTGTACTTCAGTGTTTAGATGTATGGTACGATACCGTTGTTACGTTTTTATTATGAATACAAGGTCCACACGCTGAGGGTGTAACTCTTGTGATATTAAAGATCGATATATAAATTTTATTTAACTTGAATAAGTAATTAATATATATTCAATTTTTTTTTATCAGACATGGACCATTTCTTGAGAAGTATCTTTCTGCTTGAGTAAATTCTATTCCATTAATAATGATTTATTCCATAAATTATTACTCAAATGTCATGTACGGAAATGTATTAACTGTTTTGTGACGTTATTTGAATATATTAAATCTTCATTGCAACTTATTGAATTACTCCGATAGTAACAAGAAACTTCACCCTTAAATTAAAAAAAATATAACTTAGGCTTAAGAAGGACGCCAGTTGACTCATGAATATTTATAGAAAAAAAAGACGCACATTCAATTATTAGAAAAGTATATCATATATTAAACGTTATCAATTGTAAACAGCATTTCAGTACATACAATTCCAAAAGTTAGAAATATATTACATTACTGGAAGCTCTTCTCAATTGAACAATTTTTAAAAAAGCTTATAGTTTAATGTTCACAATATCCGCAGCGTAACAATGTTCAAGATAGGAAATCGCAAAGGAATAAAATGCACATTGACACAATGGAGACAGAATACCATATGTGAAGCATCATCGATAACATTATGGTACAATAATTAATATTGTAACGGCAAACTATTACTTGAATTTGGCTGCCACACATTAACAAATCTTTTACTTTACCGATACAAAAATCAAATGTAATTATGATATCTATTATAGATGCATAGAATTGATCCCAAAATGTTCGTTTGGCATCCCAAGTTTCCATTCCTGTTCTAATTAATACTGGGCTTAAACAAATTGTGCGCTCAAACGATATTAAGCTTCGCAGGAACACCGACAAGGCTTCCAAAATAAATTGACACGATCGATTGTTACAGAACGAACATTGAGCATTAATGACACTGCAGTTTTGTAGTTCTTTCTTGACCCTGCGTAGGTATTGACTTAATCTAACGGTGAAGGTTGTCAACTGGTGCGGTACAGCATCTGTTGCCTTTGGTGTCGTCTTTAATTACCTCCGCTGGGTGTATCAGAGCTGGGTAATGATGATACTGTTGAAAACATTTGACATTATATTACTGTTTATTATAATAACATAGCTACAGTAAGCAAAGTAAATTTCGATCATGATAATTACTAGACTACACATATATTTTTCATTTTTAATTATTTGACGTTATAAGTTGAATCGGAAAGTCTACCGTAATTTGTGTTTGTAACACTCATACTCACCAATAATGATAATTAAGATGACGACACAAATAATACCAATGATTATCATCATTTTGAGATTTTTCCACCAATATTTCCGCTTCAGTTTTCCTGCATGTTGTTCAAATTGCGCCGCGCCTTGTTGAAGAGCGTCTGCTCGATTATCCAGCTCTGAAAGTTTCTGATCTCTCTCAAGGACTTTTTCGACGTTAACTTTCATTATGTCTACTATCTCGTTGACTTTCGCCTGTGTCTGGTGTAGCTTCTTTGAAGAAAAACCTTGCTGTGATGTTCTTGGCCCTCCCAAATCATCGTCTCCGGAATATCCTCCGCCGTCCATGATTCTGTCAAACGAAAAATTATAAATTTTAAAGATTTTATATTGAAGTATATATCATTATGAAAAGTACATTATAACTCCAGAAATGTGTACTGTTCATAAATCTTTTCTCGGGAACACGCCCATTACCCCAAAAATACTTCTTACAGAATATTCCAATATTTCCACGTAACTAAATGAGGCGCAAAGTTCATAAATAATATAGTTTCGTGTGAAAGGACAATCATTTTCTGAAAGAACAATTCGTTCCCACCTAAACATAAAAAATCAATAGTTTGCACTTCCATTTGACGTCTAATGCGTTCTTACTTCATCATATTAAGAACTTAATTAATACAACTGTAGGGTGCAGCTAAAGGAAGATTATTTATAACAAAGCCGCAACAATTGTACTTACACAACTAAAGAAAAGAGGAATGCAAGGGTTACAATAAACTACGAATAACCGTAATTAGTACTGGCCGATCGAACAGAATGAATACAACCCGATTTAAAGATGGCGATCGATGATGACGGTCGGAGAACTCGTGATGTCACGATTATTAATCAAAATGACGGGATCTCGCTTAGGAATTATTAATACTAGTCTTATCAAATCATCTCGTCGATCATTTTCAGAATTCATAGCTGAAATGCTACATAATTTGCTTGAAAATATTGAAGGATAATTTATCCCGATATATATTTTTGTTTACCACGAAATTTCCATGAGGTTTGAAAGCGCTTCGAGCGCCATCTTCGCGGAAGGATATGAACTAACGCTTATCGATAGAGTAGCGTAGGTAAAACAGAATGGGTAACCAATTAGAAATTACTAATTCAACAATTATTTTTAATTCGCTTCTCAATTTGGACTACCGAGTTATACCCACGTGTTCTCACAATTATTGCACTAATATAGCACTCTTTTACTTAAATAACGTTAGTAGTTACAAATAGTAACATTAAATCCACCTCGGCGAAGTTATAACCATCATTTAGAGTAGTTAATTCTCTTAAGAATCGGTGACGTGTTATAACGTAAATATTCTAAGCCTGAAAAAGAGTTACATAGTCTATTTAATGACGCCATCTTTTAAGTACTATAGAACGGAGTTAAAGGAAATCAATACTTCAACTTGAACCCAAAGTAAGGGGTCGGTAGACCTTATTAAATGGTTTCTACATACGTTTACCACGTGAATTTATTCAACGGTATTTATCCAATTTCTTTTAATGGTTTCTACGCATGTATACATAATGAATTTATCCGGTTGATATTTCTATATTATATTCGTTAGGAGTAATTAATAGTATTAGTATATCTTCAGCCCCTGCTCTACAGTTATTCAATATACGAAGGTCTGCATTAAGATAAAAGGACTGACGGAATGGATCTATAAACCTTGATCAGTGTTTATGTGTTTGAACATTTCTCTAATATCAGAATTAGTTAAAAATTTGTCGAAAGTATAACGGGCTACATTTTATAATGTAGAGAGCCGAACATAAAATACATAGAAAACAAATAGAATCAGGCGGTAGGAAAGAAAACTGACAGTTCGATCTAGGGGCGGGATATCTAACGAACATCTGTCAAATAAACGAGGGAACACAAGAAGACACATTCAGAGAGTCGGAGAGATAGGATTCAGCCTTGTTCGGGTCCTGGCCCAGTTACGTAGCTGCGCTTTGGTGCAACAAGAGCGAACCGCGGACGCAAACGTTAAAGGAAAAAGCGCGACGAGGGGAGGCGAGGGGAATGACTCACCGGTCGCCATTTTCGAGCAGCGGACGATGTCCATTTCGGAAGGGAGCTCGACGAGGAACGTCCTCGTCGGAGGACGAAGTGCACCTAGAGTGTCCTTCTCGGTGGGCATAAATAAAATATCTCCAGGTTTCGGTGGGAATAACGTATATATCCCGGGTTGTTTGCGCCACCGAGGTTCTCGTGCAGGTGGGCGGGGGAAGCGCGTTATTGACTGGCCGGCGACGCGTGCGCACGGTGGCCATTGAGTGCGCCCAAGAACGACGCCGTGGAGCGTCGCGACGTCCGCGATATTCGTCGATCGCTCGAGGCGACTTCGAGTTCACGTCCGCGGAACCGATCCCCGTGGAGTTTTCGGAAAAAGGGCCTACGAGGTTGGAGAGATCCGCTTCCGAAGTCGCGAGGTGGACCGCGCTCGCGGCGGACTTCAAAGCCGACTCCGCATTCGAGGCGAGATATCGCGAGATCCTGCGATAGAGCTTTAATGCCCGAACACTGCTCGGAAATTTATCAATACTCCAGGACCTAGTCGGCGTCGGTACTCGCTGCGAAAGTACGCGCCCTAAGGAGACGAGCCAAGCCCATCCGCCTGCGAAACTTCCCCGAAGGAAGTCGAGAGAGATATGTGAGTTTCGTTTATATTATTTTCGACGTGCTTCCAGCCCCTCCGATTACGTGATCGATACGCTCAATTCTACTTGGCGTTCTTTTTCTTGACAACGTTTTCGCCATTTTCCTCGGACGTGTAATGATACCTTTTCCTACGTGCAGGATTATTAAATAGTGGAATCGTTGCAGAGTTATCTAGAACTGTGTAGGGCTTCTTTTAGAGAAATATTACTTCTTTCTGGAGTGGGTGTTATCTCGATACTTCGGGTGACGTTAGGGGCGTTACGTGGCTACGTGGAAAAAGGAAACTCGTATCGATCGTCGACATGATCTTTTATGGTACTTTAATAGTACTTTTAACAGTTTTTTGCCGTTCATTTTTTACGGAATGTAGGGATTTCAAGTTTACCGATAAATCATTTTAAATGATCATTTGCGTTGCCGTCGCCTTGAGACAGGGTCCCGAAATATACGAGCGATAACGTCTACATAAATGTCTTCTTCCGAGGCATGAAATGGACAAGGATAAAAGCACACCAAAGTCGGCCATTTCAGCCTTTCGCTGTGTGTGAGTTTCCATGACGTCAGAGTAGAGGCACAACACCGTCGAGATGCATGACGTCACATCCATTCCCCTCTTTCGCCATTTTTGTGCCCGCACTCCTTCCTGGAAGCTCGTTTAGCCCTTTTCGATTGTCAGTCATTTCATTCGACGAGCTTCCTGGATATTAATGAAATGAATTCGGGAACCATTGAAATCGGATTAGTTTAGTAGTTGCTTTCGGCAGGATTGGACGGGAGCGCGGTTGCAACGATTTACGGTACTCTACTTTCTCGGTTTTCGACTACCACGAAATTAGAAAAGGGTGATTTTACAATTGCTGAATAGCATTTTCACCCTTTTAAACATTTTTAGAAACTTTACCTCTTTATTAGGGATCGTTCCAAGATCTCGAACGCGATCACGGTTATTTTATTACACGAAAGGTGTTTCTTTTGAGTCAGTGTATCTATTTAAAGGACTTTCTAGATTGGTACAATGGACTTGAGAATAATTGGAATAGGATCGGCACGATGGACGCGTTAGATAGGGACAAACGGAGAATGCAGCGCCATACAAAAGGAATTACAACGTTGTATATTTTCGCTGAACGTCGTAAAGTGGTAAAATGTTTGAAACGAATCGGAGAATACTTTCACCGACGATTTGACCTCTCGGATATACATAGGCCGTCTCTTTCGTATCACCTTAGTTAAAGAGTGAATTAGAAATGCGATCAATTGGGCCGCAGTTCGGAGCAATCGATAGCGCGCTTCTTTGGGTTTGGCGAAGTCTCGGTCCAATCCGGAGAGTCGATAGGTTACATGTCATGTGTCCGCAGTTCTATATTTAGATAATCAATGGCGGACCGCATATTCGCACCGACGTCGTGCGGGCCGACGAAAGGGCCAGAGAAATTAAAAGGGAGGCCAGGTGACCTCTTATACGTCGCCGAAGCCTGGTCTTCCGAGAGCTCCCACGCGATTAACCCCCGCGCCATCATACCTTTCCTCTTCGGGCATCGGTGACGAAGTCGGCCCACGAGTTGCCCTTTTCTAGCCTCCCTGGGGACTATCGATTGCACATAGGTCGAGTTGGCCATTTTCACCGCGACTCTTTGTTCTTCCATGGAAATCTACGAAGTCCGTTTGATCTCCCAGACTATTAAACCGCTTTCGTTCGTTCCAGGGCCACAGAGGGCGGTCTTGCACCCGATGCCGCGGCGGCCGGCGCCGGATCGGATGGCATCGTCGGCGGACCCCGAACGCCCCAGCAGATCGCCTCGCAAAAGCGCTTGCAGCAAACGCAAGCCCAAGTCGACGAGGTCGTCGACATCATGAAAACTAACGTCGAGAAGGTCCTGGAGCGGGATCAAAAGCTCTCGGAGCTCGACGACCGAGCTGGTAGGTTTAATCGACTTGACGGAGAACTGGCCAGAGTTCAAACATCGATTCGATAAAATAATATTTTCCCAATAAAAGCGGAATGTTCGCATCTCGATATTGGTCTCTTCTCGGTAGTCATGTCATTTTGCTATCACCGTTATCGTAGCGAGAGTGATATCGCTACGAGGCAAGTTTCCTGCACAAAAAGACAAGGCTTAATCCGTTGCATGGGAGAACGGAAAATAATACCGATGAATCTCCTGTGTCGATTTAATTTAGACTCTTTGTTTGTCGGCAGATGCTCTTCAGCAAGGCGCGTCACAATTTGAACAGCAAGCCGGAAAGCTGAAGAGGAAGTTCTGGTTACAAAATCTGAAGGTAAACGGACCGATATACTTAAACTTCTTCAAAATAATCGCTTCCGGAGAATTTGATAACTAACGTGAAATCACTTATTTTAATAGATGATGATCATCATGGGCGTCATCGGACTTATCGTATTGGCCATCATCGTAGGTAAGTAATATTCCCAAAATTTCATGGCTGCCAAGACTGTCGACATAACTGTTAATTGTTAAGAAATCAATGTTCGGTGTACTTTGATGTACCTCGTCATGTTTTCCAGAGACGCATTCGGAGTTCTCCATCCTTTCTAACCCTAAAAACGTTTGAAACATCGGTAACTTTAATTCTCTTTACGATTGTCGGGTGAATCAAATCTTTTTTATAATAATCTTTACATACGATTGCATTTGTAAATAAGAGTGGGACATTTTTGTACCTTCCTCTGGGAGATACGTGCATTCGTCGACCCTAATCTATCCTATCATTTCTGTCGAGACCCTATCGTTTTGGTGATGCCGATCAGGGCCGACCTGTGTGCACCCCGTAAAAAAGACAATTTTTACAAGGTAGCACCGTATCGTTGGTACCAAACCAAGGGTAAACTCTAATAACGGAAAACTCATGGCAGTTGATAGAAAATCTTCCAAGCTTGAGATAGCTTTCGATTTCCATGCCTAATTGATTACTTTTCGAGCAGAAAGTAACCAAGGGGGGTGGTTATGTTACGCGATGACGTAAATATAAATTGAAGCTTACTCGTGACGCGCCTCCTTCCGTTGGAAGTAACATAATTTACAAGCAGTTTATAAGGAATTCGCGCGTCATGGAAGTACTAATATATGGATCGCGTCGCCGTTTCGAGTGGTGGATTCCCTCCTCAGCTAATCTAACGTTTGGATTTCTTTTTCACGTCTAGTGAACTTCATGTAGACGCGCGCTGATCGATGGAAGAGATTTGTGTATAAGTGAGTCAGGTAGCAAACGCGACGTTGTGTTCTATCTTTCTCTGTGTAGGAGTATCTCTTTGAACGGGCGTCCTTTCTTTTCACGTTCCGAAGCATCGCCTTAGGTTTAATATCGGTGTTAATTGTTGCCTAGGTTTGCTGATGTATTGTCGCTACCTCTTTACACGAATTGACTCCTCTCTTTGAAAATCGCTGCTAGTCCTCGAATGGCTGATGTTCCGCTGCGTTCGTCGTTAAAAAACGTCCCTTTTCGCGATCAGTTTTTCACCAGTCATTCGCAGAACTTCGGCGATGCCCGTTTCGATGTTAAATGACAACGAAGTGCCCTAAAAGCAGTATCGTGACGAAACGGTAGCAGCATTCTGCAGGGTTTCACTGGTAATCCGTGTCTGGGACTCGAGGGAGTCAGAGATCCGCGTTTAAACCCGATTTATACGACAAGGTTTACAGTCTTTTGACTCCATCTTGGAGCGGGGCGCCCTTCGCGATACTGCTTGAAAGAAGTAGCTCTGAATTTATCACGTCTTAGCGATCATTTTCGTTTTTCATGTCCTGGGAGATATTCAGAGCTCTTCTCGCTCTACGACAGCTAATGCACTTGACGAGCTGCCAATTGTCGCGCCAACTCGCGCAAACGTGTATGTCATCCGTATTTTGTTGTTATGTGCCTGTCTCTTGTGCCGCGGTGATATCCTCTGTTCTCGAAGTAGTCCCAGGCCTAAATTTTAAACATTTTTTGGTGGGCTGAAAAGGAATCGGTTGCAAAGAAATAGTACTTACGAAAAATATTGGAAATGGATACTTTATCGTCCCACCAGAAAATGAGGAGAAAAAAAAACGGTGGACCACACGACATTAATAACCGAACCCTAAACAACAGTAACAACACCCTGTTAAGATCTCTTCCAAAAAGCTTTCCTTTCGTCACCCTATACTGCGATCTTCGACACGGTAAGCTATGAACTTCTTTCCTTTATTCTTACCCCGAGCAATCATTTTAACGGTCTACTCTTCTTCTACATTTAACTTGGCATGAAACTTTCGACTTCACTCTAGTAACATTTTCTAGGAGTTACCACTCCTAAAACTCCATTACACCGTAATGCAAGCTACGGGGTGTTTCAAATCTATGACAATTAAATGTTTGGCATTCAAGGTACATATTTGAAGGATTTCATAAAATCCAAACATACATAATTTCCAGTTTATCGCAATTCAAAAAATATAAAAGCACCCTGTACGTGCATCCTATATATACTTTGTAAGTTATTACGTAAATAAATCAACTATTCCATCTGGGACGATCTTCATGCTTCGTGAATGGCTTCAGTGGGGGATTATTAATTGAATGTCAAGTTTTTTTACGTGCATGGCTTCGGTGTTATTCAGAATTTGCAGGGCCATGTAACGATTAAGTCTCGCTGGCAGTAAGTAGTTATTCCGAAAAAGGATGTACATTGACGTATCGAATTTTTACCGTGATTTTAATAACTTGTACGTACGTGCATGTTCAAAGTTCTGTAAATTCCTGTAATCCTCCCTTTTTCAATTAAATGTTTGCAATCTGTAGGATTATTTTCCATTCTTAATTTTGGTTATATTGGTTGATTACTCTACGTATTTGATTCGCCCAAGCCTACCGATCCGGGTTGATTTTAATTTTCTGAAACTTGAGTTAAGGGAGAAGGGAATCGATTGGACCTATTTTCAAGTTAGAGATGCGTTTAATCTAGATGCATGCCATTGGCACTTAAGAGAATCATAGCGCAACCCTCGAACGTTCAATAAAATCTTCGTCTGATGTTAAAGTAACTTTATTTTCCATGTAGAAATAACGTGACAAAGGGTCACGAAAGGATTTCGAAAAATCTGGGGACTTCGGCTCCCCCCTTCAAGACGCAGAATCAATCCTTTATTAATGATACAACTAATGACTATATTACAAATAAATCGTTTCGTCTACAGCATGCTGTATACAAAGTTATATAATAATTTTATTCAGACAGTTTCAAGTAACTTTCTAAAGCTGAATTTCACGAGTAACCAGGTTTGCTTCACAAATCAAAAGGTACAACTTCGGACGAAGTATTTTACCGTTCGTTCGGGGGCAAAGTAGGCTAGTACTTCGGAAATGTAACGAAAAGGTACTTGGTAAAGAGTTGCAGCATGAACATTCATCTAGAGAAGAAGGTCCGTTCGTTCCTTCGGTTTTGTCTGCTTGGAGTGAACTTACGAGACGTCCCGTTAAAATTGCGCCAAAAGGATATAATATTATTGATTAGATATTGACTAATCGGCATCGAAGAAATGCATTTTAATCAAAGTGAGTTGAAAGAAACGAAAGAACGAACGAACGGACCCAAGATGGCGGATTCGTATTTGCCCTCGTTACCCTTTCGTTCTAAAACATTGGCCACGTGTTAAACTTGTGAAAATCCATTATTTTCAGCGAGCATCACCGGGGGAAGCGATTCACAAAACTGAACTAATATCGAAATAAGAGCGAGAGAGCGAGTGAGAGAGAGGGAGAATCACCCGATGCGTGCCCGCTCATCACGGATTGCAGAAAAACGCTCATCGCAAAGTAAAATCTAAAGAACATGCCAAGAACAAACCGCGAATAGGAGAGGAAGAGAAAAAGACCTAGAAGTGTCGAAGAAAGAATTAAAAAATGAGAAAGAGGGAATTTCATTCTATTCTTCTTCTTATCTTTTTGCAAAAAACATTCCCTCCACGGAACAAGAGCGAGGAACAACATTTATGAATTTCGCCAACGGTTAACATCGACTACTTATTTCTGGAATTATTTCGCGATTACTTCGCGATTATTTCGCGCCGAAATATACAAGAGGTCTGCAACTTGAGTCAAGTATCGCATTATTTCCAGTAATTCTGCGTTTGTAGGGCATTAACGGCGAAAGACTATTACACAGTGGGGGTGTGTAAAGAAAGGTCGACATTTCACGTTAAACAGGCGCGAATCAAGAGGAGTTTTAAGCGCCAACGATTAGCCGTTCAACGACCTTATTTTCACGATTCCAAAGAGGAAACGTCCTATCAACCGTGTTGTCAAAAAAATGTAGAACAAGGAACACCCGCTAAACACGCGATGTTCGTAAAGATTTTTCTCAGCCAGCCCTGCAAGAATTTCTTCGCAATTCCAAAGTCATTAAAACTTAACGATTTGCATTTTCGTTCTTACTACGTTACTTACTCGTTTTCATAGGCAGTTATCCCTCGAATTTCAGCTACATCGTATAGCTATATAACAGTGGCAAAATGTCCATTTTGTTTAATGATCTCGCGGCAGCGGCGCCGATTTACGAACACCGCGTAATGGCCGTCTAGGGGAGTTACATAGGTACACCTTAAGGCTTGAGAATTATCTACCGATGTTGCATATGTTAATGACCCTACTAAGAAGAATGAGAATAATATGAATAATATTTATGGGGACAAGGATGACGACGAGAGTAATAATACCAATAACTAGGTTAAAGATGATAAAAAAAAAGAAAGCGAACCACCAAGGACCAACGCTACGTGTAGGGTGATTCTTCAAAAGAAATGATCTAGGTCGTGGAAACACCCTGCCCACTCCACCGTTAAGGGGATGTGAAAGTGGCATCCGAGGGAACTGTTTTTACCGAATCGTTTGAAATTCCACAACGTGGATATGAAGGATGCGAGGAAGGTCCTGAAACTCGTGAAAGTTGAAACGATTCGGTACATCCAGTTCGGAGAAAAGTTTCCCAAAGGCCAGTTTTATTTCACCTTAAGGTCTGAATAAACGTCTTTCGGTAGAAAGAAATAGTAGCGAAATTGATCGGTGGACCCGCGAGAGAGCCCGCCCCACCGAGGCGGTCGCCGTGTTGGGAAGGACCGCGGATTTCGGGAAGGTAGTAGAAGGGGGAAGTCAAGTTGGGGCCACGTATGATCGGACGGTTTAAATTGAGGGAATTACCGCAGCATGGCGTTGTAATGGAATAATGTTTATAATCTATAAACATTTAGCTGTATATTAAAGGATATAACTATTGACAAACGTCGTTATTGTGACCGTTACGTTCACGGAATTTTTGCTGCTTCGAACATTGTACAGTATCGAATAAAATTACAATACGTAGTAATAATGACGCCAGCGGTGGAGGAGAACGAGTGATTTCATTATCGGGTTTTTGCATCAGAATGGAATTCTTCCGGTTTAAGTTTAAGTACTTACCGTAACTTAAATTAAAAGGCCGGTTTAAATTTTAAAGTGAAAGTAATCGTATCGACGATTGTCATCGATGTAACGTTTATCAATGATGTCGAGAAAGTTGAATTCTCTTAATTGATTAAAATCCGACGGAACGAACTGAAATTTCTCACGTAATTAATGGATAAATTGCAGTCGCACTTATAATTAGAGGGTATCGACCTACCGGACACGGTTCCGTAACAACGATATAACCGTTCAAAATTCCTTTGTAAAGTTCCTTTGTCAAGGTAATATACATGTTACGTGTACGTGAAATTTATATCACTATTTCCTACGCAGTTATTTAACGCTATTACAAAACGAATAACATAACGTATCGCGGAGTCGTATTACGGTTTATGTTAATAATATGTAACTGCAGAGTTAACGGATTTGTAACGATGTTAAGGAACGGTAATAATTCGATATCACCGAGTATCGACGCATCTTTTGGATAACTTTCGTTACATGTTATGTATATTATTATGAATTAATGTGGTTGGGAAGGATTATCATTCCAAAAAAGCGGCATCACTTATGGACCTTTGATCGACGGAAGAGGAGGAATATATATAGGAATAGAGTAACTGTCGAAAACGAGGTAAGGAAATTCAAAGAGAATTTCGCCGACCGTGCACGATCTACTTTCTTCTGCATGTTTCTCGCCATTTCTCCTAGTATGATATCGTTTCGTAATTAAATATCTCCCGTTTATTTCTTTCTCTTTTCCTTTCCTTTTCGTAGGAAACGAAGTTCATCGTAAATGAACACGTTCCGACCCTTAGACGAGTCGAAAACTCATTCGGAACAGATTTTCAAGTTTGTCGAAGGTGGATTCCCCGCAGGAAATAAATAATCCTTAGTCTAGTCGGCTCGAGAAAAGACAGGTACATAACACCAACAAAGACAAGAGCGCGATCTTTTAACGCGTTTTACCCAGATGATTTGGATGTGATATTTACATCCAAAGCATTCACCCCCGAAACGATCTTTCGTGATTCCCCTCCGACGTCTCGCCATATATTACGTTACGACAATGACGCGCCGTTACAATTAATATTTATAGCGGAGATACATACAGCGTTCACAAACGATACACATCGTTAGACTCTTATTTATTTACGAACATGGCGTAACGATTCTCAGGGGACTTAATCGATAGCGTTATACGTAAGTTCGTTCGTGTCTCCGGAAATTTGAAGGTTCACCCGACACGATGCATCAAAATGAGTTGTCGACGAGTCCCATTATGTATTTTCTACAATTTCCTTGAGGAAGGAAAGTCTTTCATTTCAACTTTCCGTCCCATCTGAGAAAACCCTCTTTCAATTTTCCACCCGAAAAGAGAAACGACGAAAGGTTCGTTGGAACCTTGACACGAAATATTCAAATACACCGTATAAAACCGGATAAAAAATGAAATCCGTCCGGAGCGATTACGAGTCCACGTTTAACTGGTCGTTGTATTTGCAGCCAAGTTCATGCCGGATTCGCCGCCTCCTGCCCCGCCGGTGCCAGCCTACGCGTATCCACCACCGGGACCTCCACCGGGAGTCGCGCCCGGCGCCGGGGGAGCTGCACCCCCGCAGACTCCGCAAGCTGCTCTGGTCGGCTCCTTGGACGGAATCCTCAAAGGCGTCTAAAGGCTCTGATTTAAGGGGGTTTTCCAAGTGTAGGCCATGTCACGATGCAAAGGAGATGAGCTCTTATTTTTCACTCGTTCCGCGCCTTCCGAAGCGCCGCCATATTGCAATATATTGCGATATTCGATCGAGTCATGTCAAAACTGGAAGAGATCAAAGAAAAAGGACGTTACCTTCTAAGTACATCTCGAGTTCGGCGCTACATTATTCGTATCATTAGTCGTTCAGCGGTGTGGCTACGTTTTGGAAGTGTCCTATGATTGGTTCGTCAAAAGGGGGTCACATCTTGTCTCCTTTGCATCGTGGACTTTGTCGCGATCGTATAATATATACAGGTGTGGCAATTTCTATGATGGGCGGACAGTTTTCGTAGGTCATTTTAGCGAAGCTTTAGTGAATTAAAATTACATGGAAGAACTGCTCGTCCTTGGGAAAATGGAGTCGAACGATCCCGTACCGTTTTCATCTACGTGTCATTTTCAGTCGGGAAAAGCAATCTAGGGTCAAAGTTGGCCGCCAAACGATAAATCAATACAAAATCTGCCCGTTGGTTGGATATTTTTCAATTAATTATTACCGACAAATTGTACGCGGACTTTTCGACTCCATTTCCAACGAGGATTGCGTTAAGTCACCCCCGTGGATACGAATTTTCTTAAACACCGTATACCGATTGCGAAACGCCTGCGTGACGGATATAAACACAATGGAAATCCCATCTTAATGTTAAACAGAGGGGAGGAAGAAACGAATACTTCGTTATTTTGATTTTAAAGTAGACATGGGTATTTCTCAGAAAATTCATCGTTTCCCCCTACGAGCGTGTCCAGTCCTAAGAATAATAAGAGTCCCGTGACAAGTCTGGCGGAAGATTTACTTTTTTTATCTTCTCCTTCCTTTATTACGAATTACTCGCGGTTTGATCGGTTTCTGCAGTTTTCCAAAATGGCGAGATGCGAACTCTCTTATAATTTCCACCTGATCGTCACGGGAGATTCTTCATCCTTTTGAGAACAGGTGATAAGGGTAAATGGGAAATTGTTAGGGAAATCGTGCTAAATGAACCGAGACCAGACGGCGGTGGCCATTTTCATCGAAAACGTCGGCAAAAGGAAGTTCCTAAAGAAATGCCCTACGCCACTGGCCCGCAATTGGACATTCAGCAAAACGAGAAATTTAGGATCGATTATGCAATCTTCACGTTTAAAAATATCGGAAAATGCTAAAAGTGGACATTTGCCTCGCTCGGTCTCTCTTCTTTTAACGCCATTCCATTTGTTTGACTTGACCGCGGTGCCGCGATAATGGACCTTCACTTTTTGCAATTTCCCTCTTTTTAAATGGCATAATCGGGACACTTTCTCAGCGTTAAGTATACAAACGTATACGCCCCCTCGCGTATATTGTGTATAGAATCTGTACGTATGCGTTATGTATTACAAAATGTCAATGTAAGGTACTCACCCCCTTAAAATAAGAGAAATTGGACAGCTTAACCGATTTGTTCGTTGAGCTCAAGCGTTAATAAAAGCGAATAGGTTTCTGTTGTTAGTTATGATTTTCCGATGAATTCAAAGTGAAAAGTTGCAAGGTCGCTGCAATATTGAGAATCGTTAAGTCCTAGATGCTTTCCAAAAGCCAAGTAATTGTAATCGTTACTTCGCAGGTTTTTCAATAATTTAAGCAAAGTTATGAATAATGTTTCACGATGAGTTAAGTCATTAGGAAAAAGACATCGATGAGTTTCGGATGAAATTGGGTAAAAAATTGACGTTTCCCAATGGAAGACTCGCAGAATTACCTCGTATGCGTGGGCGTCGTTTCCGACGTACGAAAGAAAAACGTTAGATAATACAAAAATCGAGTCGAAAGATAAGAAAACGAGTTGAATTCCTCCGAAAGATGGCGCTCTTAGCAGCATTTCGATTTTTTTTTTTTTACTTCCGTTTCTTCAAAGTCACGTTTCAACTTAATTCCCATTTCCGCCATCTTGAATGCGAAAAGCCGCATGCTTTGAAATTGGCGAGTTTTCTAAACGGAATCCGATTTTTATCCGCTTTTTTCCCGAAACGCCGCATCCTATATCGAACCACCCTTTATCGAATGTATATTTAGCTAGAGAGGGAAGCTGCAAGTACCACTCGAAGGAATGGAATAATAAAATAAAAGTTAAGGTCGCGCCTTAAAGATTTCAAATTTTCAGCTAAAGTAGCTTCCGGCAATACTGTACCCGAGATCAATAAATAAATAAACGGTGATGTTAATTTACTTTGAAGGGTAGAATAAAAATTAAAAAGGAAAGCTGACAACATCGATGTCTGCAATCGATGTGAACTCTTGCCCTGTAAGTCTCGAAAGTCCCTTCGGGAGTATTATGGCGGTTTCACGCGAAAATGCATAACGTGTCAATCCGCCGTTTTTCCACCCAAAAAACTTCTATTCCTTTCTTAATCACCGATTAAGGTTAAAATTCACGAGGCGTCACGTGCACATAGCGCACATACTCAACATCTCGACCCGTAGCTTGGCGCTTGGCTGGTTGGGACGCGCGGAGATTTTTAGGAGCGATCGTACTCACGCAGATTCGCTGCATGAGAGTTCCGTACGCGACATCGACGCGTGCCTCAAAGCTCCGCATCACGTCGACTTCGAGGCAGCAATGTACTTAATGGTACAGTAGTAGTAGAAATTCGTTGCGCCGCCCTTGGGGGCAAAAAACGGTGAAAGCTAACGTACGAAACCAGAGGGCAGCACAGGATGGGATCGCACGATCCTGCCCGTGAGCAATCTCCCAACACATCTCTGGTTTTAGGTTCTACTCCAGTTGCTCCAGTTACTTGGTCAAGAGACGCGGTAGCGGCTCAGACAAGTTTATGTCTTTTTTTTTTTTACACCAAAGGTGCTTTTGGTGGGATACATACATACTTCCATGAAACATTGGTACTGGGCCTTCAGTAGGTACTTGGCGCGAGCTTCGACCGAGTCTCTTGGTCGTGGTGACGCGGAAATGCTGTAACCGTGTTCTTCGTTTTTCGGAAAATTGTCGTAAAATATGTGAGACGTTAGTAGACTGGTGAATTTTTAAACAGTATGGAAGAAAATAATGCTGCGAAGATGTCCGTAGAGAAGGACATCTTCGAAGAAGACGAGGCTCAACTCCCACAGGACCTCGAGATTGACGTTGTTCAAGAAGTTCTCAAAACTGGCACAGATTTACGCCAATACTCGAAACAAATTGAAAAAGAACTCAAAGAAGTTGAGAACAAATCTATCCAAGATTATATCAAGGAAAGTCAAAACATTGCGAGTCTCCACAAACAGATTACAGCTTGTGACAATATCTTGGAGGTTAGCTTTTGAACTATTGATTTTTGAACAGGATAAATTACGTGCTCTACTTTGATGTTATTGAATACTTTTTAAAAAGTTTGGTTGGTATAAAAGATGTCGATACAAAATGTATTAGCGTGCACCCAGTTTGGGTCTTTTTTCATCTACGTAACAAACGTTAATTGTTTGGGTCAATATAACGACATACTTAGGTGCAGTGTCTCCTTAAGTTTGTACCTCATGGAAATATATATTAGATTTTAAATGAATATTTAGTTAGTTGATTTATTAACCATTTATGTCCCAAGTAGCGCGATCGCCCTGTTTAGATCAGTTGATGTAATAAAATAAATAAAAATTATGCATATCTTTAAAAATGTTACCACTGCTGGGAATTGGTTACTTCAATTTGTACATACAAATTTACATTTGTTGTATTAACATTCTAGACAATATCTTTGTCATGATGTATGCGAATGTAGAAATTTCTGTATTTTCTTTCCAGAAAATGGAGTCGATGTTGATGAGTTTTCAATCCGATCTTGGGAGTATCAGTTCGGAGATCCTGTACTTACAACGTAAATCTGTTGCTATGAGTCAGCAACTGTCTAATCGTCAAGCAATCCGGGCACCACTCAGCCAATTCATTGAAGATATGACTGTCTCCGAAGCACTTATTGCGTACGACTTTAAAATTCTCTTATCTTTACCGTAGACCAACGTTTAGGACTATGTATCTAATTGACGTGAACTTCTGTTTTTCTACTTAGTTTTTGTTGTTACATAAAGTGCAAATTATATGATAAGTGTTTAATTAACAACTGTTTTAAGTTAAAGTAAGAGTGAGAATTAAAAAATATTTATTAGTTAATATTATGAAGAAATATTGAATGTTAACGCTACTAACACTATTTAATTATTCAGTGGAATCATGGACTGTCCAGTAACGGAAAAGGAATTTTTGACGCAACTGCAAACATTGAATCATAAAATCAATTTTGTTAAAGAGCAAAGTTTTAAAGAAGCAAAATCCTGTCACGATGTGAAAGACATTTTAGAGAGATTGAAAGTCAAGGCAATGTCAAAGATCAGGACTTATTTGCTCGAGCAGATCTATAAATTCCGCAAACCTATGACAAACTATCAGGTTCCTCAAAATAACATGCTCAAATACAAGTTTTTCTTTGAGTTTGTTCTGGCAAATGAGAGGAACGTAGCCGAAGAGATTTGCGGAGAGTACATTGACACCATGAGCAAGATATATTATTCCTACTTCAAGTCTTATTCGTCGCGACTCACGAAACTGCAGGTACATTTAATTCACCATAACGATCTCAACTAATGCCGATCCGTATTTAAAGTGCCTTAAACTTATTAATAAATGTTTTATTTTAAATTGGAACTGGAAACTAATCACTTTCTGTTATTACCACGTGGGAAGAGCTTATATAAACGATTTGACTATCCACAATATTTCCTTTTTATTAGTTCAAATATGCATAGAAATTAACTAAGAGATTCTTTAAGCATCGCTAATAAGATTGAATAATCAGAATTTCTGTAGCATATTAGAAATAATTTTACTTAAAAATTATTTGATGTAGTTTGAAGAGGGAGCAACAAAAGATGACTTGATGGGCGTTGAAGATACAGCCGGTAGAGGACTTTTCCATAAGACGCCGTTAAAACATAGAGGAACAGTATTTTCGATAGGCACTCGTGGAGAAGTTTTAAGTTCGCAACTAGAAGCACCCATTATCGTACCCCATACCGCTTCGAAGACTCGGGTAAGAGCGACAAAGAATTGCACGATACAAGCCATCATTATTGATTATTGATTCGTTACAGTCCGTTTTGTATTCAATATTTAAACAATTTTCAGTACCATTACGAAGCACTGTTTAGAAGTGAACAGTATGCCCTGGTCGATAATGCATGTCGAGAATATCTTTTCCTTACGGAATTTTTCAAAGTTCGTGGTTCCCAGGCAATGGAAATTTTCAACCAAGTTAGTATTAAACCGAAGTTATTTAGAATTTTAAATTACAATAATTTTATTCTTATATAAAAGCATATAAATTAAAATAGAGCTAGATACCTGAAGAATGAATTATATCTCTTGTATGCGTATGATCGATATATATTTTGTTATGCATTCTTTTGAGGTTATGGGAAAGACGTTAGGCCATCTGCTGAAGAACGTGCAATCCTTTGTCGACGACTGCTACGACACGATAGCCCTTTTCCTCTGTTTACATCTTGTGATGCGATATCAACTAATGTGCCACAAAAGAGCAGTTCCTGCATTAGACAAATATTGGGATAATCTTACTTCCGCTATATGGCCTAGGTAAGGAAAATAGCAATAAGTAAGAATAAGTAGCAAAATATTTTTATACTCTTCTTATAGTTGCGATTTCAATCATTTAAGTACACTGCATATTTAATTTCAGGTTTGAGTATGTGTTTCAATTAAATATTCAGAGCATAAAGGAATGCGATCCTATGAAGTTCAACAGGGAAATGGGTCCTCATTATGTATGTACTCGTGCTATTTATGCTTGCTTTTATGCTTTCGATCGATCTTATGCATAAGCGAGTTTTTATTATTTTAGATCACTAGACGTTACGCGGAATTCAGTGCAGCGATGATTGGAGTAGGCGAAGGTTTCCCTTGCGAAGGAGCTACCCAACTTCTAGCAGAACTGCGAGAAGCCGTGCAGTGTTTCCTATTACGGATGGCTGCAATATTTCCCCACAGAACTCAGCAGTTGGTCTTCCTTATCAACAATTATGACCTGATTCTCGGTGTTCTCATGGCAAGTTGAAAGAAATGATAATACATTTACGATCGGTTCACTAATTTCTATTACAGTTTTAATAACCAACTACCGTCCAAATGAGTAAATTTGCCGGGTCTGTATATGTAAATTATGAAACTTTCTGGTTTCACTTCAGGAAAGAACTCGGGACAACTCGAAGGAAGCCGAAAGCTTTCGAGAGCAGTTAAATGCAAGGTCTTCGGAGTACGTGGAAGAAATTCTGAGTCCCCATTTTGGTGGGATCATACAATTGGTGAAAGAGTCCGAGACATCGATGGAGAAAGGTCAGTCGGAGGATTCAAAAAGGTACGAAGGGAAAGCATTAACTTTGGTGCAATCTTTTACGAACACATGGAAGAGAGCTCTCGAAGAGATCAACCGAGAAGTACTCCGATCCTTTCCTAGTTTAGTTTTGGGTGCTGCATTAGTCCAACGAGCCATGACTCAATTAGTTCAGTACTATCACAGATTGCATAAAATCTTACCACCAAACGCCAGAGCACAACTGACCAATATTCACCACATTATGGTGGAGATTAAAAAGTACAAAACGAATTATTAAAACCGTTGGTAAGGTCGGGAAGTATACAAATATTTTATAGAACTAGCTCTAGAGGTAGCTCTTCCTCGGTTAATTATTATTCAATGTTTTTAATGCTTTGGTATTGGAACCCTATTCGTCATTGAACATATCTTTGATATCGCAATTCTATACATCGAGTTAAATGCAACTACTTATTCAACGGAAAGTTTAAAGTGCTTAGTCATTTTAAACAAATATTGAATATTGACGCTATATAAGCTAAATTGCTTGTTATTTAACAGCCACAATATGCAATGAACAACGGAGTGGAACTTTGTGAGTTTAATTAATGATCTGTACGCTTTTATCCCATTTACGGTACCAACTCTTCTTTTTAATCTTCTTGGCAAATTATAAATAGAAGACAGGAGTTAATCTCTAATAGTAAGAATTTCGGTTAATCATTGATAAGATGTGCTTGGCGGCTATTTTTAATCCTTACTTTTCCAGAACAAATTGTTTGGGCGAGATATCTCGAAATTTAATCGGCGTGGCGTAAATAGAGTCGGCAGAAGTTGGAAAAATTCTGTACATATCTATTTATAAAATACTATGAACTACGATATAAGTCACTATACACGGAGTTGCAATATCTAATCTATACAATAATGCTTAAACCCATGTGTAATATGTGCGCGCTTGTATGCACGATCCTCGGTATATAATATAAATTAGTATTTGCTGAACTATGTTATAATGGTCCTGTTAAATCTTGAGCTTTCACAAATTAATCCGGCATCGCTCATTTCTGCCTTTCGAGTTATGGCATTCATCCTGAGCTAGCCGTTGCTCGATAAATCGATCGACTTCGCTTCCGAATGCATCCGATTTTCGTTAAGGTGAAGTGAAACAGAGCTCGAAAAATTTGGTAAAAAGGATTCATCTAAACCCCTACACATTGCCGATATTCTTATTTATCTACAATTGTCATGACAATTTCGTCCCCTTTCGAGTCTTCGATATCAGGCTTAGAGGACATTCGAGGAATTTGTCGATCGATTTCAGAGACGGTACTTAAATCGCCTACAACAGGGTTTACCCTACGTACTTACTTTTATTACTTCCTTTTAAGTTAATGTAAAATCTCATCCCATTCTTTTAAGGCCGCGACTTTGTTAACGGTACGACAATGGTCGATCCAATAGCACGAGCTTCGCTTCTTCCTTTCTTTGGATTGCTGTTAGCGCTATTCTTTTCCTATCAGCCGAGCAAGGAAAAAAGCTAAAATACTCGGTTCCTTTTCATTCGGTATGACCGCCTCTGACAATGAGCTTTGGAGACGTGTCTGCTTAATTCAAGATCTACCGGTACGTATTCACAGAACTGCATCAATTGCGTGAATTACCCCATTTGTCGCCGGTACGTTGTACGTTATTACTTGAGCATCGTTCACTCGAATTCGACCTAAACAGAATAAAAAATAGATAGAAACGTAACGTAAAATCTTCAATACACCCGAAATGATTTGTAACTTGACGTTTTGAAATTGGGAAATTTAATTTCTGACCGGGTGAGTTACCTTTTTATTCCTAAGCTTTGTTAATTACCTCCATTTTTGTGAATATGAAGCGAAGCCTGGGGGCGAAGGGTGTCTTTTTGGTGGTAGTACCTCATCCCCGCTGTATAAAGGGTTGTCGGTACTACGTGCCTGGAAATGATGGCTTTCGCAGATTCCGGCCCATCCGATTCACTCCACATCGGAGCTCCATTATCCGACGCAGCTGCGGCTGAGGCGAAAGCTGCGTCGGTTGGCGCAAATATCGTGAAGGTTTTCGTTCCTGGTGCCCAACAAATGTATTTCAGACGTTTAATATCCATATCAACGGGAGATCGCAGCGCCGCCAAAAGTGAACTATCGAGTCTCGTTCTCCCTCTCGCTTTCCCGTTATCCGACCCCGTTTTTACCACGTTTTTACCACGTTTTTACCACGTTTTTACCACGTTTTCCCATTCCGGAATTAATTGACGAAGAAACGAGAATCATATTTTGCGGCGTCGATACAGGGGATATATTTTTTAACGGGACTTCCCTGACGCTTGTTCCACTTTCAGTGGAGATGGAACTTTCTCGCCTTATTTCTCCGAGTAAAATATCTTTATTCGAAAGACGGTTTACCGGTAAAGGTGTTCTCGAGGCCGGAGGCGTGGAGGATCTTCAAGAAGGTGCCGAATCTCCTCTCGCGGTCGGCTTGTAGAGTTTGTACGAGGTCGCCGACCGGAAGTGGGAACATAACTCTGTCGACTGCATGAGCGATGCCTTGGGGGATTTCTATGTCGCGTTTATTCGGGGCGACCCTGGCACCGTTTACAGTCGTCAGCTGGGATAATTACAGTGGTTAATGAATTATTAAAATATTGGAAACTGGCCTGAGCAACGCTTCGACTTAACAGGCAGTTGTAGGAATACACGCAAAGGGGATATTCTTAATGGAAAAGAAAAAGAAAGAAAATCACCTGCACTTTTCTACGTACCGTAATGTCGTTCCACTCATGGTCATGCATTGCGTACACGTTAACGCGCAATTGTGTCCCAGCCAAACTCACTCCGGTCATTTCATCTTGGAGGGAATCTATCCTGAAGGCTCCGGGGATCACGTGATGCAGGAGCAACTAAAACATAAATTACAGATTTCATTAAAAGCTGCGACTAACGGCATTTGATATTTGTCTTCAGTTCGGCGGTTTCGATTGTTGTAAACAACAACAAAAATGTACATACCCCGCTGAGAAGTCTCGGATTGTCGCGGAATTTCTGTTCGGCTTTATCTGGTCCTCCCAATTGCACCAATAGGGCCCTGAATGCTTTATCGGTTGGCACGAATATAGTATAGGGTCCTGAAAACAGGAAATGTCACGAAACATTTATATCACCCATATTATAAACGTACGAAACTTTTGGAACGACTCAAGGATATTAAAACTGAAAAGGCTCTATGCCCATGACTATAAAATAATAATTTATGAAGTTTACAGTAGACTTTACGTCATGACGTGTCGTTTATGTCTACTTATTTGTGCTAACGAATAAATGATTCAAGTGTCTTTGGGATTTTATTCGTGAGAACTGGGTCGCAGGATGACGAAAGACCGAATTGAGGTGAAACGATCGATTGTCCTGGGGAAACTTAATCTCGACATTGCATCCTTTCATCCTTTAATTGCATTCCCCGAATGACGCAGCAAAAGGCGGAAATTATAATAAAAAGAAGAAAAACAATAATTAAATTGTCGCTATTTACTTTGACTCGACTTAAAAATCGAATTTCATGTTGATCGATCCTTTCAATGGTCGACCTCAAAATTAAGTACACTTTTTTTTTCCCCAACAATAGGAAATGACTTAACTTGAAAAAAGTACGAGGCCAGGGTTAATTTATATTTTTTTTTCTGCGGTGGAACTAAACAATGGTAATAAATTTTGCTTCAATTAGTCGTTAAAAAGGGGCCCTCGTTCTTTTTCGGGAGTAAATAAAAATGCGAATTAATAAGTACTGCCTGTCGTGAGAATTCGCATCGAGCCCGACTCAAGTACTCTTGACACGGTGAATTGGATTACGAGTCGGTTTTACGACTCTTTCGGAACTAGTGTTGAAATATGGAAACCCGTGGGAAGTCCATCGAATGGAACGTCGCAAAAGCGTCGTGCGAGTCGTTCGAAATAAATTGGAGCGCCGCGAGCGTGAGAATCAGGTACCAATTAGACACCGCGTAGTTATCTCCGAAATTGCAAAACATCTTTCGCGCCCTATCAAAATTATTATATAAATCACGCGGCCATGTCGAGGTCCCAGAGATGCCTTAGAACCATTGTAGTTTGAACAATGAAACGAGTAAATAACTACAGTTCACATTCGCGTTAGAAGAATAAACCGTTCGGGAGAAAATGTAGAAAAATGGTGGCACGTTTTTTCAATTATTGAGAATTAATTGAGAGTCATTATCTAATGTAAAGAATTTTAAAGCATGCAGAACATATTCCTATCCTACCTCCAGGTAATGAAAATAGGGCCCACTACCTTCTTTTTTTACATTTTTGCNCCCAGCACCGCACGAAGTGCCTTATCCGTATATTACCCGTATAAATTAGGTCTATAGGTAAAGCGGATCTACTTTATGTACATGGCTATAGAATATATATCTGCATATCAGTAACGGCGAAATATTAACCTGTTTCATTGAGAACATTGTCCAGCCCCGATTGTCTCAGGAACCTGGCCATGGCGAAGAGGCCCTCCTTCTTCAGGACATCGGCCAGGGTGTCGACCTTGGGTTTGACGTCCTGGACGGGCGGGGTCGTGACCTTCTCGAAGGTAGCTTCCTCCTCTTCGTAGATGACGTTGCCGGACTTGGAGGGGCTCGCGATCGACCTTGAGGCCGGCGAGGCCGGCGAGGCCGGCGAGGCCGGCGAGGTCGGCGAGGTCGGCGAGGTCGGCGAGGTCGGCGCTCTCGAGGGGCCGAAGCGCAGGTACGAACTCGCGAAGGTCGGCGAGAAAGTCGGCGTGTAGATGGGCGAGGGCGTGGTCGTGACTATCTCGTCGACGGGCGCCATTGTCGGGATGAAGTGGCTTCTGGTCGAACTCTGGTACCTCGGGGAGGACGACTGACCTTCCTGGATGGACTTAGGGCTCGATGACCCCACCGAGTTGTAGACGTGACCCGATGAACTCGAGGCCGAGGTCAAGTACTTCTCGGTCGAGGACAAGAAATTCGGCGACGTCGTCACGTAGGGGTAATTACCCGATACAAAGTTGCTGAAAATTAGGGCGAAATTAGAAACATCGATCTTCTAGAAGATATTCTAGAAAATAGTGAAATATTTCAAGTCCACCTTTCGTTGTACTTGGCATCGGCAGCTTCGGAGGAAGAGACGGTCGGTCCGACAGTCGTTGACAGGGAGCTGACGGAATCAACGAAGGTCAAATGTCCAGAAGAAGACTTCTCGGTGGAGGCGTATCCGACGCTGGATACCGAAGACGAAGTCGGGGGTGGTAATTTCAATTCCCCGTTTTGAATTCTCCTGACGATGGAGTCGACGTCGGTGCCCTGGTCCTTTTCCGCGTTTCCTTTGACACCTTGGACCTTGTAGCTACCATCGGGTTGTTCTTCGAGAACGACGAAAGTCACCCTTTTGGCAGGCAGATTTTGGATGGGCACGCGACCCAGGTCCTCCAATTTTCCGTCATCCTTGTGTCTTATTACTTCGAAATCGGCTCCAGGGGGCAGAACGCCTTTCGTTAATTCCTCCAAAATGGCGTTCGGGGGCTTGTAGGTCGTCGGCGTGGTCGAACCCAACGTTGGCACTATCGACGACAGACCACTCGGGGCATGGATCACCTAAATCATTGAAAAATACACCCGTACACCGGTTCCTCAGTTTACGCAGAGTCATTTTACGCGAATCGGAATCGAAGGAAAGGAAGTCTGTCGGGACAAATGAAAAAAGAATTGTGTTATAATTAGAATTTCTTCGAGCGAACCAACGTTTTCCCTCAGGGAGTGGACTTGCTCATTTTCTTAGGGGCTTTTAAGTAGTCGTTTTGATGTTTCTTTTCTTCCTTAACGGCGTTTGGAATTAATGGCGGTTTCAGATGGCTTAGAAACGACAGGTCTTCGCTCTTCGGGCCTCATAAAGTCGGCTAAATCAAGGAAAGTGTAAGTGGGAAAGTGAGGAGAAAGAGCGAGTTCCCACGCACCTGTCCCACGGGTGTTTTGCTATCGTTACGGTAGATCGAATCCCTGTCTAGGGTTAAACATTTACAAAATAATGGTCCGAAAGCGATCTAAGAATCCGCCATTAATATTTCTTCTCGATTCTCGATTCTCGATTCGCAAACCGTAAGCCAAGCCCTTAAAATATCCATTCCAACATATTTAATTTCTTACCTGCAGCTTTTTCCCGTTGGGAAGGACCAAGTCCCTGGTGGTGACATTTCTTTCGGCGTCGTCCGGATCCGATTGGGCGAGGGCCAATTTCAGCTGCTTCAGCAACAATTCACGTTCCAGGGAAGATGCTCCCGGGGACTGTGCCTTGCTCTTGGACGAGAATCTCTGTCTGCCGGGGGGTTTCTCGGTTCGATAGGACACTTTGGGAAGGGTTTTGCTTCTTTCTCCGGCACTCGGCTGGGACTCCTGGCTGGAGTCTTCGTTGCTTGCGGACTCCCGGGACGAGTCCTGTTCCGGCTTCGAACTCGTCGACCGATACCTGGAGCCGATCAACGGAAATCATTGGTCCCTATTCGCTCGACAAGATTGGCAATAATAATGAGGCATTGCGATCGTTCTCACCTAGGAGTAGTCGAGCCGGCTAGTTTCTTGTGGTGATTCGAGATGGCGCGCAGGAAGAGGTCAGCCTCGGACGGAGTGATCCTTCTCGAAGGTGAGGAGGGCAGCAACAGCGACGAATACGTGGTATACGGAACGGGGGAAGCCAAGGTGGTGGTAGCAACGGGAGCAGGCGTGGTGGACGCGAGCCGATGCAGCAGCTCCTGCTGTCGACGCAGCTCCTGTTGCTCCAGCAACAGCTGTTCCCGTTGCTTGTGCAGCAGATCCAGTTGGCGTTGCTTGTCCAGATATGCCTGCAGCTGTAAGGTCTGCTGCTCGCTGAAGAAGGGCTGCGAGAGATCCTGCCGAAGACTCTGATAATTGGCTGGCAATGCCGGGAACTGGGGGTATTGCTGGTATTGCTGGTCCTGCAGGTAATTTCGGTAGTTCGGCGCCTGACGGGGCTGTTGCTGGCTCGTACGATCTACCTTGTATTTGGCCAGGGAGGTGGTCGCTGGGAAAGGCACCGGGGATTTATGATTTTGGACCGACGAGAGGTCGAAACGACGCTGATGTTGCTGGACGTCGCTGAGGATCTGGGCTTGCTGGGACGCCGAAAGTTGGGGGCGCAACTCCGGCGGCGGTCGGCCCTGAAACTAGAAAACGATACCGAATTTGGATGCGTTAACCCTTTTAGTGCCGTAAAACGACGACGCGTCGCTCGTGTTCGTTATATAACGGGTGCACCTTCGGTTACGTATCGTGAAAGGAAGAGAGCTCTACAAATTGCTTCACCTAGATCCGCGCGTACACTCTAAATGCGATCCGGTCTTTCGCGATCGCACTCGAGAGTCGATCGACCCGGGGGAATCGAGAAGACCCGTCCTCCTCCGAAAACGAGGAATCGTTCATTTCAAATGCCCCCCGAGAAAAATCAAATCGAGCTTCGGAGTGCCCGGGGAAAAAGGAAGAGAATCGCGCCAACTTCTCGGAGAGGTTCATCGACCGCGGCAAGAGAGAAATCGTCGGCACTGGTCGTCATTAACTTCGAGATAATAAAACCGAAGATGGCGACAAATCGGATCGATCGCCGATTACTCCCGTCCGGGTGACCGAACTTCCGACAGTCGATCACCTCGAACTGGGTCGTCTTTTATCTGCGAACGGTGGAGAGCGAAAGAAACAAGAGAAGAAGAAAGCGATCCCGTCGACGGCTCTCGCGTGCCTCGGCACTTCCCGGAGCATCGGAAAGAGATCCGGAATGAAATACATTCCTCCCTCCAGGAGAAAGCGCGAAAGAGACTCCTAGTTACGAGGAAGCCGGTCGAGTCCGAATATGCTAATTCGGACACGGAATAAACGATTGACGAGATTTCGAGGAAGGAGCGGATATCCCGAATGTCCAATTAAACGGTTCCCTTCTTCTTCGGCGGTTTATCCGAGCACACGGCGCCCATGGCGCCCATGGCGCGGTTGCGGTTGCGGATTTTCAATCAAAGATCGGTCGGCAAGAAGTTAAAGGATGTGCCCAGCGGAGTACGACGATTATACGTGAAACCGAGCGGACTCGCTCGTGCGCGAAATTGTCGGCTATTACGTAAATTCGGGATCAATTTCGCTTTCGTTCAAACTGTCGCACGCTTCGTCCAATCGGGAAGGCAGCGAAAAAGAAAAAAAGACCGACCAGACGGGTAAATAAAGGGAGACGACTCGAGGACGTTCCCGATCGGTGAATATCCTCGGAGAGAGTTCCGAGAACATCCTTCACCTTCACCTATTGTTTGCGGTGCTCCCCCGAGGTTCCCGATAAGGGGGGACGTCGATGTATCCACTCCACGAGCAAAGGGAAAAGCCCTTAATTTCACGCGATTCCACTTTCAAAATGGCCAACGGACCGTTTTTTTCCCCTAACGATGACATTTTTAAGCATCGTCATTCGAGATGTCCATTACGAAACGATAGGCCCGTTAAGTCCAGGAAAAGAGAGAGGGAGAGATCGGCCCGATGAAACGTTTCTCTTATCGTTCGATGCCGGGGACGGTCTCGCTACGGATGGTCTATTGTGAAATCTTGAGAAAGAAGAAATTCGAATTTTGCCCCTCGCCGTCCTTCGCGTCATTGATCCGTCATTGATCCGTCGATTGTCCCGGAATCGAACGATTGACCTTCGTTCACTGGGATGCAAATCTTGTCGTCACTCTGTCGAAAATTGAAACGAAAAGCCTGTTCGGCCCCGGGGTTCCGGTAACCCCGTTGCCCGAGATGATCGAACTTTCATATGCTCGGCCGTTCGCTCTCTCGCCGGGGGAAAAGAAGCTCGGAGGCTCCGAGGAAATTTCACCATCGAGTTTAGCCGGTTACGACGATCTCGAAATGGCCGCGTCCAGCCCTTCGAGAGTACCGCGGTGACCGGATACTTATTTACCTTACGGTAGCTCGTCGTTTCTTTTCTTCTTTCCTCGACGCGGGAAAGAAGTTCCCAAGTGATATCGCGGATCCGGACAACCGTAATATGCTCTCGGTGGGATTAAAATACAATTCGTGCCTCCCGGAAGTCATTCGGCACGACTACGATTCTCTTCCGAAGAAATTCGAAAGAAATTCTACGTCCGGCCACAAAGAATCAGGTCCCGATAATTGCTCTCTCTCTCTCTCTCTTACCTGATCGCGTAGACAGGAATGTCGCTAAAATCGATCCATTTCCCCGCGGACGCCGGAAGAGATCGGCAAGCCATTCCCGGTATTCTCGCTTTGTTTTTTACGTTTTTCGACGGGCCCGGCCGCATTCGTTTCCGTGAGTTTCTCTTAACGAGATGTCGGCGATCTCGGCGATTTTCTCGAGCTCCGTATCCGAATCGAAGAAATAAGAGAGATAGGAATACTTGTCCCGAGTCGGTCCATCGTACATCCATCGAGTTCGCCACAAATGGGACAGGAAAGTGGAACTACGCTCACCTATCAACGGACCGACATTTAACCCTCTCGTCGTTTTTCTCCTTTTAAAACGGAAGGATATTCCCCGCCGAGACTCGAAAGTACGATTATATCCAGTGACGTCTCTTCTCTTCAAATTATCCAGAAGGACCGTAAAGTGCAACGACAAAACTCTCAAAATGAAATAAAACTAGATGAAATAATGCGCATTCCAATATCCGTTACGTTTTGAATACGTGAAACGTATTTGTTGATATTGAAAACGCGAGGTCGGTCTCGATAGAGATTTGCAAACGAAGTGACTAAAAATGACGCGCATTCGGGTCGGAGGGTCGGAGAGGGTCGTTAACGATCGTTAATTGTCGAAGCCTCCTCCCGGACAAGAGGGTCTGGTCTATCTCGCATCTGCAAGTGAAAGTCCCGCAACTGACGAGAGAGACGGCACCGGAGTATACCCCATCGTACCTGGCTTTATTTATTTACCAATTGCGACCCGCGTCCCCGCTTATCTTTCCCTTTTCTTTTTTTTTTCCGTCACCTCCCTTTTTTCCATCGCCTCCACTTCGAATTACCACGAAAAGAGACACTGGACTGGAATTCTTTTTCTTTCGAGAGCGTTCTCGAGCAAATGGTTAAACTACGCGACGGTAACGATGTTTTCAGGTATTGCCGAGCCCTCGAACAAATAACGCGCGGCATGCCTGCGGGCATTCTCGTAAAGCGGAGGTAGGCAAAGTATGCCCCTCTCTTTCCTCACCCGAAGGCGACAGACGGAGAAAGTAAATTGCCAGAGATTTACTTCCAATTAATATTAAGAATTCGCTAATCCGCAACGGGGAGAGAAAGAAAGGGGAACGGCACCTCGTACTCGTCACGCTCTTTTCTCGCGAGAAATACCGTGGAAGAAATACTATGCCAGGACTCATGTTTTGAAGGGAAACGAACCTGCGAGAGTCTCGGCTCGGGGTCGGGGTCGGGATCGGCTTCGGCAGCGGCGAGGGCGCCACCCCCGAGGACGAGCGTCGCCGCCAAGAGCTGCAGGAGCTGCGGGATCGCCGCGGCGGCCATCTCGTTCCCGTCCTTATATCCGTTCCTCGAAACCACTTAACCCCTTTCCGCGATCCGGCAAATCCACAATTCGCGCGACGCCGATCGAAGACTCGGACTGTGCCGGATCGCAAAACATCCCGGAGTTTTAGTTGCCGGCCGAGTGAGAGGGAAGAGAGGTCGCGGCTCGACCAGGTGGGAGGCAGCTCTCTCTCTCCTCTTCCTCTTCCTCTTCGGCGACCACCCGCTCGCTTCTCGTTTCGTAGAACTTACCCGAACCGAAACGCGTCCGATTCGGGTAACTTCTATCCTACATTTTCCTGCACTCTTTTTTCAAGAAACGCTCATTTTGCTCATTTTAATCGACGTACTCCTCAAATTTCTTACACAAGTCTGAATACGGTATAATAAAATAAGTAAATAAATAATGCGGCCGACAGTTTAACGATCCTACCCTACAATTACCGCCGATAACAACGATACGTCTTTCGCTTATATAAAGTAAGATAGGTCCTAAATGTCAGCCTGGTTTTAGTGCATATTGCGCGGCATAAAGACCATTCCAATGACGTATCTTTCGTCGTCTGAGAACTGCCGAAAGCAATCATTTCGAGGCCCGTCCAGAAGGAGACTAAGCGAGAAAGGTGAGTTTCACTTTCACTCAAATAAAATGTACGGCCAGGAACGGAAGTTGGTACGACTTAGCACCGTCTCTTCCTTTCTATATTTCTTCCGAGGTATACAGATTCTCGGAGTCGTAAATAATATTCATAATCGCCGTTTCACTGGGAAACCTCGAATTACGAGAGCAAAGTTACACATCATTTCCTCCCCGCATAATTGTTGATAACACCCTCGTTCCATTACCGTTCATTTGAACAGCGTCGACATCGCTTTTCGTTGTTTATTCGAGCAACTAAGCCAACGGGTATTTATTTAAAGACATTTTTTAGCTGCTATGAAAATGATCTCTCTTCTAACTGACATTCGTCGCATTCAATTGCATCCGTTACACAGGCACATACATTCACCTGGTTTTTACGTGTAACGCGTCCTGCATATCCTTAGTATACATGAAAAAAAATAAAAACCAACTTACATAGAGTAACGTACGTGCAAACTTTATCGTCCATAAGGATGGATTTGAGAAGCAGCCTTGATATTCGTTTTAATGGCACTAGGAGCCTTTCCCATCTGACCCACTGAAAGCAATAAAACATTAAACATCCTGTTTAAAAAGCAGTAAACATTGACTTTATACAATTCGACATACTTTGTGGATTGCCCATTTGTCCTTGTCCCGAGGGCTGAGGTTGGCTTCCGGGTCTGCCCACTATCATTCCACTCGACACTTGATTTACTCCGGACTGCACCATCTGAACCGAATCAGACTGAAACATTAATATAATAAATATATTTACCTTAATATTTTTTATTACATATTGTAGTTAAGTTACCGTAACACGAAACTAAGTAAAGAAATTAATGAGATCTCAAGTAAGAATTTCTATTATGAAGAATATATTAAGAGGTTATAACTGAAATGAAATTTGATCTTTTTCGGTCACACCTTTAGTCCTTTGCCCATGCCCACCGCAGCAACCAGAGCATGAGTGTCAGCTGCGCTGCTAGTTTGTGCTTGGGTCGCCCTCGAACCAGCTTCGCTCTCCCATTCTTCTCGAGCTTTGTTGGCAATGTCCCAGACGTGTCCAATAACCTTCGTATACTGAGCTACTTGTTTCTGAAACCGTATAGAGATTCGTTAGTCATTCGATTTTCAGTAATCGGCATGCGTTCCACTCGCTGATCGGATCGATCGGACGTTACAATGATAAGGAAATTAAGCGACAGAGAGGAAAACTAGAAAAACCCTCATCGATACATCGGTTCTACAGTTCGACCACTCAGGAATGCAACGTCACATTTAACAGTCGATGTATGAAAAAGCTTTTAATAGAAAAACGTCAATCCTGCTGGAATTAATTCTCCGAATGTAAAGTCTTTGTACGAAATGTAATTCTATTTGAGAATTTCAAAGGAAATATTGATCATAGTCACTTTTTGTGTTCAAACAACCAGCTCTATAAATTGCAGAGTACTTAATAAAATAGTGGTTTGCTTTGATATTAATCAAAACTTGCTGCGAGACGCTAGGATTCCGGAGATCTCGGTCCGAAGCGAATGGAACGGTCTAAAGAAGCTAAAACCAACTGATAGTAGCTTACATTGCAGTCCTAGTTGTCGTTTAGTTAGCACGTCAACAGAGAAATAAATAAGCCTTAAATTACCTTTCGATTTCTCCAAGTACAGTTCGTATTCAATATAATGTGCAACATGTTTGTCTAATATCTGTCTATTTTATCTACTTTTATTCGTTTTAATTATTACACTTAACATGTAACATTTGATGACTAAAACTATTATTGCATTTTTACAATAGCATGAAAAGAAGAAAGATGAAAAAGTGGAAGGTAGAATGGAAAGAAAATGTAAAGATCTGGTATAAAATCACTTACGAGGGACGTATCATAGCTCAAATTTCCAGCCTTAATCTCCAGTTGCATCATTTTTTGCTCAGCTTGTGGCTCTGGTTTTGTACGAAGGTAGTCAGGTACTAGGTCGTGAGCAAACGTGGAGATACGGCCTTCCGTGAGTCGCATTAGATCTTCGTCTTTTTCAGGACTTAACAACAAAGGCAGAACCGCCAAACTTCTTAGATTCGGTGCTTTCTCATGGCTCAGAATCTTTGATAAACTTGTTAACTATTACAGAAAACAACATATTAAAGCATTTTTCATTCACTTATCGGTATATTCTATTTTCATGCATTAATGGTCAATATTTTTTTTCATAATTAATATTTATTTCAATATTTTCAATCCAGTGACAAATAATTCATTCTTTTTAAGTAACAATTCATTATTTAAAATGTAATTTTTAACGTAATTTAAAACACTTACGTGTCCAGAAATTAATGCAAAGTTATCGAGGAAATTAGGCCAACTCATGGATTCGTATTCGTGTTCGATCTTGAAAATCATTGCAGCAATTGCTGCCTTTAAATCATTGACACGCATTAAGTTGGCCTCTAAGGCAGAGTCAAGCTGCTTCTCTTCTCGTTGCATCGTTAAATCTTACTGAAAGTATTTTTAATAATATACATATTTTAATAACATATTAACATCGGAAAAGGAAGTATCTTCTTTTACGGTAAAACTATACCGCATTACTACAAATACCATGTAAGATAACTTTAATAAGTAAATTTAAAATTAATAAAATAGATGGTATCGATCCATTAAAATAAACAATCAATTACGCTTAGCTTTTATTAACCCTTAGCGCTCCATTGGCTCCGCTACAGAGACATTCGTCATAGCGTTCCGCAACTCGCGACGCGCTAAGAGTTAAGCTTAAAAACTTTCTTTTTTAAAGCAACATACAATATATGCCCTGCAATACTATTCAAGGACATTGTTAAAAGTGACCAAATCAAGATGTTGAAACGAGATTACGATTGACTAAAGTTAGGTTATATTCGAAATATTCGATAATTGTGTACGTATACTAAAAGGGTACTTACTATAAATACAACACATGAGACGTAATAAAACAATGTAATGAAATTCTTGTCCGAATTACGTCTATAAACGCGACAGGATTGATCGGGGTCTGACAAAACCTAGGAGCAGGAATCAGATATGAGTTGGGAGAACAAAGATGACTGGGCGATTGCTCACGGATTGCGTACAAGGCGTTGCTGGACCTTGCGAACGGTTGGCATAGGTTGTCCGGTCGTGCAGTCGGCCGCAGTCGCCTGCATTTGCCCAATTTGCCCCCGAGTCACACGAATTTAGACTTTACTGACGTGACACTGTCCACGCTTAAATCCCGCAATCGTTGGTAGTGCACAGTATGCCGCATGCGTAATTGTGCGACCTAACCTCCACTTTGCAGCACACACTGCCCCTTGGCGGCCACAAGGTAAAGCGTGCGTCGCCGGCGGTGATTGGACCGGTTGGACCGTATGATCGCCTGTACTATTTTTACTACCGCTTTTGCGTCGAAGTAACTTAGGCCCTTCTGGAAATCTTTTATCTTGCTCCTATCTCTTGCTTTCTGCGCAAGTGGTCTGTCGTGTAGGTTAATCTTATGTAAAATAATGTGTTTAAGTTATTTTAAGGTCGTTTTTTCTCGCAAGAAGAAATGAAGAAAATCCCATCGTGACGGGGAGATTAACAGGATGGGTGGCTAGGTGGAGCTCGAGAACTTACGTGCTCGCGCTACTTGTATAATACTAAACGATTGAAAAATAACAAAATTTATTTCGGTTAACATGTCAGGAGCCTAATCTAATCGAAATCTTAAGATCTACGTAAGCGTCGGAATTTACACGCATTACCATCGTTAAAGAACAATGTTATTAAATAAGCATTCTGCGACGCACTTATCAAGGACAATTATTAGGCCATACATAAATGGATTATTCTTACATTTTATAATTATTTAATAATATCGGTTTATAGGTAATTGTTCATTTTTGTACACGAACGTATGGCATTGCGTTCCATTGTCTACGCAAAAACTACCGTCATACACCTCACGTCGATGCAATATACATAAAGAGTCATCGTACACGGTTTATGGAATGTTTAACCGTCCGCTATATCTAATTAATGATTCGCTCTAAAAAATACATATATTTATATTCATGACATTGACAGGAATATCTCAAGCGCGGATGAAGTTAATAACAGAATTCGTAAATCGTCCGAATATACATACACCCGCGATTATCACTAATTTGTCAGTATTATTAAGTAAGCTTCAGGTGGCGCCCTTAAAAGGCTGCTATTACATCCTATGTCAGGTCTTACTAAAACGATTCGACCTGCGCGAATAAGTTAACGAGTTCTGTAAATAATGCTCTGCCTTGACAATTAGGCTGACCAACTTATAAATACGTTTTATGGACAGCTCCGTTATGCACAATATGGTCATTATCGAAGGCACCATTTTGCTACAATAGAAACAATGTACAAAAAAGAATCTCTCCTCGATAAATCAGTCCATCGGTGACCAGGGATCCGATTTTCGAGTTCAGACGATCAAGTTTTGCATACGAAATTAACGGTTTCGTTTTCGACTTTCAAACGTTGACCAACGCGGCTTCGCAGCAATAGAACGTTTTTTATGCGAATCTCTTCGTACGCGAAAAAAATGCATATTAACTCGAGAATAGGAGCCCTGCACTTCGTTAGAAAATTGAATTCGTTCCCCTCTATTTAAAAAGGAAAACGGTACGACACGCAGAGTCTCGGGGATGCTTCAGACTTTTGTCGTCGCCAGGAGCTTAATGTAATGAGCTTTATGCGTGATTTCGAATTCTTGAGCAGGCAAGAAGCAGGGAGTCTGAATACGTGGATGTCTGGCCCGCCTGATCAGACTTCGACAGATGAGGCCAACGGTGACGAGAGCTCCGCAAAACGCTGCAACGACCGCAGCGACGAACATCTCCGTGTACTGTCGAAATGCCTGCACCTCGACGCATCTAGACCTCCCGTAATCCTGGGAACCTGGTGGGAGCCCTTCATCGGCCACGTCGTCCAAACTGACGCACACCGTGTATCTTCCTGGTAACAGCCCACTTAGCGTGACAAACTTTAAGGTGCAGTTCAGCTTCCTGCGATGAACCACTGAGTCCGTTGCGAACACCACCACCGAGACCTGACAATCCAGGTTACTCGCGGACTCCTCGGAAAGACCGATATCCACGTGGAGGAAGCCCTGCTCCGAAACGTTTACGTGGACTCCTGTTATCCTGGGGTTGACGATCACATCCTGGGACCCAGACACCGCGGATTGCTCCCGCCAACCATCGAATGTCGTTTCTTCCAGGGTGATCACGTCGCTGCACCCCAGACCGAGGGATACATCGTCATAGCCGGTTGGCACCAGCAACACCACGCAGTATCTGAAACAACGATTAGTCCATTATTGACCAAGTTTCGCTCTCACTGCAGGAACAACTGATAAATAAACGATAAATAAAATTCGAGTTGCCCCAGTGAAGTGATCGTTTCTTTTTCTTGTCAGGGGTTCACCCTTGTGGAAGCAAATAGTCTAACCAATCTCTGGAGTAAAATAGTTTTGTAAGATGCCGATGATTACTTGTACTTATGTCCAGGCTGCAGTCGGAGGGACGAAGGTATGGATACAGGCAGCGAACAGGGATCCCTCATGAGCCTGGAGTCGCAACGAAGTGGACTCGACTCGGTCTGGACCTCGCTGTCGCCAACGGTCTCGTAAACTATTAAAGTATCACAAGTGTATCTTTCTGTACAAGGCTCCACATGCCAGAGTAAATTAACTCCGGTGTTTCTATCATAGCGGAATTCTTTTAAGGTCAATTGGGCCCCAGCCAGAGGAACCCTGGTCATGATCGGCGGGGTTGGTTCCCCGCAAAGCAGACTCCCAGGTGAAACCTGAGTTAGGATTCCGTTTTCCAGAGCAGGAGGAGTCGCGCAAACTGCCGAAGCCTTGTCCTCCTCGTCCAGGGTGGAGTTGCTCAGCCAATTGGCAAACTCTAACAGGGTACAGTCACAGTTTAAAGGATTGTCGGAAAGAGATAAGCGCTTCAGGTGGAGCTTGGAAGTGGGAACGTCGCTGGACACCATCGTGATGTCGTTGTCGTCCAGCAGCAGATCTTGCAGACTCTTCAATGGCACCACCAGGTCCGCGGTTAAAGACCTTAGAAAATTATGGGTCAGGTCCAGGGTCGTCAATTTGTCCAAATGTGCCAGCGATGCACTCGATACCGCGACTATGCGATTATTCGCCAAGTCTAGCCGAGTCAAAGTTGACAAGTACTTGAAGGAATGGTCCTCCAGAACGTCGATCTGAAAATGGACTTCCATTAATTTTTATTAAACGCGTTTCACATATTATGGACACGAAGATACATCGATGATTGAGATTTCTGACTTCCAAAAGTAATAGTCACGATTCCGGGGGAATGTAATCAAATGGATTCAGAGGTTCAGAGGAGAGTCCTACCTGGTTGTGACTGAGACTTAGCGAAGTCAAGTTCGGAAGTCCAATTAATGCTCCTTGTTGAACGTTCACTAATTCATTTTCAGAGACGGTAAGAAATCGCAATTTGGGCATCCGAGGGAGAAGATTCGGTCCCATTGGTCCCAGAAGCATATTATTGGAGAGGTCGAGTTCTTCGAGATTCTTCAAACCTCTGAGGGCTGAAAGTGCCGATACGCTCAGTCGGTTTCCTTTCATCTTCAGAGACCGCAAAGCCGGAACTGCCGAAAATGCTTGCGGCGACAGTTGCGAGAGTAGATTGTCACAAAGATCCAAATAAATTAAATTCGACAGCCCCTGAAAAACATTTACGTTTCATTAATAGCAGAACGTTATGTATATATTTCTGGCACGTCTCTGACCCGTCAGAAAATGGATTCCCAATCTGCATGTTATATCATTTTATAAGAATGGAATTTACTTTGAAGGAGTCGGCTTCTAGGGTTTTCAATTTGTTATGGGACAAGTCCAATCTGTCCAATCCGATTATGTGCTTCAGAGCCACGGTTGGAACGGAATCCAAAAGATTGTTGGGCAATCCAAGAGCCTGCAGAGGTCTAGCCAATGCAGTGAAGGCATTCTCGTGGACCCGACGCAGTTCTCCAGTGGAAACGACCAATCCGTGCAGAGCGACGTCTTCTAGAAAATTTGCCGGAAGTGTGGAAATCCCAGCCACCGTGATGTCCAAAAGTGATATTTTTCCAGGACGACTGTTCCTCAAATGTCTGCCGATTACCTGTGGATAATTTCAGAATATAATACCCCAAAATATCTGCCATATAAGTATTTCGTCTTTAATGAAAGGAGCCAAACGCCTTATCGAGGACCACCTTTGAATTGCACCGAATTTTTGTCCAATTCATCTCGTACTCATAGGCCCGGTTCCACAACTCGAGTTAACCGAGGTTTAACGGGTTTGCACCCGATATAAATCCCGCTGAATACCAATTAATCTCCGCTTAACTCGAGTTGTGGAACCGGGCCTTAAAAAGAAAATTGGCATTATTCGTGAGAATCATAGACATTTTAAAAAATAAATCAACGTTTAGCTCTTACAATTACATTCTGCATATTCTTACTGAATAATTATTAAATTATTCGGTGAGCTATTTCATACTTCCAACGCACTCCTGTCCCCGGTACACCTCAAGGTATGCGGAAAGTCACAGGAGCACTCGACGGCATTGTTGGTTATAATTGGACATTCCCAGACTGTATCGGAAAGGTTGGCGGCCATGGTTGTTGAAACTTCCGGTGGTTTCCATGATGTTTCGTTGGGCGGAGATTGCGATGTAGTCGTTGCGCTGATGTAGTCCTCCGAAATGTCCGAAGATGTCGCCACAAAGGCCACCACCAGAAGCAGTAATAGAAATGTTTCCACCATCCTGAAAGAAATGATTAAAAAGTTATCGCCAGTTTTCGGCCAGTTCACGGTTTAGCAGATTATTTACTGGTTTAGCGAGCAAAGTATATAATGTCATATACTCATAAAAAAGTGATATCTGAAATCATATAAGTCTTTGGTTTGAAAACTACTTAAAGGTCCACGATTATGCAACGCGATGAGAGATCAAAATGGGACGCGACAAAATCTCGATTGCGTTTCGCGCCAAATATGTTCATGGACGATCACCTTCATAAATATTCACCGAATCTTTAAGGTTTTTAGGTGACGATTCTTTTCTTTTAGGTCCTCTTCTTGGCGACCTCAGCAGCTTTCAAGAAGATTTACGACAAGTTTATCATAATCCCGGATACGGATTACAATAGCATGTATCTCTATTGCACGAATCCGTTGATGAAGTATCCAGAAGTGGACAGACCCTTGGACGCATCCACATTGGCAAGGTTTTCTGCAGGTCTACCCTTGGAACTTGTTCGAGACGTAATTAGCAATATTTAAAGTTTGAGAGGCAAACACCTACTCGGCAAGAAACGAGCTAAGCTTTCGGCTGCGGAAAAGGAAACTGCCGCAGAGAAAAAGGGAGATAAAGAGACGAATAAAGGACAATTACTTTAAGAACAACGCTGCGAACAGGAAGCAGACTTTGCAGTGCTTCGTTTCAAGAAAGGCTAAGAGATATCCTATATTTCCGGATAAATACCACATGTTTCCTCCCATTCGAATCGGTTTAAAGTACAAAATGGACATAAAATATTTCTTTCTTATCGTTGAGAAACGGGGAAAAAAGAATCAGAGAAGAAAATTGTCGGGAAGACCGAACGGGAGTCGCAATAAAATGTATCGCGTCATTATCAAAAGAAGATGGCGACGGGCCGAGACGAAGAACCAGAATCCTCCCGGCTTCCTTATCCGTTACGAGGAAATCACGTTTTCCATGTGAGAACGCCGGGGTTTGATCTCATCTTCGCGGGTCAGATGAGAACTGCAGAACCGAAGAAGAATTCCTGATGAAGCTTCGAAGCGGTCGATCCAGTTCGAATCGTTTCTTCATGCGTTTCTTCGGCGTCGGTACAGTCGGTATTGTCGGAACCAACCGAACCCGTTATTAACGACCTCAGCGGACACCTGGGTCCGGAACCCACCCTTTTAGAATTCTATCTCTTGATTGGCTATCGCGGATCTACGGGTGACATTAAGGCGATACGAAAGCGTTGACGCGTACATTGAAAAAGGTCAAGACATCGATGAAACTTTTCTCCAAACCGGGGGCACCGAATCATTTGAAACTTCGGCTCGTGAAATTTCAATCGTCAAAAAGAATTTTTCCTATATACGGTCCCAGGGATTTAGCGGCCGTTCGATCTTGAGAATTTGAACTCGAATCGCGTGTCCATGGGACGCCTTAACGTTACCCAACGTAGAAACGTTGGGTTCTCCTGGCAGACCTTGTCTCGTCTACGCGATACGATTTATCTTTACGGGATATTTTCTTGTATTCCTCGGAGGCAAGGGGATGCGCGTCGGGGACGTCATGAATCAAGAAACGCAAACTCGCGCTTCGATAAGCGAGGTTTCGCGCCCTACGTCGAAAACGCTACTCACCCGAGCGCGCTTGCGCCGTCCCGCCGTCTCCGCGCCCTCGGACCGACCGCTTCCATCTTCGGCGGCCCGGAGGAAGGAAGACCGCTCACGCACCGGCCCATCTCCCACGCCCGATCTCTCCTGGCGAGCTCATCTCGCCGACACGCCGGACGATTTTTCCTGCAATCACATGTGTTTTCCCTCTTTAGCCATCTCTCCCGTACTCTCCCATGCTCCCCCGACACCTCACGAGCATGCCCGATAGATTTCAGTCATTCGACCGTCGACGACCGACTCGACGACCGACTCGACGTATCGTCAATTTGCTGATGTGATTAACCGATTATCGGTTTGCGCTAATGAAATCGTTGACTCACCTCGTTTCCGACAAGCGGTGCAGCTCGAACCACAAACCGGGAAAACACACCGGGTGACACCGGGTACCATCGGGTACCATCGGGTACCAGCCGGGCACTGCGTCGGGAGCTCGACTCGTGCCCACGGGAACCCCCCCACCCTCTCGGCACGCGTGCCCGCGTGGGGACCGTCCTCCTCTGTCTCTCGGTTTCCACATAGCATAGCCATGTATGGCACACGGAGACCCCGTACGCCCACTTGGCCTACGGCGGGCACCGCCGAACCTCCTTCGAGAGCGGGGCTTTTCCTCTGCCTCGACCGCAACCTACCGACTCGTATTTTACATGTGGAATTTCTCGTCATTTCGTTGAAACGCTTTAGAAAAGCACGGATGTGCTCGGGACGAACCGGAGGACCGGATTGGGCACTTCCCCCGCGGCTCGACGCGTCCCAAAACATCCGTCCTTTTTTATTTTTATAAACTTTTTCGTTGCAACGTCGCCTTAGTCCACGAATGTCATAAAAATTAATATTGCCCGCGGCAAAAGGGTCAAAGGATACGCTAAGGATTAATGGGCGACTACCCTAGTCATGGCGTCGCGATCCACGAAGGTCGCGGAGTATCGTATGGATCGTATGGATCGTATGGGCGCTCGCCCCCGCCAATCGGTCGGCGATGAATGAAATCTCCGGTTCTGCCGGTCGTTACGAAATCACGTAAAACCGGGCCCGAACGCCCACGCGGACGGAGACGGCGTTGCGCCCGTTGCGCCAGCCAACGCGACGGAAGAAAGTCTCGGCCGTTTCTTTCCCAAGAGCGGGGCGAAACTTCCTGCTTGAGCGTCAAATATTTCCGTGGAATCCACCATATAATCGTGTTTATATAAATATCAAGATGCCTTGTACGTTATCGATCATCGTCGACGATCGGTTCTCCGTTCACTTATTTATTATAAAAATAACTATACCATTTGTGTTTAACTTGTAATAAGAATAATTATCTTACCGACGCAGACTGAATTAATGCAAGCAATTATTCTTATCTAAACGTTTTCGATGGGTTGGTGTCTTCCATTAGTTCGATATATTGCCTTACGTCGTTCATATATCTTCGCAGAAACAGGTGATCCTTCTTTACATTCGTAATCAATTGTTTTATATCATTTATTCTGGAAATGTGTAAATACAATTATAAAGTTAACTTATCATTCGATAGGTGTACTTCTAACGATGCAATTATTCTCATTTTAATTTTCTTATTGTTTTCTCTGTTTCTTTGAAATCTTATATTACTTAGATAATGATAACTATGTACAAACATCGATGTTACTATTCTTTTTATAACTAGAACTTGAATTATAGACTGACCTTACGCTGCCTAAGACACACGCCACTTCGATGTCGTTACAGTTGAGTTTGTTAAAAGGTTTCAACTGCATTACAATATTTAGTACTATATCCATCCTTTTAGTGTAAATCGTAAAACGTATCCTGAGAAGTAAGAAATACTTGTTAGTTATTAAAGAAAAGTAAATAAAAAGTATAATGAATTAAAAGTTAATGTATTTCCATTGTTGCAGATAACGTGAAACTATTTTAAAATTATAAATTAATCACTTATCGACCATGTAGAATTATGCCATAATGAACAAATCGGTACACACCTATCGATATCAACTTCCATCAGTTTCGAGTTCTCCAATCGTTTTAATTCGTACATAAAATCTATTGCAAGTTTGACTTCGGTGGAAAAGTGCTCGATCAGTGGCATAACATCTTGATGAGTCCTAAATGATTTGACGAGATCCTCAGGATTTATTTTATCGATAATCAACCGATGAACAATCTTTATCATCTTCTCGGCCTTTTCTGAATAAACATAAAACAACATTTTAATATTGCAAATAATTAATTCGCCCCTAATTTAACTTCTAATTGGCAAATTAAACATTTACCTGTGAGGCGTGAAACAATTTTTATCGTTTGTATTGTATTAGCAGTACCGTCAATATTATTCTGAAATAGTATTACGAAAACAAGGGAACTTGACATGTAGCCAAGAGAAATTAATTCCTTCTTTAAACTCCTGATATCCCAGATGCAATCTTTTCTGTAAAAATGAAATTAAAAAAAAAGTTTAAACACTTCTTAATTAAAACATACCATTTTTAGACTGTAATTAATGCATTTACATATATATATTGTTCTTACACAGTATAACACGGTTGTATATATTTTTCATCACATAGATCATGCTGCGAACCTACCTTTTGTTAAATGTCTCGATACTTTCAGCCAGCATATCAAAATAATCTTTATTAACTACGTCTTCTTTAACAGCGGCACTAGATTCCTCATTTATTTCCTTGACAGGGCAAACTTCATTTAAAAGTTGTTCAGAGTTCTGAATTTCACCATTGTCTTCTTCGAGAGCCAAAAATTCAGGACACTCTTCGGTGGGGAAATCTTCTTCTTCGATGTCTTCCTCTATAGCTGCTTCGATCATCCTAGATATCATTCTACATTCTTGCCTGAACATTACGAAAGGATCCTCCGCGTCAAACTGAAAAGGATCTTTCTGATACGAAGGACTTGTTGGTACGTCTTCGGTGCATAAAATAATGTCTTCTTTAGAAATCGTGTCGTCGATGGGTAAACTACAATGTGTTCCAGATGGAGAATTCACATTTTCCGTGCAAATTACTGAATCACTCGAAAAAATTACAGACAATTTTCTTTTATCTTGAACTTTGTTGAGATTTTCTTTTAAATCTAATTTTTTTGTGTCCATGTCTTCTTTTCTTATAATGTAAGTGTCCGATCTTAACATACTAGGTTTCGAAGTTGCACCAGTACTTTGACAATTTTCAACCTTCGTGGTCTCTTGGGTGAAATTATTCCTCTTTGAGTCCCATGAAACAATCTCAGGATTCTGGAAACTCTCCACAGCATCGCAGGGCCCATCGAAAAGATGTGAGATTACTCCAATAGGCTCTGATGAAACGTTTTCTAACAACCCTAAATGTGTCGAAGAACCAGGTTTAATAAACTTTGGGTCAGTGACGACATAAGTATACCGAGATGAAGGAGCTTTACTTATTTTTTTATCGTTATTAACAAAAGGTTCATTGAGTTCAGCTAGAGATTCTTCTTTATCATCCAGCTCAGAGGGTGATTTATTCATAGTTTTCATCTCTTCTATAAGGAATTCGAAAGTTTCCTCCGGGTCTTCTTCTTGCTCTAAAAGACTTTTGGCTAATGAAATTCTAGGTTTTCCTGTTAATGCCTTTACCTTTTCCTGGATTAGTTTACTGCGAGCCCTCTTTTCACTTAAAATTCTTTTACTCGAAGAATTAACAGACAAAGGCAAACGTGACGTTTTAGGAGTAAGCTCTAGTAAATTTCGCCAATGAAGATCACTTTCCTTCCACGGTGAAGCTGCGGCTAAGTTCGTATTCACCGATGTTGTATGGGCAACATCAACTTCATTTTCTTGCCTCGTACAGGCAGGATTCGATACACTTCGCTTTTCCAATGCATCGACATACACATTCGAAGCAATATTCATCCGCGCTTCATGCACTTTATCTTCTTGTGGCAAAGTAGGGAACTCTGAAATTACCTTTATCGTTGTGTTCGATGGAACTTCATTTTCTTTACCCGTACAAGCCAATCTTGTTTGACAGAGATCGATTTTTTCTGGCGGTAGAGGTGAAACATCTGAAGTCATTTCCTTTGATGTATTAGAAAAAATCTTGTTCATTTTTCTTGTACCAGTCTCACTTCCTGTGAGATTATTTGTCCTAACTATAGTTATCGGTTTAGGAATTGCCATTGTCAATTCTACCGATACATTCTGAAACACTGTTGTTCTCTCAGTAGGGTCATGACCAACTGGATCAATTTCAATATTCATATTTCGTAAAATGTCATCCACTCCTATAGCGGTTGCTAGTCGTGGAAGTGCTTCAGTCATCTCCATTGATACATTCTGAAACATTCCTGTTCTTTCTCTAGGACCACGGCAAGCTTCATCCATTTCAATATTCTTACTTCTTGCAGGCACTGCTGCGGTCATTTCCATTGAAACATTTTGAAATATTCTTGTTCTTTTATCACGTTCGCCATACACATCATTTGGATTCCTTTGAGGATGATTTCCACTCGGTGAAACCACTGACCGAGGAAAAGCTCTAACTCCTTCGGTCATCTCCATCGGCATGTCTTGAAATATTTCCGTCTTCTCGTTACGATCACAATAAATCCCATCCATTTCAATAATCTTATTTCGTAAAATGTCATCCACGCCTATAGCGGTTGCTAGTCGTGGAAGTGCTTCAGTCATCTCCATCGATACATTCTGAAACATTCCTGTTTTTTCGCTAGGACCACGGCAAGCTTCATCCATTTCAATATTCTTACTTCTTGCAGGCACTGCTGCGGTCATTTCCATTGAAACATTTTGAAATACTCTTGTTCTTTCATCACATTCGCCATACACATCATTTAGATTTCTTTGAGGATGATTTCCACTCGGTGTAACCACTGACCAAGGAAAAGCTCTAACTCCTTCGGTCATCTCCATCGGCATGTCTTGAAATACTTCCGTCTTCTCGTTACGATCACAATAAATCCCCTCCATTTCAATATTCTCATTTCTTCGAAAATCGCTTCTCCTCATTGAGGTTACCGATTGAGGCACCATTGCAGTCATCTCCATTGACACGTTTTCAGGAATGTCATCCATCTGATTAACTTTGCATCGAGATCTCTCAGTTTCTATATGTGAAACGATCATCTCTTCAATGTCTTCTGCGGTAACAGTTCTGGTTTTCTCCAGAGTAACATCTCTTCTAATGTTTGAAGTATCCATCGAAGACTCGAAATAATGTATGCCTTCTTCTTCGATTAATTTAACATTACCAAATTTGGCATCATCTCTGAAGGTCATTGTCATATTTCTCCCATCCATTCCGAGTCTTACCGATGAATCTCTCGCAACATTTACGGAAATAGGAGCATTTTTTGGTAACAGTTTGTGTAACTTATTTGCACTTTTACAAGGTAATTTATCCATCTCTTCGATATCTTCTTGAGTCAATGTCCTCGTTCGTTCTAAAGTGGCATCACTCTTAACCACTGAAGCTCTTGAAACAAAACTCGAAATTTCGGATTTTGTCATCAAAGGATCCAGACACATCGACGAACACTTTATTTTCGATTTCTTGGATTCTTTGTCATCTTTATTTGATTCGGCACGAGAGAACCTTGAAACCACAGTGGATAATTCCAGTGGCACCGATAGAACATTTATTGCTTTTTCCTTATTTAAAATGCGTGAATTTGTAATTGGTACTAAGGTTGTTGTTCCAGAAATTCCAACGTCTTCGGGATTCTTGAAATTTATCGATACCTGTTCATTTTGAGTAGACTTCATTTGATGAATCGTTCCCTGATCTTTCGGATAATTGACACTAAGCATCATAGATTCTGGAAAATGAGTAACTCTGCGAACTATCTGTAGATCTATCATATTCTCCCTATTAACTAGTTCATTTCTTTTCATCAATACCAAAGGATTTGGACACTGTTCCTCCTTCTGTACCGAGCCAATTTGTCTGACAATTGATGGATCCATCAAACTTTCTCTGTTAACCGGTTTACTTCCTTTGGCAGTTGAAGAGGCATCAGAATATAGACCCTTCCTAACTGAACCAAACTGTCGAATAATGGCTGTATCTATTACACTTTCAGTGCTCGCCGGTGGATTTCTTTTAGCCATCGGACATAAATCAGAGATTTGTTCGTTTCCAGCGGTACTCAGCTGTTGAATAACATCCAAATTCTTTGGGTGATTGGTATCAGATACATTTGATCCAGCATTTGAATGAAAACTCGATTTTTGCAGTGCTGATAAATCTGTTAAATCGCTTCTATCACCTGCAATATCTTTTCCAGCCATTAAAACTGCATCCTTACTTTGTTCACTTCTGGTGAAACCTATTTGTTGACTAACCGATGGGTTTATTAACTTTTCCTTATTAAACGGAACATTTTGCTCTGCCTTTGAGGATGCAGCAGGAAGAAAATAATCTTGAAGAACTGCAGAACCATGTTCTAAACAATTTTCTACCGATAAACCACTCTCACTTTCAAATAAATTATGCTTCATAATGGACAAATTAATTTTGGGATCAGAATTTGTCGGAGGAATCACTGACGTGAAATCCATTCCATCTTCTGGATCCCCTTGTTGCAAATTCTCTTTTTCAACTAAAGCATTGCTTAATGTCAGTAAAACAGGCATAGAACGTTGTTGTGATAATTCATACTTTCCCTCAAGTAAAATAACTTTCGGAATTAAATTACTCTCCTCAGTACAGATTGCTGCAGAAGCCGATTCCATTTCATCCTCATCGCAAAATTCTTGTTGCGGTAAGATGTTTTCTTTTTCAAAAGCAGCAATCTTTGGAGTCCCTAATCTTACGTTAGAATAAAAACTTGTTAAAGGAACCTCCGATGTAAAGTTAATTAGATTTTCTTCTGCAAATCTTGACTGTGTTAAGACATTCTCTTTTGCTTGTGCTATGTTTTGTGAACTCACCGGTATTAATCTTAATCCTGTGGAAGAAGCTACTGGAACGAATTGCATTTCATCCTTTGAGGAGAAATTTCCATGTTGCTCTATTGCACTCTCCGGTTCGACTGAAGCACTTCGAGAAATCACTTTATCATTACAGATAAATCCTTTCTCTTTATCTGATTGTTTGCAGTCCTTCGTGTTAGGTGCTCTGTTGTCCAAGATACATCTTGTACTCGTCGCTGTACCGGAGCATTGTGCCACATTAGAAGTATTTGAAACACTTTCCTTACCTACGCAGTGACATGCTTGAGGAGCCAATGAAACTATGGAGGTAAACTCCATTGCCTCTTCTTCAAACAAAATAGTTTCTTCCATTTTCGTTTCTTTACTACTGATGCTCTTACTTCCCCTCCTACGTTTGACTGTCTTGTCCTTTTCTGATGTTCCTGCTTCTACGATCCCTCCTATTGGATCGGTTAAATCAAGTTCACATTGCATGGCATTGCAATCACTTTGACGACTTCGGAGGAAAAATCCCGTCTGAGTTGTCTCTGCAGAAATTACGCATACACTGGGCTTCTTTACTACTGTTTCAGTGTAATGTTTTTGTTTTTCACTGACTTCAACAATTGTGCGAACTTCTTCCTTCTGACAGGCCAGTGCAATTCCATTGCCATCGGATGGTGAGTTTAATTTTTGAAAGCTCGACTCACTTTCTTCATAGGTATTATCCCAGACTGTGCCTTGATCGACGGAGTTGCAGAATTCCCTGGGATAAATCAGAGTAAAAAATGATGCAATGAAAAACATGCAATATGGTGTATTGGTATGCTTTATTTTGTTTAGAAACATCTTGTATAGAAATCAATTTTCAAATACGTAAGAAACCAAGCCTGCCATTACAACTCACTTGACATGCTTTTTTTCCGCAAAACTGACACGTCGCTTGAGTTTTGAGGTAGCAGGGCTACTTTCAGAGGAGGATGTGTTAAAGTCCACATTTTGCAGAGGCTGACGCGCTTTTGATGGCTTTAGTATCTATATTGATAAAACAGAATTCCCAAAAAGTGTTAGATTAAGGAGTGTTAGTCAGCAAGGTAAAAATATACATGAAAATTCATTTATAGTTTAGTGAAACAAATTTTAAATACGTAAACAACTAACATATAATGAGATATTCCCACAGTGGTGACAGGATTTACAAAGCCATAAGCAAAAAGATTAATTTATGCACTACAGTGTACTTCTTTATTTATTAGATATAAAAAGTTCATTCGAAGATGAGATTTTTTAACTTACCGATGACCGCCTCGATGCTCTCTCAGATTTAGCTCGAATCCTAAGCAATGATTAAATTAATATTCTAATAAAGTTATGGCCAAAATAGAAATACATAGATCTGTACAAAATCTGAAACTAATATACAGGTGGTAACGCTAGATGTACAAACCATGTCTAGACCTGTAATGAGTCTCCAAATTTAAAGTACTTTAATGCAAATAATTAAAAAACACTCTCATATACGGATTTTGATCAAACAAGCAAGAAATAAATCTTATAGGTCATTAATATACAACGGAGTAGTAAATAAAAAGCAAGTTTGAGGTTACACTTGACAGATAATTACTTTACATACGTTTTTCTTCACTTATCCGATCACATCGGAATATTTTCGCGTATTCGACTTAATTTAGACGATTCATGCAAGAGGTTAAAATGTATACCTACATTTCACTCTATTGCTACAACTAGTAATAATGAAAAGAATTTGAAAACTTCAAACCGACACTTGCCGACACTTGAAAGATGTCGAGTAGCATCGAATATCGTCCTATTTGTTCCAACCTATCACCGGCTTCGGGAAAATTCAATACGAACCAATAACGATCCACCAATCTAAGCCAAATGAAAAATGGCGACTGAATCGAGCCAACGGGCATCCCGCTATGGAGTAAACAGCGGCAAATTAGAATCAAAATGAATAAAACAACGTATGACGTATTCACGAATTGTGCATTATTTCGAGTGAATGGAATCTGATGGAATTCCACTAATCTATGATGAAATGCGTTTCGTATCCAGTGTAGAATTATTTTTAAAAATTAACAAATTCTTCCAATTACCTCGTCTATACGCAATATTTATATTGACAACTTCGTTACATCAGAGGTTACATACATGCACGTTGAACTGTATTCTGTCCTTCAAATCGGGTTAAATATATTGCGTTACGATCGAGAACCATAATTGAGGTTAACGCATATAAGTCAATGTTCAATGCATAGCGAATGCACCGAGAGAGTACCTACAACTAACATCCAAGTTCGCAGTCAAATGTTAACATTTTTATAACCTTAAAAAGTGTGCAGAAACTTCCACAAATTTTACGGTTAAATTCCTTGTTAGCGAAGAACAAGAATTTCTTCCTCGATGGTTCCCTTACTTCGTATATTACCAGAAAGATTGCAGGAGTAGATATCAGCTTTGGCATAGCTTAACGATGCCACCAAATTCTCGTGTGCACTACACGATATCCTATACTATTGTCTACATTTGTAGATAATAGTAAAGATATTTAACAGCTTCTCTGGTTACCGATGAATAATTAAATGGCGTAGTTTCCGTCTTCGGTCGTCTTTAAAACCATGAAACTTCATTGGTCTGCAATAACCTAGCTTCGTACATTAATTATGCTACGACTCTAGTTAACTTCAATGGAGCCTGTGACTGCGATCTCCACACCAAAGTCAGGCAGTATTCTTATCGATTTCACAATTTCAATGGAAATTAATGTTATTTTCCACCTGCTGAGTATAAAACGTGCTTGCAGATGGCAGCTGACATTTACAATTTCTTGGTCCACCGACGAAGAAATGGAGCTTGTTACTTTGAGACTCTTTGAAGAGCAAAGGGCCATCGACAGAATTCACCAATCTTCCAACTATTCCTTCCAACTAACCAGCATTTTGATGTTTGACCTTATGAAATGCGCTCAGTGATATTTAAGAGTGACGATTACAACTGACATTCGTTCTTGCCGCTAACTGACTGCATTCGCTCGCGAAAGCACAAATTCTAAATGTCCATAAGCTAAATTAACAAATTAACCTAACTTATAAATCTATTCTAAATATTCCTTAAACGTCTTCGGAACAAGAGGTGGATCCTCCTGGTGGCACTCTCTCCTTGTTCGCGAAAGAGGAAAACTTAAAATGTACTTTAATAATGGGTCCATTACAAAAGTAATGACGAAAGTATGAAACATCATCGATGATAATGGGTAAAGGGTAAAAGTTACAAAATGAGACTTTGGACGATATTAAAACTGCTTCCTTAAAAGTTAAGCATACAGAATTTGAAATACTTTAGTTTAACATTTCATCGTAAGCAACAATAACATCTTGATTTTTACAGATATAACTATATGTAATGCATAATTTTACATTCCTAAAGATCGTTATAAAGCCAATATCGACAATTGGGCTACTTTTTCAATAGCTCTCTTCCAAAAAACAAGTGCATCAAGTTAATCCCATTTTCACATTAAATTAAGATTCATAAATTAAGTGAAATATAAATCTGAATTCATTTTTCTCAATTATTAAAATTATTTCTTAATAACTAGGAATGTTCGTTTTGATACCCTTTAATTTTAGAAAGATTAATCGCGAATATAAAGTGGCATTATTTGGAAAATAGAATTAATGTCTCAAAGCAGTTTCTTAAGTAAAATAATAATATGTAAAGGTATGATCGATAACACGTTTAAACTGTATTTGTATGTTGTTTCATTTTTTTCTGTATCTATCAGAAAAAATGGATATGAGTCCTCTTAAGGAGAAATCGATTTAGGGATTAACGAACGCCACGCGAAGTCTTTTACTCTTAATAAATACATTAACCGAAAGGAGTAAGGAATGCGGAGGGCGAAACCACGACTCTTGCATAGCACGAGCATGCATAGACAAGTTCACGAACAGATTAGACTCCAATTAGTGGTCCTGACCGTTCCATTAACATCGGTTGCACAGAAACTCTCCGTTGAGTGCTTGAAACTTGATATCCAATTAGCTCGTCACAATTTTGCACCGAATCATCTCTAAGACCTCACAATCAACCAAACAAATTCTAATTCTTCCACCATTTATCGAACAACACTGGAAACACTTTTTTCGTTTAACAAATCTAAAACATTTAGGCATTATGATCCCTTTCCTATTGATATGTAAAGTAATGGGATGTTATACATGTATAAAAAAAGAGAGAACACTTTAAACCCTTTTCCGTATGAAATTGTTCTACTTCTAGGATCGACCTGAAGAAGCCTATGATTAAAGAAGCAAAGCCCTTCGATGTACCAGCACTCAATGAATCTCAGCCAAAACATTGCACTGACTAGACAAGTCGAAGCCTCGGAGCTGCACCCAAGCCTAATTCTTCGTTCCTCCGAAGCTCTCCGATAAACCATTAATGGGAATCATAGTAACTGAAGGCACCGAAGACATTTCCTGCTCTTGGCTAAAGGTAACCCATTTGAGGTTAGTCGCTCTCTTCGTCACTTATTTCAGCTTACTAATGCTCCCGGCAATGAATTTCTAGTTGTCAGACATTGCTGTTCGGTGTGCCAGTGAATCCCAGTGGTTGAGCGTTCTCGACGAGTGTGGACCGCATGCTGGACGTCGGCAAGTAGCTTTCCGTCGTGGCCGCCCTCGTTTTCATCTCATCCAGCGAAGCCCTGCAGAGAGAAGATTCATCACTTGGTATGCTACTTTGAAGGCCTCTGATCGGCAGGTTTCAAAAAAGACGTCCCAAACCACAGGATAGCTGCATCGATTCAAGTCTACCTATCCTAACTATCTGAGGGGGGCTCATACGTATGTAGGCTAAAAGCATGTGGAGGATTACTTGACTCGCATCGATGCAACCAAAGGGTGGTATTAACAAATATACGTGCAATGCTATAGTAAAATGTAGACAGAAGAGACTGAAATGTTTTCTGACGAAACCGAGGCGTGAATTTCAGTTACAAGTAGAACAAAACATCGAATGAGTACATCAAATTTATCCTTAATTTATTATATTAGATTAGATTAGTAAAAATTCCTTGAAAGTATTTAAGGCCTAACACATTTTCAACTAGGTAGAAGAAATAACTAATATAGACATAGCTGTTCTAAGGAGAAGTAGTAAGTGCAAAAATGGTGTAAACTAGTGTAAACGTAAAGTGAAGCATGTAAATATAATATTAGAACGTATAGAGGAATTAGTTAACGGACACTGTAGATAAGATTAACAAAGTGAGTTAGAGTTAATAAACGAATCAATTATAAATATAAGAATCACTGCAAAAGCACCATTTTGTCTCTCCAAATTGAAGTACGAGATTCACTCATGCGGGAACGATATAAACTGTGGTCCTAGGTGCCACATAAGTTCTGAAATATGAATCATAAAGTAATATCATGCTCAACATTGGTCTAAACAATCAGATATATATATATATACACAAACATACACACACACTAGTTGGCTGATAAAAAAGAGCTGTCAGTGTGAAGAATTACCGCGGAAGCTGCGATTAGTGTTTCGAGGCCATCTAACCTCCATTGTCTGCATAGTTCGTAATTTAAATTACATTCTACGGAACGTCTCAAGGGATAATCGATTAGTATGCAAAGCATCTGCTGTAAATGTAAAACAGTAATACCATACAGCTTACAGACAAAACATAATGGGATAAGGTTTTGATAAGGCATTGATATTATAACTTTAAAATTGCATAAATGTACTCAAGGTGTAATCGCAACTGCTAAGTACGTTTTCGATTAGTGAAGCAGGACAATGGTTGATTATTTCTAGTCGCTCACACGGAGGGAAGAAATAAAACTACATGTTACAAAATTAGGTATTAACAGAATTAACTTCTAATAGGTCCACCAGTCGTGTGGAAGCGAGGCGACAGAAATACCTATAAGATGCATAGCGGAATTCATATCTGCCATAATAATATAAAAGAGTTTCAACATTTAACAGAAATATATACATCCTATCTCACTGGAAAATTTTAATTTCTATTAAACCAGTCACTTTGAAGCACCACCATTGACACAGTAATTAATTGTACAAGAGTTCACTTGCTCCGGAACAGTTTCGACGAGTCAGAAAATCCTATATCGATTAAAAATGTTGCTCAGTCAGCATTCACAATACCGATCAAAATACTTCCATCACCTCATCAGTCACAAAGCAGAATCCAACATTGGAACGATCAATGTGTCTACGATTGCTAATAAAAACACACTAAGGGGAATATTGTCAGTCATGCATCAGCAAGGCAGGAAAATAATCTACGAGGTCCAGGAAGCCATCCAGACAGGAATCGTAGCTACGTGCTGAAACACCAAGCCACCGTTGAGGCACAATGGCACTAAAATTGAGATATTAATACAGTTGAACTTTCAAACATTACATATACATGTATATAAAGTTCAACGTGTGGGTAAAACTATGAAAAAACGTCATTCTCCTATATTTTTAATTCGTTTATCAATGCAACTTCATCCACACACAGTTGGAGGCCAAATGACTGTTCGTACGTGTTAAAATTGCATTATGATGAACTTGAAGCAATAACATTTTTTTTAATGCATAGTGAATGTATGAAAAATCATTAACACTTGTTAGAAGAAATATGTATTCTGTGACACGGTGCCAGGGTGCAATGATCGCATGGTAAGTGACGTTGAACTTGGTATATTATTGCCTGGTTAGTGGAGTGTGGTTGCAAGTGAACGTTTCTGGCGACTTATGTAGGCCTCCAGACATCAGGGTCCTCCATGAGCGTCGTATGGTGATCCGCAGGAGGCGCAGCCGCCGGAGGAGAGCCCACTCCCGGAGGCGTCATTCCTGTCGGTTCGGGCCTGGACCCTCTGTCGGTTATTTCGGTCGGAGGATTAGTCATTCGATCCAACAATTGCATCGGCCAAACACAACCGTTACCAACTCAAACTAATTCCTCATGTTAAGGTGAAGCGAAGCCCCCCCCCCATCGGTCGACTCGAATAAGACACTTTTTTCCCCTTTTCCGCTCCGAATGTATAATTTGTTCACGTATTATTATATAGAAAAAGCGCATCCACAGAATTAGGTCGTCACCGATCGGTAAAAATCACCTTTCGCGTTACCGTAAGAGGAAGTTAATCTCTGTAATCCAGTAGTGTTATTCACTGTAAAGCAAATCCACTGAAATATGTTTATCGGTGAGTCAAGAGATTAGTTGGCAACTGTCATGCATCGAAGAGAATGTCCTTTGTAGTAGCAACGAGTCAATGAAAGATTTTAAACCCACTATTGTATAATTGTACGCACTGCAGATTATGATAACTCAATTCCTGACGATAGGAAAAATTATCAAACTATTGGTAAATATATTTCTAACTTTTTCAAATCGCTTACGATAACGAGAAGAGTTAGTCGATAGTTAATCTTAGGATTCATTGAGCTTACAGCTTCCTGACTTCCCGCTACAGTCTTTAGTCGAGGCAGACATTTCAAGAGTAAACTGCGAAATTGCTCCGGCATTTCCTTGGTTCGATAAGAAAGCTGTTTCAGATTTCCTTACTTACAGCAACTGGGCTCCTAAATCAGGGTTAATTTAGGAAAAGTCTCATTACCCTTTGGGCGGGGAACTCGAGACGGAAAAGAAAATCACCTTTGCCCAGAAGTGTTTGCAAGCTCCTTGCGAGAGACATAAGTTTTCGTCGGTTACTCCAATATGCCAAATAGTTTACAGCTATTTTCACCACATACGTCCTCATTGACTTAAGCAGCAAGTATCTCTTTATGCACTCGCCTTCTCTTAATTCAATCAAAGCCAACATGAACAAAGCCATGACATGATGTGCGTCATGAATAATGATGCAATGCATACAAGGAAAATAGTTCAGTCTCCGAAAGGTCTAAGAAAAATTCACAGAGAATAGACACGTGTGAAATAATTATAAGAAATTAATTAAAGTGAAATCATTAAATACAGTATATGCATATGTATACACATATACTGTAATAAAACAAAGTATATAATTATACTTGCAGATTTTTATAATTTTGCGTTAATTTTCTTAATAAGTGATGTACGCGCATGTGAAATTTTTCACTAAGAAGTACTTAATTTACTTAAAGTGCATATGAAAAGTTACTTATGGTAATTAAGCCAGTAAATAGTTTGAATCGTTTGGAAATTATCAAACAAGAACTTTAATGTGACGAGGCACTCGGCAAAAACTTATGTCGCTACACGCGAAATAGCAATGACAGAGTACAATATTAAGAACTATGATATTTCAGAATTCACTTACTTTTTACCCAAGGACATCAGACCGTAAATAACACCGGTACCAAATATCAGACCACTACCAAATATACTGGCCAATGCAGGGCACAGGAAGATGGCTGGAAGCGCAATCCTGAAAAATGAATTATTTATTTATAATAATTTCTTACTTAAAGGTATATTAACCAATGAAGATGGAACCATACGTACAGGCAATAGGCCGCTGCTCGGTTCCAATAGGGCTTATTTTCCACCCAGTCGCTAAAATGTTGCACAAAATCAATGAATAGACAACAACAGGGAGCCTCCACGGTAATGACGATGAAGCCGGCTATCATCTGCCAGATTCCAGAGATAAGGCAGCTAACTCCACCAAACAGTATCGAAACGCAGTTCCACGCTCCAAGAAATATTGCAACTAAAAGAATTTACATGTTAAGTTTCAATTGGAATATAACTAAGATTTATATAAGTATCCTTAATTAAATTAATCTAATTGCAGGCACAGACACTACGATAGATCTAATCTGAAAAAGTCACCGTAAAAAAAAATTGATTTGTTCAAAACTATCAAGTTATTTCCTTGAACATAAATATAACAGATGACCGTTTTATTTAATATTATCGATATCTGTCCAAATATTTTAGGATCTATGGCAATTGATAACATTGAAATATAATCAATTGGTAATTCCTGACAAATATGACTCGTATCGGAGCATTTTACGTCTCCAGCCTGATTCGGTATAAAATTTCATTGTCCATTGACCTTCTCAGTTGATAAGTTTGGGCTGATAATAGAGGCTCTCAGGAATAGTATATTAATGATTATAGAAATGATTAAATGCACCCTTTCTGAACTTACTAGCGCCTCCAACAGTTCCTAAGCCACGACCGCCGTATTTCATCCACCAAGGCGCGTCGTCCTTGTTGGCAGGATCCTGTCCAGGCCTCTGCATGATAGCGCTTATCTTGTCGCCGAACGACTGAAAACAAAAGTGAGGTTATCACTCGCAAAGGGGCGAAATTATTCCGCGTCGCTGAGTCTCCCGCGATGCTTACCATGTTTTAGTTTGCTTCGTGGCCTTCTCCGTCGTCTGACAGAATTGCCGAAATCTGTTGACGTGCGGAAAATCGATCCGTCAGTCTGGACCACGACTCGTGAACATTCAGAAGTGAGGGGACGGAACTGGAACTGGACGGAACGACCGTCAGGGTTGCCATATCAGATTTTTCGCGCATGCGCTGAAGGATGCTGACAAACAGAGATGAGTTAGGAGATTGCTCACGGGCAGGGTCGCGCGATCGATCCTGTGCTGCCCCCCGGTGGAAGATGCGGACGGCTAATACATTTACCACCTATTATCCCTCAATTGCGGCGCAACACATTTCTGATGGGGACTCGCGCTATCGCGATGGCAAATACAGGGTTTAAAGCTTTTGTGACGGGTTTATGACCTTATCAGCCGGTTTTCTGGCTGTCCAGCCCCCGGTGAATTTTTTTTTGCATCTGCGATTGCAGGAGCTTGCCGGGGAGATTGTCCCCTTTAAATTGATCTTTCGAGCGAGTGACTGCGATTTTTTTCAGAGCATTTTGGCATTTTAGCATTTTGAGGCATCTTGAGGTGTTTCTAGACGTTTCTACGCGTTTCTAGGCATTAACATACATATATTATTTATTTGCACTGAGACATTAACTCGAAGATAACGCAACGTAAAATTGCTAAGAGCGATATGGGATATATATTTTAAAACAATATGAAAATTCACAACCTTAAATATTCGTACTTCGCGTATACATATCATTGCATTTAGCACCATAGTTAGGAATGTACACACGTTTACCGAGACTTGTGCGCCAGTACGTTATTAATATAAATTATTGTGCATTATTCTTCACAATGTATTCTATACTTTCATCGTAAACACATAGAATTGAAGACAGATTTATACTTTCATGTAGAATATTGGTCAGTAGAGTCAGGTACCTTATCATTACTTAGAAGCATCATGATTGACAAGAACATGAAATACTTTGGAAATGGTTAAAAATTATGTTAAAAAATTGTTCACGATACAAGTAAAAATAGATATACCTGATTTGTTATTATCGTACCAGTGAACCGGAAGGGATATGTGGTTATTGCTGTACAGAGCGTAGCAAAATATTGAGATTGTTAAAGTTGGTTCGAATAATTGAAATTAAATAAGCTTGCAGTCGTTTTGACAAGCACGTGAAAATTAAACGATCGAAGCTCACGACTAAATTCGGATAAAAATTCGCACATTACCTTTGAGGATTGAAAATATTACATCGAGTATATTACATTTTGTAAAATGCTGAGTGCGTTGTTGACAATGATAACTGCATTTTTCAGTCACTTGCACCAGTCAGAAGGATGTCATCTTCAGGCCTCGGTAAACGTTTATATCGATGCTGCGATGACAGATACACTGTAAGGCCGCCGAAGACGATGAGAACTACTCCAATGACATTTACAAGAATTCCTTCCGGTGGGAAGTCGGAGTAATTTCTACATAAGAGGGAAAAAATTAGGTTATAAAATTTTGTTCTTTTGCCAATATTTTGCATATGAAGTTTCATAATAAGCTCCCAATCTATGAGTGTTTCCTAGATTCTAATCTCATATTTCATTGTGAAGTTAGCCGATAGTAATACTAATGATCCTTACGGAAATTGTTGTAACTCAATTATGCAATATTGCCGCACTTAAAATGAGTCAAATGTAGTATTACGTGTGGTACTGGCTAACATGACAATGAAATGTTACTTTTATACGGAAGTGAAAGCTCCTTATGCTACTTCATGATTTTGCAACTGTATTGCATTCAATGATACGAACGAAACAGCAAATATCGCCTTCTCGTTAAGTCCTAGGAGACACGAAGCGATAACACCAATGAATCCCGCAGTGCCAAAATAAACATGCACCGGCATGTATACAGCTCGCAATTGTGACTGGATTCCAGGATACAGAAAAGACACGCAGCCGGCTACCCACTACGAGTTGTGAAAATTAGAATGCATTTATCAGCTTAATTGTGAAAACTAATTTACAGAAGGATATTACTTTCATTTCTATTAATAACGCATTAAATATCTGCAAATATATTTACCTGACAGCAGAAAAGAATAACACTCGTCAATCCCACCCAGCTATGTAGAGAGTACATGTTGGGGATCGGCTCAGGCTTGTTTAAATTGTGACTGTCAAATACTGCGACTAAAGCAATAATGGTCAGTAGCAAAGAAAAAATCATCATTCCTGCATGAAGTAACTTCAAACGCCGTTTCCTGACGGTCCGCTGTGATCTGTATATCAACATTGCTGTAAAAAGAAATTAAAATTAGGAACATCGTAACTGTTAGTTAGAAAATTCTAATAGTTTTTTTTTTTTAAAGAATTTATATCTCTTACTTTGATAGGTAAATTGTATAATAATTTATTTACTCTTTCCATTTTTATGAAAAAGATATTGCTTGGACATACCATTAGCATAAAGGAAAACCAATCCAATTGTCATTAATAATGGATGCCAGTTGAACTGCTGCTTTGGATAAGAGCTCCATGCGAAACCATCTCGGTAACAGGTTGTCCATACAATTACCAATATTATAAGTAATACTCCAAACACTTCCGTTGCTGTTAAAAGGTAGCCAAAACCTTCCAGGTTTTTATTCTGTGATGGCTCTCCTATTTGATCCATGTCTGCACAGAAACAACAAAGAGGAATTAATTTTTCTTATTTCAATTATCAATACTTTTCATTTCATTTGCTCATATAAAAGAAGTAAAATAAAAGTAGAAAACAAAATCTGCAATCTTGAAAACAAACGGTATTTCGCAATGTATGCAAAGAAACAAGACACAACGAACATAAATAAAGAGAAGGAAAACGTACCTTCGCATATCTGGTACTCGTATTCATAATTTGTGGTCATATTAAATTTTTTCGTAGTTATTCAATTGTTACTACAGTTCTAGCGGAGCATGCTAAGAATTATTGAAATAAAGAAAACATTCAACAATGAAAATGAAAAGAACACATAAGACTGGCAGAAAGCAATAAGAGATTTCAAAGGAATCGACTATACTTTCTACCTGATTCAGTGCACTAAAATCTATCAGTAACCAATACTCTCTGCACCTTTTTACAATACGTCGAATCGTGTTGGCAGTTGCATCCAACGAGATCCCTGACAATCCTGACTCGAGTAAACATTCAACCAGCCCCCCAGTTTTTACGCAACAGTGCCAGGCTATCGAGGCTCAGATGGATAAAAAACAGATCACTTTCTAAACTACGTCTGAAATAACAAAGTCATATAGATACCGCATTCCACCAGTCCGAATACCGCCGAGTAGAAGGGTCTGACAAGTGAAATGTGAAAAAAAACCACACAGCGGAGAGGTACCAGATCCTTGGAAAATACAGCAAATCATCGGTCAGATGACAAACTACCAACACCTGGCCCTAACAAAAGGAACGTCAGAAGAGGTTATGTACAACAGATAAAACTCATTTACGAGCCCTCGGACTGTGTCAGCAGAAAATGGAAAACGCCCAAGGAAACGTATAGAGGAGTGAAATAAAATACTTCTAGATGTTATGTATTTGAAAGTGTTAGAAAAAGCTTCGCGAAGCGTCTACTCACTGTCAAGCGCTCGTGATCGCGTTTTGGGGCACCCGGGGCAACCGGGACACAGAGCCAACCACCTGATGGTCGAATTAAATTGAATTCAACAGGTTAACGAAGTCGATCTCAGCGGTGAGCGGACCGAAGGAGAAGTAACGAACGAGCTACGTCGTTTGCACGGATCATTGATTTTCCGGGGAGGAAAGCGAGAGGGAGAGAAGGGAGAGAAGCCGAGCCGGCATAACTACGCTAATTTACAAACCGGAGGATATCGTGCCCCGTCTCGGCGCCACTTTGCGAGCTCTTATCATCGCCAATTATTCGAATTCTCGTTTCCCCCGTTCCTTTTCCTGTTTCAGGTCTTCTACGTGGTAAAACACGTCGATCCTCCGTAGGAATCCAAGTGAATCGAATCCTTCCCCGATGGGATGACATTTAACTCGATCTCGATAGGGCTTCGGCACCTCGCTCTGAAAACAACTGTGTTTTGTGTACACTGGTAACACAGAGTTTAAAGTTTTCATTCGCTCTTATCTTTACCGGAATTTCGTTAGAGACCCGGCAATAACTTTGCTAACATTTTGTGTCCGTGTTTCGTAACTGCACTGAATTTTCGGAGATTTAAAGTTGGCGCGCTTTTTCCTGCCCAAAATTGTAGGCGTCAGTAGCGCCACTATTGGATATCGTGCGAAGTTCTTTCGGAAATAAGAGGCCCTGATTGGCTGGAGGAATAAAGGGATGAACTCGCGCAAACGCACTGTATGCGCCGTGAGCCGGCGTTACATGCTTTGCTCGCATTTGTACACATTTGTATTAATTTCTGATAATTCCATCGATCGATTTTTCATAAACAGTCTTGTTATTCAATCAAAATGGTCGAAGAACAAAGAAAACGTGTAGAAGATAACATGGCGCGAATAGTCGAAGATCTTGACAAGACATATCTGAGGAAGATGCAGGTAAAGTTGCGAGGTTATTTAGGTTATATTTCGCTTTTGCTTACATTCCTTCACCGTTTAACCAATAGTTTACGTTATTGCTATTGCAGATGTTCTTTAAGCCAATGTAAGATTCATTTCATAGTTCTACTATTGAACAATTCATTTTTACAGAGTAATTATGTCACAAGTAAACATTATTACGTACCATCGATTCATGGATAAAATTTTAGACTACAGCGAAACGCTTATCTGTTTAGGGCGACATGCATAGATGTGCCGCAAAATGCTGCGATAATGAAACTTACAGCTCTCAAAAAGTACGCTCCTGTGTGGATAATTGCAGTACGTCTTTAAATCAAGCACACGAATATATGCAAGCAGAATTTGAAAGGACACAGGTTGGTAAAAACATAAATCAAAGATTGTCACGACATGATTTACATTATTGTGCCGATCTGTAAAATTCATTTTAAATTACATTCCGTAGAATCGATTACAACGTTGCATAATGGAATGCAACGACAACATACGAGATAAGATGGGATCGAGTCCTGCACAAAATGAAGTTAATACATATGTGGACGACTTTGAAAGATGTGCTACAAAGTGCGTTGACAATTATTGCGGACTCCTACCGTCTTTGGAGAGCAACATGAAGAAAGTTCTTGCAAGTAGAAAGTTCGACCATTAACCCACCTAGGATGATACATAGTCGAAGATCCTTGTAGATAATGTATTACAAAATTTTTCTTTCAAACTGGTGGCTCGTCACAATTTTAATTATTGAACTCTTTTTCCACAATAACCATAAAAGTGTACATATTAATATTTGTTATCTGCACCTTCATATGTAAATAATTTACGGATATTCACGTGGTAGAACAAAAATAATGTACTCCATATATTTAGCATAAGAAACATTTCTTATACATGCAAAATGAAGTATCGATTTATTCCATACTTCGGGGGAAACGTTTTTTATTTTCCGCTTAAATACGGAATAAAAAAAGAACAACTATTTTAAAAATAAATCATTTGCTTGCCTCGATTTCTCTCTTCCAACAGTTTTGTTCATGTTAGAAACCGTAAAAATAATTTTCTAAGTGTTCTTGATTATGCGAGAAGTATCTGGTGAGAAGTATAACGAGGGAAAAGAATTGCATGATCAATGGTGTTTATTGAGACTGGTACACCCGGTACTCCTCTTCTTTTCCATCGTCTCTCGCTCCGACAAATGTAGTAACAAATTCTCACTTTACATGTTTTAATATCGTTTCACTTTTATTGTTACAATAGACTCTCACTGTTTATTGCACCCTTCTTCATGATATAAAATCTTCGAATCACTCGTTTTCACGGTTTACAAATTGTCGGTCAAAATGTACGCGTTCGTCTCCATCGTTTACTCTCGTTCTCTCTCTCTCTCACTCTCTCGCTCTAATTCTCTCACGCTTTTATTGTGTGCCTGTGTGTATATCTTTCTTGGATTGAGATTCTCCTTTAAAAAATACAAATCTGCAAATAAATGTCTTAAATAATAATAATAGCAATAAATATAAATATCAACGTATCTCGCGTTTCTCTCTTTCTCTCTGTCTCACTTTCTTCTCTCTAAGGAGCGCATTTAATATCTCTTATCGCGAAAAATAGTTTATTTCCTCGACGGTGAAGACGTGGGAGAAAACCCACGGAAGGTGTATTAAATCGACTCGTCGAGCCTCCCGAGTTACTGGTTTCCAACTTTTTGGCATTCGGCAAGAATCCAGACCCTGTGGTCTAGACTCTTTTCTCGTATCGGGGCTGAACGGAAATCGCACAGGGGTCTCCGATTGCCAAAGGACAATTTACACGCATCGGACGGTGAAAAGTTACGGAAAGTAACGGAGGAAACGACATGAAGAAGGAAAAATCGTATAGAAGGAAGAGAAATCCAAGATGCAGAAAGACCGATCAATAAAGACCTGCATGGTCGTAGTGGCGACAATTAGCAGAGAAAGTTTCTTAAAAGGGATTGAGTCTCCGTCTCCTAAATTGCCTACAAAACTAATCGTCGATCGAGGCGTCATCTCCACGACGCGATTGCTTAATTTAATATCGCGTTACGGCGCGTGTCCACGCGAGTCGATCAAAGACCACCATCGGGGGAATTGGATCGATCGCGTCAGAGGTTAGGATAGTCCGTATCCGGTGTTGAGAATCACGACTTCAGCTTCGGCTTCTTCCACTTCTTCCTAACCTAACTTAACCTCGCCTTTTTCTTGAACACACTCCTCGTGAAAGGTTCGACGTAGCGGAAAGGAAAACCTCCAACTTCGTCGTGTCGCTCCGACTTAATAATCGACACGAATCTTTCGCAAACTTTTCGCAACGTAAACAAGGTTGAACGAGCCATTCTCGTGGTCAATAAGTCTCGTTTATGCCCCAGTCGTAACCTAACCTGGCTTAAACTTAATTGTTCATTGTAAGAGATTCATTAGAAACATTTATACTAAAGGTTAAGGTTAAGATAAGGAAAGCATAATTGCTCTCTGTGAGTTCCTTAAAATAAACGATTAAATTAAGGTTAAGGTTATGATGGAAGCATAACCCAGGCTTTACGTGTACCGATTTGTACTGTAGGAGGTTCGAGCAACTCTGTTCGTGCTCCCTCGAGCCATCATTTTCGCATGCTCGCCGCGTCTATCGCCTAATCTGTCGTCTAAACTCAATCTTGCGTTTTCTAGCTAATATTATGGTAACCGTTCGAATCAGAATCTATCTCGCTCGACGAAGGAGAGTTCGCTCGATGCGGAGGCACCTCGCTATTGATTGATAATGACTACACCATTAACCGAGCCAAGATGAATCACGTCGAAAAGAAGAGAAGGTACAATATCTAAGGAGTCGACAGAGTGATCAAGGACTCAAATTTAATTCATTTACATAAATCAAGTAAATGAGTTCTCTTGGAGTTGTAAGTGAAACAGTGGTTCATCGAGGCATGGTCCACACCGAATAACAATTTGGCACCAAAGATCCACCGTTTACCGGAAAGGCTGTTTAGGTGGATTGTTATATCGGCGTTGCAGAGATCAAAGAGAGAAGTAGACTTCACCCTAATAAGGATAAACCATAGGCTCAAGCAGGGCAAACATGATTTAAATCAGTTTATTCATATCAATTAAAATAACAGATCGAAACGAACAGTGGCTTAGAAGAGGAACTTTCTTTAAATCGGAGCAGCCAATCGGATCACCCAAAGAGTAACTCGTTCGACATTCTTCTCGTTTTGTCAATGTCAAAGACCTCTCCTAACAGTAAATAGAAGTACAATGGTTATTAGAAGACTCGTTAATGCAAAAAAACATTCATACTATTTTTAACAGCATGCTCACCATCGTTCTGTCATTTTAAGGATGTAACTATCGGAGATAGAATGTGGAAACATAAACTGAACCTCGGATCGGAACAAAGTTGCAGTCGGACCAAAAACTGATTTAAATCAAGTGCAGTCGATCTTAATAAAAAGAAATGGAGTTCACAGACTCGATTTCTTTTCCTTACGTACCCAGAGCTCAACGCATGTGCCCTTTACTTTGAGTGCGATACACTAATCGAAGTTATATAAACGCCTTGAATCGATTCATTTGATTTTGTTTTCTCAATTCAAATGCTTCCCTCTGCTATGTAATTAACCTTCCGAATACTGATTTAAATTCACAAAAATTGATTTCATTTGAAGAAGTCTGACTCATCAAGTGTACCTGGAGGGTTAATCATATCTTTACTTGAACATCAAGCTCCAAACCAAGATCTGGGCTTCCATGAAAACCTCCAAATTTTGTGGTACCGGCCCTGGATAACTAACCATTCGTGAGAACGAAGAAAAACAATCGGATCGCCACATTACTCACCGATCAGCCTAGTTTTCTAGGGTCATCTTTTTCCGCCGTTGATATCGGTATCGTCCAAAGCCCGCGGCTTTCAGAGGACCTCTCTCGTTGTTACGTAGCCGTGTCGTTCCCTCGAGTTTTTACGCTCACTTAGTCAAAGCTTTCGAAACTGGAAAGCCTAGTTTCCAAAGTCTTATCGGTTAATTTCGAGCCCTATCACGAGGCAGAGTCAACTATCTACGCCAGAAAGGGGGCCGCGAATTTCCTCGTGAACGCGCATCGACGAAACGTCCCCCGTCGTCCTCGAAGACGGGGTACAACGGCTCTCTGGAACGAGAAGCAGGTCCACGAGGAACACGCGAGCAACAACAAAAAAATTTAACAATAAATCGCCATCGGTCCCGAATGCGACCGAGCGGTACATCCGCGGTTACTTCGAGCCCGAAGAACCGCGCTCGATCGGGGGGAACGGAGAAGAAAAGATGAAAAACGGGGGGAGAAGAAGATAATAGAAAGGAAAAAAGAGAAAAACGGACAGAAAAAAAATCTCTAACGAAACGTTAATTTGCCTACAGGGATCCTCGGGGACGACGTCGTCGATGGAGTCCCGAAGGTTCGCAAAAAGAGTCCTCCTCTCGGCCCGGACGGCAGGTTTACCAAAAGGTGTAACCGCCCTCCGTTCCTCCTCCAAGGAACGAGCCCTTCTTCTGCGAGAGCGCTACGCTGTGGCCTGCCATCGCTGCCAACTGCGCCGCGTTTGCGGCCACTCCGGGCGGCGGCGGTGGTGGCAAGACTGGTTGCGAGATTCCGTCGAACCGTGCTCCGTCGAATGCATTCTGCAAGGAGGATCGTTGAGTTACGTACCTCGATCGAAACCTCGTCAAAGTCCACGGAGTTACAAGTTAAACGCATGGACGCGGAATGTATGAAGTGAGATAAAGGCAAACTACAAGTGTCTCATGCGCTTCTGTGCCAAAACGAAGGTAATGCGCGAAGTCTCGGAGAGAAAATTTAGTTGACACTAAAATCACAGATATCAGCCACTTGAGTTGCATAGGTTTGGATAAATATTTGGAAATAACTTACAGGCACCATAATGGTTGGCCTAACCGGTGCAGGCTGCATCGCAGCTGCTGGATAGTAGGCCGCAGCAGCAGCCAGAGGTGGGTAATACTGCAATGGACCGTACGCTGTGGGGTAACCTGCTAGGTATCCGCCAGGATATCCTTGACCATACATGGGTTGATACATCTATGAGAAGTATTCTTGTTAGTGTACTTTAAATTTGTTAACCATCCGCGCTTGGTTAGAATTATATTTTAATTATACTATTCAGAAGAATCTGTCACTCCGTCGCAATGGTCGATTTAACACTAATTACCATAGGATGCGTAAGAGTCTGATCGTAGGTTGGTGGAGGTGGTCCTTGCGCTGCATATAGCTGTGGCTGATTGGGAAATACACCGTAAGGTGCAGCGCCTGCAACTGGGATAAGATGTTTTGATAAGTTAAGGTAACAAAAAAAAGGGAATAGCAATACGGAGCAAGCCTAATTAAGTGTGTCGTCAAATTTTAAATAAGTTTCTCTCGATGCGACATCGTTCAAAACGGTGTGCAACCATTCAGAAATTTCCATAGAAACCCAGAAGAATATGGACGTTTCATGCCTGGACATTGTTTTGGACAACCAATCAACTTAACCTCAAAGTACCGAAAAAACTTACCCCCGTAGGTGGCAGATTGGGCCGGCGCGGGCACGAAGCCGGTCGGTGGATGCGGTGCCACTGGATACGCTGTAACACATGACCAAGTGATTACGACGTCTCTTCAGAAAAAAAAGGACCCATCGTGCTCGAGGTCTAAGCCAATGGTAGTACATGGTACTACAGCCCAAACTGACTGACGCTTCGCTCTACATGCCCTTTGTCAGGCTCTACTCGTCACGGTAAACCACAACTTCTCTGACTAACAATAAACTAGCTCAATAACATCTCCACATTTTAGTTTTTTCACTGTTTAACCACATTGATTTTAGGTTATAGATGACATAACCAATTTAACTCGTCGTCTCTTCAATTTTCAACACTTAAGAGGTTTCCACGTTCTTAACGACACGTGTTTTGAAAATCTATTTTTATCCTCGATTCAGTGCTTCATTGTGGACTTTACTCGACAAGCAGCCCTGCTTCGGTGACAGATGAAGCAATACGTCGGCATCAAAACTTATCGATTAAAAGAAGCCTCTCCATTTTCGGAATTCAATCGAACAGTTGTTACATGCAAATAGTTTATAACCTGTAATTTGTAATCCCTTTGTAACAGTAAGATAGACTCGATTCAATGGATATGTCTCGATGCCACCGAGTGGTACTCCCACACCCAAGTATATCTTACACATGACATACACCGTCTTTCTTGTTCATTTTTAATATATATATATAAATATATATATACACATTCATATTCATGTGTATACATATATATGTCAAGATACTAATCAAAGCTCAAACAATGTTAGTCACTAAATAATGGTGAAAGGAAATAACCGAGAGAGAATTGTACTCGTTGTAACACCGATCGCATTTACGTGCAAAAGAAACGCTCCATTCAGCTTTCCCGTTTTATTTTAACCGCGAATCGACCTTGACGGAAGATCGCAAGAACCGAGGAAATAATCTTTTTGCTTCCAGATCTTAATTATATCGACTCGATCGCTGACTTCGTAAGAACGATCGGAGCTAAACGGGCTTCGAAAGTGCGCTCGCGCGTCCTCGAGAAATTATAGGGATTTCATGTACCTCGACTCTTCATTCAACAATTTATATTTGATTACTTTTGACTTGACTTGGCAGTCAAACTCTGCGGATCTACTTTTGAGGATTCTTTAAACGAAACGAAAGAGAAGAGCCCACTCTCGATACACACGTGAACGCCCGGCGTACGAGTCCTTCGTCTGATTATAGCTTAGAAATCAGAAACTCGGTAGAGTTCGCGTCATATACACACACACACACTTGTATTCGATAAGGTTCAAACTAATTTCGCAAAAATTTCGCTTTAACACTGACTGTACGATATAAAAAGGATTATTTCCTTAAAGTCACAAAGGCTTCGATAGCTTAACAAAAATGAAGTATCGGTGAACTATTCCCAGACAAAGGCACGTACCACCATCCTACTTTTTACTTCTAAAACTAAGATGTGATACAAAACCGATCTCAAAGCAAGTAGCGTTACGCAATCAAAGTATAAGCCAAAATACATCCATCTACTGGTCAGACCTGAGAGCAGAAAGTAGTGACAATCATTGATAAGATGATTCGAAGAGCATCGGCACACCGATTTGAAAACAGAATCGAGCCCTCTCTTGGCTTGGTGTACATTAAAATGGTGTACGTAACACCAACTGACAATAAAAAATGCTAAGGGTAATTTTGACTGGATTCTACGCTCAGATTCAACGTAGATCGTTTAAAATAATAGGAGGTGTGATGAGGAAACATATATATATATTTATATATATGCGTGTGTGTAAAATAAAGCGAAGAATATTAGGGACACCGTTTTGGCTTCCAGAGAGACTCTTAAAGGGATTTGTTAAAGAAAGAAGCAAATTGCCATTGACATCATCGTCGAGTCTGAGTTCCCTCGAACCGGATTGACACAGCAACGTGAAATACTAAAATAATATCCGGTCAGTGAGATGTGTAATTTATACAATGAGTACAATGGTACGATGAGTATATATAGATATTGACATATATATGTGTATATGTGCTTAGGTATATCTGCCATATCTACATATACATATACATACATATATATATATTTCTTTTTTATATCCACGTTCCACACATTCAAAAGTCGTGACAAGATTCAGCAAACCACAAAATCTTTCTGCAATAATATCAAACAAATAAAAGTATCAAACATTATTTGAAAGTTCATCGTAATTGCGTAAATATAAGTAAGTTTAGAATCGGACTAGGCGGTCTGCATCGCCAGGCAACACCGGACAACGGTGGCTGTACCCTTCTCTCTCTTTCTCTCTGCCATGGTGCACACACTTAAACGTCCATTTAAAGTTTCCTCAAAATGACACTTTCCAGGTGAAAGCAAGGAGAACCTTCTTTCACACGAAGCACAATCGATCACTTTCCTTTCTCTCTCCGATTGCAGTTTGCTCAAGAAGGAATTCTCAAAAAGACGATGCGAAACACCCAGCCCTATTATCTGTCATCTAGATTACATGCCGTGCTGTAGCAACAAAAATACGCAAAGTGCCCGTTTTCCAATGGCAATTTCAACGAATCAATACGGAGATCGCGGAACAAGAATGTATATATGTATTTTATCATACTCTCGATCCATTTTGCATAAATGACATATCTCCAAATCTTATGATATAGAAGCTAAATATCAAAGAGCGATCTTCGGTATGCCTTCGAGCACGCTTTAACTTAATTTCACAAAATTCAAGAGAACATAAAGATAACAATCTGAGAAATACCTCCATTCCAAAGTAAATGAGATACATCATTTAATCTTCAAGATCGGTGCACATTGAAGTCAAAGACGATGATTAGTCCTTCGTCGGAGACAGATTTGTGTTCAGAGGCTCTACTTTGCGTACGTAATTTGCTCAAGCTCAGCAGCAGTGGATCGGACATGTCGTACTCTCTAACATAGACGTCAGCCCACACCAAATTGTCCATAATTATCGAACGCGGCATCGGCTTAAGGGCTCAAAGGCTCAAGACCGTCTTGGGGCCGATTACCCGCCCTAACCCTTCCAACCCCCTCCTGGGCCCTTTAACCGATGCAGAATTCAATGTAGTAGGTATGATATTGTGTCAGTGCCACGGTGCAAACAATCATCGAATCCAATTAACGATTGATTATAGCGTCAACTGACCTCCTAGTAAAGACGGACTGTTCGGCGGACTCGTATAACCTCAAAGAACTGACATTTCGCGCACGACATCACTGCAAGCGACTCGAGCGCTGCTATCAGTTACGCGATGACTGCGATCGACGTTTCCATCTCGCGGGGCAAAAGTCCATTCACAAGTCGTCTGTCTTAATTAGCCGATCAGTCTACCATTATATTTAATGCTAATACGATGTTACGGGGGTGGGGGTGGGTGAAAGGGCAGGGAGGGTCCCGCAGGAGTCCCTGGAGCGCGCACGAGTCTCGCCGCTAGAGTGGGCTAGGGTCGCGTGGCCGTCAAAATGGCTACCAGCGAGCGTCAAAATGGCGGCCAGCGAGTGCCACGATGTATCTCCAGGTGACGTGACTGTAGAGAGGCAACGATAATATCTTTCATCCGCGCTTTACAAAACGTTCAGACTAGAAAGGCAGTCGATCTCCTTCGTGTCTTTGGTCGCTTTGCACTTCATCCACTTTATCGCGAGTCACGACGTTCCTTCAGGGATTATACTTGCTATTGAGGAAAACTCAAGACCGGCTTGGCACGTGTTTCACACGAAGAAGACAATTTCCTGCACTTCCTACGAGAACTTTCGAGCGAACTCGTTTGTGAAGACGCTGTGTATTCGTTAGTTAAGCTCACTATTAACATTACATGTATTACATTAAGGTATATAAAATGTATAATCTCGTAGACATGCACATGCATCGCAAGATGCAACGAGAAGTTCCTACGGTCCCGATGACTAACCATTGTATCGAAGGAATTCTTATATCTTGGACCGCGAATTATTCAAGAACGTTTACAGGATGTAGGAAATTCTCGAGTCCCTTCCTCCTTAAGTAACCCATTTTTCGATTAGTCCTATGACCTAGGCACGCGGCTTCAAAGGAATTCTCGTTTCCTTGGGCCCTCTCCTCTCTATTTCTGTATCTTCTTTGGGTAATCTTGTTTCATTACTTAGTAAAATGACATTTCATTAATTTGTTACTAATTTTGTAAAAGTCAATGACCCGTCTTGAGGAGAGGCCACGACGAAACAACAGTGGGAAGCGAATCGAATAGCAAAATACTTCCCTCTATAGATACATTTCGTCATGCTATACAAATGGGATGCATCATGCGACGCTGCAAGGATTTTCAAACAATGAATTAAACAGAAATTACTTAATCTTCGATGGAATTATATACGAAGCAATGGGTAGGCATATTATTATGGGAAATTCCTTGCAGCTGGTATGAGTCGACATTGTATTTCGCATGCAAACTAGAGAAGATCTAGAAATCGACTCAAATTATAGTTTATCGTGTCTACTAGTTACAAATTAAACTAATGGCAACAGCAAACGTAATTTCATTTTATAGCTTTTACGATTCCTTTGCCTTTTCTCACGCTCTCATCCTCTTTCTCTCAACTATACTCTTTGAATAGTTCCATTCTCTCTCTCTCTTTCTCATCCTCTCGATAAAGCTTTCTCTGTAGTACTCGTAAAAAGGATGATATTACGTTTCTCTCTCTTTTTTTTTTTTTTTCTTGTAACAAATAGACTACCAATGTCAAGTTACTGAGTGCAAAGTTTTCAGATCAGAAAACAATTCTCTAGAGTAAACAAGACGAGAGATCGTTCGACTCTACTTATCATGCGTGTACTGACTGCAAGTTTCGATTCTATCATTGGAGCTAAGAAGTCATCGATCACTTGAGTAATTTTCCATCGGAGTTCGGTGGCAATGTAACAGCTTATCAACTTAAGTGAAACTTGCAACCATAATCAGAAGATCAAGCAGCATGCAAACTATTGTTAAAAGTGAGCTACCGAATTAACTATCGAGTAGAAGTATCATAGATACGCCGAGCTTAGATACAGCATTCGTGTGTCCACCCCGCTGATCCGACACTTCTGAACTTAGCCACAAGGATTTTATTTTTTTATAAAAGGAGAAAAAGGTGTGTTAATACAAAAAATCTAGATGTACCCCCAGATAACAATGGAATATTAATTATATAAGCAACATTTCAATCTATGCCGTTTTTGGTTAATTTTTAAACAATAACTTTAGTCGCAAATGTCGCAGACTTTAAGTATCACAATATCAATACATTAAATTTCTATTTGATTGCAGTCATCGGCATGTAACATTGACTAGGTTTTTAAATCCTTGCAGGCTCGTCAAGAAGCTTCGGTGGCACAGAAAAAAAAAATGTAACAAATTAAGCATTCAGCCAAAAAGTATATCACGGTTTCAGTACGAAATATCAATACACCCATATCAATATCTTACGTTCATATTGATTTGGATATATAAGCAGCCGACGTCTCCAATTCGAAAAGTAATGCTCAAGGCCGATGTATTATCCAAAAGAGCTGTTGTTCCTAACGATTAATATGCTTTCATAGTTCCCACCGTTTATTCTGTTTTTTTTTTTCTTTTCTGTTTCTCACCCGAGCCTACACATGGGGGAACTAACATAATGTCTCGTTGCACTCCTAGTTTGCTCTACATTAAGGAATTACAGGTCATTCAAAGTTTCCCTTTTCTTTGCGAGAACATTACTCCCCTAGGTACGTTTCGTCGATTGCTCGCTAATTAGATTTTTATCGGCATCGAGAGCCTGGAAAAAGGAACAAGATAATAAGTGAAGACAACTTAAAAAAAAAAAGAAAAGAAAATAAGAAGTGGGAGAAACCTCGGGTCGCGTCCAGAACTTATTCCCTTAGGTTTGACAGCTACTCCTGGTGGTTTTAAATTCTCGATAAATTTAAGTTCGAGTAATATAACCGAGAATATGGTAAATTTAAGATCCTTACAGAATTGAAGCAATTTCCAGAAAACCTTGAGAATTTTAATTTTAATTAACTTCTATAAAAGCAATCCATTACCTTTAATAGCATTAATTATATACATGTTCCACAATTGTAATCAATCTCTTTCTTAAAATTAGGTACTACTTATGGCATGTATTTTCGGTTATTTGTAACTCAATTCGGCATAAAAACAATTGAATTCTCAGAGCATTTAATCACCAATATCCTCGTTCTCGGTTGTATTACCCGGATAGTTAAACCACTAAGAAAAACAAGAAACAAACTCCACGTCAGGCGTACTCTGAGAGACCTAACCTCAATCCCGCCGCGTCCTGTCAATCGTTGCAATTGGCACTTTTTGAATCGGGAGGCGCACGGCGAGTCTATAACTTTGCATGTACACACGTATATACGCAATCCACACTCTGGCATGACCGTTTTACTCGGGTATATACGTGTGCATATGTAATATATATTTTTTTTGCGGTTCATTATATTTATATATGTATATATATAAACACACGTAGTGAGTGTTAAGGTAATATATAGAGAAGGTGAGGTTAGATACGTGGCTTGGGCTGCACGCTCGCTGGTCTCCGAAGCTCCACCTACGGACTTGGATCGTATAATCGTCTTTGCGACGGTCTCCGCTGGAAAAACACATCGATGGCCGGAACTGTAGAGGACCGAACCTCGACGCCTCGGCACACGTCCGATTTCTACCTTGTCCTGCGCCGACTCCCATTCCGAACCCCTTATCGGCTAAGTCTTTTACGTTATAACTTAAGTACTAAGTGCCTCCCTCGACATCTCTCGACATTCCTCGACGCCGCTCCACGTCTTATAACCGTACTTACAGGACGATCATCCGAGAAGCGGACTTCTTTTCACCGAGTTACACGAGGGAAACCGAGGCTTTCTGCGACCCAATGGCTTCCAGAGTACGTTCGTGGACCTCTTGTTGGAAAGAAAGCCATGCAGATCGAACGGGGTCAAGTATTTTGATAACAGAATGTAAATGTATCCACCGACTCATTCTGGGATTACGCGTGACTGGATCGATACTTCAAGACGGAAGAGCTTCGATCGATGGTAACGCTAAGTTAGGATTCCACTTCGAAGGAATCGTTACATTCAACGGATGAGAATTCAAAGAACGATTCAGAACGGAGAAGGACCACTTGTATGCGATGGCTTAGGGGTTCTTTTCAAAGAAACGACAGAGTATGAACGCTTAATCCACTAGCAAATGATTCGTGATAACTGGATTGGATTATAATTAATTGGATCTCGGAAACCACTGTTCACTCTTGCAAGATATTATAAAGGAATCGATATTCATCCTAGATGTTAAATAGACCACATTGTAGGTTAAGACGAGAACTGAGTATCGCTAGTTGCAAAGAAGCAAAAAGCAATCATTCAGGATTCAATCGCAAAAATTGTAAGTTGTTTTTCCTAAAAGTTGCATAGCTATTGATAAACTCTGACATAACTAGTTCAAAGGTTCTCTTGGGTCGATCTTTATGCTGGCAAGGCATGAATCTGGAGATTCGAAGGAACAAAAAGAATTACTTGGACTTGAGAAGAGAAGAGCGTACGATAAAAACTCTCCTGACTTCTTAAACGACATTCGACAAATCACGTGAAACAAGTTTAGATTTGTTCGAGATTTTCCCCCCAGCCCAAGGATCCTCGTACCCTGAGAATCAAGAAGAATCATCCGAATGTTAAAAGCGAGAACGCATCACTCCGTAAGTGGAAGAGCGACATACAAAGGCGGGATCGACCCACGCGGAAGAGTTCGTTCCAGCCTGCGAATCGAATCGCGAGAATCGCGAGAATCTCCGGATAACCAAATGTCGAGAAGAGCGAGAGGGTGCCCTTGAAAAGTAGTGATTTCCTCGTAGGAGGGGAGGGCCGCGCCTCTCGCGAGAAAAGGCCGAAAATCGGCAGAAAACGTTCAGATCCGGAGAGCTCGGGAGGCAGGAAAGGGCCCCGGGGGAAGGCAGGAAGGACCCTCGACCGTGGAAGCCATTTTGTATTTCCCAGACGGAAGAGGCGCGCGCGGTAGTATTGATTAATCCGTCAGCCCGGGTGGGAAAAGCTCGCGGACGGCCCCCCCTCCCCGGCCCGCTCGCCGCGACGGCCGTCGACGAGGACGCGAAATCTCGCCTTGAGCCCCGCTTCCGACGGGCTCCTCTCCGAGGGTCTCGAAGGAGCGACAAGTGGCGATGCCGCGCGTCCCTCTCCCTCTCGCTCGCTCTCGAGAGAGGCCTCGGCCCCTCTCTCTCGCTCCCTCATCCTTCAAGAGCACGGAGATCCCCGAGGGAGAGACCGGGAGAGAGAGAGAGAGAGAGAGAAAGAGAGAGGGAGAGGCGGGCACGGGACCGATTAAATCTCTAGTCGAGGCGCGTAATTAGCGTGCGTGATAGTTACCTTTCTTGTCGGTCATTATTGCTTTAAGGTTCGCGCTTTCGGGTTATATCCCTACGTTTTGCTCTCGTTAGAACGAAACGGCGGGCGGGTGTTAGGTTAGTTTTCCCTAATTATATCGCACTGACTCCAAAGGGACGTTTGCGTTCCGACTGATTCCGACTGATCCCGGCACTGGGAGGAAAACGGGGAACGGCCTGACACTCGCAAGGCACTCGGGAGAACGCTCGGCCACCCTCGGACTTGACACGGACGGGAACACTAGCGCCGAACTAGCGCCGAACTAGCGCCCGCTCGCCGCCCGACAAGGTCTCTCGACTGCTGCGGGGTGCGCGGAACAAGAGCTGCGGCCCGACTCCGGCAGATGGCGAAACGCCCCGACGTCTGGGGATTATTCCCCATGAGTTCTGCGCATCGTTCTCTTAGACCATGTATATCTAGACCTCGCATAGCAGTGGAAGGGGTAAACTCGAATACCACAGGACCACGTATGCCGACGACTCATCCCCAGTTAAAGCTGGTTAAAGCCATTTTACTTACTGAAAATCTGGGAGTGGGAGGTCCAATGCGAGGTCTAGATATATATGGTTTAAAGTTGGGTACTGCGGCCAAAATAGGCGCTGCAAAGCGCCGCCTCCCACCGCAACCAGCCTAACTTGGAAAGGGGTACAATAGGACAGGTAAAACGGAACATTAAAAAAAAGTTCAGGAAGTCTGAGATTTGACTTCCGAATTTTTCTTTCTTTCTTTTTTTTTTTTTTTAAGTAGTTCATTAAACTTATTCTGTCATTATCTGAACTAAAAATTAAAAAACTGGATGAAGTTCGAGGTAATGTTTCTGAAAATTTATTTTTTACGTATAACGGGAAACAGGCAACATACATTCCAACAAAATGAATTACATAAGTTACAGTGTTGAAGCAGTATATGATACATGTTAACACTGGCAAGTGGTAATGCTCCATTGTCAATGAATTTTGTAGACATCATGTCAAATAGACACAATGGACAAAATTAAATTAATTCATGTATACAAATCAATAATTTAACGAATACTGTAGATTTTTCACTAAATACTATAAAATATTCAAGTTTTGTTACAAACAACTGACGTCATTTATGATTTCAGCCATCATAACTTTATTTTGCAAAGCAGCTTCCATTTCATCCTGGTCCCACTGAAGTTGAATTTTGTAAAGCCGAGCATCTTTTTTCTTAATCAGTCGTAACACTCCCCTGGTCTCAATAAGGGAACACAAGCTCACGAACTCGGAGATATCCACAGTATGTATATTGCGCTTTTGGCAGACTTTTTTATATACTTCGTGCAACTAAATAAACGAAAATAAATATGTTAAAGTACATTTTAGACATTTTTGAATTACTAAATCTTAGTGAATTCCATATAATTACCTTGCCAACGGTAACATCTTTACAGTGACTTTTGTTGAGGATGAGCATAAGAGAACACAACAGCAACTTTTGCTGTAGAGGAAATGTACTTTCAACCGTGTCAACGTTTTGAGAACCACCATAGACCCCATTTAATACTGTCATGACTTCCTTTAAGCCAACCGAAGCTTCCATTAGCGGTGGTTGTTGCTTTTTGGGACTACCTGTGTTTGACTCTGTAAACGCCAACAAAGTAGTTTTTAGCATCAAAGACAATCACCGTAATTGGTAAATTAACTGTAATTTAAATTTTTTAATGAAGATGTAAACAATTCAGTGACCTCACCATTATCGTTAGTAGGCTGCAGAACTTGTATCATTTTGTGGTCCTCTGCAAGTTCGACGACTCTTCTGCTTACATCTAAAGCTCTTCTGATGTCTCCGGAAACAGCAGCTACCTTTGCTGCTAAAAGTTGCATTGCGGTACTGGTGAACACGTCAGCCACCCCGGCTTCTTTAAGTCTTTCGGATATAATGTTGATTATGTCTTGTTTGGAATAGGGCGTGAAATTCATCAATTTTGGTTTTAATTCACATCGTCCATGTAACCTTGGCAATGTTCTATACGTAAGATCCAGAGCATTGGCAATGCCAATTAAAATCAACTTTGAATTTGGCTTTGAGGGCCACTCAAATATTGAGTAGAGCACCGATTGTTTCTTGCTGTCCAATTGATCTATTTCGTCAAGTACGAGTAGTAACATCTTATGATTAGATGCCAGATATTTCTCTATTACCGCTTTACTGTTTTTTCCTGACTTTAGTGCTGGGAAGCCGAGTTCTTGTATGATTTTACCATAAATAGTGGCAGCTGTCTTCATAGCAGTGCAGTTAACGTAAATTGTTTTAATAGCTGTTTTAAATTCTGGTAGGAGCATGGTTTTCGATAAACATGCAGTTTTTCCAGTACCAGGTGGCCCAGAAATGTAAAGGGATCCAGAAGTTTCATTTTTCAAATGCTCATCTATAAACTTACGCAATTGAGCCAATTCCGATTCTCTTCCCGGTAAACTTTCTGGGGTTGAACTATGTAAAGCTTTTCTAGCAGAACGATACTTATCCGAGGAGAATAATCTTTTAGGAGCCTTTCTCTCGCTGCTTTCTGGTGATGCTAACAAATTAAGGCGATTGAAAAGCGTTGATGGTGTAACAGGAGCCGAATCCTTTTCTTCTTTCTTTAGTTTTGGAGGCGTAGACCCATGTTCATCTGCAAAATTTAAGGAATTTCATTACTTTCACATACATACTCTAAAGCAACCTAAAAGAACAAATCGTCCCAACTATTAAAAAATTGTTGAGAACCCTTACCATCCGAATTGCTTGCCTTCCGTGTTCGCCTCGGCGTTCCAACGATCATTTTCTTAACACTCCTCGAGTTTTCTTCCAGAGTGGAATTCTCAATATCGGAATCAGTTTCGGACTCGCTACTACTTAGAGTCATCAATTTCTTCACAGTCGGAGTATATCTAACACTTGGAACGCCTTTAAGAGTGGCATTTGTAAAGTCCTGCTTGGGAGTATTCTCCTTGACTCCATAAAAGGAGCATTTCTTTCTAATACTAAAAGGTATCGTAGTCTGTACACTCATTGTGTCGTCACTAATAAATATCGGGTATATAAAATTCAGTAATCCTCAGTTTGCTTCTCTGAAGCGTGAGAATTCAGTCGTGATTCTTCTAATTGCTTCAAATATAATTCAGCCCAAAAAGGCCTTATTTTCCCATTAATTAGCAGTTATTCCTAACCAAAATTCAAAAGGCGTGCACGTAAATACGTTTGTCAGAATCTTCCGCACATTTTCCGACGAATAAAATCGAACACGTTCTTCGTTTCGAAGTCTAATGAGAGTGCACACTTTACACCCTGTTGCGTTCTATTCCGATTTTCTCCTTAACATCCCCCATGTCTGACGTAGATGCAACGCGCTCTTTTTCGCGGGAAGGCCATTTAATTCGTGGGAAAACGTAGAAACGACGACGCGAACCAACCCGACCGAAAAGTGTCATGGCGACGCGCGCGTTAAAATGGCGGAAGATTTCTCAGATTCTTAACACCAAGTTAATTTACAAATACAAATGAGTAAATAATCCTCTCGAGAAAATTCCCAACGAAAGATTCAAAATAGAATTCCTTTGCGACTATCGACGTGTTATTACCGCTATCTTTCTTACTTCAAATTCAGCTACAGCGCGGAAATGTGGAATTGAGTTTGAATAGTGCGCCATGATACTTTAATGTCGTCTGTTGCCGGTTACAAGTAGGAATTTTAAAGAGCTTGAATGTTATTGCTTACAAACTACGCGAAATAAAAGTGGGGACGGTCTGTAATGGACATCGGGATATTTTGATAGACCTTATTTAGGAAAGTGTATGATGTTTATCAGTTTTTTTTTTAACTGATCATTTCAACCGCGGGAAAATGAAGGAACGAGGATTTGAACCATGATAATGCCTCGGTGATGTCATCAGTCGATGAGTGTGTAACCAGCTGATTAGAGCTGACTTCCATTATTCGTCTGCTTTCAGATAAATTTATTGCAATATGAGTCATTGATGTATGGTTTTTTATTCAAATCAGGGAGGTGAGGCTTTTAAAAAGACTTTCATTGAGGTGTTATTACTATAAGCGAAAAGTAACCTTGAATACTTTCAGATTGGTATAGGATATAGCGGATAGCACTAAAAGATTATCCTTTTTTCCAACAATGTAACGTTTATTCTTATAATTACATGTCAAATATCGTGGCTTGAGTAATTTATAAAATAAACAGAAAAGATAGAATGATTAAAAATAAATTAACTATTCAGCATCCAGGCTTTCTTCTTTGAAGAAATTTGTATTCTTTAATTCAGGTGGCAAACAGTTTTGATTCAGGTTCTCTTCTTTTAATGAATTTTCTTTGGCAGTTTCTAGGAAAAATGCAGAATTATATCAATGAAAATGGTATAAAGAGTGCATGGATAATATATTAAAAATCATTTACTTACCAATTACTGACATTAATTGCGCATCTCTTGGTTTGCATCGCATGTGTAACGGCACAGGTGGATGCAATCCATTGTGATTCAGTATGACTTTATGAGCGATTTCCAAAGCGTTAGGAATTAAACGTGATTTCGGAGCTCGTGCTAGGTAGACAACACATTGGGCCAAAAGAATGTCACATTCTGGCATTCCTAACATTTGGCATCCATGCATTGTATGTACTGCAATTCCTATAAACAAATCACTTATTTTAAAATAACAAAATTCGTATCGTGAAATTGCTACACAATAAGGGAATAATCCAATTTTTTAATTGTACACCATCCGATAATGGAAGTTAGATTTTCCTTGGTTATATCATGGTAGTAATTATTTGTTGTAGAGGATAAATAGAAAAAACGGAATACCTAATGCATCGATGTCTGCCAGGCCTACTTCTTCACTGGATATCCTAACTAGGCGTTTTGCAATGTATACAGGATCGTGTCCATCTGCCATAATTCTTGCTAACCAGTAAAGTGCTGCGTTTGCCTTGTTTGCTCGTATGCACTTGTGCAATGCAGAAATCATGTCATAATATAAATTGTTTTCTTTATCATTAAATACATGTACTTCTTGAAGGCCTTCCTTGAGGTCTTTAACTTCTATTGGATATAGTTGATTTTTAGACAAAACTGCATTTCTATTAAATACTTTTGATTGTATTGCCCAGTTTAAACTGCTTAATGCAACACGAATATCTCCGTCACATGTTACAGCTAACCACTTTATTGTTTCCTCATCCACGGTGAATGCAGGTGCTGCCACGGAGTTGCAATTTAAATCTTCTAATGTTGTTAATATTTTTCCCTTTGTGGACTTTACAGCTCGCTCAAGTATCGAGATTGAATCAGTCGTCGATAGCTTCTTCAAAACAAACAGACGACATCGACTGATCAAAGTGGAGTTTAAACTATAAGATGGGTTTTCGGTGGTAGTACCGATTAAAGTGAATGTACCAGCTTCGACATGAGGCAGGAAAACATCTTGCTGGAGTTTGTTAAATCTATGAATTTCATCCATAAGTACGATTGTTTTATAACCAAGCTTAGATTCCTTTATAGCAGATGCAACCACTGTTTTAATATCAATGATACCTGATGTTGTTGCCAAGAGTTCTACCATGTGTACCATGTTATTGGATGATTTTTTACATGTGCATGCTATTATCTTAGCTAACGTTGTCTGCAACATAATTAAATAATGTTAAATATGAATTATATTTGTTGCGAGGCATATCCCTTTAAATGATTCTTTATGGTACACATTGTATCTGAATTTATAAAATAAATTTCATATTACCAAATGAAAATATTTCTTATAACAGAATCACAAAGTTTTCATTTAACGTTAACAGGAAATGTTAAAAAGTATATTATACATACTTTACCACAACCAGGAGGTCCCCATAAGATCATACTTGGAAGTTCTTTATGCCGGATTAATTGATACAAAACGCTGTGGAGACTGAGAATATGTTTTTGACCGATATACTCTTCCGGATTCGTAGGTCTAATCTTTTCTATAAGAGAAACATAACTTTCCTTCAATGTCATTGAATTTCTATAATCTTTGTTGGATGAAACCAAAACATTTTGTTTGTTCACAGACGAGAACAATTTTTGTTCACCTTGCATTCCAGATTGAACTTTGTATTTCTTTGTTGGAGGTTCCAATTTTACTCCTTCTAGCAATCGGATCCTTTTATTTTTATCGCATGCCATATTTTACAAAAAAAAAAAAAAAAAAACCTATTCACAGATTCAGAAACTCTGGACATTCAAACTCTCATATCGTATATTGTTGTATATATCGTAGTATATTGTTACATTTGCAAATGTATTTAAAGCCATCAAATTACTGCGTTAAATCGATTACATCGTAGCATCTGATCTCCAGTTACAATGACATCATATCACCAGAATTGATACAACAAATCACCAGAAATCACCAAATCACAAGAATGGCGGGAAAACTAAATGGCGGATTAAAATCAACGTGGAGAATGGAAATATATAATGAATTTTATAAATTCATGTTTTTGCATACTTATATGCTTGCACACGCGCATTCATTATTCTACACCAATAATCCTACAGAAGTTTTCCGAGATATCTTGAAAAACACTTGCAATATCATACGATTGCGAGTTATGGATTTGCCGGCTTTAGTAATAACCAATAGAGGATTTCCACGACGCTGAGGATGCTGGCACCCAAAAAAAGACCCGCTGCGCTTCCAATTTCCACTGAAAAAGGATGAAAGGGGTCATCATAGCCGAGGACTCAATAATTAACGTCAGTTTTTATGAGAAGAATGCGTAAATGGATACAAGGATTTCTTTTCTAGAAAATGATTTTTCCTCTCGGTGTTGGATGCTAGACAGAGTCTACCTAAGACGTCGAGGATCCCGCGAAGAATGTATCTCCGGTAACGAATCGTGGGCACATGGAGCATGCGGAAAGTCATGGTCGTTCCATTCCAAGAAAGCTTTTTTGAAGGAATGCCAGTCCCATCGGAGACTATCAACGGTTCCTCGCAGTCCGAGTAACATCGCGTATTGCCACCAATGGCAATGTTGATGATGGAACTTCGTTCCTTGAAGAGACACTCTAACTGGGTATAATTGCACACCGGCATTTCTGGGTTACGTGGAAAATAGTGGTTCACGCAACCACATAAATGCAACATGCGCTCGACTTGCATCTGCTGAATCAAGAAGAGGTTGTTGATTCTCTGTAACATTGGCTAATTGTCGTATGCTGAGAAATTTTGAGGATTACCTCTGTGACGCATACATCGTAGCTGTACAGATCATAGATGAAGTTATCTTCGTTCTCAAATGGGAACCGACATTTTCGCTGAGAAATGGGAACGTGTTTTACTCCGTCCTCGTTGTTGACATCCTGGAGAGTGATCGCATAGTAATTTTTATGACCGACAAGCCCTGCCACCTCCTTGTCGGCATTACTCACTATCGAAGGTATCTGTACGTCGTTCAACAAGTAGAACTGTGAAAGGAATCCAATTGTAGAACTTTAGAGAGATGATGATTTACAATTCTACACTTGCATTGACTTTTAAGGTGTTATAAAAGCAACAATACATGTGTATCGAAAAGTTAAAATATATACAAAACTTTTCTTCAAATTGGGTAAACCGAATGATTTGACATTTTGACTCATAATCCTAAAATTGAGCGTTTAGTGCTCCATGAAAAGGTACCTTTACATCTACCGAAAACCTGTAAGTGTCCATTGCTTTTGTCAAATTGACGGACAACACGCCGGCCCCTGTGGTCCGATTCACATTAAAGTCAACCGATCTTCCTTTTGCAGGCTTGGCTTGACGAGAGTTGATCATTAAACAATATCCTGCAGTGGTTTGTAACCCTGCGAATTCATCGCAACAGTTGAAAACTATGTCATTGAATCGACAGACTCCCAAAAGTTCGGTACAGTTGACTCTGACCTAGCAATACGAAAAGAATCATTATAGCCCTTGCATGTTTTAAAAATTTGTCCCTAGAAAGTATTTTACTTTGTCATTAAGTGCCATCAGCTCTGTTGCCGATAGTTTATTTAATATCTTCAGCTTTGATTTGTGACTATACCCCAGCGCGGAATAGGTGAACAATTTGCGCAGATCCGCAGCATATCTTGAATATTCAAAACTCTTATTTCTGCTCAAAAAATAGCACATTGGAAAATTAACATTTATTTGACCATGATATCAGTTAACGAAAGCTTTCGGTAATATAAGTGATCGTAGTCATAGTCATTACATTTTTTATTAAAAATCAGTCAAATTGCTTTTTAGTTCTCTTTTTAACGTTTACGTACGCAATTAGGTAAGCTTTCAGTTCTGATGACATTTGAAAACACATGCCGAAGGAAGGGAATTTCGTTTGCCAGTCAAGATAGGTGGTCTCTACAGTCATTGCTATCGAATTGTCAGTGAAATCATTGAGGACTCCCGATACCATTTCGATACAACCCCACCAACTCAATCCGCAGAAAAATATCCAAAATAGCCTGAAAATAAATGCATCATAATTTTGTCATAATATTCATTCTTGTATAGTTTTTTCAACGAATGTTGTATGATCGTTTGGCGAATTGAATTCATATTGCCCGGTACACTGGTGGACGTGAAAGCATTTTTTGGGAATAAGTGATGCTAAACTATAGTGGGAAGACATTCACGTCCGACATTGTTGCGACACATATTTTACAATATTACCGCTCGGTCCAGTGTCGGCCATCTTCAACAATGTATTTCAATCCATGCAGAGTTGAATTACTTAGATATTCTTTAATAATGTTGCCGAAACGTAAGGCACAGTTTCGAGCTAGCATGCTTCACTACTTAGTATCGCAATACCTCCATTACTGATAACGACTTTCAAACGATTCAATAATGTGGCGCTATTATATTGAAATATAATAACTTGTCTATTAAATAAGATAATACGTTCATAAGTCTGTCAGGCTATGGCTTAGAATGCTTGCATGACAATTCGCCACTAATATGATCACGCAATACTGATTATGCAGTAATATGTTCTGAATAATTAATTGAAAAAGGAATGCAGTTACGAACGCTCGCCAAATTAATTATGAATAATTTATTGATGTTTTCTATCGAAATGATCGCATGAAATGAAATAGAGACGCGGCACGAAAACACTTCCTATGCTAATATTTTTCTTTTCTGGTATATCATTAACATAGCAGAGAAATGTTTAATTTTGTTCCGTTTATGACCTACAATTAAATAAATATCCAACGGCAAAAATAGAGAGTTAACAACAAAAAGTTTCAAATTTGTAGGTAACGTCTGAACTTATCGAGTAACAAAGTGCGTATCCACGCTAAGCATAGAACGTGGATCTGTTTCGGCGAATGGTCGCTCTGCGCTTTCGGCTCCTCAATCGCTTTTTAATATGATCAGTAATGTACATATGTATGCATATGACGTATGATGATGATGATGTATGTACATTTACACCTGCTATCTTACTTCGGAATTATAACTATTAGTGTTGTGTTGTATAAACATCGTTTTACGTCGGTGTTAGCGGTAAAATCAGAGTCAAAAGTAGTTTATGCAGTATTTAACACCAGTGGTTAACTATCGATAGATATAAAACTGATATGGGAAAAAGTGTAGGGCCCGGTTTGCATCATGCGGTCCAGTAACCGACGACGCGGTTGAACTTGGCGCTGGCAAGATGGCGTCCAAGATGGCGTCCAAGATGGCGTCGCAGCGGTCGGCGAGGGGCCGCGGGCGTGCGTAAAGTAGTCCGTTTGGGGCATCGGTGGCGAGAGGCGGCAAAAGACGGCGACGAACGTGCGTTGAAGCCGGTTGGTGTTGCCGGTGGGTGTCGTCCGAACTCCTTGACGACGAATTCCTGCGCCAAGAAGGCGAGCTCGCCGGCCGAGTGGAGACGCAGTTAGCTCCGGACATCCTTGGCTTCGATCGGCGGCCTACGTAGGGTGTCCTCGTCGTCCCGGCACATCGGAAAGGTGCGTAAATCCGCGTCCGCCTCTCGTCCCTGGACGTGTGTCGCGAGGCAGAGGCGCGCGCGCGCACGAACGAACGACGAATGAACGAATAAACGAATGAACGAATGAACGAACGAACGCCGCGTTCCCTCGCGATACATAATCCTCCGCCGGTTCGTAGGAAGCAGGAAGTAGCCGCGGGACGAAGGGTTAACACCGAGCCAGTTGATTCGCCGATACATGTGGGCACCTGCCGGTTAGAACGGGCCCCGAAGCGAGACTTTTAGCCAGAGAGTTTCAGGAAGCCCCGGCTCGTCTCAAACACAAGCGGCCCAGGCTCCGAGAGCCCAGAAACACCATGCAGATGGATTCCACGACGGTCCAGCTCATTCAGGTCCTCGAAAAGACCGTTTCCCCAGGTTAGTGAAAACTTTTGCGCGCGCTTCCTCGCTCTAATATCCACAGGAACAATTTGGACCGCACGGACCTCAGGAACGGGTTGACTCTACTTGATTTCTCACAGAGGGGCAGCCGCAAAATTGATTCTCCCTGATTAATCGAGGCATTGAGCGTAATTTGGTATACTGCCGAAGGTATCTCCTCTCGAAGAGGACGAGCTTGCCAAACGGTGGCCTGATTGGCTGCGTTAAGTCGTTTGAGGTCGTTTGTCAGTCCATATCGGGTGGTTCCTTCTTTAGTCTGCTAGTTCATTTTTTTTTTAAATGTTTGAGTCTCAAATCCTTCGTGCTGTTCTTAGTTATCGTTATAGCGATATACTTCTCATGTGCATCGTTTCTGATTTTATCTCCATTTTCATCGTATAGTAATAAATATTTAACAGAGAATTATAACTTTATAATAGCAAGTTCCTTTTGAATAGACTAATCCTAGTTGTAACTTCCTTTGTGGTATTTATAATTCCTCGCTCGTGTTATGAAAGTTAGAAGCACAACAAAGGATTGCGTAAGATTATAAAGACAAGAACAGATTATTATTCTCTAAGATTATAAGAAAGAAACTAAGAAATGCACGAGATGCTCTTTATATGATATGTTTAGCTGTTGCTAAGGAAGCCGTATATCTGTTTGTAAAATTATTGACCACTGCAACTTAGACGTATAATTGAAATGAAAGGTATTGGATGACCTTGAAGACATAAAGTAATAACGATACGATCAAAGCAGTATTAATGAGTAGAGAAATATAGCTTGGTACCATTTAAGTCATAGCGAAGAATTGCCCTTACATTGACATTGGATATGTTTTCTTTCTCCAGATAAAAATGAGTTGGTGGTGGCACAGAATTTCTTAGAGCAGGCGGCGCAGTCCAAGTTTGTAAGTTTATATTTAAGACGCCTAAACAAAGAAACCAAGAAACTGATCCTATGGAAAGATAACGTTACTTGGACTCACTCCTTTCTTTTTGTAGCACGAGTTTGTGCGGAGACTGAGCGATGTACTCGTCACTGCTGCGGCGAGTTCGATCGCTCGCATGGCAGCGGGTTTGCAGTTAAAGAATCAGTTGACATCCAAAGATCCCATATTAAAGACTCAGTATCAACAGCGATGGCTTGCTATTCCCGCCGACACCAGGGAATACATAAAGAAAAATGTAAGAGAGGTCTCCACGTGTCTTAAACCTTTTGACTGCGAAAAGTGTATACATGCATCGAACGTTTGGTCCATTACTGCCTGAATTTCGACAATATGTCCGAAGGACTTTGCAGTCAAAGGGTTAACTTGAATGCACACTTTTCTTCGATAATTATTTAGTTAACTGTCCGAACAGATTTTAGGTGCTTTGGGGACGGAGGAGAACAGGCCAAGCTCTGCGGCGCAGTGCGTTGCTTATGTTGCGGTGGCAGAATTACCTGTTAACCAGTGGACCGAGCTAATACCTCTTTTAGTCAGTAATGTAGTGAATTCTAGTAGTACCGAGATGATGAAGGAAGCAACCTTGGAGACGATAGGCTACATTTGCCAAGAGATAGAAAGCGAAGTACTCGTCACCCAGTCTAACCATATTCTAACCGCCATTATACACGGTATGAAGGGATCGAGTACGTCGAATCATGTCAGGCTCGCTGCGACGCGGGCTCTCTTCAATTCTCTCGAGTTCACCAAAGGAAACTTTGAAATAGAGGTAATGCCATTTCGGATTAAGGGAAAGAAAATATTGGGATGTCCAGAGAGTTTTTCGGGTTTTGTTGTTTAGGGTCTAACGCTTTGTATTAAAGGTGATACGAAAGGGTCATTCTGTACATATAAAACGTGAAAATATTTATACATTTTTTTTCTACAAACTGGCTGGACCGAATCATTTGCAACTTGAGTACGTGATTATGAAGACTAAGGAAGAACGCGATGCTCGTGAAATTTAATTTTTCGTAAAAAAAAAAAAAAAAAAAAAAAAAAAAACGAATAGGATGGGTGTCAATCGACCTTTATTGTCTAGAGAAGAAAATCGAGCAAATTTGCTACTTTTCCTTCTTTAATTAAATGGCCTAAATTATTCGAATTCATGTATGAAGTGCAATTGTTACTAACAAAATGTTAGGCTAGGTTTGCCCTTCGAAACGGCATAGGACTCGGACAAAGGAAAAATCACTTTATCTGAAAACAAAGCGTCAGCGTCTTGAACTGCGAAAATTGCGACAACTTTCTGGTCAATCCAACGCATTCGTTACGTGCACCGATCATAATCTCGAATCCACTTGCAGACAGAAAGGAACTTCATAATGGAAGTGGTGTGCGAAGCAACTCAGTCTAGTAACACGCAGGTCCGAGTAGCCGCCTTACAGTGCCTCGTTAAAATAATGTCTCTTTACTATCAATACATGGAGCCATACATGGGACCTGCTCTCTTCCCGGTAAGTGCTGGGTTTGAAACACTTTCATAAGCGAACCTCTGGAGCCGAGGAACGTCTTTCGAGCAGACATCTTCAATGACAAATAACATTTGCTCCGTAGATAACGTTGGAGGCGATGAAGTGCGAAATCGACGAGGTGGCCCTCCAGGGCATCGAGTTCTGGTCGAACGTGGCCGACGAGGAGATGGACCTGTCGATGGAGGAGGGCGAGGCCAACGACGGAGGCCGACCACCGGTGAAGGTGTCGAGGCACTACGCGAAGGGCGCCCTCCAGTACCTGGTGCCGGTGTTGATGAGAATGTTGACGAAGCAGGAGGAATTCGACGACGAGGACGACTGGAACCCCTCCAAGGCGGCCGGGGTGTGCCTGATGCTCCTCGCGTCCTGCTGCGAGGAGAGCATCGTGCCGTACGTGCTGCCCTTCGTCAAGGTGAACATAAAGAACCCGGACTGGCGGTACCGGGACGCGGCGGTGATGGTCTTCGGCTCGATCCTGGGCGGCCTGGAGGCGAACACGCTGAAGCCGCTGGTGGAGCAAGCGATGCCGACCCTGATCGAGCTGATGTACGACCGGAGCGTCGTGGTGAGGGACACGACGGCGTGGACGTTCGGCCGGGTCTGCGAGATGATCCCCGAGGCGGCGATCAACGAGACCTACCTGAAGCCGCTGCTCGAGTCCCTGGTGAATGGGCTGAAGGCCGAGCCGAGGGTCGCGGCTAACGTCTGCTGGGCCTTCACCGGTCTCGCCGAGGCGAGCTACGAGTCGGCCGAGGGGACCAACGACGGCAACCAGCCGGACACCTACTGCATGTCGCAGTACTTCGACTTCATCATCCAGAGGCTCCTGGAGACGACGGACAGACCCGACGGGGCCCAGGCGAACCTCCGCTCGGCGGCCTACGAGGCCATCATGGAGATGGTGAAGAACTCCCCGAGGGATTGCTACGTCACCGTCCAGAGGACCACCATGGTCATCCTGGAGAGGCTCCAGCAGGTTCTCCAGATGGAGACCCACATCCAGAATAACTCGGACCGCGTGCAGTTCAACGACCTCCAGTCCCTTCTTTGCGCGACCCTGCAGTCGGTCCTCCGCAAGGTAACCGCGGAGGACGCCCCGCAGATCTCGGACGCCATCATGACGGCCTTGCTCTCCATGTTCAACTCGAACTCCTGCAAGGCCGGCGGGGTACAGGAGGACGCGCTCATGGCCGTCTCGACCCTGGTCGAGCGCCTCGGGGAGGGCTTCCTCAAGTACATGGACGCGTTCAAGCCTTTCCTGTGTCTCGGCCTGAAGAACCACGCCGAGTACCAGGTCTGCTGCTCCGCGGTCGGCCTCACCGGCGATATCTGCCGAGCCTTGAAGGGCAAGATGCTGCCTTACTGCGACGAGATCATGACCCTCCTCCTGGAGAACCTGGGCAACGACTCCGTGCACCGGTCCGTCAAGCCGCAGATCCTCGCCGCCTTCGGGGACATCGCCCTGGGCATCGGTCCCGAGTTCAAGAAGTACCTGGACGTGGTTTTGCAGACCCTGTCGCAGGCCTCGCGGGCCAACGTCGACAGGAACGATTACGACATGCTGGATTATCTGAATCAGCTGCGCGAGGGCGTCCTCGAAGCGTACACCGGAATTGTCCAGGGTCTCCGTGGCGACGGACTCACTCCCCTTCAAGATGTCGCCCTGATCGAGCCCCACGTGCCCTTCATGATCCAATTCATCACGACCATTAGCCAGGATCGAGAACTCTCGGATGGGAATATTTCTGCTGCCCTCGGGCTACTCGGTGATTTGGTCGTCGTCTTCGGGGAGAAACTCCTGCCCATGATCGACACCGACCCCATCACCGAGCTACTCACCAAGGGCAGGAAGTCGAGGACCAATAAGACCAAGTCCCTCGCCTCCTGGGCCACCAAAGAGATCCGCAAACTGAAGAGCGTCACTAGCACCACGTCTAGTTGGTGAGTACCCGATTCTTCACTTTTTATTCGAGGTGGTGTATGCTTTCGGGACCGAGACCGGAACGGGGGCGCTGGGAGGATATCTTTCCATCTTCTTCCTTTCATTTTTTCACTCTTCGTATCATTTGTCGACGTTGCTCATCGAACGTGCCCATGACGCGGTATCGTTTCAGATCCCACGATAAGTGTCTCGAAAGGATACACCGGTGTACGTTAGGACAGTGTATACCGCGGCTAGGAAAGTTGCCCCCTCCCCCCTTCGATGTTACTTCATTCGTCCCCGCCAAAATCCCCGCCAAAATCCCCGCGTTGCAAATTAACTCTGCCTCTCGGGGTGAATTTCAAAGGCTTAGACGAGCTCCAAGCTTCCGCACACGAAGCCCATCCTCGTCGGAACTTTCCAACTCGAACAGGACAAATTAATTCCATTCGATGGGAAACTCAACGATCTTCATTTTCTCACGTCCATGGATTAAACGCATCTCTGGGGCATCTCTTGTTAAAATCCCTCCTTTAAACCCTTTTAAGCAGCGTCCCTTCCCGATGGTCGTCAAGGGACGGTTCCCCGGTCCCGACATGAAAGAGAGAGAGAGTCGGGGACACCCGTTGACTTTGGAAACGAGCGAGCGAAAAAGTGAGAGAAAGAGCCGAGGATATCATCTAGGGGAGGGTAGAGAGAAGAAAGAGGCGAATGCATGTGTCAGCTTCCGGATGAAAGTGGAAGAAAGAGAGGGAGAGTTCTCTGGCGGAGAAGGGCCGATCGTCGTCGAGTTTGGGGGAACGAAATGTAGGATGCCGAATTAACCAAGTATTTTCCTTTCAATTTTCCTAGGATTTATCCTTCCTATATTTCTGCCCTCGTTTTACCAAACTTTAACGACGATCCGCTCTTCGAGTGCGACACGATGTCCGGTGGTCAGGGAAATATTGGAAATTTCGTAGAAATTTCTCCTCGAGTTTCGAATGGTTTGTGGAATTTTGAAAATTCCGGGTCGGGGATCGTTGTTCCGAGGTGGTTTTCAAAATTGTCACTCAAAAGGAAACGGAAGCAAAACGAAAAAGCCCCGAAATAAATGCGTGTTTAAAAAAAATGAAAAGCGAAGTTTGAAGCGCGCCCTGCCGGGGGTTAACAGTTGACTTATATTTGGCCCGCTTTTGCTGTTCACAGATCACCCCGAGGTTGTACTGTGCGATTTGATTTAACTAGAAAGCTATCGAACACAATACAAAGACAACAGGATTGGATGGTACGGATGCGAATTGATGGATGTGCGTGAGTCCCGAGAGAGCGAGAGCGAGAGAGAGAAAAAAAAAATGAAAGAAAAAAGCGGATGCAAATCCCGAGGATTTACCGAAAGAAAGAGAGAGCGAGAGCGAGAGAGAGAAAGAGCGAGAACGTGGAGAACCTAAGAGGAGAGAAAGAGTGAGAGAACACGTGAAAGAAAGGAAAGCGAGGAATGAAGAACGAAGGAAAGTCGGAGAGAGAGGAGAGAGCGAAAGTGAGAGAGAGAGAGAGAGAAAGAGAGAGAAAGAGAAAGAGAGAGCGTGAATCCTGTGAGAGCGAAAGAGACGGAGCTGGAAGGATGACCACGTGTGAGGAGGACCTGCCTGTCGAAGGTGCATCCTGTGTACGTGTTCCCCGATGTGTGGTGTGCGAGTCTATTCTCTGTCTGCCGGATGCCGCCCCACGGATGACGCGACGAAGAGTGTAAGTGGATCGAAGGAATCGTTGCCGATGAGACCGATGATACGTTTACCGATGCGAAAGTGCGAAATGTACGGAAGGGAGAGAGAGAGTGCCGCGTTTGCCTGGTCAAACGGATTCATAAGCGAGGGAGGGTGGCTGTCGCGTGGGGTACGCGAGGGAGAGAGGACGCGGGCGACCGGAAATTACTTGGAACGGACGTACCCCTTCGATTTCCGTTTCTCTTCCTTTCCCCCGTTTTTATTATTTGCCCCCCTCGGGGGCACTCGGGCTTGGGCCGTTAAGACTACCCCTTCGACGCCTCGGATAAAACGCAGAAAACCACCTTAGGGCCAAACGCAAACGCGGGACGCGACGTCCAGGGGAAGATCCGCGAGCTCGAGCGGATAGTTGGCGCCTTCCTTGGAGTTATTCCGTAGCCGGGGTATAGTGGTACATACCGGGGGACTACGGTCGTCCGTCCTAGCAAAAGGGTTTAAACGGATGCCGGATGAAAAGATGAACGCGGACGTTAAGGAAGGGGGGCACGTCGGTACGGCCCGTTCCAAGTTCGAAGCGAGTGCGTGCGAGTGCGTGCGAGTGCGTGCAAGTGCGTGCGAGGTACTTATGCGAAAAAGCGAATGGGCGAATGGGCGAATGGGCGAATGGACGTTTAGGGGATAGGACGCGACCGAGCAATTCCACCCGAAGACGTCGGCCCTCGGCGTCGGCCCTCGGCGTCGGCCCTCGGCGTCGGCCCTCGGCGTCGGCCCTCGGCGTCGGCCCTCGGCGTCGGAGCGTCGGCGAGACGCGAGGGTCGGAGAGCCGAGAAAACTCGGCCGATCCGTTCGCCCTGGGGAGCCGGCGACCCGTGATTGATCGCGATGCGCATGAATCTACCGTCTCGGAGGACGGCGACATGTATGTTAACTTTCCACTTCGTATGCGAATGTCTGTTTCTGCTGTTGAATCATTAAAGTTAATATTTTGCTGGCATATGTATACACCTACCGGACGACTCCCTGGGAGATCCATTCGGCGGATCGGTCGTCGATGCGTCAGCGGCGACCCCGATCCCCTTAAGCGGCCCTAACCCGATTGGGCTCGGGATGAGTCCTGGCGCGCCCCTCGACCTCGACCTCGACCTCGGGCGGCCCCGGGCGGCCCCGGGCAGCCGCGGGCAGCCGCGGGGCAGGGATGCCGACTCCGAGCACGGTGGGCAGTTGGCAACCCTGCCGCGGGGGCGTTAATGCACGTTACGCGATCGGGCGCGCTCTTCTAAGGCCTCGGCGAGGTGTCCCGGCGAGGTGTCCCGACGGTGCGGCCGCCGACCAGGAGTCGCAGCATGCCCGGCCCGGATGCGAGCCCGCCGACGGATCCCGCCCCGAAGGCGCGCGGCCCCGAGGACGACGTAAGTAGCCCCGGTCGCCCCGGTCGCCCCGAGAAACTTCCTCCTTTCCCTCTCGAGCGCGATCCCTTAAGAAAGGTGAAATTTAGGAAGGCTTCGACCTCGACGACCTGTTGCCGATCGTCGGAGAATTCGGTCGCTACCAGAAACGACTACTCTGGCTGGTCTGCCTGCCGGCATGTCTGCCCTGCGGTTTCTGCGCGTTCAATCAGCTGTTCATGGCCGACACTCCGCCTCACTGGTGCAAGGTCCCGGGCCTCGAGGACCTGGACCCCTCCCAGAGGAGGAGGCTCGCCGTTCCCATTCAGGTGCCCAAAGGGTGTCCCCGCCAGGTCCGGGCCGGTAGAAAACGATTCGTAGGGCCGCCTCTTGCCTTCCGCTCGCGTAGCTCCTCCCCGAAGGTCGACTCCCTGGGCATCTCCCTGGGCATCTCCCTGGGCATCTCCCTGGGCACACCCCTGAAATCCCCCAAGACCACCCGGCTAAATTAGCATTTCCCGTAATCGTAGCACCTGGCCAACCCTTGGGACCGCCGTAATTACTTCCGCTGCGTAGGAAACGACGGTCGGAGGATCGTTTCGTGGATCGTTTCGGGTCGAGGGGGGAGGTCAAAGGGCGAGCTCGCCGTTCCGTCCTCGACTGGCGAATATTTTCCTGTTAAAGTAGGACGACAACGAGACGTACAGCCAGTGCACGAGGTACGACGTAGACTGGACGGATCCTGAAAACGTGGCCCTGGATGCTCCCAAGCCGAACTCTTCCTGGCCGGTCGTGCCCTGCGACCGTGGCTGGGAGTACGACACCTCGGAGGTCGTCTCTTCCATCGTCATCGATGTGCGCATCTTCCTATCCTAATTCGGGTCTAGATCGAATCTAAATCGAATCTAAATCGAATCCAAATAACGAAAGATCGTCGCGAGAGATTCGACGACTATTTATCGCTGATTTTCTGAAAATGTGTGCAGTTCGACCTAGTCTGCGAGCACGCGATCTATCCGACGATCGGACTGGTCGCCTTGAACTCCGGAGGACCCATCGGCGTCTATCTGTTCGGCACTTTGAACGACAGGTGAGTGTCCCGGATTATTCCCTGGATTACGGAAAGTCTCACGTCCTTTCTTTCGCGTTTGACAAGGATCGGCCGGCGGCTGTCGTTTTTCACGTGTCTGGCGACCCTCATCGCCGGAGCCTTCTTCACGGCGATATCCAACAGCTTTTGGACGTGGGCGGCCACGAGGATGGTCGTGGGATTGACGATACCTGCGATCTATCAGATACCCTTCATCATCTGTAAGCGGACTTCCCAACTTTCGTTCCGTCCGGGCAGTTTTTCCTTCGACATTTTTTATTCCTCTTTTCTAGCTCTGGAGCTGGTGGGACCGAATTACCGATCTTTCGTCACCGTTATGACGTGTTCCTTCTACACGATGGGTCTCTGTATGCTCGCCGGAGTAACCTACCTAGTCCGAGACTGGAGAATGTTGGCAGTGACGACCAGTGCGCCGTTTCTCTTTTATTTCGCCTATTGGTGGTAATTTTCCCATCCTACGAAAGGCGCTAAGAAGTTTCCCTTGTCTCGCGCGGCCGTGGAAAGCCCCGGATTTATTTCCTTCGTTTCCACTTTTTTTCAAACCGTTCACATTTTCAGGTTCCTTCCGGAGTCGCCGAGGTGGTTGCTGGCCAAAGGCCGCCTGGGAGAGGCCAACACCATTTTGGAAAATCTGGCTCGAACGAATGGAAAGGAATTGCCGATTTCGTTTACCCAGAAACTTCGCCAGCGGATGACGATGTCGCGGTCCAAGAGCGAAGAGGAGAGGCTCAGGAAGGGGCCCGGCCTTTTAGCGCTGTTCAAAACGCCGAATATGCGACTCAAGACCTGCCTCATCACCCTTAATTGGTACGGAATTGCTTCAAATAGGATATCTCTTAGGTGCTATCGCTCCGTTATCTTTCATTCGCTAAAGTTTCAAAATTAACGAAGCTATGTACATCTATCCAACGTCGTTCCAACGTCGTTCCAACGTTATAGGTTCGCCAACAACATGGTGTACGTCGGTCTGTCCTATTACGGACCGGCTTTGGGAAGCGAAGAGCATCTCAGTTTTCTTTTCTCCTCGCTTGCCGAGATTCCAAGCTACATCGCTTGCTGGATAGTAATGGATCGATGGGGTAGAAGATGGCCCCTCTGCCTGTGCATGGTCGTCGCCGGAATCTCCTGTATAACCACGGTGCTTCTGTCAGCCGGTAACTTAACTCTTCCGCTGGTCCAATCCTTGTTACTCTCAAGGTAAAGTGGCGTCTAAGGGGTCGTTTATGAAACCTTTCTCCGAACTTTTGGAGGAGGTACCGATTCGCTTGAAATTTTATCACGTGAATATGGAGGTCTCAGAGAACGTCCCAACCCCCATGATATCTCATTTTTTTTTTTATTTCTTTATAAACACGTTTCGAATTTTGCATGGGAAATGAAATTTCGGTGAGATGTGTCATAAGTGAGCAATCCCTCGGATGCCACTTTCGTATCACCTTAGCTCAACGCTTTCCCTCCCGCAGACCAGGTAGTGGCCACGCTGATCCTCTTCCTCGTCTCGAAGTCGGCCATTTCTGCGTCTTTCCTTATCATCTATCCGTTTGCTGGAGAACTTTATCCGACTCAGCTGAGGGGAGTCGCCATCGGATTCTCGGCCTACATCAGCGGACTTGGACTCATCATCATTCCGTTCGTTACCTACCTTGTAAGTTGAACGTCTCGTTGTCGTTATTTCTAAGGCAATTTTCCGTCTACTTGAGGTGATGTGAAAGTGCTTTTTGAGAGGTCACTCGTTTATCGAATGGACCACGAGGTCCGGATAATTTGAAATTTACTAAACCGTTCCTACGTAAACCTGCACTTAATCGTTTGAAATTAAAATAAAAATCGGCCGTTCCAGTGCTAACGTCGCGTTACGTTTTATAGGGGAAGGAAAACTTAGTGTTGCCGCTCGTGATCCTCGGAGTGGTTTCCGTTATCGGAGGACTTTCTGGCCTCAGGCTTCCCGAGACTCTTCATCATCGACTTCCTCAGACCGTAGAGGAGGGTGAACTCTTCGGGAAAGATTGGACCTTCGCCGATTGCGTCCGTTGCGTGCCACTGAAGTGAGTCTTTCCGAAAAACGGATCCAAAAACCGATCCCTAGAGGTCCACTGGAGCATCAAAAAATTTTACTTCAATTTCTTTATAATTTTTCTACTAAAATTACACTTGTATCAAATTTCTCGGCGCTTTCGTACAATCTTAAGAAGTTATAACTTCATAACCGGGTCCCAAACCGCATTAAATCTTCCAGGCCCTTATCGCCGAGCACTTCGTACGAGGACTTGTCAGCCCGAGAGACAGTGGAGATGCACGAGGTGCCAGAAATGCCGGAAATGCCGGAAATCGAGGAACTGCCCCGATCTGCTGCAAATGTTCGCCGGTTGGTTCGACAATCTAGCGTGATGGACACGCAGAGGGACTCCGATGGGTCCATCAAGATGACCTACTGGTTTTAGAGAGACGTTAGATAGGAAGAAAAAGAGTCGCCTCGTTCGTAAACCGAGCGCGAGACCGCCTCGATGCCCTCCTCGTCCGCTGGGACGCCACCTTGCACCGATTCCTCAGCTACGAGCATGATAAAATTACACGAAATGTCCCGCGATGACCCGAAGAACCATTAAGTAGGATTCGCGATAACGGAACGGAAGGTCCCCATTTTGCCTCGACCTCTTCGAACGCGATAAATCCGTAACAAAGGGTAAACCGACGAATGGCTGGCAGGGTTTTCGGAATGGTCGAAAAATTTATTTAGCTCACCGATATGCCGTGTTACATAGAAAACTGGGAATATCTATGGAGCATCTTTTGGATGTCATTCGGATCGGATAGAGTCACCGACTCTCTTTTCTCGATTGAGGGGGAAGATTGCACTCCTTTACAGCCGGGTCGTTCTGTTGTAACAGCTGAAAGCACGTGTTTCCAAGTTGTCACGCGATTCATCGATTTGTCATTATTATTAAGGATTCGGGATTTTATTAAACGGTCGTAAGTCTACTCGTTGGTCGGAGCTGGTTCGCCATTTTGGGTCTTTACCTTTCCAATAGACGACGTTTCAGCTCGGGAGGATAAGCCACGTATATGTAGTGATCCGGGATGTCTCCTGCCGGGAAGGATGGATCTTCGGCGATGTTTAACTGACGTTCATCTGCCTTTTCCGTAGGATCTCCGGATGTCTGCAAAGACGCTCCAGGGCAGTCCTTGGAGTTGCCGAAATCCGGATTCCTCGACGTCTCGTCGTTCGCCGGCTCGTCGCCGGAGCTGAAAGTCGGTTGGATTTTTTTTAGGACTCGTCTTATTGGTGCTAACTATATCCGCGTCTACAAATTCTGGAGGGCATTCGAATCGTGACGACTGGCTCGAGTAATTTGCAAGATCTTTAAAAATTCTTAACATGGCCAGCAAACATCGAGATGTCGGATGCTCCTGTCTAGAAGAAACGATTCAAAAATTAACTTCCCTTTGTTTACCTTTTCTATCACTTTAATCTCATGAGTCAATATTTTCGGGTAAAAATGTAACGTTAAAATGATAGGAAAGGGTCATACCGGATATATAAAATGTGAAGAAATTTTTAAAACTTTTTTCCAAACTGGGTGCACCGAATCATTTGAAACTTCGGCATGCGATTACGGCGGCCCTTAAGAAGAACGTTCAAACGATTCGGTGCATCCAGTTTGGAGAAAAGTTTCATCGATATTTGAACGTTTAGATAAATATGGAATGACCCTTTCATCCCACCTTAACGACGCGTTCTTCTAAACGGCAGCATTTGGTTTTTTCGGTGGAAGTCGAGAGAAGAGTAAATTGGGAGCCATTTCGTGGCAATTCACCTGAAGAGCATCCAAATAACGTAGTAACAGACGGACAGTCCCGTGGAGAGGAGTAAAAGGAACGCGAGTAAAAGGTACCAGGGCATTCGCTGTTGTTGCTTCCGATTGTCTTCCCAATATCTGTCGCAGCTCAGGTACCAGCAGATTGCCCGATTCAGTTCTCCTGAGGATTCGATCGTCCCCGAGTATCACTCGAATACTTACGACTGCGTTAAAGCTTACTCCTCCTCCATGCCGAAGACTTACCCTCGATTTCCTGAAAGTCTCCTACCGACAAGTTCGTCAGAAGCCCTGCGATGCAGTCACGGATCAGGGTCTGCAAGTGGAAGAGCGGTTAATGCGATATTCACAAAGCCATTTGGTATTTACGATTCCTAGGGGGCCAATGCGCATGGACGGGGACCCCTTAAAGGTCGTACTTCGCATTGCAACTTGAGTTTGTGCAGTTCCTCGGGCTTGCATGTCGACTTTTGCCTGCGCTGCTGGCCCTTGTTTTTCGTGTTGGGCGGCAAGCCGGCCTCGACCATGTTGCTCCCGTCGTCGGTCCGCTTGGCGTCGCCCTCGGGGTCGTCCTCGGGGTCGTCCTCGGGGTCGTCCTCGTCGGCGAGCGCGCTGTCGCAGGAGCTGCTCTTGTTGTCGGGGCCCGCGAGCTCCCGGTGAGGGGGCGAGGAGCCTCTTCGGCAGAAGCGGCGGAAGCTCGTCAGGGCCGAGGAGCTCTCCCGGCGGGAAGCTTCTCGGCACGTCCGTTGCACGTCGCGACGGTCGCACGAGGTCCGAGCGCTGCTGCTGACCGCCTCGCTCCACACCTGCACGCGGAAAAGGAGAACCTTTTTTTCCCCAGGGGTAGGCCTAATTCGCTACGCGAAAAAGCGTCGCGAGGTATGTACAAAATGTGACGGGTTCCGCATTCCGTTATGCTCTTCCTCCTCTTCCTGGGAGGGAACGGGAAGTATACAACGTAACGCATTTTCGAATCGTAGCAGTAGCGTCTTGCTTTCCCAGCGCGAGAGTTGTTGTCGAACGGTGTTACGTAAGCGAATAACAAGGGTTGCATCAGAACCCTCACTTCGGGTAGAGCGTCCGCTTATCGGAAGGATTAGCCGGGATTAAAGGGACGGTGGTCGCCAAGCGAGGACCGAGGCGACAGTTCGGGGGAAGCGGCCGAAGAGTCATCAAAGAGGAGAAACCCGAGAAGACCCGCTCCGCCTTTCTCCTTACCGACGACAAGGTAAAATGGAATAAGGGGGTCGGGACCTTCCGTGTAGCCTCCGTATTCCCGTATAAAAAATTGAAAGCATTCGGAGAAAACGTTTGCAAACGAGGTGTCATTTTAAACGATTGGGAATTTAAAAACACCACCTGGATGTCCGTGTTGACGGGACCCGGCTCGTCGAGCGAGGCCTCCTCCAGGTCGCGGCTTCCCAGGACGTCGCATCGCATTATGTCGCAGTAGTCGGCCAGGCACACGGCGTCCTCCGCCTGCGCAATTTTTTTTTTCACGCGGTCAAATTCGGATGCCCCTTTCTTGGGGGGGATGCGAAAGGGCGACTCACGGTGTTGACGACGTTTCTATGCCTGCCGTCAAAGTGGGCGTCCAGGTGGGCCTCGGTGTAAAAGGATTTCCCGCACAATCCGCACGTCCATTGGGAAGGTCTGTGCTGATGTTTCGCTTCTTGCTGGGGATAAAAGATATCTCGGCTCTTGTGGAAGGGACACTCCAACGGCAACTCCACTTGATACCTCTTCAACACGGGAATCCATTTCTACGGGAAAACGAGAGAACGCGTTGAAATATCAAAACGTGCCCCCGTAGTCGTGAATATTTTCAACGTTTCGACGGAACGACCCAACGTTATACATGAAACTTTTCTTCTCACCTTGTGAATGATTCTCCTCACCAAAGAGGCACGACTTCGGGGACATGATATCTGGAACACGCTCGGCCCCGGCCACGGGATTACGGAAAGTAACAGCACACCCAAAATCTGAAATTTCGCCAAAATCGTCATCCATTAGCTTTACGAGCGTTCATTCGAGACCTGGACCTCGATTCGAAATAGTCTCCGGTCGAATACGTAGAAAATTACGTTACGATAACTCACGTGGTCGGCGTATTTCAGCCTGCGCTGGATATTGATTCGTATATTATACCCGGTGCTATCTTGGCTACGCGGTCCTACATAAAGTCATCCGCGGCACTACATCGAGGTCGCATTTTCTTTTTAATTCGCTTCCACGATTCTAAAAGTCCCTCGTAAAAAGTTGATTCGTTCCAAGAAAAGCTCAGCTTAACGTTCGAATCTTTACGAACGACATCTTGCCAATATAAATAATTTATAAAATTGTAGCGTCATTTTTATTTCCGTTTGAACGACTCGACCGGCATCCTGAAAATAATGAATACTTGTTCGCGATGTATCTTTCGGAATCGACGGAATCCGTTTTCTTCGATTGTCCGATAACGTGTCGTGACCCACTAACCCGATATCACTCGTTAATTTATAAGGAAGAAGACGATCACAAAATCCACCCTTCGCTTTCTCTATCTACTTCTCGATAAGTAGGCACAAACGTCCACTTGATATCCGCGATATCCCGTCCTATCGGAGCGGACGCGGCGACGTCAAACATGTCCGCGGCGAGTCGGAGGACTCGCGTCTCTTCGGGAGATTACCTCGAGATAGAAGGCTTGGATCTTCATTCATAGCCTTTGTGATCCGCGCGAGCGATCGACGCAGGGTCCCCCGCGATGTTCGGCTTCCAGGATGGCCACTCGACGGCTGATAAAAGGGGAGGCGGGACTCCGTCTTCGTCGTCCTCGTCTGGCCGCGAGCTCGCACATGCGAGATTCCGGAATCCGTCGATGCCGATACGCAGGCGCACCAGGAAATCAGGGAAAACGGGCTGCGCAGAAAAGCCAGCTTTCCCTGCGGGACCTGGCCCTTGGCCTCGACGAGACGATTCGACTCGAGAGATGTCCCTATCGCTCTAATTCATTTGACATTGCACGGGAAAGTGAATGGTCGGAAAAACCAAACGTTTTGGGTGAAAATCGTGGCCTGCATTCGGTGCATAAATTGTAGACGAGACTCGCTGGCCAATGGTCAGAGGAAATTGGGATTCAACGCGATTATCGATTATCGATTATCGAGTTCGGGTTGATAAGCCATGTGGATACGGGAGACTCGACGAGGGTGGCGCGGAGAAAGAAAATGTAGGACATTTCGGAGTATAAGCGCCCCGTTAAAAATATTCATGAAATTCGTAGATCTTTAGAGTGTAAAGTTATAAAAATAAATTTCACGCGTTAAAAACGATACACCTCTTTGGCTAAAATTGGGATATTCCTGAAATATTGGATTTCTCGTGGGCGGCTTTGATTCCCAGATCGACCATCTCGGCGATTATTGGGATCGCCTGGCCGATCGACGAAACTTCTTTCGACGAAATTTTCGGTAGTCCTAGATTCCTTTTTACCCCTTGTCGTCCGAATTCGAGCTCGGTTGAAAAAAATCGACACATTGGGAGAACATTCGACCACGCGAAGGCACTCGAAATGACGTTTTTGTGGCCGCCGAGACCGGCGGCAAGAGCGACGATCATTTTCGCGGCCGCTGCTCCGAATGAAACTTTGGCCTCCTTCCATTCCGTGGCAGCTAATTCCTTGTCCGCGGATCGCACTCGATTTATCAACAGGTCCTCGTGGTCCTAAATGGAGAGAAACGTATCATTCCATAAGTGGGAGTTAATACGTATTTTTCTCAATAAATACGTACACTCGAGAAAATATTGACGGGTTTGGCCCGCGATAAGAGAGGGATCACCGTGCAAGGATCGGCTCCACCGACAATGGGTATCGATAGAGAGGTGGGCCAGAGTCCCAAAAAATGTGCGGTTTCCGACTCGGCTCTCATGGCGTCGATCGTCGTAGATCCGATAATTCGATCGGGGTCCCAAAATCCGCGGCATTTATAAATTTCCGAAACCAATGGCAGAGTAGCCGTCACCGGACGGGCGAAAATCGCAACGAGAGCTTCGGGACAGAAACGGACCATTTTTTCCGCCATTTTTCGAACATAATCTGCCGATCCCATGAATTGCGCGCGAGGTGTGTCGTTCCCGACATTGAAGTCACTCCGGTCCATAAGAGCGATAATGTCCATCTGGAAGAAAATTGGAATCACTTTTTCAAATCTTTATCCATCCTTTGTATTAGGAGTAATTTGTATTTCGTCATACGTCGAACATACGTTATTCAGGGCTTCCGAAATGCGCTTCTCCTTGAAATGCTTGAGTCGAGTCGAAGTGTCTATATGATTTGCATCGAAAATCAAACCCGAGAGAGTACCGTTTGTGTCGACTAGGTGAACGCATTGTATAATCGTTGACTGCTTTAGCAAAATTGCAGCATACATCGACGACATCCCACCTCCAATAATCGCCACGTTAATGGCACCTTTTTCGCATTTATCCTTCGATTTCCTCTTTCCGGATCCGCAGCTTTTGCCATCAAGAGAGATGCTCGAAATTCCTCGATTGCTTTGTAAATTACGGCGAAATTCGGACAAGACGTCGCGAACTACAAACTTCGAGAATGACGTTGATCTGTACATTTTCAATCGTTGTTTAATGATCTTCGTGCAATAATTACGGTTCTCTTTTGCCGCAGGATTTGCAAATTTTCGTTTACTTAAGCTCCGTGGATTTTTTTTGAAATTCTCAAGCTTTGACGTTTCCGATCTATTGTGAATGCAGGCACCGATTGCGAAAAGAGTGAAACTAGTTTCTGTAATAATATTCCCTGAATTGAGAAAATGTTTCTTATGCGCGAATTTCACAATAGACCGATAAACGGGACTTGCTTGGAAGATCTGCTATATTCTACAACGAGGGTATAAAATTATAATTACAGGCGGATTTAGTATTATAATACTGTCGTTACGCTCCCAAATACGCTCGCTCGATAATCACTTTCCCGAATTCCGAAAATTCGCCGTAACGATCGTAGGAACGAGGACGAAATTCGGTTCGGAAGCGGAAGAATTCGTCAACTGGAATCTTTCGACATCCGTGGTATTAAAAATCGTTGTTTCGGAATTTCCCTTTTCCTCCGACGCCGCATAGTCCGGAAGTCGCGTAGAAGCTCCCTTTGTCGCTCCTTCGGGGCGTCGGCGTCTGGGGTTGGCGACTCTTTCAATTTTCCCCAAAGTCCTTCGACTTCCCGAAGACGTAGCGGTGGATTTTCTCTCGAAAGACGCGTCGGTGACATTGGCCGATCTATCGACGACGATTTTCGATCGCAATCGCCTTTCGACCGGCAAGGAATCTTCCCGTCTGTGAAACCGATCGATCAATTTCTCCGCTCGGCGCTCTTTGGGCTTCGAGATGGCGGAACCATTTCGGCCCGGAGGAGGCAACGCGTGTAAATACGAGATCGGCCAGTGTCGAGCGACATAATTCTCTCGAATCGGCTGACTTCTTTGGTAATCGTTGAATGTTCGCATCGGCCTTGGACTCGGAAGATAGGGATGATACTTTTCGCTACATGGACGCCATTGCTCTTCGGCGGGTCCCACGTAACACCTGTCGAATTAAACCCCTTAATTATGATCCGTGGGCGGGTTAGAGAAATATGATTTTCACGATTACTTGCCATGGATATTTAAAACCCTTGGAAAATCCGCATCGATGATTAGGTTCGCAACAATAATCCCAGGCTCCGGGTTCGCCTCCTTCGGGTTCGCAGGACCAAAATCCGGCAACTTTATTCCTTTCGCACTTGGTGCCTCGTTTACAGGGATATCCATTTACGGTGTAATGTCGGAATGTCGAAGAACCACCGGCTGAAAGAATTGAACGTCGATTAATTCAATGGAATACTGAAGAAATAGAAGTTAAAATGAAATTAGGGCATTTACTTACCCGGAAATGGGCAGTTCTGGTTGATACTAAAACCGCAATCGCCAGATCCAGTCGTGTCCGTTCCATCCCCAGAATCTCCAGAATCTCCAGAATTCCCAGGGCCAGGGGGAAAAGGACTGTTAGGATTTAAGGGAATGATTCCCTGATAATCGGGTCCTTCCGGTGGGGTTGGATCTACGGGACGAGACCCACCGCATCCCGATCCAGCACCCGGATTATCCGGCAAAATTGGACGACCTCCTCCATGGGGAGGACATTGAGGACCCACGGGAGGAGGGACGTAATCGGGTCCCGTGGGATCCAGAGGAATGACTCCAGGATAATCTGGACTTCCTGGATACCCGGGTTGATCAGGACCAGGGGGTTTCGCTTCCGGTTTCCCGGGTGTTCCCCCGTGTGGATACGGATATCCTGGCCGAGGGGGTTTGATATCATGGCCATGGGGTCCTGGGTAATATCCTGGATAATATCCTGGATAATGGGGATGCGAAGGGGGTCTTTCTGGATAAGCTGGAGGTTTCTGGGGATAGACTGGTCTATGGGGGATGGGTGGATGCCGAGGTCTACCAGGGGGTCCATGGCTCGGAATCCAACAATGTGGCTCCAAGTCTTTCCACACGTACAATACGTAGTTGGTGTCCGGGACGTAATCGAAACCTGGGATCAAATCTCTCATGGGAACGTCGCTTAGGAAGCAGTTGTCCTTTCCATTTGGTGAATATCTGTTGAACGTGTACTTTTTCTCGTAATTGTAAATGGTGCGCGCTTAAATTCGAATTTTAAATATATTCGAGTCTGCTTTTACTTGTTGAAGCTGAACGACATGCAAGGAACTGGATCTCTTTCTCTCATTCTGGAACACTTTTGTCGACATTCCGATTCCGTGTTGACTCCAACCGCTAATAAAATTGCCACTGGAGTCAATCTGCATGGTTTTTGGTGACCGGCATAACACCCTGAAATTAATTATATCGATATCAGGCGCCTTTCATTTAAAAATTTAGTTCACGTTCGCTCTTCGTAATCTTTTATCAATGAAATTGTATTGATATCGAGCGTTTTTAAATTTACCCTCGTCCATGTTTTGCGGCCTTTTGCCGGTTTGAGGTTCTTTAGGTGTTGTAATCATCGGGAATGGAAATGGTTCGCAACCACGGCCAAAGCTGCCTCTTTCGTACAATTCGGCTCCGTTCAATTCCAGAAACGAGGCGGAATCAATTTCTTGAGACGGCCAGTCGCTTAAGAAACAATTTGCCGATCCGTCCGTCAATTGTCCGTACCTGTTAGAAAAATGTCAGAATCAAACACGAATACCGAACGTCCTTTACATCTTTTCCCATTCATTTTTCTCCCTCGATATTGCGATTATTGCAATTACTATCGTTACCTGAAGACGAGACTTCTGCAGATGAATTCTTTGGAATTCACGCATTGAAATTCACAATCGCCTAGACCCCCCACCAGAATGGAACTCTTTGTGACCTTTGATGGAATTCCAACTCCACTGGCAACCCTCCAGAAGCATTCTGCAATATTAAAATCAATATCCATGAAAATAACGAGTGCTTTTAAAAACGGAACGAAACTAATTTTACCTTGCGGTGGCTCTTGACTCTGAGGTCTGTTTTCACAGGACTTCCGGTCTCCGACGACTACGTAAATGTCGTAATCGCGATCGGGCTCCAAATCGGTGTAAAAGTCCAAATCTTTGTACGACACCTCGCTCAAAAGACAATTATCGGTGGGTGCGGTGGCTGCCACGTTGTACCTATTCGTACATTGCGTCAAAATTGATTATTTACGATAATAAATGAACTTTGAATTCGATGATTTCTGTCCGAACTGATCGCACCTGTAGGAGAAGAGCATGCATGGAAACTCCTTTTCGGTGAAGCAGAACCGTTCGCACTGGTTCACGTCCGAAGTAAGGAAACTTCTTCTCATGATTCCTCTTCTGACTTTGAAGCCTGCTCCGGCTCTAACGGAACATTCTTGTCCACTTCCGGTGCCGCCGTACAATAAATCTCGTTCCGAGGGAATATAGTTGTCCCCGTAGCCAAACGCGCCTCCATAATTGTAGAACTCGCCGTAAAAGTGGTCGTTCACTAGAGGCCTTGGTCGAGAACGACCATAAGCTTTCCTATGGGTTGTTTCCTTGGGATAAGAAACGTCGTTTCCATCGTATCCATAAGAAGATCCATAAGTTCCCCTGTCGTTGTAACCAGCTCCATCGCGCCAATATGGAGCGACTTCGTTGGCGCCTTTAGAAAATGGAGAAAAAATACAACATTTAGAGGAGAGTATCATCCGATGAAACCTAATTGTCATCCGTAATAAATGTTAATATCTATCCACTCACCAACGTCGGGATAAGGTCGACCGTATTCGGTCCTCCTTATCGGATACTTTGTTAAATAAGGCCTTCCAGAGGTGTATCTGTTGGAGTAAAAATCGTCCTCTATCGGTCGGATATGAACGGTATCCATATTTCTAGTAGAGTAAGGTCGCCCTAAATATCCATAATCTCTGTCCCTCCCCGAAGGGCCTCTGTCAGGATATGGAGGTCTCTCCGTAGGTCCGGATGGATATCCTTGAAACCCTCCAGTCGAGTAAATCGTAACGGGTCGAGAGACCCCAAAAAATCCTCTTTCGGAGTTTGGGTCTCCTGGAACGTAAGGCCTTAAATCCGTTCTCGGAGGAGAATAAGGTCCCACTTGAGGTATGTAGGTGGAGCTCGGTCGAGGTCGTAGATTTATCCAGCCCGATGGTTGGCTTTCCTGGGGTCTTCCGTTGCAACTTTGATCTCTCTCGTAATAGTCGTATCTTGGATCCGTTGAAAAATCTCTTCGCATGTCCATTCCGTAGGATGACATCGGCGTCATTTCGCAAATCCCCCGGCGACCCGATCCGAGTGGCCTAAAAGTCGGAATTTAAATTGGAAACTATTTTTATTGTCCACCCCGAGAAAGAAATTTCAGGGAATCGGGGAGATGTACCATCGAATGACATCAGAGATATATTTTTCTAACTATTGGATCAGTTGGCAAAGGGTCGATCGGAGTAATGCAAAATCCCGTGGTTTCCGCGAATTCGAAAAAGTGTGTCACGGCGCGACTCGAGCTCGGATTTGCGTTAACGATGAAATTGTTCATGGTGCAATCACCTAGAGTGCACGGCCAGTGCGTTTGTGCGCGCACACGCGTGGCCACCTATGGGATACGTTAATACACACTCGCCGTGTTCATTGCCATGTGAATCAAGAGTCCACACGAACGAAACGAGACTCCGAGCGTGAAGAATTGTGTTAACGTGGGTACTCGAAGAATCGCTGGGTGAACTCCGACATACGGGTATTACTTCTTCTCTTTCTTATTTTTCAAAAATCACGTTTAAAACGTTGAAAAGCCCTATCGGTATATATCGAAGCCTCATTGAAAACTTGCCTGTAATTAAAGCCTTGACAATTGAAGTTGTTTTCGGTGTCGCACAATTTTCCACAGTCGTCTATTCTTTCGCAACCCACGGTTCGTCTTACGTGACCGTCGATGATTCTTTTCCCAGACAGGATTCTTCGATAACACGCTGGAACGAAATTTTCAAATATGTCATATTCCGATAATCAAAGAGGCGCACTTTATATTTCTCGTTAACTTACGCAGACAGTCTTTTACAATAATTACGGAGCTTGGTCTGGCCTTTCGAAAAGTGATGACAAAAAGGGCCGCGAATAGCCACCATTTCGGCGTCATTATAAATTCTTGTTTAATTAAAAATTGACAATCTTATTTTATGATTTGGTCGACGGGAAGCCGAATCATCGTTTTCCTTTTTTTATCTTGTTGGCGTTAGATTTTTCATTTTAACTTCACTTAAATTCGTTGCTTTCGACCACTTGAACCGAGTTTGTCAAGATGGCCGACATAGGATCGACTCGTGCGCGTAAATACTTGGAGCGTAAATTCCCCGCGAAAAGTAGCAAAGAAATTCGCGGCTCAACGTTTTATAGAAAAGTGAACGTTTAAGTGAGAATAGTGGGAGGATCTCCAACACGTCTAACTCGGTGACAGAGGAGGGGTTTCGGTGTTACATGATCATTAATGATTACCACCGCCGTATTTCTTTTCTACACCCGCGCTAGCGCAGCGATGGCTCCTCGGTGATAACGGCCGCGAGATTTGCATCTTTCGTAAGTCGTTATTACGGATTCTCGAAGCAAAATACAAAATAAAATAACATGCTTAGCGTGAAACGTAACGGGAACATTAATTTCGGAATAGGTTTTCCGTCATTAATAAATAAATACGTCCTTTCATCCAACCGGAAACGCGAAAACTGAGAAGAACCGGAAGTACCAGAGGCGTGACGTTACTTTAGAAAGGAGCACATACCGAAACTTCTGCATCCTTGGAGAGGCGTCAAGGCCACGATAATTTTCATTGTTTGGGGCAAACGAATTTTAATTATCCATTTTCATTGAGACCGCAAGGGCTCGAGCAGTGAGACAGAAAGATGCGAAGCGATGTGAATCCACCGGTAAAATTTCTACGCGATCATAACGCCACTCGAGGTGAACCGCGAGAACGATATGCAGATAATTGCCGCCTTTACGATTTCAATGGTTCCAGGTGATCTTTCATTAAATTAAGAACTCGTCAAGTTCGCCACGTGCATCCTTGTCACCCATAAGTGATCGCCAATGCCGCGGAATACCGTTTTTCCGAATTCCATTACGCGTCCTTATTTGCGCTCGAAATCGGATTGCGGTACTTTTTCCGTGTTCTATCCCAGCCCAAACAGGTCCGGCAACTTTCATTTCCTGTGTCAAGATTTCTTGGCAATGAATAACCGAACAACTAAGTCGCACGATAGGAAGGAAGAATCATAAAATAAATGAAATAAACGTAACTCGGCATCGGGCAATTGATGATAAACTGTACATAAATTCCCGAATGGTGTCACTCCGTTGGGTCATCGGTAATAGTCATCGCGGGAGGAAATCAGGGTGACACGTTGCAGGACGTCTCACTTCCGGTTTGCGTGCGTCCTACGGCGCTCTTACTTTCGTTTGGTTGTTCCTTTGTAGGATTTCATTTCGTTTAATTGCAGGAAATTTAAATCGCAGGATTTTCGATAGATCTCCGGGACGTCCGCGGAAATTCAGAAAGTTTTCGCGCAAATATTGGAAATCCCCGTTCAGCGATTTACAATTTCGCGGACGTCCTTTCTGGGTGAAGGAGAAATTCCAGGACGACGTCGATTCTTTTTTCCATTTTTCTTAATCGACGGGAGCATTTAAGCGATAATTGCTTCTCGGGAAGAGGAGTAACGTCGCCATTGTTCGACGCCGCGCGCCCCATTTTTCGAAAAGCGAGAAAAATTTTTCCGAGCCGTGATCGTTCAAATCCATTTTCTTGTATTACAACCTAATTTCTATTTGAAATAATTAACTCCCTTCTTTGGTTGATTTTTAATTTTTAGCGGCTGAAAGGATCCGTCCCGAGCGAACGTTCGCACGATAAGCGCAGCGCCGGAAGTCGACGGATGCCCCGAGTCAATTTGCATGGTGCAGAAAATCTGTGTCAATGCCGTTGGCATTCGTTATTTCCTGATGAACGCGAATGCGTTTGGGGACGATCGCATGCGCGAATGGCTCGAAAGTCGCTCATAATCGGTGATTCGTCCTCATTCATCGTACCGGACCTAATCGAGAAGCCACCTGACGTCGGTCTCGCCCGGACCCGCCGAATTACCTTCCAAGTCATCTCGACGTCACGAAATTACGTCGAGTGTAATTTCGCAAAGGTAACCGTTAGTCCACCGACCGCTTTAGCGTAGGATATCATTATTTAATTAAGCAACTTACGTGATGCGCCTTCTAAAACGCCATTATTATTAATTAAGTCCTGATGTCCTCGGGCTGGATGATCCATAGATCTCGCGTCGTCCACTTCGTGACGACCTTTCCACGGGAATCTTGTCGAATCATCCGGATTTTTTACCACGGGACGTAGTTTTTCGCCAAAACTGGGCGAATCTCCTTCGTTTTTCAAAACTGCGTTATCTTGCCCTGGGTCAAATTATCGTAATGTACCGCACATCATTTTTCGGGCATTTCACGAGATAAATGAGGGGATCAATGGTTCCGTCGCCTCCAATCATCGTCATAGAAGTATCGTAAGATATTTCAAGTATTAATTACCTGATCGGAATTTATTTTTCTCGTGGGATCCAACGTTTTCGTTTGACTCCACCCCACTTGGTTTATACGTGCCGTCCCCATGATTAATCCGAAAACCATATCTCCCAGGAATGTTGTGAAAATTCTCAAAAGAATTTGCATCTTCTCGAAATTCGTTCCCAGGAAACCGAAATTGCGGCCTGGGCAATTTTTTCCGCCACCTGGCATTCAAATTTGGATCCAAGAACGGATCTTCGTTGATCCTTGCATACGAATCGAAATAAATTCCGCGTCCGGGATTTTCTCCAAATTGTGGAACATCCGATGACGGTCTTCGGTCGAACATTTGATAAAAATCTGGTCGACCCGGAACAGTCGGAGCGAGGCCAAAAATTTCGTAATCTCCGAATCTGGGGACCGTTTTCGAAAAATGCTCCCCCACGAAAGGACGACGAACTTCCTCGAAATTTCGGAATTTCCCTCGAACGATGTCCAAAATTCTCTGGTCTCTGTCGTTTGGGGGAAACCATCGAGGATCGTCGAAAGATTCGACACTCGCGTTGAAGGGTCCTCCTCTTGATTTGGAAGACCCAAATTTCGAACCTCGATGGGGAATTTGGTGACTTTTGAAGAACGATGGCGGATTTTCTATCTCGTGTCCTGGAGAGGGCTTTTTCCCTTTGATATCGGTTTTGTATAGGCGATCGGGTCTACAATGTGGAGTACTCTGTTGTCGAACGTACGCGTCGTAATCGGGATCTTTTTGCAAGTCTTCGAAATTCGGTTTTCGAGCAGCCAGGATGCAGGTGCCATTTCCTTTTGCGCTGATTCTGTTAAATGAATCGATACGAAAAAATAACGATAAGGTGTAACATCATTTTCGCGGAATGCACAGGAGAAATAAAATTCTTGCTCCACTATTTTCTCACCCGAAACTGAAAGCTCCACAAGCAGTTCGATTTTTCGAACATTCGTCCTCGCATTCGGAAACGGTCGCGACTTCGATCCTGGAAGTGATATCCTTCTGGGCGAATTTCGAGCCAATGGACACCCTCGTGTAACAATCTAGAAAAGAGACGATTGAAACGTAAAACAAGGTTCGGTGATTAGGTGCGAGTACTCCGAAGATCAATTTCTTTATCGTCGTTAAGTAAGTCACCGTTCGCGATGACGACCAGCTGATTATCGATCGAGAAATCACTCTCCAGGGTGACTTCCAAGGAACCAAAGAACACCAATAAAGCGATGCTCAGGGATTCTTTCATCCTTCTTCGTGAATTTTGGTCTCGTCGACTCAGACTCTCGATCTTCCGCAATCGTCCGAATTCTCGTTGTCTCTCCCTCCTCTCGCGGCACTCTTCATTCTTCGAGTTCAACTTTTCATTGAAATACAAAGAAGTTTAGTCTTTTGAGATTGGCTCTCGACTGAGAGCTCGTTGTAACCGTATCACCTTCTTATATGGGAGCACTGTACTTTTACCGTCTTCTTTAACGTTCTGCTCCCACACTTACCTATTCTTTTTCCCTACGGCATCGCCATGTACTTTCTTCCTTGCGTATTCGTGACCTCTTCCTCGACACCTCGGTGATTTTTCGAATAAACTTAATTCCTCCGAAGGAATACGCATCTTATCGTCGAGTTAAATTCGTTAACGTCATTTTGAATTTTGATAGCACAACGACGCGATAATAAAATATAGGATAATTTTTTCTTACGTTTTCCGATGCAGCTACGAGGAGTGCTTAAACTCCATCGTCGTTTCCTCGGAGAGCATCTTACTTAAGATCGTGAGAAAACCCGGCCTGTGAAACAACCTTCCTCTCGATTGTTAACAACCGTGACTGGATCCGAAATCGCAGTCTTACGTCTAGGAAATGAATAAAATTGAAAGAACGGTGGGACATCGAACGATAAACTCGGGATGAATTCGAGAATAGGAGCCCTGACCCCTTGAGCTCGGGTAAACGCATTTGGCGCGAACCGCGGCCGAGTTCCCGGATCTCGGAACGTCGGAAGGTTACTCGAAGGATGTCAAGGATCTTCCTGGGGGAATTCTTTCTTCTAATTGGCGAGGGCGTGTCCCGACGAGGGCGTGCCAATTGTCTCGTACCGATTGCAGATCGCAATCGTCCGCGGAGCAACGCCCGGAGGATCGGTTTACGGCCCATTGTATTTGCCTAAGTGCAACAAAACCGGCGCACGCGGCTAATGTCTGCGACGATGCGTCCAACAAACCTCATCGCCATTAAAAGCACGCGATTTGCTTGCACGAGTTTTTCTGCGACCGACTTTTGCGCTCATTCCCAGTCTGACCGCTTTTAGGCCAACCCTCATTTACAATTGTTCCACGAAGACGTAAGATTTCATTTTTAATTTGTCCAACCGCTTTTATCGGGTCGGGAACGAAATTCGAAATTCATTCTTCTCTTTTAAAGGCAGCGCCTAGAAATATTTTTCTTGCAGGGACGCGCACTCCCAATGGGTCCGGACGCATATTAAGGTAAGGCTTACGCAACTAGAATAGGACGAATTGTTAGACAAAGCTAGGAGTCACGCTCGGGGTCCCTCGGCCAATCGGTCTGACTCATTGTGCAATTATCATTTGCGATGGTAAAACTTGAAGACGATCGGGAAATGTAAAGGAAAGGACGAATAAGCGCGAAGTACAGCGAACGAGCCATTTTACAAACATATATACATATATTTCATTTCTTCTCGGTACAAAACTTTGTATAATATATACCGCTGTGAAAAATTCATACAATATTTGGTGGTACGTCTTAGGTCGATCGTTCTTTCCTTTTAATACGGAATTGAATAGAAAATGTTGTATCGCGGGCAGTGAAACGACGATGCGCGAAACAAAGCGACGGGTTAAGAATTAGCAGTCTTAGGGAATATTTAACGCGCAAGGCTTGAGATCGTTGAACTTTGAAATTTGTGATACCAGCCATTTTTAGAACCATCGTGTCAGTGTCTTTCGATCCGAGGCGACCATATATTAACAACAAGCCCAAGATTTTTCGTGAATGGCGTGAGCGATGCTGGTATTGGCAAAACTCTCTTCGCTCGAAGGACTCAATGGCAATCCGGGGCTACTCAAGCCGGAACTGGTCGAGTCGTACACTCTAAGGCTCGTAGTCAGATCGATGTTTCCTGAACTCAGTCTAATAATGCCCAACGCGATGGTTAAGAACACTTGTTCGACACCTTCGTCGTGAAGTGCAGAAGTTTCGTGATATGTGGCACCGATCTTCATAGAATAATTCCACCCTTCGTCGGAGCTCACTTTGCGTTCCTTAAATAAGTCACTCTTATTCCCAACGACCGCTAGCACCATAGCTTCGTCTACGTTCCGTTTTAACTCGTTCACCCACGTCTGAATTGCATCGAAGCTCTTGGCATCGGTCAGATCGAATACCAACAGCGCTGCACTTGCATTTCGATAGAACATCGGAGCCATCGATCGAAATCTCTCTTGGCCGGCAGTGTCCCAAACCTTGATTAAAGAAATAAAGAATCAAAGTCAGTGTTCGTAAAAGGAAAAAAAAATACATATCTTTATAACTTTCACAAAGAAACGTAACGATGTAGTTTCATTACAAATATTTCTGTGCGTACGTTTATGCTTTTTTATAACTTAAACCTTTACTCGAAGAACGGACCTAAATTTCATTTCAAGTTGATATTATTTCGAACCTGAAGTTTGATTCTCGTTTCTTCTAGATACATCTTGCAAGTGAAAAAAGATGCTCCGATGGTAGGATTAACCTGGTGGTTGAATACTTTTTGTACATAACGAGTGACCACGCTTGTCTTGCCCACACCTGAAACGAAGTTTTTATCCGTTATCGAGTCGTTCATTTCAGACATAAAACTTTGTTCTGGAATTCGATGTATAAAAATTGAATTGGAATCCACATATAATTGTCAATCATTCGTGTCTAGTAGCAAACATATTATAAAAAAATCATGAATGCAAAAGTCATCTCTTGACATTGAAATGAACGATTTGAATTTATCCTGTTCAAAGTATACAATGACGCGCTTTGCATATGTGTGACGAGTCGACCAATAGGAACCGTCTGCGTCCCTATGTCGGGTTCAAGGAATTCCCCGTAAACGAACGACATATGATAACCTCTCTTTTCAACTGATTAACTATCCAAACAATTACCGTCTCGACATGAAATCTATCCCATAACGTTACATAGTTTTCTAGGCAGCAACACATCGTTCAAGCTTAACATTATGTAATAACAACAGAAAAGATTCCAACGGCATGCTATCATCACGAATTACCTTGAGAACCCAACACTACCACCTTCGCTTCTATTGTTCTCATGATCTGCTTTACTTATCGAGCATAATCGAGCGCAGTTTTTGTTTGCCTGGAACTGCGGCTTGACACTTTCAAATACGTTCCGGCCCCTTTTGACGTTTCTTGACTCTTAATTCTCAAGCCATTGTTTGTGTCCCTCGGGTAGCTTGGAAGGGATTAAACTCTATTGTATCGGTGGAAATGTGGAGTGGCGCCATCTACGATCTCTGACTGAAAGCTTCGCCATAAATTAGTGGAATTGGGAGATCGCTCACGAGCAGGGTACGTTCGCGCTGGTTCGCGCAATCGCGATGGCAGATACACGGTTCCGCTCCCGGTGAATTTTTTTCGCACCTACGAACACAGTAGCTCGACGGCGAAGGTCCGCATCCTCCAGTGGGAGTCGCACAGGATGCGATCCGTGAGCAATCTCCCAACTCATCTCTCAGCGCGCGATTGTGGAACTTTACCGTAAGACCCCAGTAATGATTTAAAGGAATTTACAGAGAATAGCAGAGGGTATCCTTGTCTTGGATTTTACATCGAGCTCCCAGGAGATAGCCGGAAACTCTTCGAGATCTGATGCCGAGGCCAAGACTGGACTAGTTGTTAATATTCTTTTAAACGAGTTCGAGAACTTATGTACTTGCGCTACTTATATAATAGATTGTAAAATATTTAATGTAATAAAGCAATTTAATGAATAATAACAATGAGTATGTTTAATTATACGAGCATGTTCAGCGAACCCTCTAATCGCCTATTCCTGATCCTTAAAAATCACCCGTAGACCTAAGTTAATGTTAATTCTCTTGCGGTGGGAGAAAACTTTGCGTGCCACCTCCTCGGTTGTCCTGTGATCCTGTTAGAAATCGGAAATTTCAACCCCTAAAATTTGTGCTCGGGAGACACTCGGTGCCACCTCCTCGGTTATCCTATGTTCCTGTTAGAAATCGAAAATTTCAACCCCTAAAATTTGTGCTCGGGAGACACTCGGTGCCACCTCCTCGGTTATCCTATGTTCCTGTTAGAAATCGAAAATTTCAACCCCTAAAATGTTTGCCCGGGAGAAACTCGGTGCCACCTCTTCGGTTATCCTATGTTCCTGTTACAAATCGGAAATTTCAACCCTTAAAATTTTTGCCCGGGAGAATTCCATGCGACCTCCTCGGTTGTTCTATGTTCCTGTTACAAATCGCCAGAGGTGGAATAGGATCATAGGACAACCGAGGAGGTGGCACCGAGTCTCTCCCGGGCATAAATTTTAGGGGTTGAAATTTCCGATTTCTAACAGGATCATAGGATAACCGAGGAGGTGGCACCGAGTTTCTCTGGGCAACTTAGGTCTACAAGCGATTTTCAAGAATCAGGAATAGAGGAATAGAGGGTTCGCTAGACAGGATCGTCTAATTAAACATACTCATTGTTACTATTCAATAACTTGCTTTATTATTTTTTGTCAGACTTAGTTCTTAACAAATTTGTATTTTACATCGTGCTCCGTTCGCGACGAGCGCGTTGATTTTCAAAATTTCTATAAACAGATGTCTGCGTTCCCTCGAGAGTATAGACGCCGTTTTTCTTCTTTCCCAGTCGATTCCGGCTCCTGTTACGTGTTATCGATTCGGCTGTACCGTGGACATGCGTTTAACGTCCTTACTTCATTGCAAGCAGGTGACTTCCCGAAGGTGCAGCCGGTCCCTCTGAAACACTCATCGTTTCGTTCATTTCTTTCCTTTCTGACTAAAAGCATTAACACTCTACTTATAATTAATTAAGAAAGTACCTTGCGTTCCCGTTTTCAAGAAGAAAAAGTCGCCAAGCCGAGACAAAGGACTTTGGCAATAGAAGACTGGAAACGATCGCGGAAGGATTACTCCAAAAATGTGCTTAACTTAGACGTGAGTATTCTCGGACAGAAATTCATGATCACCACGTGACGAGGAAAGTCGCGAGTTTTGCGCGATTAAAAATGCATCGAATATTGGAAAAAGTTCCGGCTTGTTAGGGCTGCAATCGATACTTCTATTACACGTCAGCTCAATATGAATATCAGGAAATGGCGCGAATAACTGGTAGCTAGTGTCCGGTAAAATATGCAATGGCTGTCATTCCGAGTACATCGCTTACAGGTCGAAAGTAAATGTCGCAACGATGCGAGGTGTCAATGGCGGAAAATACCGAAGAATAATATCGAAAGTTCACATCGGAAAACGATAACCAGGGACACTCTGCTATTTTTATTTCAATGACGAGTAGTCTTAAAGGAGAAGGGAGAAAAGGTAGAAATTAATGAGCTCTCTACTTAATTAAATTACAGAAGGGAAGATGGTAGTCATTACGGGACAGGTGAAGATTTTGCAAACTCTCGTTAAACACACCAACGATGTCACCAGTGTCGATTTTGCCGGAGATTGCACGCTAGTAACTGGTTCGGGGTAAATAGTAAATCACCGAATAATTAGTTATAATTACTAACCGCGATATTTAATTCGAAGGGATAAAAGTGTTCGAGTGTGGGAATGGCGACAAGGCGTTGGATACGCCGAAATATATTATTCTCCACTTCGCGGACACAAGTACGGAGTGACAGCTGTCAAAGTCAGTCCCCAGTCAACTATGTTGGCATCTTCCAGTATCGACGGGACTACTCAGCTCTGGAATTTACGCGTAAGACGTTTAAAATATCGCAACCAGAGAAATGTGAATCTTTCGACATTGCAATTGCAGTCTGGGGCCAAAATCCACACGATGGTTCAAATTGGCGGAGAGTCGGTCAGAGTTTGCAAATTTTCTCCGGACTCCACTTTACTGGTAACCGCGGGTGATAACGGTCAGGTGTGTCTTTGGGATTTGGTACGCCGAAATTTAATCAGGTATAATGAATTTCGCTAAACGTGGAACTTTCAATATTCAAGGAAACGAAATCGGTAATCATGGGAAAATTTCTCTACAGATGTTTCCAGCATCACGAGGGAGCGGTCCACGGGGTTTCCTTCTCCCCGGATTCCAACTGGCTCGTCACTTCCTGCACTTTTGGCGTTTTGAAGCTCTTCTCTTCTGCCGATTTATTGGACCGCTGTATTACCGATAATCAGGCGATTCATTTCTCAGCCTCGGTCGACGATGCCCACGACTTGGGCGTCATTTGCTGTGACTTTTCTCCTGTCCAGGAAGTCATATGTACGAATAAGTCATTTTTCCTCAATATTTTCAAAGACCTTTTTAAGGCAAATCTCTGTATTGTCTAGTTTACGGAACTACCATCGAGACTCTGAAACAACGACATATTTTTTATTTACTTTCAGGTGTCGAGCCATTTACAAAACTATATCAATTGGTTACTTGCGGTAACGATCATAACGTGAAAATTTGGAACGTCCACGTGGTGCAAGAAAAATGCGAACAACAACCTAGGACAGCCTCGATAACGTTGAATCAAATTTTGGAAAAGCATGGAAGCACGTTGACTTGTACTCGTTTCAGTACGAGTGGATTATATCTCGCTAGTACCAGCCTTGACAAGACAACAATTATTTGGGATGCAGTAAGAATTCCGAAAATGTACTCGATTACGAGTCTGCACGTAATCGCACGAAATATAACGAGAAAAAGGTTTACTCTCGTTTATTTTCGACGTTTCGTTTTTAGGTCAGTGGAGCAGTAATTTCAGTTTTGGGTGGTCACAAAAGATACGTTGCATGCTGTGCATTTTCGCGAGATGGTACTTTACTAGCAACAGGTAACGTTCGAGTGTCGGAATAAATTTTGAAAGACTTCCAGTGGTCAAAAAAATTGAAATGTCGGAAACTTGAGTTTTAATTATGACGATAATCAATTTTCTCGGATCTTCAGGTTCAAATGACAAATCCGTGAAAGTATGGAACCTCACTGATAATTTATCACTGGATTCCGAACTGGTCCGACATTGCAATTTCAAATTGCATCCTACCGATAGCGATGAAGCGGTAACAGTTTTATTATTTCTAAAATTGTAGCAACGTTTTGGTGACTTCCAATAATTTCCAGTGATCTCTGTTTGCTATGTCCAGCTGATTACCTATGTTTACCTAAACTATGAATTTGAACGCTACATTTGGAAATGTTAAAAATATATTTTCCCCCGTTCCTAATGCCAGTCATATTTTTTAGGAGGCCTCGAAAGAGCAGGAAGTAGTAAAACATGCGGAAACAAATCCAAAGGAAGTGACCCTGATCCAAGAACTGGATGATCACGGAGGAGCAGTAAATTCTGTAGATTTTTTCGGAAACAGCCTTATCGCATCTGGTTCAAGGTGAATTAACGTTAATTTAATCGAGTTACAACTAAAATTAAGATGAGGAATTCAATGATTTCAGTGACAAGCTCGTGAGAATTTGGAAGGTTTCCGGGTACGAAAGTCCCGAAATTAGGTTCAATGAGAAGTCATTTAGTCCTTTGGATGGTCACAAGTACAGTGTCAATTTTGTGGAATTCAGCCCTTGTGGAAGAATGTTGGTTTCCTGCTCTTTAGACGGCACCGCCATAATATGGGATACAGAGGTGAAATTTCATTAATATTTTTAACAGTTTCAATTTTTTCGATTAACGCGGATATGTGATAACGTTCTCGTTACTCGATAGAATGGCGGCCATGCAAAGGTATCTTTAGTAAATTCCGGATCTGGAATTCGCGTTTGTCGGTGGTCACCCGATGGAACATCCTTTGCAACCGCGGGTGACGATGAAAAGACAACTTTATGGGACGTGGGAAGCATGAAGGAGTTGCAGTATGCATTTAATAACGCAGTGATTCTTAAGAGCGAACAATTTTTAAATCGTCTTTCATTATGTTTTTCAACGCTCCAACTTTAAGAATCACATTATTAATAAATGACAAATTGTAATAGGTTGAGGAACAATACAAGAGAGAATTATTTTTAGAGTTTTCGAGGGGCATTCCGATGCAATTACTGCAATTGCATTTACACCAGACTCGAAATATCTTGTCACAGCCTGCAGCGAGGGTACATGGAGATTATTTGACATTAAGGACAGAAAATGCATCGGTGCATTATTAATTTGCGACGAGGGCCATGATTTGGGGGTTCAAGGATGCGATTTCGGACCGATATTAGGCACGTCGACCATTACAGCCGTACAAATATTGCGGAAAGATTTTTCTTATGTTAGATTTTAAAAAATTCTGGATTATAAAAATGGGAGACATTTTAAGTAATTTTCTGTTCCTTATCGTTGCAGGAAGTAGGGAATTGAATTCCTCCAACAAAAGCAAATTTTACACCCTAGCTACTTGTGGAAATGATTCGTTGGTGAAATTGTGGCACATTACAATTTTTCACCTCGACGAAGAAAACGAGATAAGTGGTGAAAATAATATCTCATATAAAGAACATAAATTATTGAGTGGTCATGGAGGAAACGTGATGAACGTTCGATTTTCCCCGATACATGGAGAAATTTTGGGAAGTGCTGCAACGGACAAGACAGCTCGAATTTGGAGCGTGGTGAGTGAAAATCATATCTTGGGTAATTTCCATGTAGAATATCATTTCGTTTCAGCACTCCGGAATGTGCCTTTTCGTGCTGGAAAACCACGAAGGTTTAGTAACAACGTGCACATTCTCCGAGAGTACGTCTCTTTTTGTAACAGGTAGTTACACAAACTTAGCGATTTATTTTCCTACAATAATTAGATGAATTTGTACATTGTTTCTTTTTTACTCAGGTGCCTTAGATAAAGCCGTGTTAGTTTGGAAATTACCGCAAGAACTGATTTCGCAAAGTATGCTAGTAGATAATCTAAGACATAATCGGAGGAGAGTGAGTTGAAGCAAAATCGAATTATTTCCTGATTAGTTACCCAATTATGAAGAACAAATTGTTATTTTAACAGCTAGCTGATTGGAGAACGGATGACGTTACAAACTGGCTGACTAATATCGAACTAACCGATTTAATTCCGAAGATCCAAGGCACTTCGTTAACTGGGCGACATCTTTTCTTGATGTCGGAGACAGAACTGGTTGCGAGATTGCAACTTCATGACGAAGTACTACTGTTTCTTAATTACTTCATTAATCGATTCATTTTAATCCGGGCAGAATTTCAAATATACGTCAAAAGTCGTTACTTCTAATACACAAAAATCACTTACGACTTCAGGAAGCCGAGGAGTTTAAAATGCAATTATATTGGCTGAAGAGGGAAGACAGCAATTTAATGGAAGCTCTGGATGAAACGGAAATTCCGCACGAATTTGTGTGTCCAATAACACACGAGATCATGAAAGAGCCTGTCCTGTGTCTAGGTAAATTTCAAGTACGAACACTTGGCGGTATTTTAAATTTAGGACTATCGTCGTCATCTATGACGTTTAGCTGCAACTAAATTTGTGCTCTAAAAACAGGCGTCACCCAATTCGGAGTATACTTTCATATCACCTTAATAAATTAATCATTATTAATAATCTAGATGGATATACGTACGAAAGGGCGGCTATTAACGAGTGGTTTCTTTGTGGAAAATATACAAGTCCGATGACGAACGAGCCACTACACGACACAAGTTTTACATCTAACGTTGCTCTAAGAAATGCAATTTGTAAATTGTTATATGGAGAGAAACCGTCGGCCTAAATGAATACCGAAGAAGATCGATCGATCGATCGGAGACTCGAATTTGTATTCACTTTTCCACCAGGAATTGTAAAGCACCAAGATTTTTCACCAAAGAGAAAAGACGGCAAATTTCAACATTTACGATACAAATCCGCGTGGACACTAAATATGTGGATTATAAAGGATATTTTTATAAACTAGCACAAAGCGTGAGAAACAATCACCAAAAAACCGCTTATAAATATAAAAGAAAGATTTTGACTCTGACGGATTTATAAAGATGTAAACCTGCACATAGAAATTCAGATAAATAAATTAACGAGAGAACATGCGATGCTAAAGATGTTAAGGATATGAAAAATTATAATCCAGATACCTGATGCACGAAATCAGTACAATTTCAAGTCTTTATCCAGACGTTATCGAGATTGCCAGAAACAAGTGTTAACCCCTCGCATTGATTCTTTTTGATCGATAACATTTTCTAATAACTACTGACTTTATTGCAATTAAGTTCGCAGATCTCTACAAACAAAATGTATTTTAAACATTCCTTTCAAGTCTTTCAAGTAACACAAAATTATCACAATATCAACAGCAGTAGCTCTCTTTGTATTAAGTCAGAAATACATTTAATGCGAGGGATTCAAAGTTATATGACAAATTATATCACCCAATGTGCCTGTCAATTAAGCAAACGAACAATACGTACATGTAGGTTCAAAGGCAACTCAATTATGGGCCACTCACCCACTTGTATTATTAACGCGAGTGATATTCTTGTATCAATAAGATTCTGTAAAGAGTGTATATATTTTCTAAATATCTCGTCAGGAATTGCGTCAAAGCAAAGCTTGTACCTCTGTGATAAAATCTTGGATGTAATCGTAATATCATTTTTTATCGTTGAATATTTCAATGTATGCTCACTAATTATTCTCGATGTCAACTGTAATTGTATCCCATAATAAAGATGAGAAATTTCCAATTTAATTTCATTCTCAACCACACGATTATAGGCAAGTCGTGAAAGATCTAAATAATTATAAATTATAATGGAACGATATAAAGATGTAAAATATTACCTTGACTTTTGCTTTACGTCTGCGAAGCTTCATCTGCTATCATCTATTGAAGCAATTGTTTGTATCAACGTAAAGAGACTGCACAAATTGGCGAAAGTTCACTTTTCTTCAAGTAACAAAATTACAGTAAAGGTAAAAAATGCGAAAAAAAAAAAAGAACAGTTTACAAATTTACGTCTACATTACATTCGCCTGCAATGCTTTTTTCTCTTTCTGTTGAACAACAAAGGCAATAGATGCGTCGTTCCCTTCGTCTAAGTCTAGCCACAGACTAATAATACGCTTTCCAAACAAATGTTTGTTAAATTTCTTTTCCTTCATGACTAGCCGAGCAGCTTCGTCGATGGTCATGCCATTTAATTCAGTTCCGGGAATTTTTAACTTCATAATTTCATTCCCGTTAACCTGAAAGAAATAACACAATTGTAATTCACCTTCAATGATGCTCTTGTTCATTTCCGAACTCCCACAGAAAATTTAAACTACAGTAAACTTAAGTTATTTCACATCTAATTAAAATGATAGTTTTATCTACTTCGTCACATTTATGAGTGGGCAAGTATAAAGATACTTACAAACACATAAAGTGTTAATTTATAAGCAGCATCCAGTTCCGGCCACTTTTGTTGCAACACATCTTTGTCCCATTGTATTTCATCGTTATGTACAAGTCGATTGGGAGCCAAACAAAAACCAGACCATAATTCAGATGCGAAATGAGGTGCCATCGGTGCGAGCATTATTATCTGCGCAGCTAATGCTCGTTCAAATTCTCGACTCCTTCCTACACAGTCTAATGAAACCTTCCGCAAACTGTAAATTAATAAAAATGTTACTATGGAGTCTGTCAATTATCTTTTTGGCTTATTTATGATTAGTATTTCCTAACATTTATATTCTTCATATTAATTTGATATTAATTTAAACATACCTGTTAGTAAGTCCTTGCAGTTTTGATATGCCAACACTTAACTGTTGTGACTCAATTATATTGAACGTAACTCCTTTAATGTAATAGTTCCTGCTGTCGAACATATAAGTATCCTCTTCGGCAAATTTCTGTTCCGTTACTTTAGATTTAATTTCACCTGATTGAAGTTTAGTACGTGTTATAATAAACTGGTGTACAGATTTCCACAATTTAAACTGCCAATTGAGAATGCCAGGAAGTGCTAAAAATATAAAATTCACATTTAGTACTTGGTAATCCAAAATCTTAAAATACTTGGCATAGTCCATCGGTCTCTTGTAACGAGACATCACGTAAATAACAATTAAACATGCAACATTTTTTAGAGATAACCCATTAACGAGCACTTACTATTTGGCGGCCAATTTCGATTCGACGTTGGAGCTACATCTGCTAGAATTAGAAGTCTAGTCGTATCAATGCCATAACTTGAAATGGCATCCATAGGATTAACGCCATTATGCTTTGACTTCGACATCTTCTCCCAGGCTGCAATCACAGGTTCCCCTGAAGATGACTCGACACACGTATCGTCTACCATCTTGATCTCCTTTTCTTCAAGATATTTTCCGGTATTCTTCAATCGATACGTCTTCCCCATCACCATGCCTTGGACCAATAATTGCTTAAATGGTTCTCGGGTCGGTAGCAAACCTTCCGAATGTAGGAAATGGTTGATGAATCTTGCATAATACAAGTGGAGCGTAGCTGAAAAAAGTAACATAACACTTATGCCTGCACTTGCATTATTATTTAATTTTAAGCATCAGGAAGTACCAGAGAGAATACTGAACTAACAAAAAGGTTTATGCATATTATCCCAATACTAATCCATAAAGGTGAATATAAATAGTAATTAACTGTAAAATAAACATTTACATAAATTGCGTCAATACTGTCGCACAAAGACGATCACAAACAGCAATTAACTGCACAAATATAAGAAAATGTTCCACGACGATTTTGATAAATCCACATACCGTGTTCTTTTCCCCCAATGTAAAGATCAACTGGCAGGAATTTTTCAGCCTTGTTTAAGGCAAAGATCTCGAAAGGGTTGTGTGGATCTACATATCGCATAAAGTACCACGAACTGTCGACGAATGTGTCCATAGTATCAGCCTCTCTTCTTGCAGGACTCCCGCAGCTGGGACACTTCGTTTGCAACCAATCGCTCGCTTCTAACATAGATAGTTTTCCAGCTTTGAATTCAGATCCAGTGATTTTTGGCAATAACACTGGCAACTGGTCTTTAGGAACTGGTTGTATGCCACACACATTGCAGTGAACAATTGGAATCGGTGTTCCCCAATACCTTTGTCGAGAAATTAGCCAATCTCTCAATTTCGAGCTAACAGGGTATCCACCAATGTTCCATTCCTTGGCCTTGCTCAGCACTTCTACTTGCTTCTGTTTCCGTTCCTCAAAGCACTGCACATTCTTCGACTCAAATTTTAATCCCATTGAATGGCAGAATTCAGCATCCTTCTCCGATATGCAAGGTATACCCAAATGATTGTCCCTAAACGGCGGAAATTCGATTTCATTGGTAACAAAAATCGGTATCTCTTTCTCGGTAAACGGATTCTTCACTTTGGCATTCAAACGCTTCGTCGCACCTGTCGTGTTAAATGTTTCCATTTTATTGAGAATACTCTTGTCGGAAATTGCCACAAATTTTGCTTCTTCAACAAACTCTGGAAATTCGGTCCATAAAGTTAATTTTTTGGGGTATTCCGGTAAGTTAGAGATTAACTCGAAGTCGAAATTAGTGCCATTGCATTCTCTTATCCAGTGTTTTTGAATGGCTATAATGTCCCTCCATTCCTTTAAAGTTCTGTCATCCAGCCCCTCCATTAGAGACCTACAAGGATGGAAACGCTTGTTTATTGAGAAGTTAGGATTTACATAACGTACTAAGAAAAAACGTTCAGCTTACAAGGAGAGGCTACGACGTTCAGGCCAGGGATTTTGATTTGAGCTTTAGATGTTTGAGTTGGAAAAACCAGCTGTTCAGGAACTGGACGCGATTATCCTCATGGGCTTTTCTCACTCGTATCTCAGCCTAGACATTTGTTAAGATTACAACTGTAAACATTACTAAATAGAAAATCTACATTATGATTTTTAATGTCAAGACACGTCCAATCGAAATTTCTAGCGAGTGAGTACATGACTTTACAACATAGATCACTCTAAACCTAACACAAAGTTAAGCATTTTTTTAGCCTTAAAAATAAAGAAATAACTCAGATGGCCTGTTTTACGAGCCTCGCCTTGTATATTCTTCTGATTAAAATTTGGTAAATATTTTTAATGGAAACCAGCTCTCTACTAGTAAACAATTATAAAAGATATAAACGTGTCTATGCTCTCAGATTTATATTCTGAACAATTATTCCATAAAAGAGTTTTGTCGATTATTTATCAGTAGAAATATTTACTTTCAATGGTACTTACTCAGCAAATGCAGTGGTTTTAATAAACCACTGGTGTAACAATTTCTTTTCAACTTTAGCTCCAGATCTCCAAGAGCAATTGTTCTCGTCAACTTGCTCGTCAGCCAGCACTGTTTGATCAATGGGATCCCAGTTAACAAATTCTTGTTTACGATAAATTAGACCACGTTCAAATAATTTCAGAAACAACCATTGAGTCCATTTATAATATTCGGGACTACAGGTCTGAATTTCACGATCCCAGTCAAACAGACAACCGAGCATTTTTAACTGTTCACGCATATTACTTATATTCCGTTGAGTCCATTCGTTAGGATCTCTTCCTCTTTCTAAGGCTGCATTTTCTGCAGGCAACCCAAATGCGTCCCATCCAATAGGATGTAAAACATGGTACCCTGAAAAAAAATTCCAATAGCAATATATATATATAAAGAAATTCTGTACTCAATAATTACCGATATTCCTTACCTACCTTTCATTCTATAAAAACGAGACACCGAATCACTGATAGTGTAAACCCGCACATGGCCCATATGAAGAGCACCAGAAGGATATGGAAACATCGAAAGAACATAAAATTTATCCCTTGTTTCGAGTTTTTTAAGATTAGGTACTTCATTTATTTTATCTTTCCAATATTCTTCTATTTTAAATTTTATTTCAGTATCGATATCTTGCTCCTAAAATAATTTCAATATAATCATCATAATAGAAGTGACAAAAATGTGGACAAGTACAATAGAAGAATTCTAAATTTTATATCGGCCATCTATAATAAATATTATCGCGAGAAGTACTTCGTGTAATAACTTCACATGTAAGAACCAAACAAGCATAACCTATAAATGGAATAACATACCCAAAGTCTCAAACCCGTAGAAGCATACGCTGCAATTACATGTTTAAAGGTTTTCTCTTTCCCGAGCAACTTGGAAAGAAATCCTGAAGAGCACAGCATATTGAACTTTGTATTTGTTTCCTATTCTGGCACTTTTAAAACACTTCCCGGTATGATGGACTAAAATCCACGAACTCGGACGCGACTAGACCGTAGGACCGATAGGACTGGACGTGGTGAATACACTGAATTTTAGAACGTATATAAAGGGGGTGATAAGGAATTGCGCGTGCGCATGACTGGGCACGCCCCTATATGAGGCTGAGCGTACGGTCGCAGCGTCGTTATTGGTTGTTACCTCTCGGGTCGCCGGAGCGGTGCATCGGTACCTGCTTGTACACGTGTATATACGTGAGTACCCTCCTGCTCCCCTCTCAACCGTACACCATCCTACCGCAACCCACCTCACCCTACCATACCTCAACATATCCCCCTTCCTCCGTTTTCCACTACGTTTAACTTAATTTATTTATTTTATTGAAGGCGTCGGGGCGCAGCAACCTCCCCGTAGTGAGTCTGGGGGATCGGTGCTTTCTAACATTCATTGGTAAGCAATAACAATCCATATTCCCTTATCTGTATTTTATTGATAACAAGAGGGAACGTTTGTGTTTCGTAATTTTTTTAAACTAAATATATGCTACGATAATCGTAACATCCATGTTTTAGGAACATTTTAGAAGAAGTTATATTATTGTAATAACGAGTAATTTCTAATTATGTGACGATACTGCTACACACCTTTAAGTATTCAACACAATTTATATCGCCTAGAATATATTTACTGACTGTAATTGCATAACAAATTGATATAGACGCCAAACTCCTATTAATTATTAAATCAAATCTTCGCACCAAGGACTACAGCTATTGTTAATAATATCGTTAGTTATTAAACCGGGCTGCTATTAATTTAATCAGAAATCCTAAATTCAGAACATGTATCGACTCATAATTATGAAAGTGATTAATAGCGAACGTTAACCCCTTGGTATTTAAAATGTATTTTCCGTTACGCTGAACTATTCTCCAATTTCGAGAAGAAACTGTTTTAAATAGAAGCTACATAACAACTAGTTCGAACTGTGTAGGCTCTTCCGTACAAAACATGAAATCACCACACCTAATAATTACCTAATTCTACTTCTTCGGTACTGGAATTTCGACATCGTTACTATTTCCACATGGCTAAGTTTTCTTTCCCGATGCATATATCCGTTCCTGATGATTCCGGCAGATATTCTATCGAGAGTTAAGACCTCGACATCGTTCGCTCATTCCGTGGTGCCACTGACGCGCTTTATGTCGTATGCAGTTTGGATCGTAGATATATGAAAAGTTGTTTGTAAACCTTTGTTTCGAGGTTGTAAGGTTGGCAGAGAGTCGCAAGTTGTGGGGATGCAGTCCATTAGTCCTTGTACTGAAAGAAACCACGAAAATGTATGGTATTAAAGGTTAACTATATTTTCTTTTTTGCTAACTTCTAAAATTGAAATTGCCCCGATGTATAACATTTAGTATGAGAGATTTAGTGGTTTGAAATAATTACCTGAAAGTTTGCCATGATACCTCTAACAAAATAGAATAAATCGCGTGAAACAAAGATTAGTAAATGAAAACATGTCAGCCAGAGATTTAACGAATCGGTTTGACTGCAACGGGGCATACTTGATGGTATTGGTGGCTGCCTCGGTATTTGACGATTCGCCCGGGTTCCTGAGAGCCTTGTGCCAAATATCCGAGAGCTGCTGATCCGGGGCTACTGCAAAATCCCCCTGTGCCTCTAGACGTTCCCGCCGTTCGGCATTCACTTCCAGAATTTGGTTCGTGCGACTGGTAATCGATTCAAATATCGTTACTAGACTAGCTGGATCCGTCAAAATTAAATCTTCTATCGACCAGTACCTCGCCGACGGGTGAAGGTCATTTTCTAGCTGTATCAACGGTGAGTCCCAGCCAACTTCGTCGTCTTCGAATTCCGAACCACTTTCGATGCGAGCGTCAAAAGTGAAAAATTTCAAAATACATATCTATTGGGATTTCGGTAGAGGAACGACATCGCCAGTTTACCAAATCAATATTTACCTGCTCATTTCTTCCTTCAGGTCTCTGTAGAATTTTGCAGTTTCCTCGGCTTCCGGTCGACCTCCGCTTCGATACAGTAGGACGGCATTCACCATGTCGAATCCTTGAGGACGGACGTAATCCTCTGGAGGATCTTCGATCTCGTTTAATCTGATGCTGGCCTTATTACGTCGTAAGTTCTTGTGCACTTCTTGGTTCTTCATGTGAACCTACAAAATGATATCGAGGTAGCGGAACTTCGAGTCATCGAACGACCGAGTTCGAGCTCCCAAAAGCTTTTCGTTAACTTACATTTTGTGAGAATTGAATGAGATCCGCCTGCCTTAACTTTGGATGAATGGAGTCTTTCGTTTGAGGTTTCTTCTTTATTTTCCCGTCCTTGCGATACCATCTTTGTACTATAAATGCGGCATCCTCGTTTCTCAATCCTTCTCTCAGTAATGCTCTAAGACCGTCCTGCTTGTTATCGTAGTCATTCAAGATCGTTTTGAAGCGTTCCTCCAGTTCGTATCCAAACCGTTTGCGAATCGTGTAACCCCGAAAGTCTAAACGTTTCACGAGTCATTGGAAATACTTAGCGATACTCGAAAGAACGATTCGAAGGTGGCAAACGTAAAGATAACTTACGACTTTGAATGACAACTGCTGCGTCATCCTTGTTCAAGCTCTCTCTACCGCGTTTCTCTTCTAAACTCTTAACGCTTTCGTCTCCTTGAGACATGCTTCGCAGGATTCTGTTCTTATACCAGTTCATCTCGTTGTTTATTTCATTTATTTGATCCAGTGGATCTACGATGATAAAAGACAATTGAGAATTCCATCTACATCGCGGTTCTTCGATCGACGTGAAAATTACACCGATCTCAAAGCGGTAAGCCGGGATGTATTTGTATTTCATCCATAATCGTTCCATCCGGTTTATAGATTTCTCACCTTCCTCTTCGCTGATCTCTGCCTTGGCTCTTCCTTCCAACGTCTCCGTCTCCATGTGTTTCCTCGTGAGCCATCCTCGAATGTGACGTTGCAACGTCACAACCGATATGGCCAGTTGCCACTTCTGCTTCTTGAATCTGATCTTGGCCAGCCAACGCCTTACGCACGCCTGAACCATGATAATTTTTTTCAACTGTTCCTCGTACATCTTCGATAGGAACTCTACGTGGTAGTACTTGAGGAAGACCTTCGTCTTTCCCAGGGCCCAGCCATCCATCTTAAGACGCACCAAGAGCAATCTGCAGTTGTCTCGACTAGCCACGACTCTTTCGTCGTACCCAAACGCCAAGAAACAGTATCTGCGATACGTACGACAGAGATTAAAAATCAATCGTACAAACGCTCGATTTAAATTAGGACGAACCTTCTTAAGAATTCATTGAATGGTATTCGGTGAGAGAATCCGTTTTGTCGAATTCTAATTGTTTCCAGAACTCCGGTGTATCTCAATTGTTTAATAACCTTTTCTCGGTCAAAGAATCTCGGGCTTCTCGAATCGTTTGGCTTAATGCACCTGACAAACTGTGGCGAGCCCGATACCATTTTCTGCAGAAGATCCATTAGAGAATAACGGAAGTACGTAGCTACCGTTTGTTGCACTCTAGACTGCGAAGCCAAACCTCTGCTCGAATAACGTTCCTGCGATGTAAAAACAAACCGAATGGTACATCGTCGACTGAGTCTCTATAAATGATTAATTGGCAAGCATTCTTGCACCGAAATGCACGTATGCGAGTGTCGGATTACTCGAGGTCTCGTTTGGTTACCTTCGTATTTCGATGAGACTGAATTGTCTTTCGAGAGCCAGTGTCCTGGATGGCCGAGTATAAATTGCCGGTCTTCGTAATGGGACATTGGAAGAGGAAACGGATCATATCGAACTGCGATTGGCGCACTAATTGGATCATTTCCGGTGGCAAGAAGTTTCGGTTCTTCTCCAAGAAACCGTCCGCTTGGTACACGACGCGTCCAGCAAAATGATGAACGGCGAAACAAACGGCATCCGACTTCGGTCGCACGTAAAACTTGGATTTTATATTGTTATGGAACTTCTCTGCAATGGAAATCATTCGTTGCATCGATTGTACGATCTCCGATTTAATAAGTATGGATTAGGGTCGGTGCATAATTTTCCGGTTTCGAGAAGGATATCGCTACGTAGATCGCATTCGCCATTTTTCTAACGTCCTGTGCATTCTACAAGAGGCCCATTCGACATTTTGCAAAATCCTTACCGATGAGCGATTTGTCCGTAGCTCCTGGAAAGCGACTCTCTTCGTCCAGCAACGCCAGCAGTCCCATCGGCTTGCTGAGAAGCATGTCCAACGCGGGTCTATTGTCGGAAAATTCGATTACGTCGACTGGGATTCCCTCGGCCATGTACTCCTGTTGTTCCCACGTAAATATATGCTGGTTGAAGTAGTATTGTATCTGCTCGTTCGCCACGTTTATGCAGAGCTGCTCGAAGGAATTTTTTGGGAAGTTCTCGAATCCGAAGATGTCCAGCAAGCCGATCGCCAACGGTTCGTAATTAGGGGAACGATTGAAACTTAATAAGCAATTGATCTGGTTAACCATCCAGTCGAACAATCGACCGTAAAGGCCTTTGGCCATTGCATCTCGAGCGGCGCTTGCTTCGGCCACTGTATTATTTCTCGTGATGGTTTCTCCTCTTGTCACGACGGAATTCGATGTCAATGTTTCGAGAAGATCATTTGTCTCGACGCCAAGTAGTTGAGACACTGACGAGAAGAAAGGATGCGTGAGACTGAGGTGACGCGAAATCGGTCGATTCGAATGAGACACTTTATTTAAAGTAGCGTCGTAAAGGCTTCGATACGAAAAACGAAGGAAACTCACCTCTCCGTAAAGGAGCCATGTCGACGACCTCGCTCTTATTATCGGTATTATCTTCCGACACGACTTCACTGAACTCGATGTCACCGAGATGAAGAATGACAGCCAAGACACTGTACACCGTGTCGACTTCGCTGTCTTGAAACCCGAGAAGTTTGAATCCGTTCTTCAGCTGCTGGAACTTATCGATATTAGTTTGCGACGTCTGACCGGGATCGGACGGATAACGATGCCGATTTCTAAGACAGTCCAACTGGAATTCCTTAAGGCGGTCGTCCGCCTCCAGTCCATCGTACACGTAGGAGAAAACGTGAAAATTTCCCTCTCCCCTGAAATCCAATCCCGATGTTAAGAAAAACATGATTTTATAGATTTTTCCAGAAAATTTCATTCGGACTCGATACGCCAATTTCACGGTACATTTTGAAATATTAAAAGTTACTTACTCGGCTTGAGCTACCACCCTGGACTGTTCCAACAGATACACCGCTACTCTTGCTCCGGTAACTTTTCCACCTTTTGTCATGGTAAGGTCAAGGTACTTCCCGAATCTCGAGGAATTTGCATTGATCCCCGTAGCGGCATTACCGAACGCCTCCATGATCGGATTGATCTGCAATATTCTTTCTTCTAAATTCCGGTTGGGTGCCTTGCCGAGGTACACCAATTGTTTCAGCAACAAATTGGCGCTCTCCGTCTTTCCGGCTCCCGATTCGCCGCTTATAACGATCGCCTGGTTTTGACGTTGATGAAGAAGAGCCTGATAAGCCGCATCGGCCACGGCGAAGATGTGCGGCGGATTGTCCGACCTGGCTTGGCCTTTGTATCTTCTTTGTTCCTGAAATTTCGGATCGTCGTTTACTCGTTTCTACCGGGCCTAACAACGAGATTTCGTTTCATTCGCTATCGCCACTCACGAGGCCGGTATAAAGTCCCAAATTGCTGAACGGATTGACGCCCACGAGGATGTCGCCGATGTAGGTGTATATCTGCGAATGCTCGTATCGGTGTTGTAGCTGTTCGACGATAGTTTCTTCCGAGAGCATGTCCAACGCCGCCAGGTCATCCCTGTACATTTTTTCAGGCCGAGCCTTTCGGTCCGTCTTGAGCTTGCCATGCTTGGTCGTTACTTCCGGCTGCCTGCGAACGGACATAAACCGATACAGGGACCAGTGGGAGCGGGATTGGGGTTTCGATCGTTATCCTACCTCGTGGACTCGGTCCGTTACCTGTGGACTCTGCCTTCGCTTCTTTGCCGGCGAATCTCTTCGCGCAGCTCGGCTCTGATTTCTTCCACGGCCGACTCCACGTTCGCCAACAGCGGATGCTCCCGGAGCTCGCTGGCGAAGGGCCGGTGTTCCAAATCTTTCACGAGACATTCGGCTACGAAGTCCGTCAGTTCCGGGGAGAAAAGGTCCGGATTCTTGAGCGCCGGTGGAGGGTTCCTTGGAATTTGGAAGAGCGCTCTCATGGGGTGTAACTCGGAGAGCGGAGGATCGCCTTCGGCCAATTCGATCGCCGTTATTCCGATCGACCAGACGTCGCATCGGCAGTCGTACGACGAATCCAGCTGCTGTTCGCAGGCTATCACCTAAACAACGCGAGGACGCATACGGTAACGATGTCTTTTCCATTTCTAGGAGGGACCAGGAGGAGGATTCATACCTCGGGAGCCATCCAATACGGCGTCCCAACGGACGTGTTTCTTCTGGCCAGGGTGGCCGCGAGATGCGAAGAGACGCCAAAGTCGACCAACTTGACGTGGGCTTCCTCGGTTAGTAATATATTGTGTCCCTTTACGTCGCGATGCATGCAATGGTTACCGTGCAGATGAATCAGTGCTTCCACCGTCTCTCGAATAATGTACGCAATTTTATCGGTCGTCAGACGACTGCCTCGCTTCTTCAAGCCCTGCACGAGGTCGGTCACGGATCCTCCCGTGCAAAGCTGAAACGAAAAGGAATAATTATCCTTCATTTTTTCTTTCGTCCTTCTTTTTAAGCGGAACTTCTCGAACGATCGGAGGATATTCCATGCAACGATCCAGTACCTCCATCACGAACCATAACTGGTCCTCCTCGTGAGAAGACTGCATTCTTTTCAAGAACAGCCCGTGAAAAAGAGGTATGTTCGGGTGAAGACTCAGATCCCGAAGCACGAGAAACTCCTCTTCGATCTCCTCGATATTGTCCGCCAGGTTTTCCAGAATTTTAATCGCAACCCGATCACCGGTTTGCTTATCTCGCGCCGAGAAGACTTCCCCGTAAGTCCCCTCGCCGATGAGTTCCTCCAGGGTGAAGCGATCCTCGGGGTCGGGAACCACCTCGAAGTTGACGTGCTTCGATAGACCTTGGTACGCCATGTTGCTCCCGTTTCGAGTTACTTCTGTAGGAAAGAAAGAGTACGCGTCCAATTTAACGATAACGAAATTGTATTATCAAGATTTTATATCCTGTGGAGAGTTTTTTAAGGCGATGCGAAAGTGCCGTCAGAGCTTTCGTTTATGGAACTTTTCTCCGAACTCAGGGCACCGAATCGTTTCAAACTTTATAACGTCAACGTGTAGGTCCTAAAGAAGGTCCTGACCCTCGTGAAATTTCGTTTTGTATACCCAGTTCGGAGATAAGTTTCATAAACGAGTCCTCTTCGCCCCGACTCAAAGGATACGCGTTCCGCTCATCGTCCGACCCTACGAGTTTCTCGATCGAGTCGATTATACCGTACCAATGATATCTCCCATTTTGCAGAGTTTCCGTCCCGAGGTCTTAGTCGATCGTTTACATCACCATCGCGAGTGGGAAGAATCGACACTGCTGGCTCGAACGGCTACGATGTAACTGGTTCGGACGTCTACTGACCGGAAACCTGTTAACCCCTTAATGAGATTGATTCTAAGGCCGGCGCAGCGGTCGATCATGAAAATAGGTCTTGGTGAGCGACGTTCTTAAGTCGCCACCATAGACGAGCAGAAGTTACACCAACGCCGTCATCTTGGTAAGTGATGCGATAACGAGTGGAGTTATAAACGTTATCGAGCAACCAGGTGATGGCCGAAAACTCTACGAGGTCTCAACCTCAAGAAACGAGAGAAGGAGCCGACGTCAAGACTGGACAATTTGTTAATATTCTTTTAAACGAGCTCAAAGATGTATGTACTTGCGGTACCTGAGGTATAACAAACTGTAAAATATGTAATGTAATAAAGCAACTTATTGAACAATAACAATGAGTATGTTTAATTAGACGAGTGGGTCTAGCGAACCCTCTAATCGCCTATTCCTGATCCTTAAAAATCACCCGTAGACCTAAGTTAACGTTAATTCTCTTGCGGTGGGAGAAAACTTTGCGTGCCACCTCCTCGGTTGTCCTGTGATCCTGTTAGAAATCGAAAATTTCAACCCCTAAAATTTATGCCCGGGAGAAGACCGCGCCACCTCCTCGGTTGTCCTGTGATCCTGTTAGAAATCGAAAATTTCAACCCCTAAAATTTATGCCCGGGAGAAGACCGTGCCACCTCCTCGGTTATCCTATGATCCTGTTACAAATCGAAAATTTCAACCCCTAAAATTTATGCCCGGGAGAAGACCGTGCCACCTCCTCGGTTGTCCTGTGATCCTGTTAGAAATCGAAAATTTCAACCCCTAAAATTTTTGCCCGGGAGAAACTCGGTGCCACCTCCTCGGTTATCCTATGTTCCTGTTACAAATCGCCAGATTTCTAACAGGATCATAGGATAACCGAGGAGGTGGCACCGAGTTTCTCTGGGCAACTTAGGTCTACAAGCGATTTTCAAGAATCAGGAATAGAGGAATAGAGGGTTTGCTAGACACGCTCGTCTAATTAAACGTACTCATTGTTATCGTTCAATAAGTTGCTTTATTACATTAATTATTTTACAGTTTATTATACATCAGGTACCGCAAGTACATAAGTTTTCGAGCAGGTTTTCTACGTTCCGTTTGCGTTACCACCACCAGGCTGCACCGTGTACACGAGGAAGCCATTCATGACCGCCAGGGTAAAAAGAGGAATCGAAGCGCTGCCGCTTCGACCGTCCACAACCGGTTGTGTCATTGTTCTTGGATTGTCTATTAATCGAAGACCCGTTCAGCCGCAGTTGGTACCGTTGGTACAGCTTCGCAACGGCCGTGAAGTCATCGATTTCGGCCCGATGTCCGATCGAAGACTCGGTCGCAAGACCAGGTGGAAGTATTAGAGCGAGGAAGCCCGACAGGAAATCGGCTTAAGGCTCACCTCGGTAACTGCACGCTTCGTGCGAGAAATGAAAAGGTAACGTTACTCACGAAGTGGTATAAGGAGATACAACGCCAGGTATCGAAATCTCCTCCAAGGGAGCCAAGATATTCACATTTGTTCCGATCCAGGGCCGAGACCGCCCCAATGAAATTATCCAAGTAAAAATGATCGTCTGCCAGCGGTTCCGATAGTTTTAATCACATTCCGTGTATCATCCGCGGATTCTCGTTTCGCTTTGCGCACCTCAATTGCAAAATTAAAAGCATTTTGGGTGATTTACATTACATCGGTAGGAAACGTTTTGATCACGTAGGATTGGAGTTCAATCTCTCGGATTCGTGCCGCTGCGCTCTTCTCCGAGAAGTTTCTTCCTCTTTGGTGAATCCGGCGTCCGCCTGCAACAACGTAAACTTTATAGCGATCAAAAGGGTCCCCCGAAGCAATAATATCCATCCAGGATAAAATTTCTTTTATTCTTTATTACTCCTCCTAAAAGTTGTTCATCGAATTATTCCATAACTTTTTTTTGTTTCTTTTACACACCGCTGTGCGCCTACCACAACAACATTAATTACATTTATTTAATTAATCACCTAAAAGTAAGAGATACAGTAAGCGTAATTATTTTTATATGTACAGGTGTCGTTTTTATTTCTTTCCCTTCGTTATTATGATTTTTTAAAGAGGTCTCCCCCAAATATTCGCAAGGTTCCCGCAACGCGAAAAATCCTCCGTCCTCTTCTTTCTCTTCCTCTCGCCGGTCTCTTATATCTCTCCTACTCGCTTCTAGTCGTTCGCAAAAAAATGGGATTCTCAAAACTTCCCAGAACTTCCCAGAATCTCCCACCTCTCCCCCTTCTCTCGGAACTTGAAAACCATATAGCTGATAAAAACGAAGAAGCCACGAGCGCAGAGGTATTCCGAGGTTAGAACGGAAAATCCCTCTCTAACTGACCACTTCGCATCCGCATATAATATAGTAATGTCTTCTTCATTTCTACGAGCTCTATGTTAGAAACTCGCGAACGGCGCTCCCCGGAAGTCGTTACAAGAAAATCCCCAAAACTGCGGACGTCACTGGTCGATCTCAGAAATCGAACGACTCGACGTGAGTGAATAATAAAACGGTGTCCCAGGGAGTGCCGGTTTTCAAAATCCGTTCCACCTCCACTTGGCACGGACCGCTTTCCAGACGATCGAGGGAAAAATAGGTGTCCGACTATCGGCTATAAATATACAATTTCGCGTCAGGAAACCAATAACGTGGATGAAATTAAAATATTTACGGTTAACGAAGAAACTGTGGTCTGAAGTTACGGAATAAGGACCGGCGCTCGTATGCAATTATTAGTTGCGCCACATTTTAATCGTTTCGATGATTATAACGTGTCGGAGAGCCCCATGCGACGAAAGCAATTAAATTCCCTGGTTAATTAAAGAAATTCGAGATTACGATTCGCATTAACAATGTCACGTGACGACGGTTGGCAGGTATTACAAAAGTGACGTTGGCATGCTGTCGTGCGTGCTCATTGCGCGATATCGAACCAGAAACCGAGCGATTTTCTCATTAAATATTAATTATATTATTTCCCGCTTTCACGATACGCGATGCAACGGTTAAATAAATAAATAAAAATATATACAATCCTCCGTTTTCAAGAGGGAAGAGGAATACAGTAACTTCGAAGTAATTTTACACAAGCACCGGCCAAGGAACTCATTGAATTCTCAGAGACTAAGAGTATCTTTCTAAATAATTTAATTCAACGTTATTTAACGAGCCTTTATACCGAAAAGTTAAAACGGATCGTTTTTCCAGAAATTTAAATAGTAACAGCAAAAACCTCTTTTTTTTGGAATAGAACCAAAGCTTTTCGTTTCTCGTCTTTTCGTTCATGTGACTAGTTTATACATGTGAAATATCGATTTTCGCGCATAATTCCACAAAGGAGAAAGATAGAAGAAAAAGAAAAAAGAGAGAAAAACTTAAAATAATTCTTATTGCATCGATTGCTCTCCTAAGGGACAACTAAAGTTCTGAAATGCTTAAACCGAGGGCGTCTTTTTCATTGTCTACGGAACTGTTAATTTAACAGAAGGTTTATATTTAACCGCGAGGTTCAGAATTCGGTAATCCACTTTACTCTGTAAACAAGGAAACTTGCAAATAATAATAGGGACTTCAAACCATCTGCTGGTCATCGTTACGTGACTCGATATGTCTTTCCCCGTAAGCAACAGAAAAACTGTGAAATTCATTTGTTGCGTCTAAAAACGCGTTGTTCTCAATTTTGCAAATACATAATAATCTCGAGAATCCTATCAAGGTTTCCGGAATTAATTTTTCCTCGTTAAAACGCGCTTACGGAATGGATAGCTTCGTTGAAACCCTCGTTTGCGAAATTAATATTGAATAAATACAAATATGTTGCATGTCGCATTGCTTATGAATGAAAAATCAGAGTCCACGTTATGAACTCATCGTCAAACTATTCTCCAATTTTCTCAAGATCTCATTGTTAAAGAAACAATTGTTTTCTAAACGGAACATTAATATTACTTTAAATACATTTCGCTGTATGAACCCGTTAGAATGTACATTGGGTCTTCGGGTTGCATTAGATCCCCGCTGTAATTTTAGGTATCGCAGGGTATCATCGAAGCAATAGTTCTATCCTTTCCACTTTGTTCGATAAAGTTGACGTTCAAGCCACGATGTTTACTTGTTAATTCGATAGCTGACGCGGTAAATCTCATCTAGTCCTGACACCCATTTTTCCAGATCCATTCGATCAGAAGTTTTCTTCGATGTAGGTTTCGCTGTGATTCGGGGAGTTGGAATAAATTTGAGCATTCCACGTCAACAAGACCGAATGATTCGCGAAAGGAAATATAAAACAAATATACGGGAAGTCTTTTTTTTTCCTTTTCTTTCAAGTACGTCCAAGTAACGGAGGGATTCGATAAACACTTTTTAAAAAACCCTCGCCCTAAAAACTTCCAGTGAAACCTCCATCGAGCACAACTATTTACAGCTGAGCTTCGAGCCTGGTCTCTCCGCAGCGTCCAGTGCTTTCAGTGGCTAATCATATAAAAAAGCAGAAACGACACTGCATCAATAACAACGACAATAGTAACAATAACTTTGGATAAGTTACACCTACTTTACATAAATCGCATCGTAACAAAAGAAGAGGAAGAAAAAGAAAATTCGCAAGAGGTTCCTCTAGGAGTTCGTTTCGCTCTAAGCCGTCGACTCTCTCGAAAGGAACCATTCTTTCATCGGATCACCACTCGGACAGCTCGAAGGGGGAAGAGTTCACCATTAAAAGATTCCCTTAGTCTCAATTTGCAACAGCCTCCCAGTCTTCTAAAAAAATCCCCATTGCGGAGTACAAACTCAAAATATATCAATCGATGTGTAACATCTCCGAAGCTTTTTTCCCCCAATTAACCGGACCACTGCTTATGGCTTACTTTCGTACCGTCTGGCTGCATAAGGCGCGAGAAATAATAACCAATCGAGTTCGTAAAAGTAAAGAGGAAAGAAAAAAAAAAAACACAAATGAGCGGTCACCTTCTTCGCAGACCACTCTGGAGAGGCTCTTCGACCCACCTGGACATCGAAGAACTCCCTCCGGAGGGTTCGTTGCCTGAACTCAGACCGGTCGAAGAGTCCAACTTACGATTACGGGAGTCATACATATCGACGGAGCGAAAATACCAATTTTTCTGACAAGTACAGGAAAACATGAAACACGATTACGGAGATCCTATCGAAGGTTTTGAAACTCCCGAAATTTCATTTTCCGGCAAAAATTTTGATTCTTGTCCGGGATAAATACGTGATTTGTTCGAAAATTGAAATTTCGCGAGTTTCAAGATCTTCATCGAGACCTCCATAATCTCGTGTTAAGGTTTCAAGTTATTCGTTTTCATATATATAGAATGACTCTTCCATCCCACCTTAAGGGGATGTTAAATTGGCATCCGAGAGGTCAATCGTTCGTGAAAGTATTCTCCAAATTGGGTGTACCAATTTCTTTCAAATATCACCATCCGGATAAGGAGACCCTAAGGTAGGTTCCGTACCGCGCAAAACTTCATTTTCGCGAAAAAAAAAGGTTGAAAATAGCTATAAACAAATTATCTTAAAATTGAAATTTCATGGGCGTTAGGACCTTCCTTATAGCCTCCATATGCACCCAGTGAAGCTTGATTCGATTCGGTCCACCCGGTTCCTAGAAAAGTGTCACAAGTGAGACCTCTTTGACGCCATTTCCGCATCGCCTTAAGCTTCTAGCGAAGCGGCGGACGTTCCGCAGAGTCGACCGCGTAGCGAGTTCCTCCGGAGTCTCCGTCGAGGGTCTAGGCGCCTCCTTCCGATGAGGTTTCGGCCCGGGGCCTTTTGCGCCGCGGAGGAGAGGCAATGGCCTGGCAGTTAACGGAAGGTGTCGAGCCGTCCGGCCAGCTTTCCCGAAGCGGTCGCGGCCTCGTCTCGGCCGGCTCCGGCTCCGGCTCCGGCTCCGGCTCCGGCGCCTCGGCAAGGTAAGGATCAGCGTACTCCCCAGTGACGCCTCTGCGACGGCGGGGGTGCCATCAGCAGGCATCATGTCACTTCCATCGCCAGCGAGTTCGCTTTGCTCGCCCTGACGAGCTGCTGCTGCTGTTGCTGCGGCGCGCCGTCCAACGGCGAGTCCGAGACGCCGTCCACCTCCATCTCCAGTCCCTCACTGAAACGTAATCCTCGGTTTGAAGGTGAAATTCATCTATAGCCTTCTCAAGACCCCAGACAAGCGGTCTAACCTATTACTATTAAGCGTAATTTCCCCGGACGTCGGTATCTGCTGCGCCTGGGCCTGCGTCTGTTGCTGCTGCCGGGCGAGGTTGGCCAGCTTGCTCTGGGCGATGAGCCCGGGCAGCAGGTTGGACGGCGGATGCTTCTGGGGCAGGAGGATGGTCGATTGGTTGTTGGCCAGGCTGTTGGAGTTGTGCAGATGGCCGAGGGGGCCGTTTCGGTGGCCGTTGCCGAAGGTCGGGGGCGCGGCGACGGCACCGCCTCCCGCAACGCCAAGGACCCTGAGGCCGGTCAGAGGCCTGGGGAGCACCCCGGGACTCGGGGCGCTGTTCGCCAAGAGTCTGTGCTGGCGCACCACCTGGTGGTTCTGCAGGCTCTCGGGGCCGCCGCCGTTGGCGCACTGGTTGGCGGCCGAGACGCTCGTCGTCGTGGTCGACGCCGAGCTCGAGCTCGCCAGGACGGCGGAGGCGGACGTCGTCGACGACGACGATGACGACGACGACGACGAGACGGTGACGGAGGCGGAGGCGGAGGCGGAGGCGGACGACGACGAGGACGAGGACGAGGAGGCGGAGGACGAGGACGAGGAGGAGGAAGAGGACGACGAGGAGGAAGGGCTCGCCGTGGTATTACCGGTATGTACACTATTAGCACTAGGGGCGACCTGGCTCCGGGCCGGGCCAACCTGGTGCCGGGTCAGGGCCGCGCCCGCGGAGCACGTCACCAAGAAGCGGGAGCAGCCGAGCTCGTCTGTCCGCGACTCGCACGAGCCAATGTCCGACTGCTTGCCGCCCCCGACCCCCGTCCCCGTCCCCGGCCCCGGCCCCGGCCCCGGCCCCGGCCCCGGCCCGCCCTTTCCGCCGAGCTCGAAGTCCGGCAGCGGCTCCACCGCGAAGTAGTCCGCAATGTTGAACTCCGAGGTGAACGGCGCCTCCTCGGTCAGCGGCCGCTCGCTCTCCACGCAGACGTCCACGCAGATCGACGTGGCCTCCGCCGGGAACGGGAACGCCGGTGCCGGTTCCCCGCGTAGCCTCGACGACGCCGGCTCCAGGTCCGACTCCGACTCGCTGCTCGAGCTGCTCGAGCCTTGCGCCGACGAGGGTGGCGGCGTCTTCGGCCGGAAGTGCAACCTGGAACGACCAAACGTCTGCCATCAGATTTCATCTTCTAGCAAAATGCAACACCCATGAAGAGGTAGTTCACGAAGATGCGCCGCTATAATGACTGTTAACGATGGTTGATTAATCCGCTAGGAATTAATCTTGTTACGTGACTAAATCGTCCATACCATTCCTTCTTGACGGTCGTGGTAGTCGTGGCAGTCGCAGTTGGATCCGTAGGTTCTCTCTTGGGTTCGTGTATCGTAAAATCCAAGGAAGACCACATGTCGTCCATGTCGGTCGAACAACGGTCCAAAATGACTCTGAAATTTCATTGAATCGGTTACAACCCCAGTTTCATTGTTCCATCTCTTAAATTCGAAATACTTCATTTACATATACATTAATTATTTTTCCGAGCTGTAATCGATTGCAGCCAAGCGAAAGAACGAAAAGAAATGAATTTCCCGGTAACCGAGCCAGGTCCTGAAACTCCAAGTCTCCAAGAAGCGTCTCTAGACTTACCTTCCACCTCGACCGACTCTCCGTCGTGCCAGACCGATGCACCTCGGAGTGGGTTTACTAATGCTGGTCATGGCAAATCGGTACCTCTTGTCAGCTAACCCGCCTTCGCTCCAATCACACCAGGGCCAGTTTCCAAATCCACCTGATACAGGCTGCGAAGGAAAATTTCCTTTTCTTTAGGAAGATTTAACGGAAGCTATTAGTCCTTGTTTCACTCTCGGTGTGCGCGCGAATTCGTATCATAGAACCCAGAGACAATGAATTAAGGTTTTAAATTATTCGATGCCCCCAATTTGGAGAAAAGTTTTACAAATATTTCAACGTCTTGATATATCATCTAAGTATATATATATATATATACAGAATTACCCTTTTATATTACCTTAAACTCACAACAGAAAATAAATAACATTCGCAGGTTAGAATCGACATGGCAAAGCGAAGACCCACCGGTAGGTAAGTGGTATTCCTGTTCCGTCGAAAGGTGAACTGGCCCTCGTCCGCGGTGTCCTCGTCGTCGCGGTCCGAGGGAAGAGAGGGTTGGGAGTGAGAGTGCGAGTGAGAGGGAAGAGGGCTATCTTCGTCCGAACTGGCCAGCGGGTCCAGCCCGCCTCCGAGTACTCCGGTCCTGCCGCTCCGGCCGCCTCCTCCGCCGCTGCCCGTGCCTCCGCGAATCCCGACCTCGTCCAGGACTCTGCTGTCCATTTTGTGCTTCCGCTTCTTGTACTGTCGCTTCTCCTTTCTCGGTATCACCTCGTCCTGAAACGCCGATAGAAAGGAAAAACGAAAGGAAAAACGCTCATGCTCATGAAATTTCGTTTTGTACATACTAAATGAATCATTCTTACTTGTTCTTGCAAAGACTATGGAGTAGAAAATGACCTTACCTTGCCACAAACTTTGGTCGCCCAGTTTTGATGAACACCGAACTGGTTGGTAAAGAGCGGAGCAAAGGCCGGCCTTGAAGTTTTAAGAGCGGACACTTCTGCCAGAATTTGACCATTGAAGTCTTGCGCCTGATACCTGAAATGTTTACATATTGCCATTACCTGCCGAATGGGAATTTTCCAAAAATTCTTAGGGTACGTTAGATTATGTTTACATTTAATAAGTGCCAATCCATCAATTGCACGGAACCGAAAACTGACCTCTTTTCGTATACTTCGATGGTAAGGTGCAAGTGTTCCCTCTTCGTCTTTTCTCGTCTTTTAATCAGTTCCAGAAGTGTCACCGCTCTACTGAGGTCCCTACGGAGTTTGAGCATTTTCTCGTAGCTAGTTTCGTCGTTTTTACGATGCTTTCGAGTTTGCATCTTTTCCACCCTCCGTCGAAACGCCAAGTAGGGGTTATTGGCTGCGGACCCTGACCGGTGCTCAGTCTTCACCGTCAATAACAACGGATGTTGCTATAATATCGAAGAAATCTCAAATTACCATAAATCTCACTCAATTATTAAAACCATTGAACTGGAATACTTTTTCGATCGCTGAATTAATTTACTGACCAAGGTAAAAACACTTTTAAGTAACTTACAGTTTTGAGCCGTTTATTGAGCCAGTAGTCGAACACTGCAATGATGAGGTCGTCGTCTTCTTTGAGGAGTGCCTTGGCTTCGTTTAAAGTGACCACAGTCTGGCCCGAACTCTTTTCTAGCCGGTCCATCATCTCTTCGAATTGCAGCGGAGTCAGGTCCATCTTTCTGCTCTGTGTTCCTACCCATTTTTCATCCTCCGAGTCCATATCGTAGTCAGGTATGTCCTGCTCCATTGTGAATGCTGCAACAATAAATACATGTCAGAACAGATTCACAGCCATAATGAAGAATTACATTAATAATGCGTCATGTTTATAATATCAAATAATAGACTCACGTTGCATGTGTATGAGTTGGCGGGGCAGTTTATAGTCAGTAGGATAAATCTTGTTGTAAGCTTCGGCATCGGTCAGGTCGGTTACCTCAGGGGTTGGAATGATTAAACCAGTGCATATTGCTCTTTGGAGATGATGTTCCTGCAATGAAAAGTATTATTAGTTATTTACAACAACCGAAAAGAAAACCCATGACAATTCATCCACAATTGATATCACCACTAACACATGTGTACAAAATCCAGAGGAATCAGAAATTAAAGCCTATGTCAAAATTCAGCCTACAGAGTGGAAAAACCCTTACGATACACTCGCCATACCACGTTCCACAATTTGAACCATACAAAACCACCGTTCAACCTGTGCCTAAGAAACCACCGAAACAACTCTATTCATTTTGCAAATCGAATCGAGCCTCAAACTCCTATTATTCCTTCTCTACGATCGAGGTAGGGCACGGCCTCGAGGAACCCTCTGCAAAGCAAGAACCCGTGGGTGTCATCTTCCCAGGGGTGTCGCGAATGACGGTCAGAACCCAGAGGAGCATGACGCCACTAACTCCGGCATCGCAAAATCCTGAAAAGGAGGTAAAAAAGCAAAATCCAGGGAGCAATTCAGCGGCAGTCCGGCCGATCGCCGGGGGCGCCATCTGGTGGCGGTCGGGGGAGTCGATGGCGTGGTCCCGGAGGTGCCAGAGGCAAGATGGCGGCGTATCTCGGAAAACATGCCGTGGAGGTGTCAGGCCAGACAGGGGCCAGGCAAGGCGGAGGCGTCGCGAACTCACGCATTCCTCCTCCTTGTGCATGCCGCTCGGCATCTGGGGCACGGCGCGGTTGATGGCCGAGTAGTCGGGGAGGTCGGGCAGCTCCTCGGCCATGTAGATGGGCATGGGCTTGGAGGCGTCGAGGGTGCGAGCCCTGAAGGTCAGCTTGCTCATGTTGAGGCCTTGGGGCGTCTCGGGGTCGCCTTGGGGTTCCTCGGGGCACCTGGGTCCCGGTGCCGTCGGCCGGGGCGATCGGAGGCGGCGGGGCGGGGGCCGCGCTCGACTCGAAGTCGGGGCTGTGCGCACGCAAGAGCGGGCCCTCGCTGGCCCTTCCTGGCCCACGGGGCCGATGCTGCCGGCAAGCGGGAGGCGGCTCAGGCCCTCATCGTCGACCGGCCATCGCGCTGGAACACGCTCACTCGCTCACCGAACCAATTCTACCACTTCGAAAACATGTTTGCGTGACACGGTCCCTGCTCGATGCCATCATGGCCGACGCACAGCCATTTTACCACACGTTCCGCCGCGGCGCTCCGGGCCTGTTCCGACACGAGCCCCGTCCGGCCCGGGACCTCCACGAGAACTGCCGCCAACTGCCGCGCGCAAGCGGCGCCATCTGCGGACTGCCGCCGAAACGGCGGCCAAGGGCCGCTACGCCGAGACCAATCCCGACTCGCGAGAAGGATCCACTAGCAAAATACCCTAGGTCATTTACGGACTTTTTTTGTAGTAAATTACCAGGTATTTTACTTTACAAATTTCATATACTCTAATTAATACAATTATATGTACAACTTTCATGTATCAAATATATCCTTTCCAAATCAAAACACGGATATTCTTCTAGATCTCAAGCAGAAGAAACGAGAGAAGCTGATGACAAGACTGGACACTTTGTTAATATTATTTTAAACGAGCACGAGAACTTATGAACTTATGTTCAGCCGCCTGCATTCTCCACCAAGAGCAGCACAAAATGCGATCGCGCGACCCTGCCCGTGAGCCATCGCCCACCTCGTCTCTGTACGAAGCTATCTCTTCAATGAAACTGAACTCTAAACGTAGCGGATAAATCGCTGTTTATCAACTGTTCCAAAACTTTCTTATTATTTAAGTTCGATTCCAACCAAAATACATATTAATATCCTAAAAATAAAGCTTGATCTTTTGACCATGTAATCGTATTATGAAATAAAGTACCGATCGGATTACAAAAGCTAGACACAGAAATGTTAGCATTAAATACAAATTTTGAAGCAGTTAGTGCACTGATCAGTGAATTGTTAGATAATCTTGGTTGAAATTGTAGTGTCAATGTTAGGGATTATTCAGTTATTCTTAAAGCCAGTCCTTATATCACTGGACGGTAGAGTTCGAGAAGGCTCGTATTTCGAGCAAGAAAATTCAGCTAGGTCATCGACTAGCTTGATGCACCTTCTCAAAACATTTGTACGAAAAGAAAAAATAGTATCCAGCTCAGTTTTTGTATTATTGAGCCGCTTAGCAAAATCCACTTTATCAAAGTGGAAGATTTGCTGAACGCCGGATATCCGTTTTGCTTAGTCTATATATCGGCGTCCAAAGGTTCATCTGAAGGTTTTAAACCTCGGATGCTCAAATCATAGACAATCTCTTCGACTTTTTTTACGTCATATTTAAGAGCATCATAGCGTTTCCGCAATGAATCATTCTTCAGGTTCAGCAGCCGAAAACCAGCGTTCAATTCATTGACGAATCTTGAGATTTCTAAAGGTCGATTGTAGTCTCCATACGTCACACTGTTTACAGCAAAGCGGGACTGAAACATAATTTCTTCTTTATACATTTCTGCCCAAATTAAATGAAAATTTCATGTTACTTTAGATTAAAACTATGGAACTCACCAGCTCTGCGGAAAGTTGAAGTAGACCCATCAGGAAATCTTCGAGGTCCAAGTGAAATCCTTCTTCACGATTGTTCTTAACTATAACAAATGATATTTTTTAGCTTTTGTTGTACATTTTTTAAAAATTATAGTACGTCTTGTTAATAAGGTATTTAAATATCAAAAACGAACTTGCTAATATCTCCGCTACAGTTTCCTTGGTTACCAAAATTTTTTTCTCTAAGTAGATTGTCAGAGACGCTAAGAAGCACAGTCTTTGCGTGACGAATTTCCATTGATCGTGAAAGCGGTAGTACTGATCCTTTGGTACTACTTCAGCAAGTGTTGCATACTGCTTACGAACATCTTCAAAATACTCTCTGGCTTTGGCACAGTATTGAGATACGACTATAAAGAAAGAGTACGTTACCTAACGATTAATTTTACTTCTAAAAATGTAATGAAAATAACATGTCCATACACGGTAATCTTACTTATGTTTTCTTCTACGTTGCTGTCATTATGAATATTTTGCAAAACTATAAGAATATCTCGAGCACTTTTCTCAATATCTTTCACAACGTTCCGAATTTTCTGAAAGAAAATTTGTGTAATGCCGAGATGTATATCAACAAGTGGTATAGAAAATATTTAAAAATAGAATAATTAGTTAATTTAATTTTTCCTAATTTTACTCTAACTTTATGAAACATGTATCATTTTGACATGCCATGCCTTGTTACTGGTATTGTTGCGTGAAACGACTTTTTGCCGGTGATTCATATTTCCATACTATGACGAATAACCTCAAATCTTAAGCTAGTGAGAGGAGAGTATCAAATATCTCTGACAGTAAATACCTCACGCAGTTCTTGCTCGTTGTTCAGATAGTCTTGGAATGAATTAAAAATGTCCATAACTGAATCTGCCATTTCCTTGTTCGATTTCTTTGAAAGATGAAAATGTGAGCGTCAGACTCGTTGTTTGTCCACTTGTTTGTCAGGATTTTATATTTACCTGTATACGAGAGTTGTTTTGATGCCACCTACTGTCCCACTGATGTTCACCGCCATCTGACGGCAATATTGAGAATAAGAGAAGAAACTTCAAAAGTTGTAAGCAAATCAGTTTAATTCTCGTCAAAGGATGGCACTGCAGGTAAATCGTGTCCTTCGCTCATTCCTGACATGTTATAATTAGTTTCACAGCACGAATTTCGCGATATCTTTAAATGAAATCTTGTCGATCGAAAAGTATTTAAAGATGCTCCGGAATTATTTCTCCGTAAACCGGATAACTAAATAACGTTTTCCATAATTTTCCTTCGTGTCCTGAAATTATGCATCTTGGGTAGAAAGTGATTGTTAATGTCCGTCGAAAGTTTTACACACAACCTAGTCGATCGAGGTAATTCGTCAATTTGCGCACCTGCAGGCGCGAAGTATGAATCGCATTAATCTTGCGAAGGGCCATTAAAAGGAACACACGGTGTAAGTTATGAGGCACGACAGCGACCCTAAATTGGATCGCGTATAACGAGATTCATATTTCTTCCCCAACAAAGTGGCGACTTTTTTCCTATCCAGCCGGAGAAACACTCCGCGGGCAATAGGCAACGGAAGCGCAACTTCCCATTACTTCGACAATCGGATCGAGAATTCATGTCCCTGGCAAATCGTAATAGCTTACCATGTGGAAAATAGTACCTCAAGTCTCAATTACTAGGAAGGAGGCAAAACGGCTTCCGAGTAGTCATCTGGAAAGCGAGGTAGCCGCTGCTCCTCTTGCACTTATTAGTCCACTATCGCATTCAACGTCGTTAAATCCTGCAATCAGAAATATATGCATACTTGGGAGAATCGTCTCGAAGCTTCTTTGACGCGTCAATGTTCACGAGGGGACACGTGAATCCCATTAATCCTTCAAAGGCCGTTAAAAAGTACACCTGGAATAAATTATACACGTTCGGCTCGGTGATTTAAAATTCGATCGTGGCGCGACTAATTTTTTTGCAGGGATGTGACAATCTCTGATTTTTATACGGCCTCAATGAGGAACCTTACGTCGACGGCCTCGGCGCTCGGCGCGAAGAAGGCTCCGAGCAGGTTTTAGGGCATCGAGCACGCGAATGCTTCAATTTGCAATAAATTATTTTGAGTTATTGAAGTACTCGGCTAACGATATTCTCTGCCTGTCTCCCTGGCCGAGTATTTCCATAATATGAATTTCGAAGTGCTCCGAGGATGTGTCATCGGGGAAACAGGGCGCAACGGAGTAAACATAAAATACGTTCTAATCGAGTAGCATAAGAAGAGCATCTATCGAAATTAGCTCCACTTTAGGGGTTTAAGATCTCGAATGTTTGCTGATCCAGGGTCGAGAACACCTTTGCGGTGAAATTTTGCAATTAAAAGTTATAAACATTTCTTCCAGTTTGGGAAGCCCCGAAAAATGATTCCTACGTTATCCATAAACTATACGATGCTTTCGCTGTAAATACAGAACCTTGAAGAGGATCGGAGCGATGACACGTCGTCTGACAAAATTAATCGCTTTTCCGCAAGGTCGGCACATCGCAAGACGTATAAATAGAAGGAGTATTTTCTTGCGATTCCTGTTGCTAAATATATCCTTAATCCAAGCAGCAATGACATTTCTGAGCCGGGTGAAAGACCCGGCAGACGCGCCATTTTTTCCCTGGGAGCAAAAAACAGGAAGACGGCCTTTCGCGAAGACGGGTTCGGGAGACATCTCTCGGCAGGCACGCGCATTACATCAACGAGCAAGAAGGCTTCTGTCACCGGCGACATATTTCTAAAGACTGTTCGTCTAAAGGAGATTCTTGACACCTTAAATTACTAGGGACTTCGAAAATTCCTATCGTGAAACTATGGACCCTTTCTCGTATCTCGGTTCTGAGGGTCTTTTAGTTAATAGATCGCTTTTGCGAAATGTAAAATTACACCGTCGCAAAAATGTGACGAAACTCGGAGAAATTGGTAAAACGACAGATTCTAGAGACCCGATCGAAAGGTTTGGCACGGTCCGAAGGCGGATTCGAAGAAGGGGTCTTCAGGTGCTCGGCAGGATACGTAAACGCGTCCACCGTGGCAAGACGCAAGGCCTCGCACGGTATATAAATAGAAACCGGTAGGTCCTGCTGCGAAGTCGTGGAAGGTGGTGGAAGGTGGTTGGAATTCTGCATGATACCTAACCTACGTAGGTCGCGGAGGATGCCTGCAGATTCTGCGGGCGTGTCATTGATCCCGATACAGGACGGAGCGAGGATGGTTTATTCAAAAATTCGCGCCCACGTCGCCGCCAATGATAGACGCGCGCCTCGTAATTGCGCCGATTACGCGCCGACTACACGCCGATTATAAACATTCTAGAATCTAACTTTATACCGCGTTGATCGTTGCCCTCCACGCTTATTAATTTCTCCCCTTTCGTCTCTGCTTTTACACTGCCGGTTTTGCGGAGAACCGATCAAGTCAATTCTCTTCTATCGAAGTTCCAGACGCTTCTCCGTATTGACCTCCAAAATGGAAGGAGTTGTTAATAAACGCGGTGGTGTTTATGAGAACGTCAATATTTCCGCAAGAAACATCCCATTACGATAGAGCGAGCTTTTCAAGGTAAGAGAACTCTGTCAAGCCAAATCGTTCGATATGCAAAGTCCGTTTGGAATACCGACGCGATGCCATTAAAATTGTAACGGAACGGGGTTGCACTAGTACCGCGCGTATGTAAATGTCCAGGAGATACGGCGTATCTCGGACTAAACGCCCGGGGACGGTCTCGGGTCCCCCGAACGTGTCGTTGATCCCGATGCTCGCCGAAGCGAGGATGAGTTTTCGAAAAATCGACGCCTACGTATCGAAGCCGGGACGTTTCGCCGGTTCTCGGGGCCGAGCGCGAGAAGAAGCGTGGGCGGGTCGTACTTTTGGTTTGAGGTTATCTACGCACTCGAGGATGCGCGACTTGGCCATACTTGCGGGCGACATGCAAATCGACAACGAGATTACAATCGAAATAATCCGACTGGACAGAAATTGGTATATCGTCCGTAAACGTTTTTCCAGCAAAGTTGGAACCGATCCTAGCAGCTTTTCTTAGTAGGTGAAACGTTAAGAACAAAGTAGAGGGAAAGGGGTGATCGTTCGTCCGAAGAGATTTGTTATCGGTTTGGCAAAAGTCGAATCTTAAAGGAAGGCTTTCGAAGTGCACGGCCTTGCCGCGACCTTCGCGTCTTCGTCTTCGCACTATAGTTCGTTCTTGGTAGCTTGGGAGGTTTACAGCGGATGGAATATGTAGCATTAGTAGTTGTTAACATTCAAGCGCCGCCATCTTATTTTCCTTCGTCCAGGACGAGAGGTACGTTTCTCCCTGAAATTTCCTCTAAGTGAATGTAATTTCCCCAGTCGGAACGTTTTGATATCGCAAAGTAGTTGCAGGTAAAGTGGGAAATGGCAAGGGGAGCCCTAAAATAAATAGAGATTGCTTTTACAACCGGTATTTCTAAGAAAACCATTAACGAAGTCGCGAAGGCGGCGCGGGTCCGGGACTAGTACAGCAGCCGTGCAATCCCGGCTGGAAGTAAGCGTATCGCGTATTTTTCTTCCTCTCGTATAATAAAATGAATCCCATGGAGAGATTCGCGCGGGAAGGATAGAGGCCGATGGGATCGAGGAGCCGGATTACGGTGGCCCCGTTAAGGCCGCATTCCTCGAGGAGCCGAACCAAAGAAAATTCTGGTACCCGGGGGTCGGAAGGAATTATTGGGTAATCGGCGCGATGCACTTCGTCCCTGGATGTATACCAAGCTATAGTATTTTTAGCGGGAGATCTTATCGAGGAAGAAAATTACTGGGGCCTCCAGGACCCGCCAGGGGCGTATCGTAAAGAAGGACTCGTTAGAGGAGGCTCTTTACGCGGCCGCGAAACCCGTCCGCGATAAACGTAATGCAGACGGAAGATGGGCTACAGAAGCGCCGACGATCGACGAAGCTCGACTCTGCCAGGACACTGGCGGGAAAAAAGTAGGTCTTTCAATTTAAGGGGATGCGAAAGTGGATAATGAAGAATCAAGTTTGTCGATAACATTTAACATCGTTCGATATTAAAGTATCGCGAAAGCGTTCGGCAGGTTCTTGCTTAACCTGCCGAACACTTCCAGGGCAAGCTGCATGTCAGGATAATTTCGACCCGGAACTACGGAACGCGTTCTCCCGTGAATTAAGTCTTTATTCGCCGGCCACATGTTCGCATACATGTGACTAATTGCACTCCGGCGTATGCTAATGTACATTTCGCATTATAATACTATCCGCGTGTGTCGATGTACGTCTTCCGTGGGTAAAAAAAACCGTTCTCGCGAGAGTACAACATCGTACGCGGTACTTGAGGGTCTACGATAACTTTATGCAACATGCGAGGAGGACTAGTATCCATGGCTCGGAGGAATAAAGCGGAAACCGCACTCCTCTCGCGGACAAAAAACGTCCTTTTTGCTGGGAGAGGTCGAGAAGGAGACGGTTCTCTTTTTTGCCGGACATATACGTATTTATTATTCGACGAGCCGACTCGACTGGGCGGTTCCTCGAGGGACAGCTTAAGCCTACTTCACATCTCGCGTCTACGTTCTTAAGTTTACGGTGGGCCGCCATCTTGGAAATCGCGCGGCGTCTCCAAACACTTTAGAGTGTAATTTCCTTATAAAACACTCGAGGCGGAATCAAGAAACAAGTGCCATTAAGTGTGCACATTATAGCGTCACATTTATACAACTTTTGGATGTTCCGTACCCTGGTGGACACGAACGTCTTTTCTTCATACATCGGAGAAGCGTTCGTGGGTATTCTTATATTTGGAGAAATTTTAAGAGACCGAGTATCCGTCAGGTAGTTAATGTTTAATTCTTTTAGGCGTCCCTGAGTAATTTTCGCGCGCTGGCGATCCGCCATCTTGGAATTCACCCGAGCGTTCCCGAACCCTCGAATATACAATCCCTAATAAAATACTGAAACAAACTGGGTACAGAAGTGCGATTCGATGCGCGTATCGTGGCGAGGCATTCTTACAGCCTTTACGTGAGCTGTAGATCCACGATAAACGCCCATTGACTATGTAGCTAAATAAGAAGAGGTGCGCACGTGGTCCGATTCGACAATCACCCACACCAAACGTACGTGATAAGGTTACTGGAATTATCAACTCTACGCGTTGGAGGGTAAAAGTGTATTAACATTCCTCTTCTTTGATTTTTCCTGTAGGACAAATCGAGATTTATAAATTGCAATAAGTCATTGCGCGATTACGTATTACATGTCGCCAGATTCTCGTCCGCGGAACAAGCTGAAGAGGACACTAAAATATGAGCAACATGGTCTCCATGTACCTTTTTCAACGTGTCGGTAAATGTTCCTTGACTCCAATTTATCGTATAATTAACATCTTTACTTTAAATTAATGGACGGTGATTACCCCTACCTTTCTCTCGCTTTCTCGGAATATTCGCAGTTCTAGTGTTCTTGTTCAGTTTCTCCAATTTTATCTCATTTACGATCTCACATTTTGTCGGGCAGCAGGGTCGTATAAATATTTTTGGGACTCGCTACATATTTGCATAGCGTTTACGCAGTAAATCAATCATTTAACTGTCGGGCATTGTAAACAACACCGTTTGCACGGTATAATTTACCGGACCCTTTTCCCTGCCGTGATTTATGCCGCGCGGCAAGAAAATAAAAAAGATAGCCGTAATAAGGGCAAGTTAATGACAAGTCGAAAGTTTTCCCTAATAAAATCGAGCACGCAATTTTCGAAGCCCCGTGTCCTGGTGAAGTTGTTAAATAACTTCCTTACTAGGAGGTTCGTAAAGAATTACTAAGCTCTCGATACATCGACTAGCCTCCTTCTCTTCTCGTTAACGAGACTTTAGTGGAGGACGCCAGCTTAATGAACGCCACCGCGATTTCGAAAAATGCCGCGATTACGACAATAGGTTTACGACGCCGGCCACAAGTAACGGTTGCAGCAATAATTCCATCGGAGTGCGAGGGTAAAAACTTAGGTATTACAAGCGCGTATAAAATATTCACTGGTTCTTGGGTGAGCTTGGAATACAATCTTGTCGGTCGATGGCAACCGGTTGCCGACGCTTTTGTGAGCGGCGCTTAATGCAAGCATATACAGCATGCAAAATGCATCGGTGTAAATGTCAGGGTCAACCGCGACGTAGCGAGCTCTCGGACAAATATCAATTAAATGCCAATGGCTCTTGTCGACTTATTTATAACGGCTCGTACCTGTGAGTTTTGCCGCTTAATCATGCCGCGTCGTCCGCAAGTATGTAACCCTCGATTTAAGGGGACGCGAAAGGTCGATCGTTCGTCAAACTTTTCTCCGAACTGGGAAGAAACGTTTCGGTACCCCCGGTTCGGAGAAAAGTTTCATAAACGAGACCTATTCGACGCCACTTTCACATCACCTTAATTCGATGAGCCCGAGCGAGGCGTTTCGAAATCCGCCGACAATTTGCATTTGCAATTTCACTCCGAGTGCTTCGGGGATTTTAGGGCTTTCGAAACGAGAAGCCGATCCGATTAAATCGCGATTCGCAGTCGATGCCGGACGTTTTCAAGATTTAAGGAGTTTCGAAATCTGCCGACCGGTTGCAACTTACCGAAGAGGCCCGACATTTAGATGATTTCGAAAGTTAACGGACAACCCTGTTCGCTCTCTCGATTAAACTGCAGTTAAATAACGCTCTTGGGGATAAGGATTAAAAGTACCAACGAAATACGCGAGAGCTTTGGGAATTATTCAAGTGGAGATTTTCTTCGTCATTTTTTTTCCTTGGAGACGCATATACGCCCGTCGCCTAATTACCTCGAAGTGTTGCGATCGTCGCAAAATAATTACATTTCTCGTTTACACGCGGATCTAATTAATGGCCGCGTTCGTTACTTATTCGTAAATGAAATCTCTGCCGGGTCCGCGTGGGGTCATCAGGACGGCGACAAACGCTTTTATTGCCCTCCGAGCAGACGCAGAAAATTCGCGACCTCGGTTTGCTGGCTCGCGTATGCGATGTTTGCGAAACCACTTAAAAGCTTTACATCTCGACTGTTAACCGAGAGTTCAGTAGCCGTTCAGTAGCCGTTCAGTAGCCGTTCCGCATGCAGAAAATGTATACGCTCACCTTTATATAGGCATGCGAAAAGAGCAATGAGGACTCGTTAACGAATTCGCATAGCTATAAAGTTATTTGTCGCAATCCGAGTAACCCTGCAGCGAAGTATTATTCCGAGTGATATTCCAGAGATTAGGGCGAAAGGGTGAGAAAACGCGCGATATGTATTTTTAAGAGGGGAGGGCGCAGAAATATTCGGAATAGCGATTTCTCCCCGCGTAATCGATGACTTCTTAAGGAATTTCGGCGTAGGATGCCGAATGCTCATATCCCCGGTATGCATTTGCTCTTCGAAGCTCATCCCCGGTTTTCGAGTCTAGCTTTTAATCGGCGATATTCCGCATTCCCATCGAGCGACTCTCGCGTCAAAGATGGCGGCGTCTACGATAATTTATTAACTAGTCCAACGAGTCGAACCTGTTGGCCTCTTAGGCGGCTCGAGATGCCAGAAGGATCTGCTCGTAGGAGGAAACTCCACGAATTTCTTACCTCTGAGTAAGCCCCCCTTTGCCGGTCGCCATGACGCGCCAAAAGTGGCTGCGAATGTCGGTCTCACGCTCGAAACCCTTCGCGAAATGTCTACGAGAATGCGGACAACGTTCTTTCTTTGTTGGCTCGTCCGGAACTCAATTTTGCGACAAAGATTGCATTTCGTTTATACTACCTCCATTTTGTCAATACATGTATACCCTTTTTCATTACGACCCCTTTGATGACGTATCATTACGGTAAAAAATAAGTAATCCGACCCAAATGTCCACAATCGGCCAGTTTTCTTTAAAAGTAAAATGACCCCAGGGGATGGAGGAGCAAAGGTAGGGGGGAGAAAAAGAGACGAAGGGAACCGGCGGAAGATTACAATGATTCCGCGGTCGAAATTACCGCCATTAAAAAATAATACGTTGCATAATGTGCCCGCGCTGTAACAACGATGGCTATAATAGGGTCTTTATCCCTTTGCGGTTATTGAGTTTTTGACGTTGGGGTCAAGGTTCGTCACCCAACTTGGTAGCGTAAGCTGTTGCATTTAGAATCACGCGTCCGCAACTAGGGCGAGGCAAAGATAGTCCTGCTTCTCTGGGTCTATCCTTTTTTTTACTTACATGAATATGCATATATACGCACTGACCACAGGCATAATTAATGACAGCGCACAGTGCGCTAACGACCGCATCAATATAATGTGCGCGACCGCTCGTTAAACTTTAACTGGCTGCGTCATTTGGCGGCCCTATCTCGGGAATCTTAACTGCACTCTGCGCTTGCTTCCTTTTTCGAGTTAAGCTCGTATTGGATAGTCTCCTTAAACCAGAGGACCCTTCGACCCCGAACTGTCTCGTCTTGCCCGATCGGTCGACTGAGACTTTCGTGCGCACTTTCCGTCCTAAATGGCGCAACGTTACGCCGGATCGTTCGAGGCAATTTCATTCGGACGGTAATTAAATAGAAATATGCGACGACATTTAAAACCGAGTCCACCTCGGATTATTGAAATCGGGTCGACCGGTTCTCTGCAAATGAGTTACCGAAGCGCAGTCGCGGTCTCGAAAATGGATTTTAAAATCTTCGTTTCTATTCATTTCTGAGACAAAATGGTGTTCGAAATGCCTGTTTAACGTTTAGAACTCTACGGCCACCATGTTGGCCGTCGCGGTTCAATGTCGAAAGTTTCGAATTCAGATCGCGACGGCGCGGCGGCGCTGCGGAACGGTTGCCCGCGCATGCGTACCGAGGCCTTCGCGGACGAGGGTGGGGCCTGCGCGCGCGTCCACGCACGCATCGCGCGCGTATCCATGCAAATCGTACGCACATGAACAACGGGAGAAGGCAGCGGTCCCATGGACGTAAGATATACGAACCCCGTAAACCCAACCAATCCCTCGATATTCTTGCGAAACGAACAAAAAGGAACGGAGAGGCTACCTTTCTCTCTTTCTCCTGCCGATGACAGGCAGTCGCCATATTTCGTTGCGCAACTATTTCACGTAAAAAAATAAAGAGAGAGAGAAAGAACGAGAAAACAGCCTCTTTGTTTTCAGCCTTCCGGCTCTGCCATCTTCGTGGTCGAATTACCCGGAAAAAAAGTGTCTTATTCGAATCGACCGACTTGAGGTTTCACTCACCTTAAAACCGAAGAGAGCGATGGAGCAACCCCTGTTGCCTTTCTCTTCGTTCTGCCGTCTTCGTGGCCTGATCGGTGTCCGGGGTCTACCCATCCTACGTCCATGGACGGTCCGGCGGGCGGTCAGCGACTAGCGGTGCGCAGGTGTGCGCAGGTGTGCGCAGGTGTGCGCAGGTGTGCGCAGGTGTGCGCAGGTGTGCGAGAACGTGAGGTTATGACGCTTGGCGGCGCGTGGGTATCGGTGCGCATGTGGACGCGTGTGCGTGCGCGGGCCATCGGCACGCCGCGCGCAGGTATGCCGTTACCGGCGTTCTTCCTCGCGGCCCGCCGCGCAGTTAACCTCGGCGCGTCGCACGTGACATGCGCGGTGCCGCGGTCGGCCTGTGCGCGCAGGTCGGGCCCGACCGCCGACGGAAAGGTCCCCGACGAACTGCTACGGATCTCGACGGATCCCGACAACCCCGACGAATCCCAACCAATCCCGACGGACCGTCAACGTGATTCGCTGTAGTGACGGAGACTTCCCTCCATATCGATCGACGATCGAGCTTCGAGAGTGGAACGACGTCGATGGATGTTCATCGACCGACAGGAAAATTTCTTTTCGTCTTTGGCGTGTCTCCTGGCTTTTTAGGATTGAGTCACGTGTCAAATATCGGAGGAGAGGACCGCGAATGCCACGCCGAGAGGATACTCACTCAGGAAATCATGCGGAAATCAGGTGGAAATCGACTTTTTTCTACAAGGTAACAATGATTTCTTCCGTGCGTTTATGTGTGGTTAAATGGCAATGGCGGGAACGGGAACTCAACTCGGTGTAATGGACTTTCCACTTGCGTGTTTGTTGACAGAAAATCGTAGTACAGGTTTTCTTTGCACGAGACGCAAGTACCGGCTTGGCTTTAGTCGTACAAGTGTCGAGCATTAGGTAATTGGAAAGTGCGCATTGCCAACACGAGGGTCGACGCACGTAACGTTGCGGTAAACATGGATTTATTTTTTTGGTTCGCGTTCATATTCGTTAAAATAAACAATCCTGAATGTTCTCGTAATAATGCATCAATGATTAGGCTTATAAATAAACGTAAAGATGAAAGAGCGGAGAGGGAAGGAGCGAAAGCGTGCGGCGTGCGGCGTGCGGCGTGCGGCGTGCGGCGTGCGGTCGTTGAAGTCTCCTCGTTTACGGCAGTCAGTCGCGCGGTTAAATTCTGCACGGTCGCAATTTTCTGGAGCACGTGGTCCGCTCTATTATACCCAAGTATGTATTTTCGCAATCGAGGACGCCATTAAATTTCTTTAATGACTTCTGAATTATACATTGATTTTATAAAAAAATACATATATACGACGGGAAAAGGCAGGAGAAAGAAGCCACTTTCTCGACCAGGAAGTGTCAACTGCGCGTGAAATTGGTGAAATTTCCCACGAATGGGAGTTTTGATTCGTATTATACTTAACGAGTGCAGTGATGGATGTAATGAGAACCGATTGTTTAAACTAATGGATATGGAAGCGGAACGAACTAAACGGAAAGCAGTGGCTATAGCGAAAGCTCATTTAAAAAAGAAATCCAGGAATTATGACGAAAGTGAGTTCTACTTGCCGGCATTGAAGTCTCCCGGCTTGAATCATTCGATTTATATGAGAATATGTAGATTAAGTGCTCCAACCCGCGCGATAGAAACGTAAGTAAATTACATATCCGAGCAGTAAATGCAAAAGAGAAGTAAATACAAGCAGCTGCAAGGAGGGAATATTCTGTCGCGCGCGGGCATTAAAGTCTCCCAACCTGAATCACTCAATTTGCGTTCGCTTGCATAGATGAAACGTTCAGCCATGTAAATGCAGGCTTGAGGTTTTCAAACAACACAAATGTACTGCTCGTTGTTCATTTAGACACTCGGATGTGCAGAAACGAGCACAGACAATACGTGCACGGTGCTTGCGTCAACGCGGCGTTTTTACATTCTATCATGCAACGATGTTAAAAATCTCTAAATATAGAGTTAAATGTATACTATCGCCCACAGGGTTGTTTATTGTCGCCAAGAATGAATAATGCCACGAATATACTGTGGAGAAATAATAATTTGTCGTCCATACGGCGAAAGCATCTTGCTGACATTTTCTGCTGGTCCATGTTCAAGTCTGCAAATTTTCCAGAGCGAGTAGAATTTTTGCAACTTGAATTTAAATTACTTTCCTACGTGCAGTGTTCTCTGATTCGGTACACGTAAATGATTAGAGACAACCTTAACCTCCTTTATTCGCTCAACGGATTCGAGTTAGCGGAATGCGACGTGGAAGCCATGTCTAATTTCGGAGTACGCTTATCAATTGCACGATACATCCAAAGGGGTGCGTTTGAATTGCAAATGGCGTCCTCGCGACGACTTGTCATCGATTCGATTTTTGAGCTAATCGGTTTGGATGGGGCCGGCTGGCGATAAAAAGAAAATGTCAGCTCGATCGCGCGTGCCCACGCAGGTACGCGTGTGAACGTGCGTCCTGAATTCCACATGAGTTTAGTGGAGAAAGCAAGTATCCGGTACCGAAGTTCGAGTGCGCTCGCGAACCGTGCACGGTGTCTTATCACGTTTCGACCGCTACTTTTTATATCGCGTTTCGATCGTTCGACCGACTCTGACCTCAAAGATAAAGTCCCATTTTGTCAACGGGGTCGTTAAAATACGTTATCATTAATTGGACATTAAATGCAAAATGAACGAAGAATCTGGTCCGTACAAACGCGTTCTCCAAGATGGCGACGCCATTTCAAGGCCATCGCGTTACTTTTCCTTTTCTATCGGGCGAAGTCTAAAATAAAGGTGAAAAAGAGAAAGCCTCGGATAGCATCCACTTTATCGGGCCGTCTCTTGGCCGGGAATCAAAAGAAAAGGATCGAACTCGTCCGTATGAACATGTTCTCGTAAGTAAAGTGGCACTTTTACGAGGCCTCTTCTCTCTTCGGCGGCATACTGCGCGTGACTGTCTCTCTCCCTCCCGTGGAAATTTAACGACGAGTATTCATCCCGAGCGCGTCCGCCATTATCCGCTCTGCCATTGATGCCGGACTCATGAATATTTAAAAGAACCACCGCCGACCTCCAGAATTGACTCGCTACGCCCTAATTGACAATAAGAAGCCCGTGAATAAACGAGATGCATGCCATCGGTAAAACCTAAATTAAGGTTTTACATGTTCGTGGAAAAATCTAGCCGATCCGAGGTCGGTCGAGAGGAGAGGGAAGAAGGAGGCGCAGACCGGTTAAGTATTCGGTGTCGTTCGCAAATGCTTTTAAATATATTTGTCGCGAAACTCTACCGAGTTTCTTGAAATCACCTGAGATGAGAAAAAGCAAATACAAGAGATAAAGCAAAGGAGGAACCTTTACGTAAACAGCGATGTCCGGAAGTAAAAAAAAAAAGAAAAAGTGATACGCGAATTGGCATTGTTGTCACGAGGAGGAGCGAAAAAGAAGGCAGAAGGAAGGGGTTAGGGCCGGACGGCAACAAGAGCAATTAGGGCAAAGAGGGAGCGAGGGAAAATGGAGAAAATAAGTGAACAAGGTGCGAGACGGAAGAAAACCACGGGGGATGTAAAAGCGGGAATCAGAGCGAGACGGGAAGGGAGTCGAATAAACGAGAGGGGGAGCGCGCATGCGCGACGATTTGAATACCAAATGCGCGGACTCTTGTGCAATTCCTTCGGGTATCTCTTTCCCCTTTGCATCCTTACTCCCGGGTCCCTTCGACCTTTTGCCGTCTACCTGCGTGTCCGGAGTATTTTTAGGCGTGACACGATTTCTTTGTGCTGCGTCCCTGCCGTGGAAATAACTTCGCGCCCCGCCGCCGGGAAAGGAGCTCGTCTACTCTCCCGCCCCGGGATTCCTCCTTCTCGTTATTGGTCCATTCGTTGTTCCCCTCCGATGACAATATTCCTTCGGATGTAAGGGGTATAAGGGGTCTTTCCCATAAAATAGCTAATTCTGCCATCAAACATGCGGAAGGATCCGACGTTGACGCAAAACCAATGTTCTGCATCGTCTTCCAACACTTTCTTTCCGTTTCTTAACTCGCGTACGTATCTCATTCTCATCTCACTTCTTTGACAGCTCGGACGCGTGGAAGCGACGGTCTCATGGAATAATCCCTCGTGTTCTTTTTATTTTTTCAGCACACCCAAATTGCCAAATTGATCTTTGAAGGAACTTAACGATTTCCAAAGTCAAGCGACGGTAGCAGCCGGATGTAACCAGGGTCTTCTAGCGGTGACTTGATTTAGCCTCTCCTAGGCTTTGTCTGTACGCGGAGGACGGAGACATAGCCTAGAATAGGTTAGGTCAGGGCTCGTTCTCCACGATTGGCCCCGTGACCTGTCAATGACCCATCAAAGCCAGAGTCAAGTTCAAGTCTAAGAGTCGAGATCGCGAGCCCCCCTATTGGGCGCATCTTCGAAGTCCGTTTAGTTAAGGGGGTATTATAAGTCTAGAAGCTTGTTTTTTAGGTCATTTTTAGGAATTCATTTTGCGAAAACTATCGAACCTACAGTGAAAAAATAATTAATGTAATAAAGAAACTTATTGAACAATAATAATGAGTACGTTTAATTAGACGAACGTGTCTAACAAACCCTCCAATCGCCTATTCCTGATCCTTGAAAATCACACGTAGATCTAAGGCACGAAACTCGGTGCCACCTCCTTGGTTGTTCTATGATCCTGTTAGAAATCGGAAATTTCATCCCCTAAAATTTATGCCCGGGAGAGACTCGGTGCCACCTCCTCGGTTGTCCTATGATCCTGTTAGAAATCGGAAATTTAAGGCATACATTTTAGGGGTTGAAATTTTCGATTTGTAACAGGATCATAGGACAACCGAGGAGGTGGCACCGAGTCTCTCCCGGGCATAAATTTTAGGGGTTGAAATTTTCGATTTCTAACAGGATCATAGGATAACCGAGGAGGTGGCACCGAGTCTCTCCCGGGCAAAAATTTTAGGGGTTGAAATTTCCGACTTCTAACAGGATCATAGGACAACCGAGGAGGTGGCACCGAGTTTCGTGCCCTAGATCTACGAGTGATTTTCAAGGATCAGGAATAGGCGATTGGAGGGTTTGTTAGACATGCTCGTCTAATTAAATGTACTCATTATTATTGTTCAATAAGTTTCTTTATTACATTAATTATTTTACAGTTTATTATACATCGGGTACCGCAAGTACATAAGTTCTCGAGCTCGTTTTTTACATTACCACCTCCAGGCTGCGCCATGTACACGAGGAAGCCATTCATGACCCCCAGTGCACAAGCTTATCTGCAAAATGTCCGACGTTAAACATTTAAAGCGTTGTGTTCGAATGTAATTAATACTTTGGCAAGGTACAACTTGATTTACTCTAAATAACTTTGTAATAAGTAATATCTGTAAGTGAGCAATTAAGTACGTGGATACGCAGAGAAATATTATGTATGCAATGAATAATAAATCATTTATATCGTGTGACTTGTTACGTGAAAAATCTCATCGAAGGATGTGGAGTCCATCAACAATGTCACGGTGAAGCGCATCTATAAAAGCAAGTATTATGTGCTCCCGTAGTATAAAAATTGCATTTATCTATTTTCCTTCGCATTTATTCAATGTGGAACTAGAATTTCTACCAATGTATACAAGTGGCTCCATCTCCCGCACCTACGGCTATACTGAGAAACACAGTTACACAACAGAAAATTACCGACCGCTGATCGTTCCACAAATCCCTAAAACTTGAAACGTAGAGAGAACTTTAGCATCCATCTTACGTTCTGTCGCATAGGCTACATCTCCATTGTACTTGAAATCCGGGATTTATCATGTCCAAACTCAGGTTCACGTAAAGTGACGTGAATAATTAAACGGTGTCAACAAGTGACGCTTTTTACACCTGGATGTCCTAGTTTTTATATTAATAATATGAGATGGCTACACAAATGCGAATCGATCATTTTTTCAAATCGGCTCGCGGCGGTAATACTAATTGTGCCGGAAAGCTAACCAATCCTGGTCACTCCGCAAATGTGTCTCCGAAGGGAAAAAGTAAATTATCCCTTAAAAGAGTAAGTCTTCACCCTTGAACATTCTTTGCATATTTAAAGTATAAATCTACTTTAGTAGTAAACACATAAAATTTTCATTTTGATTGACAAATAAATTGAATCGTTTCAAATTCCAGTCGATGTCGACATTGACTTCGACAACTGGGAATAATAAAAGAAAGTCAAATAATCAAGCTTTGACTAAATCATCCACCATGCCAGTGTCACGGAAGATCAGTCAGTCGAAAAGTGATTCCTCGAGATTAGAATGTTCAATTTTACACGTGCATGCAAATTACTCAATGGTCCCTGACACTCCATCGAAAGCGAGCCCTTCAAGTAATAAACGAAAAGCTTCCCCTACCAGTATCGGTAACTCTCCAAAGAAGACACCGTCGAAGATCGTAAGAATAGTCTCTCACAGACAGAATGGTCCTTACAGTCCTAGAAAACTGTTTTCTGAGAGGATAGACGTTGACGCAACCATGCAGGCTATAGAGAACATTAATCTCACCAAGCAAGGTGCGATACGTCCAAATAATTTCAACTTAGCAGAGGTTTATTCCAAGCCAGACTTTGATGTGGTTTACAGTCGTCCTAATAATGATACATCGATAAGGTACATTGTAATATTTAATATATGCATGAAGATTCAGTTAAAATGTTCAAAAAGGATCATTCTACATGACCCTTTAACACGTGTTCTTTGTGATGTGTCTTGCAGCAAATTCTAAATCCTGTTTCCCCTTCAACGATACAGGTACGATTGGAAGGACCTCATCACTCCGAAGGAGAAACATGCGGACAACCTTTTCATGATTCTAGTCGAAGTTTTCACAAATCCTCTGAACTGTGGATATTTTAACGATGCAGAACTAGACACAGCTGTTTCAATCATGTCTTTAAGTGCCAAGGCACAAATGTTGCTAGCTAGAATGTTGAAAAGGAAACTCTGCTGGCACAGAGTTGGACTCCTGTCATACCCTGAAGTGGCCAATAACTTGGAACCATTCTTCGCAGAGTTGATTGAGAAGAAGTTCTGTGACTCGTGTATGTGCAATTTTTGTTTTCAAATTGTAAACCATCCGAGAAATTTAAAAATGAACTAATAAGGTATTGATATGTCAAGAATATCTAAATTTCAGGTCTCGACAAAGAGGATATTTCCATACTATTACAGCTACTTCAAGTCGACGAGATACGAAAAGTTTGTCAGAAATTTAAAGTGGATCACCGAGGCAATAAGCCAAAGCTTGTATCCGAATTACTTAAAATATACAATACAAGAAAGTCATTGTTCCCTGGGGCGACAACTCCTAGTGATGCTCTTCGTTCGATGATAGTCTCCGCAGTGGGCCTTTGTATAAGAATCTCAGAAAATTTTCTAAGTCTTATTCAGAGAGTCGTTGTACTCTTGATTCCAATGCAGGATCCAAAGGAGAAACTTTCCGATACCTTCTTAATGTTAACGAATGTCCTGCGAGGGGATATCATTTATCCAACAATGCCAAAGGAACGTTACCCCATTTTCGAGAGCAGAGAACACCTGATACGGTATGTGCACTTTGTTATTCAAATTTTGACACTTTATTGGTACTCGAAAAACTGCGTAAAAACCTGTGCCATTAACGTAGAGTCTAATTTTTCAACAATCGATCTATAACTTACAAATAAAGACACAATTGACCGCGAGCATTTGGTTTATTTTCCTAAAAAAAGAGGCAGGATTTCACAGTCTGTGGACATCGACAGCTTGTAGACAATAAACAAGAAATTAAACATGATAGAAAGGTAGTTTGCGCAACTCCTAACTTTATACACTTTTATTAACAGTTACGTAGAGGGAAGGAACGCTCTGTCAAAGTATTACGAAGCTGATGAGAACAAAGATTGGGAAACAGTCCGATCACTTGGAAGACTGGCCTACAACACTTTAGCATCCATCCTCAAAGACGAGCAACCACGGTGAGTCTATTTCGATCACCTCGTGGATAACAGTATTTTTGATCCAAGGCAAGTAGTTGAAGACTCCTGGTTTGACAAAAAAAAAAAAATCCTTGCAAAACTCAACCGAAGCAGATCCACAAAGTTTCCCAAGTTATTATCGATGTCAGCGTAGCACTTCTCCCAGGTTTGAACTCTAAAGTCAGAACTGTCGATTCACCGAAAGTATCCTAACCATATCACTCGATGACAACGTTCCCCCTCGATACATTCAAAGAAACCATGTCTGCAACGTCAAGGCAAAAATCACCACTCATGGTGATTCATTCTGTCCAAGTTCCTGATTAAAATCAACACTCGAACAGAGCCTGCAAATATGGTTTCCATCGGGTACCCCGAAGCCAACGATACCATAAATCCAGTCGTTCAATCAGTAGGCTCTTCTTTAATATCCTGAGGATAGGGTCCCCTTACCTTGAAGGCCACCTGGCCCATTCCGAAGAACAGCTTATGGTCTCGCTGCTGAATAACCGCGAGTGCCTTCTGGTCCATCGCAAAGAGCATTTGGAAACCCGAGTTCTGTTGAATTGCACTCTCCAGGACGATCCACTTGCTGGTATCCACGTCTTCGTTCTGACTCCTGAGCAGTTGCAACACCTTGGCAGCTTCGATACAGGGCCCAGGAATGCAGACCGCGACCTTTTTGTACATGGGGAAGTCCTTCATGTCCACGGCCTCTAGGGCGACGTCCTGCCAAGGCCTCATCCCCGGGATCTTGGTCTTCAACCACTCCGCAGACTTCCTGTCGGCGCACTCGACAACGACGCTTCCCCTCTCCAGCTCGGCCTTGACGAACCTGGGGAAGAAGGCATCCCCAGGGAGCTCCGCAAGAGCCGCCACGACATTGGCTTGGATATGGTCCAGCTGTTCCAGAGTCAAGTGCACCATCGGATAGCTGACATGGAAAATGGCCACCACGGGCGGCTCCTCGGGCTCCTTCTCGACCTCCTTCTCGACCTCCTGCACCCTCTTCCTCTTCTTCGGGGATGGCGTCCCGCCCGGCTGACCTCCGGCCACCGGACGATCGATGTCGCTCCTCGACCTGGTCTCGTCGAGCTGGTTCACCGATAGATTCTCAAAACTCGTCGGGGCGGAACTGCGAACCGGTGTTTGGCGTTTCTTCTGCTTGTTGGGTCGGTTGTACTCGTAGTATGGCTCGCTGTTGTAGCCGTATCCGTTCGCCTGTGTCCACGGTTTCTTGGTGTCCTTGAAAGCCTTCTTCGCCTGCTTCTTCTGCCTCTTCGTCAGGGCGTTCGCGTTGTCTTTCGCTGGTGGCGCCCATCGAGTTGGCTCCCCCTCGCTGTTTGGATAATTCGGCGGCCCAAAGGACCGCATGCTCGGGTCTATCTTGTACCCCACGTCTCCTCCGTAATTCGTTTGGTTTGTCTGGTTTTCCATTCTGGTTCCCACGAGTATTGGGGAATGGGTCGTCCGCCCCCGCAGAGCCCCTTACGGGGGTAAGGCGTTTTCTACTCCTGGAATTCCGCCCGGTTTTCCAGAGACACCGTTTGAGATACCAATTCTCTGATACCATCCAGCCTTCGGCACGGTCGTTAAACACCTTGGCTTGAGCTGGCTGTTGCGAGCACCGTTCCTTATCACTCTCAATATTTTCAGTCTACGCTGGAGACACGTGTTGAAAAGATTTTAAGTATAAGTAATGTCGAAAGAAGAGGGGTTTAGATTTTGTAATTGACAGCAACGTGTTTGTCAAGGTATGATTGAGAGTAATAACGAATGGTACCCGGGCGATGGGAGCGCCACTTTCCCTACGCCAACCCTGCATTCCATTGAATATTAAATACTAGTCCCTCAATTGGACAATTTCTTTTATTTGGAAATTAGGTTGAAATTGGGTTGAAAAGTCGAACTTTTCCAGTTACGATGGTGTGCCATCCCACGTGAAGAAATTCGTTCCGGAACATGTCTGGGCGAAAGTCTTGTCGAAGAGCCTGGTGGCTTTCAAGAAAGATGCTGAAAATATATCGGAAGCTGTAAAGTATCTGGAGCTGCTGTTAAACCAAGATCACATGCAGCATTATCGTGGCAAGTGGTACGGAGAATTTGCTCTCATTGAGATGCACTACAGGAAGAACTTGGAAGCGAGTGCTGTGTTGACGGTGAACGCCCTTAAACAGGAAGACCTCACCGACGTCGACGTTTTCGAGATGCTCGACAGAGCGAGAAAGCTGACGAGGAGAGCCAAAGGCATCAAGTCCCAGACGAAGGAGCTGGTCCATTCGATTTCGCAGGAGATCGCTCAGCGATTTTCCGAATTTGCACCGACGAGTATTACCATAACAGCCACCATGGTACGCGGGTAAGTCCAAGAGAAGAGGGTGACGTTCTCTAAACTTTTTTTTAACCTTAGGCAGACCCAGTTAGGAGTTTTATAATTGACTAACCCTTCGCATGTCATTTTCATGCCACCTTAACTTGCGAATTATATATTTTGATTATAGAAACCTTAGTGGAACGAAGAGCACCTGGGAGGTAGACATCGGGGGCCAGGGAAAAGGATACATGAACGTGGAGACCCGAGCACTGCATCACTATTACAACGAAGGCTTCCCCTATGGACTGCACTGCGAAGGGGCTCTTCCTGCATTGTTTTTCACTGTCTTGTTCTGGGAAGAATTGTACGGCTATTTTGTTCCTGGAGCCTTCGTGTCCTGTTACCAGACTGCTCCGTTGGACCTGTACACCGTGGACTTTTATGAGAACCGGAAGGGTGCCATCGATGAGAAGCTTCGGATCCTTCGGTCCTTGGATGTGGAGAGTCTTAGTGACACGATGGTCATTAGTTACCTTAAGTACAGACAATATGAGTCACTCATGCCAAATAATCTCTTCAAGAACGAATACGATTTTAAGGTACTCTTAGATTTTATCGCTCGAATTTGCAAAATGGGAATTTTCTATCAATACATAAATAATTCTTATACATTGTTTGAAACATAAGAATTTACTTGAAAATCTTTTCAGGAAGTAATCGCATGCCTTGGAACCAACGGTGTAATTGGAATCTGCGAAAGGATGCTCAGTAATTTCAATCTCTGGAAAGCTGGCTTTCCAGATCTTATCGTGTGGAATCCACTCACTACGGAAGTAAGTGATAACGATTTATAATCATTTTCATTAGATTAATAACAGCCATGTTAGAAATTATCACCACTAAACTTCTGTAAACATGACGAACCTTTTCCATTGAATTCCTCATTTTTTAATTTGCAGTGTAAAATTGTCGAAGTCAAAGGTCCCGGTGATTCATTGTCGACTAAACAAAAGCTTTGGCTTCAGTATTTGCAACGCATCGGAATCTGCACGGAAGTGTGTATAGTTGAAGGTAATCCCTTTATTTATCCAGTGAAAGATCTCGCTACAATGATTATTCCTAAAAATATAATTTACTATGAACTTGAAAACGAGTCCTAAAACAGTACATTTGTATTCTGTTCGTCAGTATTATTCCAACAAACAGATATTTATCCTTCCAATATATTAAACTCTTTATACCTTTATACATATAAACAAAAGTTTTATAATAACGAATATATATAGAAAGCTTTCATTTTTATGATTACATGGAAAATTCAAATTATTAATGTTTATATAATAAACATAGCATACCGGCTGTATTACTTACATCTAGTACGCTTGGCATCAAAGTCGTTACTCTAATACTCTTACAAACAAACTTTTTTGTTTTTATCTCTTGTAATTGTTATGGTGCTAAAGCTTCCGGTACTGTAATTGTACAAGGCCCTTGGAAATGATATCTGCAAAATAGGGATTATCGAAGTTCTAAATGTTGGAAAATAAATTACAAGCATAAAACATGGTTCAATAATAAATAGCATGATTGAAATAGATTTAAGAAAGTAGCTTATACCGTAAAGTTTAGTTTAAAGTCATGAAACTTCCTTATACATGTGATATATTATTTAATTAATAATTAAAAACTTATTTGAATCTTTTCAGCAAAAGGTCACGCAAGGAAATGCTGAAGAAAAGTGTATAAACTTGGAAATTACATGGCTGCATATTTTACAATGCAATGTATAGAATTTGTTCCTCATACATTTTACACTTGTAACGATTGCTTGTATCGGAATGATATTCAAAGTGTTATTTAACATATAAGCATTTAGAGTGCGATCTACATATATTACAGAGTTAAACATTTTTTACTACACGACATTCCCATTACTCAGTATTTCAATTTCTTACTTTTGTATAAACAAATACGATACATTGCGGTACTTTGTATATAACAACTAAGTAACTGATAATTAAGACTGTTAAGTAACAAATCTTATTTTTTGGTTCTACCATTGACTGTGTGAATAGATTAATTATAATAAAAGCAATATTCTATGCAGCTACAAACAATACAACTGATACAGACAATGCATGAGAAGAGAAATAAGTCATAATATATTTTCTATTAGTTCCATTATATTTTCCAACACTTACTGGAACTGCCTCGTCGCTGGAGTGGTTTCTAAGTTGAACTCTGCAACTGGTATACCACGAGTGGCAACTTGTGGTGCAAACATTGCAGCTGGATAGACAATTGATGAAGTTCCCACGATTAAACAGGCATCGCAAGAATCTATGGCTTCTTCTAAACCAGAGAACATTTTATAACAATATGATGCAAGAACAGTGAAGCTTTAAATTTGTCATTTATGATTCACCCAAAAAATATTTTTAATTCACTAGGTTTAACAATATATTTGCTACACTGCTGCTGTTCAGAAATTCCAAGGAAATCCCATGTAATGTATTATAAATTGCTTACATTGCGCAATTGAATGATTAAATAAAATAAATTTAAACGAGTACAAAGGTGATTTACTTACGGGCTTGATCGAGTATACTTTGATCGAGATTTTCTCCGAACCATACTATGTGTGGCCTTAACAACCCTCGACATCCCTCATGTTCACATTTTGGCAAATCCTCTTTTGGGATGCTGGGTGGTTTCTCTTTAAAATTGCAGTCCCTTTTTGTACAATTTTCAGAATAAGTATTCTAAGACTGCCATTTATGGTCTCATCGCTTTGTTCCAGATTATAAATGAAATACTTTATATATTTTGACATTACCCTGAAAGAGCCAAAGCAGGACAAATTGGCACGGTTTCATTAACTAGAACCTCTTTGCACTTGGTACAACGTGTTTTGTACAAGTTGCCATGCAGTTCCAAAACATTTTTGCTGCCCGCTTTTTGATGCAGCCCGTCTACATTTTGAGTCAATACCGTAATTTTTTTCCCTTCCCTTAGAAAGCGATCCTCAAAAGCAGCGAGGGCTTCGTGAGCCTGTTGATGAAATAATTAGTTCTAATAGTATATAACAATTACAACAAAACCTTCTGTAATTTATCTTTAAATCAGAACTTCGATTCCATTCCCACCTTCGTTCATTGGTTGAAACCCTTCCAACGATAAATATCACAGTGCATAAAACATGCACATTCATTCTTTTTAACAAATAAAATTACATTTCAAGTGTTACTTTCATCACAATCGCTGAGTGTCGGACTACTTGAAAATTAACCGGCCACTTTCACGTAACCTCTCACCGGTTTTGAAGGAGTAAAAAGTGAGCTTACCTTGTTGGGCTTAACCTTGCTAACCAAATCTCGGCGATACTCGTAAAATTGCCATACCAAGGATGGATTCGCGGCGAAGGCTTCGGGGGTGGCCAAACTCTCCGCGCGGTAAGTGCGCCATAACCCCTCAGCACCGCGAAACGTCGGCACGCCGGATTCCGCGGAGACTCCACTGCCAGTTAGAATAAGAACATTCCTGGCACTGAACAAAGTCTCGCGAAAGGACCGCATAACGTTCATCATTACTCCGAATAATTACCACATGAATTGTCCTTTCATTCAAGAAACCACAAGAAATATCCCAACACTTCCCAACGTGGACTCATTATACCGAACATAACCTCCCTCCTCGGCCGTTGGAATAATCAAAGATGACGCGCACCGTGGCGTTGCTTGGCTTGAATTGCTTCAGACTGCTCGCACTCGCGCGACACCCATGCGACTAGAGATCCCTTACCCTCTGTTACCCCTCAGTGGCGGCGCAACTCGTTTCTGCCTCTCTCTGCCCACGTCTCCCTCACCTCTGCTCTACGGCTCCATCGTATTGGGATGAAAGCGGAACCACGAAGTATGACACTCTATGAGAGGAATAGAGAACATAAAATAACGTTTCAAAATGGCGCTGCGGTCGAAAACGACTCATGCGTAAAAATACTAAATAGTCAAGTTAACAAAGGTAATTCTTGATTTAAAAGAAAGGATAAAGCGATACGAAATTGATTGCAAGTATTTTTTGTGAATAGATACCGGTATATCTCTTTCCGCTAGCATTATTATCTCGTGGATTGTGTGTTTTCGGAACGCACCGCGCACCCCCACAAGAGAAAAGGGAAACAAAACTGCGATACAAGATGGCCGCGTTTGGGTGTTTGTGGCTGTCGAGTCGGAAAGGATAAAGATTCGCGGCACTACGAGGATTCGGCCGCCCTTCGAGGCCTTCGACTCCGGGTCATTCGACTCGTGTCGACCCGAGGGAGGCAAAGATCGAGAGAAGCGTGTTCGCCGAAAGGGCGTGGGCGGAAAGGCACGCGAAAAGGATGCGAGTGCGTCGCTGAGGGACCTCCGAGGGGCTCGGGTAAGTTTATTGCATTTTCCAACGCGAAGACCAACTCCACGTAATTCGCTCCATTTATTCAAGATCGCGTCAGCGGTGCAATCATGTCGCGGTTAACCTTTTCCCTATCGAAATACCGAGATCATCTTTTTGAGGATTTATGTCATGCTCCACCTGGCACTTAACATGTATTTAACTGCTAACATCCTTTAACGTTTCCACCTGATTCTTGGAAACATCGGAGGCACAGTTGGTACCCTAGATTTGTGGTTTTTGCCTATTTGAAACACGGGTTCGATCTATCCTGATTTTTGACAATGTGACTCGATGCTGGGTATAGTACATTAGAAGGTACATCTTATCGCTAAGTCTCTGCAAGGTTCGTTGCAGTTTGGGTATATCGGATTGGACTTCCTTTGATATAAATATTTTCGTTTCAGGAGGAAAGAGGTTTGAAGGTAACTAAGGGTGTATATTGTAATGGATTAAATGATTCGGGCATATTTTTCATGACTCGGATTCGTTATATTATTTTTCTTCTATCGTAACGTTATCCGATTAGTCAAAGTATTAGGCGATCACTTTAGAAACTTATATAATGCTTTTATATGTTTAAATACTTGAATTCTTTAACTTTTAAATTTCACTTTGATTAAGTATTTGCATTCTTAAATGCAGTTACTCTACCGTTGATATGTACACTTCACAGTGCTACAGTCTTTTTCAAAGAGCAGATTGCTCATCTCGTTATCTTGACATTTTCGACAAAGCCATTGACGACCCATCCACTTAAAGATCTCCCCTTTTGTTTAAGCCGATGTGAGAGTGGCGTCAAAGAGTTCTCGTGCGTGAAACTTTAAACTTTCACGAGCATTGCGTTCTTCCTTACGGCCTCCACGATCACGCATTAAAGTTTCGAATAATTTGGTGCACCCAGTTTGGAGAAAAGTTTTATAAATATTTGAATGTTTCATATATATATAGAATGATCCTTTCATATCCCCGTAAAGATTCAAAGTATTGGCAACGCCTCTTGGTGTCATCATGCCAAAACAGTTTGACAGATCTCGTTGGCTCGTTGTAGGGGGACTCTGCGGAGGCATGTCGGAGAGAAGCCGCTTTAGAGGGAGGGCTTGCCGATGTGCCAGAGGTGTCGTCGGCGCCGGTAGCATGACCGGAGGTCCCAACTCGCCGACCTTGTAGGACTTTACCAAACGTGCAAGACCAAAGCTCCTCGAAACGCTGGAGAAAGACGACAGAGCTTCGGAGGAGGGGGAGATGTCAGCCGGGACCCAGGGCGAGATTCGGGTTGGTCCGTCGCACCAGGTTTGCCAACTTTCCTCAACCAAAAGAAAACAACAGTCTCCACTTGATACACTTTTGTCACATTGATTCGCCCCACGGTGTAAGATACTTAGGTGAGTCTGCGAGCCATCCCCCTTCCCCTCTTGCTGGGAAGTGCGATGTGTGTGTTGGCAGCCCTGGGCCAGCCGATTCGCCAAGCTTGTCGTGGTCCAAGTTTGGCAGCTCGCACGGGCCACCCTTGAACCGATAACGTTAAAGGCGCAGAAATGCGAGATTTTTATTGGCCACCGTGAGCTTACATTGGAAATTCCCCCTTTCCGATGTTTCTCTATAGCTAATCGGAACCCTCTCATTCGCTTTGTCGTAAAATTGTAATTCTTATAATTTCTCCATGAAAAAAAGCTTTCAAAAAATTACCGATGAGTTACCGGGAATTTCTCATCGTTCCTGATGTAACTTGCCGCGTTTAGATCTCTATGGATGGCTCTCCGTTGCTATTCCACACCCAGGTTAACCAATGCGGGCGCACCGTTTATACCGTCCAAAAGGAATGTTTAGTATAATTCATGATCGACAACGGTAAACGGTAAACTCACTTGCTACATACAAAGAATTCTGATCCATATGTGATTCCTCCTGTTAAAATTATGCCAGACTTGGATCATGGTCTGTTTTTTTTTTTTTTGTAATCGCTGGCAGCGCACGCATGAGTCTGTCACTATTTTGAGGTACTTTTCCTCGCTTGTCGCTAATCGAAGAAACGTCATCTTATGCTTGCATCTGTTACGTCCTTTTCATGGATCTGTTTCCTTTTGCGTGCTCTAGCGATCGGCTTATCATTTATCACGTGTAACTCCATCATTCGGAGACTGTGATTCAAAGCACTTTGATATCATTGTAACACCAAACGCTTTCCTTACACCCGGTGAGTGCTGACATTTGGACCAAAGAGTATGCAAAGTACCTCAATCTACTGACAGTGCTCGAGACCACCTATATTTTACACCATGATATTCATCCTTTTGTTTAAACTTTCAACTAGCCACTTCCCTGCTACTTAGGTCAACTGCACGGCGTACCTAACTCAAGGCTTGCTCCTCGAATTTATCCTCCGTAGAGAACCTCTACTTACTTGACATTCGACAGACTGTGTAACTGGTATTATCTGGTTGTGCCGAATTTTTCAGGGATTTAATGAGCAGCGTTGAATCCTGTTCAGCCTGACTCGAGTCCACCCGAAGCCTGGTTCTGGATACGTTTACGCTGTGATGGTAACTAGGAATGTCGGTGCGATGAATTATTCTATTTGGATCATGACATTATCGGTTGTTTAAGGCGACGTGAAAGTGACGTTGAAGAGGTCTCGTTTGTGAAACTTTTCTCCGAACTGGGTGTACCGATTCCTTTCAGATTTTACTGTGCAAAATACGAAGACCCTAAGGAAGGTCCCGACCCCCATGAAATTTCAATTTTTTAAAAATTTGTTTATAGACACTAATAATTTTTTATAGTGTCAGGACCTTCCTTATAGCCTCCGCATTCACGTTGTAAGGTTTGAAATAATTCGGTACTCCCAGTACAGAGAAAAATTTCATAAACGATTGATCCCTTGGATCCCATTTTCATATCACTTTAAGTTCTGGATCGTGTTATCGGTGTTTTTCGTTCTCTCTTCTTTTGTTTTCCTTTTTGAAACGAAGGAACCTCCTCGATGTCCCTGCTCCGGAGTTTCGTGTCCGATAGTTCGGTTCGAATTTGCTGGAGAGATCCTAGAAGTCCACGATTTCTCGTAATTTCTAGCAATGAACTCTCATGGATTTTACTTTCGGTTGCGAGCAACCTTATCCTCCGCTTTGTTATTCGGTCCTTAGCGGTGCACTTTCCCGTTTCTTTGAAAAATTCTACAGCGTTAACGATTTGTGTTTAGAGATTCGATTCTAGCTGTGGAGTATATGTCAAAATTTGTCGATTTTCCGTTCTTTTTGATTGAGTTAGCTGGCATCAAAGCAAGCTTGGAGATATATCAGTTGCTTTCGCTTCTTATCGCCTTTTCGCCTACACAAAGGTTTCCCACTCTTTCCCCATACAGGTTCCATTCAGGCAAAATTACTTCCTTCTTTCCTGTTTTTTTTTCTGTATAATATTTGTGAAAGCCAGCGAGTATTAAGACTCTTGGATTAATCTCAAATTTTACAACCTGCCAGCTTATTCTCTACTTTCTCAGTGTCTACAATTACATCCGATGAAAGTTATCAATTGATACATAGTTACTGTAAATCGTAAAGTAACATAAGGACGTCCCAGTTCGATTATAATAGTAATCCTGTATTTCGTTGTTAAGCTAGCCAGGAGTAACACTAGCGCCTCTTGCGGAAAAACTGAAACTAAATGTGTAATATAGTGTCACCATATTGCATGTCAAGCCAGAACAACATTTTCCCGCAAGGATCGCTTATGCTACCAATTGCTTGAAATCCATTCATGCCAGATCGCGTGACATTTAACCATACAGTACGCAACATCCTTACACAGACACGATGTACAGCTATCGGTACGGTAAATGTAGTAACGCTTGGAATGCAACGTCTATTTCTCTTCTCGCGGTTAGAAACGTGGTCCCGTCGAAGATGACCCAGGTCGTATCGAGTCCGAATCCCTGGTCAACTCTCGATATCGTAGCGTGAGGAGAGTTTAGGCGACGACGAGGCAAGCCTTTGGGGGTTAGGTCCGCCCTGCGCCGCCACGCGCGCCCCTAGCGGCGCCTCTACTAACTCGCTTCACGGCAGTGGTGCTAACCGCGCGCATTACCGGATTTTCGGTGTACAGGAGTTGGTTTCTTGCCAGGCCCGATTGCCTGACTATCGGCCGGGTATCCCGGCCGGCGAGCTGCTTCCCGATCCAGAGTTCTCGAAGGAGCGCGAGGAGCTAAGATGGGTGCCCGCGATGGCGCTGGACGGCGACCTCCTAATGTACCTCAGGGCCGCGAGGTCCATGGCCGCGTTCGCTGGCATGTGTGACGGCGGCTCCCCGGACGATGGTTGCGTCGCTGCCTCCAGGGACGATACCACCATCAATGCCCTCGACATACTCCACGACTCGGGCTACGATCCTGGACGAGCTCTCCAGGCCCTGGTCAAGTGCCCCGTGCCCAAAGGCATCGACAAGAAGTGGTCCGAAGAGGAGACGGTAGGTCCACTAGGGTTCAAAAACTCAAAAACTCATTTGTTTCGGCTATGCTTTTTTTCCGCTATACTTTAATCAATGTAATAAATGTAGTTTCTTTGCTTGGACGGTTTTAGAAACGCTTCGTCAAGGGCCTTCGACAGTTCGGGAAGAACTTCTCGCGAATCCGGAAGGATCTGCTTCCCCATAAAGATACGGTAAGTGAAAAGTGTGTTGTAAGGACTCCTCCAAAAATAGAGGAAATCGAAGAAATTACAAATTCCGATATGCGGATTTTCATAATTGCAGCCAGAGCTGGTCGAGTTCTACTATCTCTGGAAGAAGACTCCGGGAGCGAACAACAATCGTCCCCACCGTAGGCGTCGCCAGGGCTCCTTGCGGAGGATACGCAACACTCGCAACTCACGAGCCGGCACCCCGAAGGAAGAGGTGCCAACTCCCCCTAAGGACACGCCACCGACCGCGGTGAACGCGAAGGAGCCCGCTTCAGAGGCGGAGGCCATCCCCGTTGGCACCCCCGCGAACAACAATCCCGGGGGCGAGATAAGCTCCGTCACGGAGGACGATAATTCCGAGGAGGACAGCGACTCCAGGGACACCAACACGAACGGCGTGGCGCACTCCTGCCAGCATTGCTTCTCGACGAGCTCGAAGGACTTCCAGGTTAGCATGAGTCGATACCGCCAAATCATCGATACTTTTAATTTCTACTTATCGCGAAAACAAAAGTACTTGTCATCGACCTGTATTGACCTGCATCGGCGCATCTCCACTTCCAGGTCGCAGGGAAGGACCGGCTGCTGCTCTGCGCAGAATGCAGGGTGCATCTAAAGAAGAGCGGGGAACTGCCACCGGCTCCGCCGTATCTGTTCCGGCCCGTGCCCGCGGAGTCACCGGACAGCCCCGGTAGGATGCGCACCAGGAACAAGGCGAAGGAGACACCGAGACCAGCCAGACCGAGACGCACCGGCGGCAACGACACGCCGGACCAAGAGAAGCAGGAGAAGCAGCAGCAACAGCCGCAGCAGCAGACCCCTGACAAGTCGAAGAAGAAGCCCTCGGGAAAACAGGAGACCCCGAAGAAGGGACAGAAGCGACCGCAAGTCGAGGAAGTGGAGGAGGAGAAGGAAGCCTCGAAGAGGAAGCGAGGCGACCGACCCGAGAGCCCCTCGGAGTCCTTGACAACGGACAGCAACTCCCTGATGGACGAGCCCGAGAGGGAGACCGAGGCCGACACCAATGAGAATCAGCCCACGCCAGCGGCGGTGCCCAACGAAGAGGTAGCAAGCCCTGCAGCGACCACCCCCGAGGAGCCCTCGGAACCTACTCCGGTTTCGACTCCCATCCCCGTAGCTATCCAGAGCCTGCCGATCTCGGTGCCCGTCATCCACGCCCTGGAGAAGAAGCCCCTCCTGGAGGAGTTGCCCGAGCCCAAGGAGCAGATGGAAGAGGTCCCTCTGGCCATAGGACAGCCCATCAAACTGGAGCCCATGCCCATCGAGGCCAATATGTCGCCTTGCAACGAGGACCAGAAGGAGCCGGAGCAACAGCTGAGCCTAGGCGCGCCGCCCGGTCTCAGCGTGGCCGACATGACGCAGAACATGCCCAGGAACCTCTCCCAGAGCATCGGTAACCCTGGGCTGTGCACCTCGAGCTCGACCCAGAGCATTCAGAGCATCCAGAGCATCCAGAGCTCGATGTCTAGCCAACCGCCGCAGGGACTTCCGCTGAACATGCAGTACTCCGGGGTGCCTGCCGCCCAAACCATGCCTCAGAACCTGTCGCAGAGCATCCAGATGCCGCCCAGCATTTCTCAGGGACTTGGCTCCCAGCCTCTGGGGCCTGGACCCGGCATCGGCCCCGAGAACATGAGCGGCGGCCCTCAGGGGCCTCCAAATATTCCGATTCCACCGCTGAACCTGAACATTTCCCAGAGCCTGCCCACGAACATGTCGCAGATCCCTCAGATGGCCGGATCTCCGCAGCCTCTGGGGCTGACGGTCATGCCGCCAGAGGGCAGACTGGCCGACCGGATCGCCGAGGACCGACTTCCACCCGAGAGGATCCGCGAGAGCAGGATGCCCGAGAGGATGCCGGAGAGGATGGTGGACCGCCCGGAGACCAACGAGCCCGAGAGAAACGAGCCCCCCAACCTCTTCCAGCCCATACAGCCTCCAGGTTTGGGGCTCCCATCCTCGGAGAAGCCCTCCAACATGTACAACCTGGCGTCCACGCCGCCGATGGAGCCGCAGAACCTGAAGATCAAGCAGGAGATCGTCCCCCCGGAGCCGGACCCCCTGCAGAGTCTCAAGGAGGTCAAGGTCCCGGGTTTCCAGGGCGGCTTCCCCGGTCCCAGCCTTGACAACATCAAGAAGGATCCTGACGGCGGCAAACCTCCGACCCCGAGCAAACACTCCCACTCCAACAACCAACAGGTCGCGCAAATGCAGTCGGTCGCGGCATCCCCGACCCCGTCGCTGCCGCATCCGCCGACCTCCATCCCTCAGCCTGTTATGCATCCGGCTCAGCAACCGAGTCCACATATGGCGCATCCCTTCCATCCCCATCATCCGCTGATGCACCATTCACTGTTTGCAGCGATGCATCCGTACCATCCTCATGCCTATCCAGGGTACGCACCCGTGGGGGGTTACCCACCCTTCCCGCCGTATCCTTATGGACCCGTGCCCCACGCAATCCCCCCACCCAGTCCACAACGCAGCCAGGAGAGCACCACAATGATGACCGCTCATCACTCGAGCACGAGTTCCAGCGTTACCACCCGGGAAGAGGGCGAAAATCTCATCGCCACCCACCACCACTCGTCCAGCATGCATCAGGCGACTACCTTGCACCATGACAAGCTGCTCACCATCTCCTCCCACAGCTCCCATAGTCATTCCTCGTCCCACAGCTCGCATAACTCCCAGAGAAAGCCGTCCCTCGTCTCGGCGACTTGTCTCACCTCCACCAGCTCTGTCCATCATCATCATCGTCCTCCACAGCAGCAACCCCAGCAGGTCCCTCCTGAGCCGAAGCTCGAGCCTGATCTGGTGGATCCGGAACCTGAAGAGCCTCCTAGTCCTAGGGGACCCTCTCCGGAACCTAGAATCGAGGACTCGGAGTGCCACCGGTCGCAGTCCGCTATTTTCCTACGGCATTGGAACAGAGGGGAGAACAATAGCTGCACAAGGACCGATCTTATGTTCAAGCCTGTCCCGGATTCGAAACTCGCCAGGAAGAGGGAGGAACGCTCCAGGAAACAGGCGGAGAGGGAGAGGGAGGAGAGAGATAGAGCTGCTGCTCAGCAGGCCAGGAAGATGACCACTCCGGAGAAGCAACCGGAGACTTGCAAACCTCCCAGTAGAGGGCCCTTGGAACCTGTGGTCTCGCCTTATGATAGGTATCGACATAACCTTCATTCATTGAGTATTAACGTTAATATTTTGTTGCTTTTTATTTATTTTTTTTATAGAGTAAATTATGGAAACTCTCTCATAGACGATAAAAATTTACGACGATTTAATAATTTTTTTTAATTAGTATGTAGTGCTTAGGATTAAGATTCATTAGTTGAGGAAAGTGTTATACATGTGCCGAGTGGTTATTGGATATTTTCAAGGCGTCGTTGCAAAATTATACGTATAAAAAGATTATTACATAGATGAATATATTATATATATAACGAGATCAGGGATTATTCAAAATCGGGGAACCCTGATATTAAATTACAGTCTTGAATTTTAAACTGTTCTTACTAGCTCTGAGCAAATATTGGCTGCGTACACGTCTGTACTTGAAGTTTTTTTTTAAATTGGGTAGAACCATTGGGTCTCGGGTTTCATTCTCTTTCTCCGACTAGATGACTCGCCAGTAGCTGTTTCACCAACATTCCTTTTCTCCGACACAGGTTTCAGTCAACAGGTCACCTCAACGACAGATCGTTTCATCGGCAACATGTTTCATCAACAGATTATTTCGTTGACGCATCATTTCGACAACGGTACATGTCACTTATATACCCTAACTTAACGATAACTCTACGATTATTGTCTCTACTATAATGACAACAGGTGATGTCGAAGTAACAGTGCCTAATAATATGGATAATTTGGGTGGATTAAGACGTTTATCGTGTAACACCTCTTTAGTGAGTAACAATTAATGACACGCAAGAAATAGAGATTGTCGTCAAAACAATGTTTCAACGAAACGATCTATCGATTGCCCTCGAGCTGTCAATGAAATGGCCTTGTCGATGAAGTCACTCGATGAAATAATTTGTCGATGAGTGGACCCATCGGTGAAGTGATTGTCGAAAAGATATCCAATCGGAATTGTGATTTAGAACTCGGAATTCGTTTGAAATTATTTTGACTCGACGTTCCGCGTATAGTGTCTGTGGTATAGGTATTTCCCTTCTACCCTAACCTTTAACATAACCTAACCGCTATCACTAAATTGCTGTTATTGTGATTTTTGCTTAATTAACAGTAACGTGTAATTTATCTTGAGGAATTTTAAAGCACTTTGATGGATATTTTCAGGTATGCTGCCAGACCTGGTGCCTACGCAGACACTCCTGCCTTGAGGCAGCTCTCGGAGTATGCCAGACCACATGCAGCTTTCTCTCCGGCTCGTCATCCAGCACCACCGGATCCAATGTTGCATTACATGTATGGCCCCGGAGCCAGGGAAAGGCTGGAGCTCGAGCACCTGGAACGAGAGAAAAGAGAACGAGAGATAAGGGAGCTACGTGAGAGAGAACTCAACGACAGGCTCAAAGAAGAGTTACTGAAGGGAACTCCTAGACCGATGCCTGCACCGGTCGATCCACACTGGTTGGAGATACACCGGAGGTACACTGTTGCAGGATTACCTCCTGGACCCTCCGGTCCACCGCAGACTTTGCACCAGTTCGGACTCTATGGTGCTCCACCAGGTCCCACTCAACTGGACAGGGAACGACTCGAAAGACTAGGTAACATCGACACCTTCCAATTCTTTTCTGTTTGGTCTCATCGTTTCTTTTGAGTTTCTTGCAGGTTTCTTTCCCTTTCGAGATCTATACTCAAAACAAGCGTAACATCCAATTCATCTAGGTATTTTTATCTAGAACTTTTAGTTGTGGTCGTTGTCAAGGTAATGAGGAAATATGTCTTTGACGAGTTGATCTTGATAAATTGCAGTTGTTTGATAGCTGGAAGCTCAACGTTTAAATATTTATGTAGTTTTCACGTATCAGTGCTTATGATGATTTTTTTTATATTATTTCTGAAATGCATTAAATGAAAGTATTTTTTTCTTTTCGTTTTTTATTTTTTTTTTATGCCGACTATTCTTTTAACGTCGAAAACAGACGTCACTATATCAAATATTTTTTATTATAACTCCTAAATGTATGTATACACATTCAGTATTTGCAGGACCGAAAAGGTTGTTCTCTCAGACTTAACTATTAGTTTTGACTCTTAAGTGCATCGTTCTGTTAGAATAGGTTGAATTATACTTTCTTTATTAACTTTTGTTTGCCAATTTCCTCCGTTAGCGTCGACTAGCGTCGATTTATCTCGCATTTTATTCGCTCCTCTTTCGAATAATTATGCTGAAAATCATGTTCCAACTTTTTGCAAGTTTGCAGTTCAGACATCCCTGTCCTTTAGAGTGATCGTTACAAATAATTCTTCTCGCTTCATTAAATGATTTCCCCTAGATCTCTTCATCAGCAGTTCTCTTTGGGTTGTCCTGTTTCTTCGTGGTCGTCATTCAGATCACATCTGCCCTTCTGACTAATCGGTCTTGAATTTTGGTGCATAGACCATCGATGCACCTTTCCAAAGCCGATGGTAATTCAGAGAAGTCATGAAAGATAACTAAAAAATGATGTATATACTGGGTGCGTCTCTCGAAAGGTCCAAAATCGGTGTAACTCAGTTAATTTCGCGATTCGGCCAATCAGGTGAATAGTTATACGTAGGTAAATGGAGAAACAATCCTCGATCACACAATTTTATAAATTATTTTCATCGAGGAATTTATTCCGATGCGTTAAATCTTCATGAATCTCAAGGTGTTCCCCGGTGTCACGTCCAGCTAAGCGCCGAGAAGTTAAATTAACGCGATGACTTACGACGGGGTATATTAATGAAATGCAAAGTATGCGTGATGAGAGTACCTCGAAGTTACACGGTGCGCCCTCACTGAAGCTGTCGCCATTGTTCGAGATCTTTGGTCCAGACACTTTAAACGGCATCCATTGTAATTTCACATTCCAATGTTTATTGACTAACTTCGAGAAAACCATGGTGGCCATCAAAATCGTCCTGTGGGTCGATTCCGTTTCTTTGGTGAAAGTGCTCGTTTTTCGCTCTGTCATCTCACGTGAGTTCTTTTACCCGATCTTGTATTCTCCGAGTGAAAACGTGAAAACCCCTGGACCGAAAGAGGTAGACCCGAAATCTCCCGCGACGTGTGTCACACTTTTCCCATGGTGAAAGTCACAGATTCACGGGAGGTGTCCAATTTTAGTACTTTCACTAGGTTTGAGTAAGCCTCGACTCTTTCGACGCCGAGAGAGAATTGGCGTCGAAAGCGCCGATCGTCCCCGGGACGTCCACTTTGTCGCGAATCTCATCTGCGACGTGAGAATTAAGATCGTCGAGCAACGAGAGACGAGGGTTTATCGGCGACGTTGGCTCCCAGTGAGGTCGCACCTCGCGGCGCGTCCACCCCTCGGAGGGCAGGGAAAGGACGATAAGAGGCTAGAAAGAGGAAGGAAAGAGGAAGGAAAGAGAGGTAACGAGATCGTCTCGGGGTCCAGGGATACCGACCGCTGGAGGCGGCGGGCCAGGAGGTGGAGGAGCTGGCCATCCGGTGTCGGCTCATCATCATGGCCAGCTGGACGAGCGGCTGGCCCTGGCTACTGACCCGATGGTCCGGCTGCAGATGGCTGGCATCTCGCCCGAGTATCATGCGCACACGCACGCGCACACCCATGCGCATACCCACTTGCACCTACACCCGGGACAGCAGCAAGCCCAGCAACAGGCCCAGCAACAGCAGGAGGCAGCTGCGGCTGCCGCTGGATTCCCTCTGCCCGGTAGGTTCCTCCGTTCCCTCTGCGTCTGCCTCTCGAGGCCGAAATTTCAAGGTCCTCCGTTCCCTTTACGTCTGCCTCTCTTTGCCGCTTCGTTTCTCGATCCTCCAGGTAGACGATCTCGACGACAGAGGATGGTTCACCTTGACTCCAGCGTTTCCGTCGTGGCCGAAATTCGAGTCCCCCGTTCCTTCTTCGTCCGCTTCTTCGAGTCGCTTCGTTTCCCAGTCCCCGAGAGGGGATCTTCGATCGTGTCGAGTGCTTCCGGGTAAAGGATCTCTTCCTCCTCCGCTGTCTTTGCCGATCCTCCGGGTCGGGACTTTCGAAATCCGCGTAGGCGTTGGCTTTCTTCTGCTGGTAGGTTCCGCGCTATTTCGTTTCCTGGATCATCGAGTGACGTCGATTAACTCCGGAGGCGTGTCGATGACGGTTCTTTTTCATGTGAACGTCATCGTGGGTTTTGGATTCCTTCTGGTGATGGGTTCCTCCGTTCCTTGTTACGTCCGTGTCTCTGAATCGCTTCTAATATCGGACCTTTCGTCGAATCGACTTCCGCTCGTGTCCATTGTTGCCATTGTTTCCTGTAGATTCTCTCGTCAAAGAACTTGGATTTCTTCTCCCTGATTATCTCAATCAAGTGGATCGAGGATTGTCCGCCTCGTAAGTCCATTCTGCAAACATTAGTAAGCATTAATTAATTTAAGGAGGAGTCAATGGTTTGTGATACTTTTCTCCGAACTGGGTGAACCGAGACTCGTCGATCGGATATCTAAGTTTTATCCTAAAGGCAGAGGAGAAGAAAGGAGGCCCTAAGGAAGGTCTTGACATCCACGGAATTTTTTTTTTTTTACTTTGTACACATTTTTCAGTTTTTTTGTAAGTGGCGTCCGAGGGACCTCGCTTGTGAATTTTTGTTCTCCGAACTGGGTGTACCGAATTTGGATCTTCGACGGATCGTGGTTCGCTTTGCTGTGCTTCCTGGGTACGCGCGTGCGTGCTGTGTGTGAAAACGCGTAGCTTTTGTCTGTCGCGTATCTTGGTGTCCGTGGGAACAGAAGAGTAAGAGGCGAGAGGAGGTTCGATCTGAAAGAGAAACGAGAACCCTTGTCGAACTGCTTTTATCTGTTTTAGTTTCCTCCATGAGGAGTGTCGAAGACCTTACCAGGCGCTTGCTAAAATTTTCGGTTCGTCCGGATCCCTTTGATCGGATGACCGAAGTTCTTATCATTTATTTACGGTCCACGTGGACGAAGTTACTCCATTTGAACGAGGTGGCCCTTCAGTGGACCGCTGCAGCAGTTTTAGTTCCTGAATCCTTAAATCGGAGGGTCCTCTTGTCACCTCGTTACCTTGTCATACTCAAAATTGAGCAGAAGTGAAGTGTAATCAAGTGAAACGCTCCATTGCCTTCCCGGTGCATCCAACTTTTTCCATGTAGCCCTATTTTGCAGGGTAATCGGCTAAGTCCTGATTTCATTTCAAAGGCTGTCCAGTCACCGAGGGCAATATTCTTTGTGTTTTCTGTTCTCTAGCTCTCTCCTGGCTTCTCTTAAACTCAGAAACGAATACCGTTTCGCTGAAGGAAAACATGACGTTTTATAGAAAAAAATTAAATTTTGAAGGTAAAGATATCTCTGGTCGTACAATTTCCTGCTCTGATAAGATGAACGTCGTCGACCTCCAGGAGTGGCAGACATGTTCAAATTTTAGACACACATCTCACCCTGGGGAGGTCTTTCTTGCATGCCTTTATATCCCTGACTTTAGTACACAGTTCTTCCTCCACGGTTGCCCCTCCAAGAGACGTTCGTTTTGAATCGCGCCCTAAGTTCTGGAAAAAAAATTTTCCCTAATCAGGGCATTTTCTTTTTACACCTGTCGCAGCAGCAGCTGGAGCTAATTATCCAAGGCCGGGCCTGATGCCGAGAGATCCCACGTTGGCGCTGCATCCTGCCGAGCTCCTGGGCAGACCTTACGCCGACATGGCCGCCCACCACGAGCAACTGCAGCGTCATTTGATGATGGAGAGGGATCGGTTCCAGCCACACGCTTCGATAGTCGCCCATCATGAAGAGTATATAAGGTTCGTGCCACAGGACGCGATATACGAAGAGACCTCTCCTCACTTTTGTCCTATTAATTGCCGATCACAGCGCTGCTTCGCGGAAGCAAATGTCCTCGACTAACTTTGGATATCCTTTTAGACAACAGCGAGAGCGTGAGCTTAAAGTACGAGCCCTGGAAGAGGCGGCACGAGGATCACGACCTTAGGTATAAACTAAAGATTATTACTGTTATTAATAATTGGCCCATGTACGGCCAAATTGTAGTGCAACGGTCCCGGGTGCAAAGCGAGGGTTTGCACCTCCTGGTGCATCGGATACGAGCGAGTGCACCGGATACATTGGATAAGGAAATTCAGGAATTCCGAGTGAGAACCGATAATTGAGAGTGTTTCGAATACGTCGGGGAATAATTTCAAATAGAAAATAGCTCTGATACAGGAAACTTAACTTGTCCGAGACGCTCGATCTGATGTTGCGATACTTGGATACTCCTGAATTTCTAGGTTCAATGAAGTTAGGATTCTTGGGCTGACTTTGAGTTCCCTCATTTAGCAGTGCGAAAGGCGTGAGTGTTGTCGCTTGTCGAGTGTTATTAATATTTACCCTCGTGGTATGTCGGTATCACATGGGGCGAATTTGAGGTTAGCTTTATGTTTCCAGTCTTAGCAATTTGCGGGTGTCCGGAGGCACAAAGAATTGTCCGGTGTTGGAGACTCGTAGGTCCATCCGGTGCGTAGCAAAGACCGTCTTTTTACAATAACTTTAAGGTTCGTTAAGGACACGCCTGGATTGTTTGAGATGATCGTTCGGAAAAGTAATTTCAGTAAGCATGACTTAATCTATACGTGTAAATTTTGTAGCACTTTCTAAGAGATGGTCCATTCGCTGCGCAGCGTTACAAATTGTAAACTAGAGGAAGGTTGAAACTAATCGGACTGGCAGGTTTGAGGTTAGCTTTACGTTTTCTTCTTAACGGTACGTACAGTAAACTGCTATTGTCGAGTGTAACGGTTTAGTAAGAATTGTAAATATAATGGTGCAGCAGGTGCCCTTGCCCGACTCTCGATGAGACGAAGGACCAGGTGTACCTATAGGTTTGAGGTTAACTTTATGTTTAGCTCTTTTAACAGTACGTATTGTAAGGCGTGGAAGTCTCGCCAACGCGTCGAGTGTAACATTATTAGTGTAAATAACAGCAATGCAATATCTGGACGGTGAGCTCGGGTCGTCGCAGTGCTACGGTATCTAACTGGACCGGAGCTTTGGAAGATACGTCGGAGGTGCAGATTATACGCAGCGGAGTGTCGTTGAGACAGTCTCGAGTCTCGTTTTCCTAAGCCTCATCGACAGAGCTCTTAATAGTAAGTTTTTAGTTTTTTTTTTTTTTTCCAAGACTTAACTCTGCGCTGAATCCATGATGACCGGTTGATCCATATCTAGCTGAATACATGCGAACAGGTGATTTCCTTGTAACTTTCCAGACGACTCCCCGATATTCCCTGTAATACTCTCATAAGATAGAACGTATATTCTTTTACATGATAAGCGCTTGTACAGAGGGTAAATCTGCTGATAATTTATTTCATATACAAATAAAGCTGGAATGTATCGAAGTCACGTGTGATACCTGTAATGAAAATCATGGACCCTACCACGCTCCAAATTTAAAAAGTAATACATTCAAACTGTGCATCGAGGACAATTGTCACCTGAAATTACTCTCCAGGCTCTCGGGGCCGCAGCGCTGCGACGGTGGTGGTGGCTCCAAAGTAATAACTACGAGCGGATAGTTTATAGACATTGAAAACTGACCAAAGTTTGGCCTCCGTGAAGAAACGCCAAAGATGCGTACCGATTGAAGGATTTAAAGGAATTCGCGAAGACACGCGTGTTAGCCACCTTAAGGGACAAACTTAAGTTAAGGGCGTTTCTTTATGGAGGCGCAGCGTCGGGCTGCCCCTTATTCTCGTGACCATCGCGGCATGTAAATTTTAAGGCATCATTGACCCGCTGTAACCTAGTTGTTTAACTAAGTAAACGTTTCATACGAAATTCTGTTGTCGTTGATTTCGTCTGAAATGCGGTAAAATTAAGGTGATCCGAAAAAAAAAAATGACGTCTAAGGGATTTCATTTATAAAACTTCAAAATCATCACCCTTTCTAATGCAATGATTCTTCATTTCCCCCAGACGCCCACCAGATACGAGGCGTAAAGTCAAGAAATCGTAAATTCCCGAGAGAAAAAAAAAAAGGAGTGCAGGAGCTGCGCCAGCGTTAAGCAGTAATTCGGCTAGCAGCGCGCTTTTAAAGGTTCTTCCTGTGCGCTGGCTGCGTCGGCCTAATTACTCGAGCAGATGGGATTTTTTGCCGAACCGCCAGGGCCCGGGCTGTTTTTATTGGCCGTAATGCGAAACCCAGCCCCTCGGCTGCCACTTGTCGTGTGGGAGTCACGCACGCGGTTCCTCGAGTTATGTGGGTGGTGAACGTGGACCACGCACACGACTGCGAAGACGGCAGGAGGGAAAGAGAGGAAACAAAGGGGCCGTTTTCTCGCTGTCTCCCCCTTTTTAACCGATTTAAAAAAGGAAGGAAGTCGTTTTCACGGATTTTCAAGGAAACGGCCCCTCGGTTTGCGCCATAAACTATCGTCCTTGGTGGCGACACGTTTGGCACACGTGCGACGACATGTGTGTCCGTGACGTTAGGTTAAGTTAGGTAGGCGCGGTTCCGCAGCGATGCGAGGGGGAAGGGCGGAAACGACCAGAAGAGCCAATCGCGCCTCTTGCCGTTCGTCCCAGCTCCAGTAGTTCATGGTCTGCGGTGGCGAAGGATCGGGCGATTTCGAAGCAGTGGAGGATCCAGAAATCGCGGAGCCAATCGAAAGGCAGTGGGCCAGGTGGCTCGCGATTGGCTTGGCACCTGCGCGGTGGATCAAGATGGCGGCGCGCAGAAAGGACGAGCCGGCCAGGCAGAGGTACCAGGCGAACGCGCGCGAGCGGGATCGCACGCATAGGTCATTTTCTCTCCCGTTTCTTTTTTCTTCTCATTTTTTAGTCATTTGCGTTGTTAAGATGTACTATCGCGTTTATACTTTCGTTCTGTATAGGTCTTAATATATTGTTTTGTTTTTTGTTTTTTGCCCTCGGGAGTAGTTCCCTTTAATCCACAGTTTTGCCATGTTAGATGCTTTGTTTTAACAAACGTTAGCTTATTTAACGCAGTTTATTCCCGAGACTTTCACATTTCCCGACGATTACGATGCCCATGTAAATTATTTTTCATTCGTCTTTCCGCAGCGTGAACACGGCATTTAGTGCCTTGAGAACTTTAATACCGACGGAACCGGCCGATCGGAAGTTGTCGAAAATAGAAACCCTGCGATTAGCTAGCAGCTATATCAGCCACCTTGGGTCAGTTCTCGTCGCCGGGACCATGGATTTGCAACCTTGTTTTCGATCGGATGAGAGCGATCGCAGCTTCTCGCCGGACCGATCGAAAGACCCACAACGGAGACCTCGAGTGTGCACCTTCTGTCTCGCTATGCATAGGAAATATGTAAGTAATTATTCTCTGGACGTCGAAAAGCGAGTAAAAACTAACACGGTGAATTTTGGTACCCAAAGATTTACGGTAAGGCACGGTGGAGGGATTTTAATGCGGATTTTATTTGCAGAATCTAAGCGTTTCGTCGCAAGTCATTACCAGTTATAAAAACCAAGATGGACCCGTGTACATTGTTCCAACGAGTGCAGTGTCCTGTGTCGACCCAAATTGTATTTAAAATAAGTTATTAGTTTAATGAAACCATTCCGTGTATAATTCCTGATTCCTTCCATTTATAATTCATGTACATTTTCTTGTAAATATTACGAGTGCCGACATGCAATTCCATTAAAAATGCGTGATTTCTGTTTACTGTATCTGTTTGCATGTAATTAGTGGAATTATTTGATAAGTCTTAACGGCGCTGTAGTGGTAACAATATTTCAAAATACCGAACTGAATGTTATAACTCTTAAGTGATAAGTTCCGTACATTTTTTAATGGTGTGCTACAATGTGCAATATGTGAAGGAAATTTATACAGAGATAGTTCCATTTTTTTTTTTTTTCGTTGGAAGCCCTGTCTATCAGAAACGTCGAAGATCGTCGATTAAATTTTTCAACATCTTGCATATCACTTTAATGAAATAAGTATTGCCTAAACATGGTGACGCCACTATATTATTTTTGATGGCGCGACAATTGAATGCCGCGTCGAAACAAACGATTACCACTGAAGTCAAAGTTGCTACAGTTACTTACATCATTACTTTGAATTTTCGTCTATTCGGCCTCCAAATGCGATTTATTTACTGTAGTAATTGTTTTCATAAATAACACAGCAATTTAGCATAAGTAGCGAGTAACTACTTGTAATTAATAGTATTTTTTAATCTTACTTAGAAAGATCGCTTGATTAATGTAGTAATTAGTCGGTTCCTTCAGTCTTTCGAAGCGAACAATGCTGTGAAGAAGGACGTTTTCTTTTTTCCCCCGTTCTCGTTTCTAGTTACGATTTCAGTGTTTCTTAATTATCTTATTAATTGCACGATCCTCAATAGATGAGCATGCCCGGGGATGAAAGGCAGCAGCGCAGATGCAGCGTCCGAAATTAACGAAAAGTGAATCAAACGCTATTCCCAGGGCCGTGGATCACAAAGGCTGGCCAATCGCCGCCATCACGACTCGACAATCCTGACTTAAAAAAGTAATTTAATTTTCCCGCAACTCCCGTTAATCGAAGTTTAACTGGTTTATATCCGAATTAAACCTGCTATAAACTAACTAAACTCCGGTGAATATTAAATTTTCATTTCGGACGGTACAAACGGTACGAACGGTTAATCTGGGAGTGAAACTGAGACGAAGTCCATCCATCGCTTCATCTTTTTCGGATAAATGCTTATCGACCTACGTGCGACAAGGATGCAGACACATTCAAATCTATGTCTCTCTGGAGCAAGCAATGTATTCTTAAGCGTGGCGAGCGTCCAGTTTACTGTATATTTCGGGGGAATGAACAGTCCCGCCACGGGTAAAGTAGTTCGCGAGAGGGGCGCGCTCGTCGCGCATTTCCAACGGCCGGAACGGGCGCGCGTCTCGTCGCTGGTGTCGGCTGCGGCGGCCATCTTGTAAAAGTGTTTTCCTGGTGTTTGGAGGTGCAGCCAGGAGGAACGGTCGCTTCTTAGGAGGCTGGAAGTCCACTGCAGGTTCTCGCAGCGGCCCTCGGCAGTCCCTGGCCGTCCAGGTGGTCCAGGCGAGCCATCCAGAGGCCCGAGGACCGACCGCAGGTCCCCACCAGGCCCGAGCTCGAGCCCGACCGACCCACTCGACCGAAGATGGTGAGTCGAGGACCGACCGAGTCAGAATCTACGCGAACACCTCCTCCGGGAATTTCTCTGTTCCCCTGCCTGTGTCCATCCCTGACATCGCCTCGCGCGCACTTCTGCTCCTCCGTTTTTATCTGAACTCCTTTCTTATCCGTTCCCATGGTTTGATAACGTTAACCTGTACTCCGATATCTGCAGGCTCGCAAGGCGGAGCAACGCTTGTCAATGTTTTTGTCACTCGTGGAAATTGTCATTAGCGTTAGAGTCTTGAGGAAACTCGCCGAGCTGCTGCACATTGTTTATGTCGTCTCGCTTGTTTCGGATAAATCCGCTTTTCCGCTCATTTTTTACCCGGAGCAAGAGGAATGCAAGGAGATATTTCAGGAATGCAATGGAAGGAATGTGCAGAAGTTCGGAGATTAAATCGTTGCATGCAATTTGGGAATCGTGATCACTCCAATTGAAAGACTTTCGACGACGGATTTGTCTGGACACCGGATTAATTATTTTTGAGAATGCCTACTCCGGAACGCGATTTCTGCTCTTGGCTATTAGAGTTTTGCGCAAAGCACACCGGTTGAGTCTTTGAATCTGAGATACGTTCTTGTTAATCTTGTCGATTGGTATTTCTTTACTTCATATATTTATCAGGGGTGTAACAAAAGTATTTATACCGAAAGAAAAAAAAAAAATCGTGTTGCGAATGCAAAAGTCCAAATTATGTGAACTTTTTGCACGCGTGAAAGTGAAATATGCGTTGTAACCCTTTTATTAATTTGTTGATATTATTTAATGCTGGGTTATTTATTTAATCAGAGTTCGGCATCAACGGGTGGTACGGAGGGGTCCAGTCCAGCCTCGAGCCCAGCATCGGCAGCAAGCCTTGCGATGGCTGCTCCTAAGTACGGCACCCTTGTACCAAACCGCATCTTCGTTGGTGGCATTTCTGCAAGCACCAGCGAAGCAGAACTCGCCCAAGTCTTTTCAGCCTATGGAAATGTCAAAGCAACCAAGATTATCTCCGATCGAGCTGGCGTCTCCAAAGGATATGGTTTCGTAACCTTCGAAACAGAAGAGGAGGCCAAGCGTCTTCAGCAAGAGGTACCTATTAATGACACACGCTTCGTGCCCTGAATTTTAATCCGATCGTTTAATTGAATCGAGAAAGTTGGACGTATATGGAGAGGCAGTCTCATCGAGAGGCTCGAGAGGGACTGGAATCATTTGTTTGCTCATTAGTCATCTGGTGATGCTACAGCTCGTAGACCGTACAATAATTTAGTTGCAGCGCCAGGAGCTGTGGCGTCACTTTTTAAAAACGGGAAGACAACTAATGCTTCGGCTCCCTAATTATTGGATGTCCTATCCGTCGGCGTTGTTTGGAAACGGAGATTTTTTGTCGATCAAATTATTGCCCTGCTCTGATACGTTATCACGTGTCATAATGTCAGTTCTGCGCCCTCTGGGAGAAGTGACGGCTGTGAATCGCAACACTTCGTCTGACTTAGTTACTGTACATGTATTTCTATGTGCTTTTAATTTCTAGAACACTTAGGGAGAAGTCGGGACAGAGTCAATGGTTTTCATTTAGCTAAATATGTAGCAACCATGTTATAATGTTGATCGCTAGATCTTGCCTGTTGCAAATGATGTGTTGGTTGACCGATCAATCACATTTTAGCCGGTCACCCCAACTAGAGCAGGTTAATCCTGCACTGTTCCAATGTAGATTACTAGCAGTTTCTTTAATTTATGCCGTTTTCCGCACCTTTACATTTTCTTGTTACGAGCAGTTATGGCTCTGAATAGTTTGGCTTAATTGATGTTCAATCGCTTAATCGCAGTTCAATTTTCTTCGTGGTTAGCCCTTCCGATGCTACGGATGACTATAGTCCGAAGGTATGGTTATATCAAAGGGCTAACGACGCAGAGAAGGTTAAAGGAATAATTCTACGTAGATCTTTATTGTTTCAATTCACCCCGCGCTTGAATGGAGGAAAGCAGTTGGATTTGCTCCGATGGTTACTGTTATTAATTTGCATGGTTCCTTTATTAATGTATACATTTGTTTCGCGTATCTCACGAGTGTTTTTTTCCTGATTGCAGTCCGAGTGCATCGTCTTGAGGGAAAGAAAGCTAAACATAGCTCCGGCAATTAAGAAGCAGCCGTTCAATCGGTCCTTCGACGGTGGTGCTGGATCGCCTCCTGCAGTGCCCACCAGCACTTATTACTACACAAATGGTTCATTTCATTTTACTCTTATTTATCCGATTAAGGTAATGTGATACCCAGGCAAACATTTCTTTTAACACGCTCATATCGCTGTTTACGATAAGATATACCTTCGGGAATCAGTGTGAGTCCTTTGTCGTGCCCCCGCCGAAATTTTTACGCAGCTAGTATTGGATGTAGTGGGCTACTCTGGTTGCTCTCAAATCGAAATCTTACGGTAAAACGGTACCTTCACATCGCCTTAATTATCGCCTCAATTATCGCCTCGACTGTTACGATATATTAGATTCTCATTTGTACACTTCCATTTATAGGAATGGGCCTTGCATACCAAAATGGAATGACGTTTTATAATACGGGGGCACCGACTCCTGGCACGCCCCTCGCTCCACCAGCTGATCCTGCAACTATCTATCAAGCCACCGGAGTGTTCGGTGAGTTACTTGCAAACTTTGTTCAATTATTTCGAAACCACCACCACCACCAAAAATCAGTGATTAAAATCGGAGATTTATTCGAATGATTTAAATCAGCTCGGCTCTCTGACGGTGATCCATGTTTCCTTGTTAATGTTTTTTTTCCCATTGTGTAGGAGCTCAAGCTACCACCGGGCACCAGAGTTTCGCGCCGGTCATGTACCCTTGCCCAGCGCCGTCACTCTACATGCCGCAACAATACCAGTACTCGCCGATGCCGCCGGTGAGTTCCAGAGCGATCGGACACATACCCGATACGATTTCTTCGCGATAGCGCCGACCAGACTCAATTTGTCCATTAAACGGTGTGTGTCTCGGTGTTACGGTTCGACAGACAAACGGTCTGATGGGGGAAGCCATACCGCCGGCCTTTCTGCCGAATCCCCAGCAAATGCCCACTTACGTCCTTCTCGACGCAATACAGTATTGAGGTCTAAAGGTATATGGTCCAAATGGTACAAGTGTCCAGCATGCCTGAAGCATCGTACGCGCACCTTGCACCTTCCCGAGACCGTTCCCGAGACCGTTCCCGAGACGCCGCGGAGACTCTGCCTCGAACAGAGTCTTCTTGGGGTTTTCATCAGCATGGCCTCTTGCAACGCATGAAATTCCGGACACTCGCGACTTATATGTTTATATAGTACTGGATATATATGTACTAGATAATTATGGCCATTTGGACGTTCCGCAGATGTTCATAGAACGTTCGCATTGTTAAAGTCTGTCGTCAAATTTTATTTATAATTTCACGTTGTATAAGTTAAGGAACGTCGTGTTTTAATTATCATTTCTCACCAGAGGAACCGGCCATTGCGAATCCAACGTTGCACGTCCGGGTATTCCTATTGAAAAAGCTTTATGCAACTTAATGTTTACAGATGAATCTAATTTTTTAACGATAATTTCCAGCATAGCAACCGGCAGTTATGGCATCACACCTCAGCGCTTTATATCTCTACACTTTTATTAATTCGCTTTGTGAACTTATTCGCACCAGATCGCTGTTAAGTGTTACTCCGTTACTCAGTTAGCATGAATCACGTGACTATTATTATTTATTAATTGTTCCATAATTTTAAGTAAACACGATGTTCGCCTAGCGATGAACAATGTTGCAGAGATTACAGTTACGAAGCATCGGATCTGGAATTATTTTCTCCAGAAATTAGATGATCAAACGATGAGATCTGTTATTTAAACGTCCAGAAACAGATTATTAAAAAATACAGCATTCTTGTAACATTGCTTATCTCTATGTGTATCATAGACAGCAGTGAGGATAAATCTGGTATTAGAAAACTCAGTTTTTTTTTAAGTATCGTAGTTAGCGCCGAAAATTTGTATAGCTTACGTGCGCATCTGTACCTTAGTTTCGTAACGATATCATTCGACGGAACTGTTAGTTATCACGGGTCCGGCCCCAGTGCTGCGAATTTTATCACTTGCATTAAAATTTCTTCGCTATTTGCTGCCGATAGGCATTTAATGCAAAGATTTGTCTGCGCAGTACGAGCCCTACTATGCAGGAGCAGCAGCTGCAGCGACCGGTACGCCATATGTCTACACAACCAGCGGTCTGCAGAGCAACAGCAGCAACAATGGCAGTGGCAACAATTCTGGCAACAACGGCACCGGTGCAACCAGCCCTCCGGCAGGGCCACCACAACCTTTGCAGTCTTTGCCTCCACCACCTCCTCCGACACATTTCTACACCACTGCGGCACCACCTCCACACCATCACCCTCCGGTACAAGCAGGACCTCCTCCGCAGCAGGTCGACCATCTATATTACTCCTTCGCTACTGGACCGCCACCACCTCCTCCGCCTCATGCATCCATCGGAATGGGTGATCAACAGTTACTGCTTTATGCCACCGATACACCCTGTCAACAGCCATCGGACAGTCAAACTGCTCCGCAGGAGGTTAGTTTTCGAAAAAGAGGCTGGAAGCCCTTCGATAGGAACAAGTGTGCTTGCCAATTGAAGGTGATATGAAAGAAGCCGAGATATGGCAGAGTACATACGTCGGCATGTCGTTCTTAAAGCCTCAATATTCACGCGGTAAAGTTCCCTACGATTATTATAAATAAAATTCGGAGAAACGTTTTATAAATGGTTTGCCGTCTAAGAGGCCGCTTTCATGTCACCTCATTTTCCTCGGTGAATAAATTTCCTCGATTAGTCGATGAATAAGTCTTTGGTAGATTTGTAAGATTTCCAATGCTGCTTTTGATCGGTTCTACATAATGACAATTTCAATTGAAATAGGAGATTCTCCTATGTTGACGTGGAAGCCGAGGTGTCCTGTCTGCTTGAAGTTATAATATCACTGACTTTTGTACATTTTAATGGCGGACAGAGTAAGGGAAGATTTTCACGAGTCCGGAATATATTTCTCAAGGTTCATTCTTCTGCTTATTCGATCGCAAAAGTACTTAAAGGACAGACGTAATCGTCTGGAAAAATCGTCCCTTATTTTATTCTTCGAATCAGGGATGGACAGTGGTATGTTGCTTCGGAGAACCAATACGCTACCCTTTACTAAAACATTCGTTAACATTTTTATACAACTCTTACGAAATAGTGACAAATACGTATATTTATAAAATCTGGCAACACTATTCTCAAGGATGGTCAACTCGAAGGAAGGGTAGCGTATCGGGATCCGAGGCAACCAGTGCCGCTGACGCCCCACCCGACTAATCGCTGTTATCACGTGAGCTCGTTAACCCCATAGGACTCGCGGTCTACATCGAGCCACTCGGAGCAGCCGCACGGGGAGTCGCAGACGGGGGGCCAGCCCGGGGGATCGTCGAGTACCCCCCTAGTGTCCCTGATGCCCCTAAAGTTCCCCCTGTCCGGGCGGTACGCCAACTACCACCCGGTGGCAATCCACGCCTCGGGCCTGCACGGGAACCAGGGGTGCGGCCCCGAGGCCGAGGAGTGCGCGAGTGGGCAGATGCACTGCCGCGCGATGATCTACCATCCGGCGGCGCTCTACATCCCCCACCCCGCCGCGGCGTACCACCCGGCGTCGGGCGGTGGAGGTAGTCTGCTGCCGACCCCGGGCACGAGCAGTCCTCAGCAGGCGTACGAGGGGGGGGCCAAGTCTCAGGGGCCCGTCCCGCCGCGGGGGGAGCGACTAGCCATGGGCTGCCAGGGGAGCCAATCGAAGGGCCCGGCCGCGGGGCTCGGCAGAGGGCAGCAGGCGCATAAATACGGGGGCGCGGAACCGGGAGCACATTACGCGACCGGGAGGCCGAGCTACCAGCAGCTAGGGAGGCGCGCCTCGGCCGGCCAGGGCTCGCCCTGCTTCCTGCCGGCCCAGAGAATCCCTGGATACGGAGGCCAGCTCGTCTCGGGGAAGGCCGCCGGGTTCCTCGGCGGGGCCGCCGCCGCCTTCGCGGCCCAGTCCTACGGGCAGTTCGCCGGCACTAACCTTTCCGGGGCCCAGAGGACGGCCGGGCCGGGCCAGGGGTACGAGTACGCTAACGGACGTCGGGGCTCCGGGTACGAGCAGTATGCCCACGGTCAGGAGACCAAGCTCCAGGGGTACCAGCCGGCCAGAAAGGCCAACTCCGGGGCGTACCGCCCCCCCTCTTCGGCGCACCGGTCCGAGGCCAGGCCCACCGACGCCCCCGCCGAGGCGACCGAGAAACCCCCCAGTCCCCCGCCCGCCCCCTACTCCCCCATGACTCGACCCCTTCCAACCGTTTCGCCCACCACTCCCCAGGTCCAGTTTTACGCACCTGCCCAATCCCGCTACCAGCCTCCTCTGCCCCCGCCCCAGCAGGCCCAGCAGTCGGCCGCCGGACAGAGGAGGTACACCGTCACCCCCCAGTTACCCGCCGGCAGGAAACCCACCGAGAAGTACCCCGGCCCTGGGCCCAACTCCGTGCTGAGGACCGGCAAGTACAAGGTCAACGGCATCGTCCAGACCTCCGGGAAGGGCAGCGAGGAGGCCCTCGGCGGCGCTGGCGACGCCTCCAACGTCGGACGGCTCCCCATCACTCCGCCTGGCACGCCGCGCAATCATCCCGGACACCCTGCCGGGGATCAAAACCAGCTGGGGGAGACCTGTCACCAGATGCAGACCCTCAGCCTCTGAACGGGGATGCGGGGTTCGACGCGAGATGGAGGTCCCACGGGGATGCGTTTGTTGTTGTTCCGTGACCGCGCGAGAACGTTCGGGAGTGAGCTCCATCGAGAGACAGGCACGCGAGGGGGTGCGTGCGTTTTTCTTTTTTTTTCCTTTCCTCTTTTGGCATCCCGTGATCTCGAGAGATGAGGGAGTGCAAGGGTGGAAATTTGTGGAATTTGTTATCTCGCGATCTCGCGAGGAATTTCGGATTTGAGTTTCATCCTCGAGATCCATCTAACGGTGGAGGTCCTTCGCCGCGAAGTATGCGAGAAAATGTGTAACTCATCCTGCGATCTCGCCAGGACTCTGGGATGCGAATTACCTCCTCGTGGTCCATCTCGCGGTGGAGATCCTTCGACTCGAGGGATGCGAGGGCGGAAAACCTGTCTCTTATATTACCCTGTGATCTCAGACCTCGGTACGGTCGGAAGCTCCCGACTCTCGTGCGGTACGTTCACGGAGGGATGGCGGAGTCAGCGTGTATAATTGTTAATTATTTATAATCCGTTCGCGCTCTTCGACGGGGCGAAGTTACGTTTAAGGTTGCCGCTCGGGGGGCGATTACTTAGGAGCGAGACCGGCGGGCCCGCGAGGAAGTGCACCGGTGCATCGTTCTCCTGGCTGCGAGAAGAGGTCTACGTCCAACCTTCCGGAAGAACCCGAAGAGAGTCCGTGCTGGAAACCATTGGATCGTCGTTCGACGCTTATCCGGGAAATCGACCGGAACGTTCCTCTGGATGCACTCTCAACTGTGCCGGTGAACTCACCGGGATAAGCGTTTCCCGCCCACGTTGGACTCTTCCTCGTGGCCCCGACCACGAGGGAAGTTAGCACCTCGTCTTATGGCGAGGAGCCGCCTCCGTTAACCCTGTGATCTCAAACCCTGGCACGACCGGACGCTCTCGACTCTCGATATACATATATATACACACACATACACAGATACACATGTACGGTGCGTCAATCCGTGAAACGGATCGAAAGAGTCTTGGCGTGTAATTGTTAATTATTTATAATCCATTACCGCTCTGGTAAGGCGTACTGATATTTAAGATTGCCGGTTAAGGAGGATTACTTGGGAGCGAGATATACGATAGGTGTTAAACGAGTAATTATTAATATATATATATACACACATTATATATATATACACGCATCATACATAAGTATATATATGTATACTTATAGCAAGTATCGTAAGAGGCGAGAGCAACTATATCGGTAGGAGCGAGTTAGGTCAGATCGAAGCGTTCTTTCGGCGCTCCTTTGTGGAGAAAACATGCGCGAACGAGAAGGTTGGAGCTTAACGATGTTAAAGTTTAAATTCTAGTTCGCTAGGTCGTCGACGTGGTGAGGAATATGTGCTTCGATCTTGTTCGATGACTGGTAGACCGATGGCTTCGAACATGATGCGGAAGTTGTGGAAGGTTTGCGATCTTGGGACTTGCTCGACTTGATGGCTATTGGGACGTTTTCTGGATTTGTTAATTAATTCTTGATGAGATTTATAATGACATGTGAATTGAAAAGGTATTTCAAATTTGTTTAATTCGGATCTCGCGAGATATGGGGAATATGGGGAGGAGGACCGTAGGTGACCGGTGAAATTTTGCAAATTTTGTATCGATAGCTTTCGTTTAGTTCTTTTGTATAAATTGAGTGACTTTTGGGGTACAAATTAGCAACGGACAACGTAAGGGAATTAATCAGTTCGAAAGGGTAAAAATTGTAAAAAGTTTTTTCATTCATTAATGGTTCGCAGCTGTAAAATGTTAACTTGTTATATAAAAATGCTTCGGTCTAGCTGCTGCGAACGGTATCGAAGCACTGCTCGTACATGTCGACTGCGTACTCCGGAGACTTAGTGAGAGGTTCGATAGGCTCTCGACACCACAGGTGTGAATCTCGCGAGCAAGGCTAGATTAGTTAGGCGAATAGATTGCGAATTAGGGAGGTGGATTATAGTGCAGGAACAAATAATTGTTATCGTACAAATACGAGCGATCTGTCATGTGTTCAAAGATAAGGGGGCAAGAAGGGCGAGGGAGAGAAGAGGCGGAATTCAGCTTCGGTTGCTCCAGGCACTGCCAAGGTCTCCCCTGCTCTTCGACAACTGTACTTAATAAGTTCTGTCGTTAGACTCACCGCAGGAACTTACCCTCCGAGCACTGGTACGCCATCGAGGCACTCATCGAAAGACTCCTTCGATGCATCGGAGGTCTCTTCGATGCATTGCCGTACCGAAGGGGCAAGTTCACATCGAAGCGAAGAAGGAAGCAGGAAGACCACGAAGGGAGAGATCGAAGAGACAGAGAGCAGAGAACGGAGTGCCCTGTGTACCCCACTCGCCTTGGACGAGAGATACGAGCAAAGAGCGCGGTCGCTCTTACAGGATTAGAGGAACATTATTGTAAAGGGTGGCGAAAGAAGTATGGCAAAACATAGGAAAACAAAAAAAATGGTAATAAGTAATAATGAATTAGTTAAAGGAAAAAAAAAAAATGTGTCGGCTGTGAGCTTCCAAGCAAGTAACAATAATTAAATTATTATAATAATTAATTATAACAAAAAAAAGGGGAGAAGTGGCGTTGATGGAGGGGCGGCTTACACGATAGATTCTAGCAAATTGTTGACGCGTGTGATTTTCAGCTTGCCCGCCTCCTATTGCGAGGGATTCTTTTCGTCTCGTGTTCCCTCGCCGGACGTGTTGATTCTCAGCGATGAAACTTGAAGAGCATCGAGGAAGAAATAAGTGGACATCGATGACGATCGTGAGTTCTGTCCGAAAGGTACCCAGCCAGTTCCAGTGATGGTTCATCGCTAAACAGTTTGGATTTCTTTCCTGGACGGAGATGTGAACGGTGTTTTTGTGGATCCATCGTGTGGCCTGGTTAATTGTCATCGACAGGAAGTAAGCGACTACCGAAGAGAACCAGTGGTAATGGAGAACCTGAATGTTAATTGTTTATAGAATTTAATTTGAATCAAACAATTGATTCGAGTGGACTGACTCATGCGACGATGTATGAATTTCTTTTTGGTGCTGTGTAAGATGTTACTTTACTTTGTGTCGATGGAGTCGAGTACTCTGGACCTTGTCGATGTGAATGGGATACCAAATGGTGACAGCAATGCAGAAGACCTGCACTTACTAATTGTTTATAAGGCGATGACAGGGAACTTGCTACTTTGAAACCAAGTTTATTGGTTTGCTCCGCCTAAGAGAATGGTCCTGGTGGATGCATATCGATGGACCTGTTCGAGTTATAAATAATTCATCGGCTGAGATGAGAACAGGGACCCGAGGCGACAGTAAGAGACAAAATGGGCCTAGGCAAGCGGTCACAGACTGCACCGATGTTGTTAACGAAGCAGAATTTAATTTATTGAAGCAGAAGAGTGCCTTCTATTTGTTTTCCCTTTGTGTGTGATTGTATTGTTGAACATTTGTTGCGTTAAAACGTTCCAAGAGCCTCTAAGACGTTGTTATCGAGGAGAGGGAGGTAGAAGTGTTTGAGAAATGTTGTTCCTCTATTTATTTATTGATTTAATGGCTAATCGTGCTGGCTTTGCACGAAGTAGCTGCAGTCCGAAGAGAGCCTGAAGAGTATTCGGAGGATAAGCCACTTAGTGGTCCTCGAAGCTAGGACAGGGAACTCCAGCTAAGGTGAAGGAAACACTCCAAGATGAGACCGATTGCATCGCGAATGGTATTTGGAGAACGAAGAAAAGGTGTAGATGGAAAACGAAACATTCCACTGGGACTACTTTAATGCTTCAAAGTAGACGAAAGAAATGGAAGCGTGCCTCTACGCTGAAGTCAAGCCGAGGACATGATTCAAAGAATTGTGAAGAATATCTGGATATTCTATTGGCGGATTGAATCATTTTCCCATGAAGAAGTCTAGCGAATGTTAAATGATAGTGCGGAATGCGGACAAGTGAAAAAATAACGACGAAAGCAAAGCAGCTGACTTGGGTAAAGATATTCTTCCAACATCTCAGGGTTTGTCAAAAGAAAGAAGATTTCGAAGAGCTCGAAGGTAACTAATGAGGACGAAGCGGTTAAATGGCTACTCGGAGATACATTATTACAGCGAACTAAGCTGCAAAGAATGGGACGAATGACATAAAATGTTCTGTTCGAAGACTAGAGGAGCAGCTAAAATGAAAGCGAAGAAGAACATTACCGAAGGAGTCTGGTGTTGCAACGAAGAAGTATTCCTAAGAGCAGAAGATTGCTGTCGAAGTGCATCAACCTTTAGTGATTGCACTTCGAGATCTAAGGCCCCTTCTTGGATAGATGCACCATTTTTTCCAACAGGCAAGTTTTTCTTGATGCCACCTACTTGAAACGGCTAGCAATACTTGAAACTTAAGGGAATCTAGATACGATCTACGATTATACGTAGATTTCTCCGTTTTTATGAGAGGGTGTGTGTATGTGCGTGAGAAATTTTCCACTAAATCAAAAACTACATCTTACATTGCCATTGAAAAAAGTGTTTATTGCTGTTTTTCATCGCATCTTTACCGAAGTACGTTCATATTTAATTTCGCCAAATTCAGATTCAGTTTCGATCAAAAATTGTATTGTTATCAAGTTCTCTTTAGTTGACCATTTTTACATTGAGAAGAATTTTCATACCGAAGAGGAATCCTTTGTATTTACTTCACTTTAAATAATTGTAACGAATGACAGACCTCTTTCTAATGGACCAACAAGAAATAATGTTCATTTATTTTTGGCCGTGGATCCGAAACTGCGTTTATTTGTCCTTAAATTAATAAAAAAGGAGAAGCCAGTAAAGAGCGACATGTGCACACCTTCGTCGAGAGATAAAAACGAGAGATTTAAAAAAAGCCCGAAAATTGCAACAATAGTATAAGATTGTTAGTAAATTCCAAACTCAACGTTCTTTCAATACTTTCTCTCTGTGTAAATATAAGTCGCACGTGCAGCAATCAAAAGCAAACGGTGATACACGTATTAATTTTTTGCAACAATATCAATAACATTATTCGAAGGCTTCTTTGTTTTAATTTATTTTCATTAAGCCTTAAATTAATTGACATAGTGAAGTTTTTCAAACGGCATGCATGAGTACAGTTATCGCTATCAATGGTGGTAAACTTTGGGAAAATGCAAATTCTTCTAAACTGTATAAAAATCCTTAAGTCAGAAAAATTAAAAGACAACTCTTGGCGTTTCTCGTCCGAAAGTAAAACGTACAATTAGCGTCATTAACACGGCTGGAAATTCTTGGAAACGGAGTACATTTTTCTTTCTCTTCGTTTTTGTTCTCTAAGTCGCTTTTCTGTTCAATTTTAATTTTACACGACGCCACTCGATAATCAAATGTACATCCCATGGGAATTAATTATGGGGTTTTCGCTACTTAATCTAATCTATTCCGGACACCTACTCTTACGTATCTTTCCATTTCTATAAACTCTATGTCTACAAAGAATATCGTTAACGATTCACTTAAAAGTAATCATCGAAGAAATCTCGCCGTGGAGTTCATTTTGAGCAATAAAATCTATTTCTCGGATAGGGACGTCCGAGGGGAAAGCTTTGGTTCTTTGCGTTGAGCGCGTACATTGGCGCCATTTAATAAATTCGAATCGAGCTCGTTCTAAACTGTACAATTTGTGTTTAATCGAGAAAGCGTCTAAATTGGTGCCAACTGAACTTTCGGGAATACTTGCCGACGTCAAAACTCGACGATACCAAAAATCGCGAGACTATCCAAAATTGCCGAGCGATTGAGAGCTACTTCTAGGTTAAGGAGGTTAAGGAAGAGTCTTAACACTGTACCGAGCGGAAGCCTATTAATCAGTTTTGCGATACCCGTGATATCGCCATTTACTTTCAAATTCGCCGATCGGTAAAGTGTTAATTGCATTCTCTACGTCCCGGCTGTACAGTTCGTGGCATGAATGCTCGCTAAAGTGGTCAACTTGATATTCGAATCGACTCATTTTTTCTTCCCACGCGATATTAAAAAAAAAAGAAAAAAGACGGAGAAAAGCGATCGTTTATGCGTCCAACTGTACACGTAGAAGTTACATTCTTGCAGATTTAAACATAGAACGTACATATTAATATATTATAACCGTGCAGGAGTATATCGTATCTGCTCGAGAGTATACCGACGTCCCGAAGTCGGACTCGATTGCCTAACCGAGGAAATATCGCGTGCATAACGTGAGCGGAATCGCGGAACCCGTCTGTTAACAATTAAAAACCTTTTTGCCATTAAGTATGCAATATTCTACGGGTGTGAAGCGAGGCAGCTCTCCGACGTTAGATTCGTTCCTTGTCCGTGAACTCGTAGACGCAACGGAAAGAGAAACTGGAATCACTAAAGCGGGATTGGCGTTGAATCCTAACTTCAAACTCGTAGTCGGTTAGTATCAAAACGAATCGCTAGGGGGTTCGACGTTGAACCCGGAACCTATCTTCGAGTATATTATAAGCGTATCAGAGTTTGAAGCGAGTGTTCTAACGTCGGATTCGATACCTAACCTTAGATATGTTATATCTGATAAAAGGGCGGCGCAGGGACGAGAGGCCAAACCGATAAACGGGCTATAACGAAATATATCGATATATATATATATATATAATTATATATGTACGAGGTGTAATAGAAGGGACTCGACGTCGAATCCGTCACCTATCCTCAAATGTACTATATCTGCACGAGATTATCACGCGAGGCAGCGATCCGACGTTAGATGCGTTACATAACCTCAAGTCTGCCGTTGGTTCGCATCGAACGCTGTAAAAATCACTATCGGAACCGACGTCGATTCAGGTATGTAGCTTCAATCATATACTTGCATCCATAGGAAGGTATACCGTTAGATTCATTACCTAACCTCTAACCAGAAATTCGTATAGAAAATGCCGAACCTATAGTGACTTCGACGTCGGGCCCGAAATCTAATCTTAAATATATATTATAAGCGCCCGGGAGTTGAAAGCGAGACAGTGTTCAGAAGTCGGACGAGTAGTCCGATGTAGCGTTTGCACCTGGTTTGTGTCGAAGAGACAGAATCAGGTGTGAAAACGACCCCAGATCCCGTATTTAATCTTAAATATATTATAAGAATATGAGAGTGTAAAGAATGGTAGCGTTTCGATGTCGGATCTGTTGCCTAATCTCTTGAGTCTCCAAGTGGTTCGCATCGGACAGGTCGAACCCTACAATGGAACCGACGTCGTGTCCTACCCAAAGGTGGAATAAGAAATAATATATACGTACACGTGTAACTGTAAATGAGGGAGTCTAACCTAAAGAAGATACAGAAGATAGGAACATGCGTAGCGAAGCATCTGATAGGGGGATTTCATGTATCATTTCATGTACACAGGCTGTTACGGAGAGCAGGCATGGAGACGGGCCAAATGCTGCATGCCTTCGAAGTGGTGAGTGCACACCGTAAACTTCTGGAAATGGATGGCTGCTGATGGTACGTTAACCAGTTTGGAGGCATTCCAAGTTCTACTGCAGTAAACTTGATGCTTTTGTTCCGGAAACCTGTTGATCGGTGTTATTATTTCACTGCAGTTTGTGATTTTCATTTGTAATAGGAACTCGATTAATTGATACGGCTGTATTGACTTTTGAGATTTTTGTCCAATTTTGCATAGAAAATACAAGATGTGCAGTGAAATCATGACTAAATGGTCGATGGTGGATGTAACCAAAGTGTATCGTGTTTTTTGCAACTATTGCTTTGATTTGCTTAAATCTAGGGATTTCTATCTCCATATTCAATGAGTACAAGTTTTCATGTTATAGATGATATGCGAGATTTCGCTGTGTTTAGCAAAGCCTGGATTGATTTTCAGTGACATTTTTATGTCGTTTCTGTAGCGTGGATAGAAATCTTTGGTTTATTCAGCATTGAGAAAATGTTGCAGTGCAGAGAGCTTGGAATGATTGTTACTTCTTTGGTAGAGGACGTGTCTGTGTACTGGTTCTGTGAAGAAATGTTGATTTCCCTGTGTAAAGGATTGGATACTATTTTGTACATTGCCCAAGATGGTGTGTTATGTCGGCAACAAAGGTTTGCGAGTTGGAAGAACCATTTATGTAATTTGGCCAAAGAAAAAGCCTGCAAGAATGTCACAGATGGACAGAATCCATTCGTATAATGTAGAGTCAGAGCCCTATTAATTTAAGTACTTTACTTACCCCTTTTAGTTCAAGTTCTTAGCTTCATTAAATGGTCGGTTGGCTTCAAGTCTGCCACCAAGGTATGATTATCTCTTTGAGATAGACCCAATCGAAACCGATCAAATTATATGGAACGAACTTTCGAGTCAATCTTTTGCTCCATTTCCAGAAGTAAAATCGCAGTGAGTGGATCTTTTCACGATGCAAGTACTGCTCTGCTTAGTGGTAAATTTATGTATTATTACTTAAGTGTAAGTTATACTGAAGAATGACACGTAGGTTGTATCGCAAAAGAATATAAATATATATATATATAAATATATATATTTAAGACTAAAATAATCTATGATAATAAAGCGTATATTGCATTGTAAGAGATACATATATTTAAAAAGAAAGACATAAGAGTAAGAACAAGATGCGTAAACAATAATAAAGAGAACTGTGCACGAGCGCAGTCAGGGAGGAGACTATAGTAAACGAAGGTGAAAATGAGATATATAGTAGAGCTAAATAAAATGTAACACCCAAGACGAAAATAATAAAAGGTCAGAATGAGAGAATGCAAAATACATAAATGGTCGTTACCATATTATTTATTTCTATTTTTTAGATTAATGCTGCAATTTGGTGAAACAATCATCATGATGGTCCTATCGAACTGCAAAGGTAGGTGTTTCATCAGGAAACTCGGTAGAGTTTCGCGCCAAATACATTTAAATGCAATTTTATAACTTATAACTCGGTCGTCATATGCGAGGTCAGTGCTTGAACTCGGGTGGCGTTACAGCTTTTGCACAAAACGTGGTCGTCCAGGGGATAACATCCTCGACCTTCGGTTTCAGACGAAAGAACCAGCCCGCAGTCTTCGCATTTGTAGCACTGGATGTGGAAACTGCGATCCAGAGCTACCACTCTCACAGTTTCGTCCTGGTCGGGTTCCGGCATGATGGGAAGCTTGCAGACGCAACAGCGAGGAGCGAATTTCCTGCAGGTAAAATAATTAAATGGTTAATCCAGTTTTTTGACATGAAAGAGATAACTTGTTCATGAAACTTTTGTCCTTAAATGTCTATTTTGCGGCAACAAAAGGACGATTTACTTGTGGAAACACTGTATGCAGTGAATCTGATTCGTGGCATCGACGGTGAACGGGATGCCGTCGAGGCTTTGTCCACAAACTACGCAGGTAAAGCACGAAGGGTGGTAGGGTTTCCCGGTGGCTTTCAAAATCCTGTCGAGGATCGGTCTTGTGCAGACGCAGCACTTCTCCAGGGTGTTTAGGTAGTCTTCCTCGCAATAGGGCTTCCCCTCGAGCGAGTAGAACGCCTTCCCCTGGAGGTTGACGTTGCAGACGAAGCAGCAGAAGCAACTTATGTGGAAGACCTTGTCCATCGCCGAGCAACCTGTTCCTTCTCCTTCGACCTTGCGACCACATTGGGCGCAAATTCCGTAAATGTCGCTGTCCTCTGCGCTGTCCGACATCCCCTGCACCAGGAGATCCGTTAGCACGTCCACCTGGAAATATTCTCTCCTAAGTTAATTTATTCTTGAATAATACCGCACGTCGCTCGCCAAAAGAACTAAAGCTTTTATAAAAAATGTATAGACGCGCAACTTTCATTTTCCCAAGGATACCTTCTCTGAGAAAGGATGAGAGCGAGAATAGGACTCACCTCCTTAACGGGCGAGACTTTGCCCTGCGGCTGCGTCGACGTGGCGGAGCCATAACCGGAGTACATTGAATAGTTGCACGATAGTTGTGACGGGGGCCGAGGATTGATGGGCTCGTAAATCGACTCGTACGTCGAGCTGGACTGCGAGCTCGGCCCGTAGATGTCATTCGGGTAATTCCCTGGCTGGAAGTCGTTCCGGTAAGTAGCTCGTCTCAATTCGCTGTAGCTCGAAGAGACGGGACTAGGAGGTGGTGGAAGCTCTTCCGGGGGTGGAGGAAATGAATTCCCGGACACGCAGGGGATGTACTCCGATGGCTCTGGTGGAGGCGGAAGGTCTTCTGCAACGACAGAAAATACGAGGCATTTAAGGGGATGTGGAAGTGGCATCCGGAGGGTCGTGAATCGTTTTCCCTGAACTGGATGTACCGAATCGTATCAAACATTACAACGTGAACGTGAAGACTGTAAGAAAAGTCCTGACACCCGAAAACCGTACCTGTGCTGTGCGTCGAGGAGACATTGCAGTACGTGTTTTCCGGTTTCGCATTCCACTGGATGTTGCTGTAGATTAGGTCTTTTTCTTTCTTGTGCGGTGCTGGTACCGGAATAGGAACGGGTGCCTCGATATTTCCATATACCACGTTTCTGGTGGCTCTGCTGGATCTATCCTCAACTGGCACCTGGGGAGCCGGCATGTTGCCTACATTCGAGTAGAAGTTTTTCTCGTCAAAGCCGTACTTGGGCTCGAATTTTTCCTCGGGTTGGTTTGCGTAGAAGTTCTGGTCGCTCTGATAGTATTTCACGCTGTCTCCGCTATTGGTCGGCGAAGATCTGCGGCCAAAATCATTTTTCTCGACGTTCAAGGAGACGTAGGGAGATGGCGAGTTAGCGTAAAGATTCGTCGGTTTCTCGTTGGAGCCAGCATTATTTAGGACGGTGCTGTACGACGGAGCCGAAGGCGCCTGCACGGTGTAACTTTGAGGCACCTGGAGGAAAATGTTTAAGATGTTATTAAGAAATTAGTTTAACGATATCGATTCAATTCACCAAGTCTAGCGATGGTCTAGGGAGGAAAGAGAGTCATGTCGAATCACATCCGGAGCAGAAGATTGGTTGACCGGAAGATTATTCTATTCGGTGACGGGCACTCTAGATACTTCGACACCCATTTTACTAAACGGTAATTATCTAACAGTAAAGCGCTAATTAAGGGTAAATGAAATGAGTCGGTTCGAGGCGGAGTTATAATCGATATGACTAATTGGTAAGCGCTTTTTCTACTTTCAATGGTGGGTTGTTCGAACTGTGGAACGGCGAGAAGCACAATTACATTCACGAAATTAGAGCAGCAGAGTTGCATCTCGTTCATAAAAGTACGCTCGGAAAATTACCATAGTCAATCCCATGGTGAGGACAGCGAGAGAAGGAAATATCGAGTTAGTCTAGAAATAGTAATCAACTTTGTGTCGATTAGGGAGCTGACAATAACTAACCTGGGGCTGAGATTTTTTGGGCTTCGGTGGAACTGCGGGACCGATTTTCATTCCCGTTCTGACGGTTCTGTTGGCATTGCCTCCGTGATCGATCTGCAAGCTTGCAATTCTCTGCTCCAAATTCCCATTGTCCGACATTCTTCGCTAAGAGGGGGTTACGCCGGTTGTGAAATTTTCACCGAAGAAGTGTAATAATGGAGATCGCTGCTCAGGAAATGTGAAGTCAGTATCTTAGGAGTCAGTTGAAGAGATAATCTGAAAGTAAATATCCCAATCAATTAACAAATACAAGCATGAAATGTTTTCGTTCCTGAGTTAAAAATGTCATAATTGCAACAACTCTCCACACCGGTAATTTGTAATAAATCAGAATTCAAAAGACTACAACTCTACTACAATTCTCATAATTCTAATAGAATGCTGATATTAACCCATCCTAATGACATATACTTAAGTAAAAATAATAGTGAAAGTAAGCTTACATAAAGAGAAAGCTTCGAAGTAATGTGAACGGTTAATACCGTCAATTTTCTTGAAATCCGCTAATCTCTCCTTGACCGATAAAAAGTTATTCCACTCATTAATCTCTTTAAATCGTAAGGTCTATATTCGTACCTCAATTCCAGTGTTAAAAGACATCCTTTATCGATAGGCTTTAAATGGCTGAAAGATGTCTTTTAACAGGGTAAATGAGGTACGAGTGCAAGTCTGTGTCTTATTACCTGAGTCCTGTCGGCTAATCAATTCGTCAATGTATTCACTTTGCGATGCAGTCACCACTACTCCAGAGTGAATAAGAAGTCCAATGAAATCTGGAAGAGCCCCTTTCCTCCAAGTTTGACAGTTCCAAGGCGTAGCTGGCAGAGCCGAGTCATAGGCCTTATCTCGAAGATTAGTCAACTCGTCCAGAGTGACGTGGGGAAGACGCGCCCCGCCCGCGGTCGATCTGTTCGAGGAAGGAATGAATAAATCAAATCTTGTATAACATTTTAACCGGGAATAACGAGAAATGTCAGCGAGGCTTTCTTGATGGTTTCTCAACCGGGTATGTCGCAATGAATTTTCATGGGAAACTCTATAAGGTTACTCACCGGCGATCTATGAAAGAGATGCTTTCTTTCGCAAAGAATATCAGAACCGAAGCGCTGGTTTTCTTTAATCCGGAATGATTTCGTTTACCTTAAAGAAAGCACTCGCACTGGTAGAATTATTCCGGTCTTTCGCCCTGTCTGGAAGTGGTCGGTAAGACAGATGTATCGTTTTTACCAGTCCGGAAATTATCGATCTCACTTCTACGAGTCTGCATTACCATCTATTCAAGCTGAATATCCCCAGGAAGGAAACAGACAAGTTTCATAAATAACTCGGATGATTACCGCTAGTGGCGTCACATGTTTAAAGATATTTGATATTCTCATTACAGTATTTAAAGTAAATTGCGATGGTTGAGATAGAGTAAGGCTGGAGACGCATGGTGGGGACGTCGGGAATGGAGCGGAAAATCCCGCACGCGGGATTTTTTTGACTTTAACGCCATTGATGGTAAGTATTTATTGGGACCAATATTTGACTTCTGTGGGAAGATCTAGAAAGCACTTTATGAACCACGTAATTGCGAAGTGCAGCCGTCCAGACTCGGTGCTATTTGTTGTATGTAACATTTTATCTATTAACATTTTGATAAGGTTGTGATAAGGGCTACAGGAAGGAGAAAGATGTCCAGGATGACATATCGAAAATAAATAGCCGACTTGTTGCACTGTTACTCAGTTTCGTCTGGTTTCGTCGAAGTTAATGGTGCACCGCAAGGGGTTAATCGAAATAACCTCGAATATAACCTAATCTCTGTTATCTAATTATCACAATGGAGAAGTTATTCTCAGTCTCATCAAATGAAAGGGGATCCATTTAGATCTCGACATTTTTATGTGAACTAGAGATACAAGTACACTAAAGAGTGAGTTTGATTTCCACACGTTTTATTTTATCTTAACATATCGTATCTGGACATCGATGGAAACTCATTGTTTGTTTAATTTATCGAGTCAAATGAATTTGAAATTTCTGTTATCGAGATTAGCTTGATTGTTATCATCTCACGTAGAAGTGTCTGACACTTTGTCTAGAGGCAGATAAGTCATCAACCTCGTACATCGACGATCCAGGTGCTAATGCGGATATTACCCTTCACGTAGTTCCGATTAGATAACATCGTGCATTTTAATGTTTCAGAACAGAACAGCTTAAATGAATTGGTTTTTCCCAGTGACGTATCGTACAGTTTGTAGAGTGTCGAGCGGCTGTTCAAATTTGCATCTTTGTGACTAATGATTTAAGATACTACTCTGAAAGCAACGATATTGTTGTCCTTTTTTGGGGATCTTTTGCTCGTAGAGACTCACAGTAATAGAGTAAATGTATCCGATATCGACCCGAGTTCAAGGAAAGGTCTTTCAAGATAGATTACATTTACCAAGCAGCGTAGGGAGATTCCTTGTCTATTGGGTTTTCCGAATTGCATCAGGATGATGAATTCTTCAGATGGGTGGAATAGATTATCCGATGACCAAGCTGGTAAGTTCAACCAATAATTCCGTTACAGTACTAATCTTGATTTATCTCGTTATAAAAAATTATTTCATGTAGATGATAGATCTCATTGCATTATTGTAATCGGATGGCCAACTTACATTTTAAAGTTATGCTTATAATTGACTTACATAACTATGCTTATTCATTGAGTGTCTTTATCGATAACGCATACATATATATGCCTGCATTTATGCGAACTCTTGACAAGCATTTGACATGTTAACTTCGAAAGGCACATAGCGCTATAAGAAGGAGTTACGGAAAAACCGAAACGTAAACAGAAACTCACGAGTTCCAGAGCCGGAAATTCCCGGGAATAGGGTTTCGGAAAATCTTCGTGTCGCCGGGTTACAAGTTGTTGAGTTTTCATGACCTGTGGAAGTAACGGTATAGGAACGAGGAAAACTCGGACGTAATGCCCCTAACGAAGTGGGAATTACCGGAGAATCACGTGGGCGCATCGCCGGGTGCGTCCCTTCTCTACACGCGAGTTCACGCGAGCTGTAGTTGCGACCAGACGCGATCAGACGCGGTCAGTCGCGATCGGGCAGTCCTCGCGCGTGGATCAGCGAGTGCGTTTCTCCTCCTGTGATGATACATTGTCGTGCAGATAGCCATGGATCGTAAGTGAAAACAGTCGCTAACTACAGTGCACGCAACCGTGGGGATCGAGAACAGGTGCTTACTTATGCCTTCATTTCCACGACTGCAAAGTGGATGCAGGCAGGATGTCTTTCAATGATCTGACTCGAAGGCAATAGAATTGAAAGAGAAAATAAAGGATTTTTTCGTCTTATTTTTTCTATGGAACTTATAGCGTGATGTAGTTACAGTTAATTTCTAGTGCGTTATATTACAACATATGTGCTTCCTCGTAATCGAAAATCTCAAGATTGGACATTTTATCCTTAAAAACCGATCTGATTTCAACTCGTGAGATAGCAAACAAATACATGAACAATTACACATTATCAATGTAAAGTCATATGATACAATCATTTAATCAGACACATCTAGCAATATTAATCGGAACATTTGCTTCGGTGTACATATATATGAAACATTTTTTTTTTACAATTAATCACTATTTGCATTCACCTTTTCTGTATTAACACAAATCGTGTACACGTTTCTGATAGCATTAGTGCATAACTCTTGATTAATTTTATCATCAACTATTATTAAAAATTTATTTTTGAGCGTTATTATCGTTACGTTAAAAATGTTGCGAGACGTTCAGGGTGTTTCATGGAGAAAGTAATAAAGAATAATGACTGTCATTATTTAATGATTCTCCTCAACCTAGGAGTTTCACTTTACCGTGATTCATGCCGGTTGTCTCAATTTCATTACAGGTCGAAACGATTGAATATATTATTTTTCAATTTCTTCCGGTAAGGTGTTGAGCCAGTGAAATTGAGGTTGGTTGGGAAAGGTGCTACGGCGATCTTTAGCAGTGGTTTAGTTCTCGGGGAGAGTGAAACGCGTTCGAATTTTATTCCTCCTTTTTCCGAATCAGCGAACGGTAGAAAAATGGAGATTCCACGTGTTCGTATTTCGCAACAGGGGCATTAAACCAGTGATATCTCGTCGTGTTCTGACTTCGCACATCCGACGAGGACGTGTGCTGTTTCTTTGTTCCTTCGCGAGCGATGCCTCGGTGTTGTAACATTACCTTGGGTTTGAAACGTTAGACGAGGAGGTGATAATATTTAGATAACTAATTCTCTGTGTTGATAGGTGCTCCAGGTGAATCAGTGGAGAGGAAAGAGGAATGCTTGTCTCTTGTTAATAACTGTACTCATTGTATTTATCTTTTAACACCTAGTGTTAGAAAGTGTTTAGAAATGTTTTGGTGAAAGTTTAGGTGAAACAATTTTATTGACGCCGGTTTTCTTTTTTTCTTTTTTTTTTAGATAGTCTTCCAGAAGATGACAGGACGGCAAAGAACCAGGAGAATTGGACTGTCGGGGATGGAACAGGCTCGACAAATGCTGCTCGACAGAGGATTCCAGAGGCCCAAAATGCCTCGGAGAATACCTCTCTGTCCCCAAATGTCAATCAGACATATTTTGCCGACCAGAAGATCCTTATACCAGACATAGACAGTGTAAGTATGCTTCCGAGGTATTCATACAATACCATTATATAATAGATTTTTATTCTGATACTACGGTTCATATTGTCCGGCAAAGGCATGAATCATCGTCTCAACCAGGCAATTATTTCTTTTTCCTTTTTGGGCTTAATTCGATTGCACATAATAGTCCCCTTCGTGTCTACTAAAAAAGAACCCATAAACAATAAGGTACTAAATAAGAGGAACGTGGACAATCATAATTCAATTCAATCGTAAGAGATTGCGCAGAGATTCGGTTTAATTTTTATTCTTTTATTTGCATTATTTTACTGTCAACTGTGAACTTTTTGCTGGTATTGATTTACAAGTTCTGACCCTGGTAAATTGTTATTTTACGTCACTTCCGTTTCATTCACGGAGACGGGGATCACACTATGGGCGCGTTCCTAATGTCAATGCTGCTGGCAATGATGCTGTAATCGACGTTTTTCGTCCAAAGACGTGCGCTCGTTTTATGTTGGAATCCTGAAAATGAACTGCCTGCTAACAATACATCGCATTGTTGAGCGCTAGGCGCGACGCATAATCGGTTCTGTCGTTATGAACGCTGGTTAGCCAAAAGTAATCGGTTTTACAGACTTAGTTAACGTTTCTCTCTCTCTCCGGTCATCACGAACCTTTACCAATAAAATGCGACGAGAGTAATTGTGATTTTCTTTACATGTAAAATTCTTTTGTTTACAGACTAAGTTTAGCTTTAGGAAATTATGGGCATTCACCGGGCCTGGTTTTCTGATGTCCATTGCCTACCTCGATCCTGGAAATATAGAATCGGATCTACAGTCTGGAGTTGTCGCTAAGTACAGGGTAATTACTATTGTCCCATTTGAACCTAACCAGTGTATATATAAACAAACACGTGGGCTAATTTATTATATATTCTGGTGCACTCCTCTCTCTTAATTGTCTGTTTTGCATTTATATTAATTCATTAAGGGATATTATTAGAATCTTGTTTATTTATTTCAGCTACTATGGGTCCTCCTCAGTGCAACGGTCTTAGGTCTCGTCATGCAGAGGCTCAGTGCACGACTTGGCGTCGTCACCGGTCTTCATCTAGCCGAGATGTGCTACCGACAATATAAAAAAGTTCCAAGGCTCATTCTGTGGGTCATGATCGAAGTAGCCATTATAGGAAGTGACATGCAGGAAGTGATAGGCACGGCCATTGCCATCTCCCTCTTATCGAACAAGTTGTAAGTTTTAACGAACACTATTTTATTTTTATTTTTCAAAATGCGATTTACTTGTTTTCTTTCAGAATACCATTGTGGGGAGGAGTACTGATTACTGTAGTGGACACATTCACATTTTTATTTTTGGACAAGTACGGCTTACGTAAGCTGGAATGCTTCTTTGGGTTTCTTATCATGATAATGGCAGTAACGTTTGGTTACGAGGTAATAATAACGTTTCCATCGAATGATACCGGGATTCCTTTGGCTTACATAGATCGATGAAACAGTATTTTCTTGTCTTTACTATCGTAGCTTTTCCTGTACACATACAAAGCATGAAACTTTAGAGCTAACAATTGCTGAGAACATTTGTCATCGGTTTAGTTAAAAGTGTTTCTTTTTTTCAGTACATTGTGTCAGCGCCACCGCAGTTGGATGTCTTAAGTGGTATGTTCGTGCCTTGGTGTAAGGATTGCGACTCCGGAGCATTACTTCAAGCAGTGGGGATCGTCGGTGCTGTTATAATGCCCCACAACTTGTACCTTCATAGTGCACTTGTTAAGGTGAGTTAATCATGGTACATTACATTTTTGGAATAATTAAAAATACCAAGTGCAAATATTAATAAATTTTTAGGGATGAATCAATGTCACAATATTCAATGGATATGTAAAATGCGTCAGTTGTTACGGCTGTGTGTTTATCATCTGATAATTGCCGCGTAATCTCGAACGCATGCTGACTCTAACAGATCGGTTTTCAGAGAGTGTTATCTTGTTTCCTAGCGTACGATCCGTCGTAAATTGATCAATTGACGTATTTCGTGAATGCCTAGCTTTATCACGTTCTGCTCAGCATTGGCAAATGTCAATCGTTTCACGGAATATCCGCTTCGAGTTTCATGCGAATTCTTCGCCTATGACGCAAATCAAAATAGCCGTCTCGCCTTCACTGAGTCATCAATTGATACGATCGCCAGTGATTTTGAAATGAATTAAAATTGATAGAATGTTGTATTATAATAATATTTATGACTTTTCAGTCCAGGGACATCGACAGGAGGCGGCCGGAGAAAGTTCGAGACGCTAATATGTATTATTTCATCGAGGCTTCGATTGCCCTCTTCGTCTCGTTCGTGATAAACGTTTTCGTCGTCGCTGTCTTCGCCCATGGACTGTTCGGGAAGACCAACGCCGATATCGTGAGTTTCCTTCCCAATAATCCCAACTTTATAATACATTCATCTTTTGGTATCGATGAATCGATACAGTAATATCACTAGAATGCTTTTATTATACGTTGATTTGTTGTTCACTTAGTAATAGTTCTTTTTTTATTCCAGTACAAAATTTGCAAGGACAGCAACGATACTGCAGGGATGCAAGAGTTCACTGTAAGTATACAAATGTCTTGACTTGTTCTTAACTGCCTCTGTACTTTATTCGAAGGAATCATTGTCGTCGCTTCGTAAGGACTCTACGTATGAATAATTTGTTCTTCTGATTTCAGAACAACAACGACACCTTCGACGCAGACCTCTACAAAGGTGGCGTTTATCTCGGTTGCCAGTACGGGATCCCGGCTATGTATATTTGGGCCATTGGTATTCTGGCGGCAGGTCAATCGTCGACCATGACCGGCACTTATGCCGGCCAGTTCGCGATGGAAGGTTTTCTGAATCTGCAATGGGCACGCTGGAAGAGGGTCCTCTTCACCCGATGCATCGCCATCGTTCCTACTTTCCTGATCGCCTTTTTCGCCAGTATCGAAGACCTCAGTGGCATGAACGACATACTCAACGCAGTGATGAGCCTGCAGCTGCCATTCGCCACGTTGCCCACTATTGCCTTCACCAGCAGCCCTCAAATCATGGGAGACTTTAAGAATGGAATGTAAGCTTAGCCTTCTTCGGGTCCCTTCGAATAGTCCCTGTCGATATTAAGATTTCCATTTATAATGATTAATCACATTTGTCCTGTGTTTCAGGTTAAATAAAGTCGTCTCCTCGATGTTATCGGCCCTCGTGATAACGATCAATATTTATTTCGTGGTGAGCCTGGTGAACAAGGACGTACAAAACTGGCCGGTCTTCCTGGCTATCTGCATCTTCGGTGTTTTGTACTTGATCTTCTGTTTGTACCTCGTGATACACGTAGCTGCGAGTATGGGAGCTACGTGGATTAACAATCACTGGGTGGGTATCGATGGATTTAAAATTTTTTCCTTTTCCTTCCGACCCTAATGAGTTGTTGTGCTTTCAGTTCGTTGCAAAGTACGTTGGCAGTCCTGTGATCACGAACTTCGGTTTCCAAAGTCCTGCGGTCTACTCTAGGTAAGAGAAATCGGCGATTTAGAGAATTGGAGACGAATAATCGTGCCTTGATTTTTTATCCAAATGTTTACTGCATCGATATTTTACACAAAGAGTACAATGAATTTTTCCCATTGCATTCTGAAACCATTTTTATATACTAAAAAAAGAAAGTGGCATTATTTAATGAAAGAAGTTTTCTAATATCATAATATCAATACTACAAGTTTGCCATTTAAAGCATTCAACATTTCGCGAATTGGAACTTAATGATATAATATTGACAAGAATTCTTTCAAAAACGCATCGATTTTATTAGTCTCTTAGTTTATAAGTCTAACAAATCTACTAATAACATTGCTTGGATGGATCATCGGAGGAGGTTGCTTTGCTGACGAATCTTGTTTCGCTTTCCCTAATTGGTGAAGGTCTTCCCAGTAAATTTCGTGTTAGTATAATAGTGTCTTTATGTGTCTGTAAAATAATTAAAAAATGAGATAATGAGAAAATTTAGTTGACACTAAAATCACAAATGGCGCAGGGTGGCACTCTGCAGTCAATTAGGCTATCAAAAACCATAAATGCAGGAGATTTCTGGAGTTTTACTTCGATTTCTTTATAATCATTGTAGGGAAACGACATATGGAGTATGCCCCTTAGTACAATGAGGACATTGTACATACTTCTCCTGCATGAATATCGTGTCTTCGAATCATATAAATCATGTTAAGTTATTAATGACATTACACTAGAATTTATTATTGTGTTATCGATTGGGTGTTTGTTTTCAATCACTCATTACTCCGCTATACATTACACATTACTTTGGAATAAAGAGGGACAGTGGATACGTGCTTCCCACTCTTACGAAATCTACGGCTATACCTTGCAATGTTAATTCCTTGTGGTCGTAATTTGCGTGATACTCGAAATCAATTTGGAGAGGATGAAAAGTATAAGTGTGAAAAGTGGATCGGAGGGAAAAGTGTTCGTTACGATCGTATCGTCACCCATAACGACGCACTTTTTGTTTTCTCGTGCTTTTTACGTGGTGTCAATGTTCCATTTTTCGCAGAAGAGGAATTCGCTTATGAAAATTCATCGAATTTATCAGTGATTAACAAAGTGATTTTACTTGCATGCGATTTCCTAACGTACGAAAGTATGAGCCCTCGACGCTGAACCTGTGTAACTCGGATAAGGTAAGAAATGCTTAATCAAATTAACAACCGAATACATCTGACGTATCGTTCTGAACTTAACCGATTAATTTGCTGTTTTACTAATCTCACAATTATTTCTCCTGCACCGTTCTGTCCCGTGCTACTAATTTTAAAGCGGTGTGAAATTCTATACATCGTATGGAATGACCCTTTCGTATCATCTTAATTGCCAAAACATTATCTTGCAATTGGAAAATGGGCTTGGTGATGGAGAAATGGGATCAGTATCCTAACGTTTAAACTTTGTACAAATCAAAATTTACATAGTAAGGCACAATCAACAGTGAACACTTAACGGTTATCTCTCGAATAGAAATTGTTAATGATATTTTTATTATACAATTTATTTATTTTTTTTATAAATAGGTATTACCCCGTTTCCTTAGTATTGGCATAATTATTCAATGGCATTACATAATTATTTCAGTACGAATCCAACATTTACGATCCAAGAAACTCCGGAAGGAAGTCACAACAATCTTGCAGAGTATTATAGAACAACCAATCGATAAGGAAAGCTGCATTGGAAGATTGGTAATCTTTAGATTTTACAAAATGACAGCATTTGAGGTTGACTTGTAAATATTTAATGCTTATGTGCATGTTCATCGATAAATGGTAAGTGAGCCATTTTTAATTAAGGAGCTTTTCGTTTTGAAAAAGAGCCAGCTAGATTTCATTCATATGTACTGCAATTAATTTTTTATGCGTCTACGATGTACAGTAATGTATCGCAATAATGTATGTACACTTTTTCGAGAATACAAATTTTACGTAACGTTAAGTAGCAAAGAAAATCCTTAGCTACATTTTTATGTCATATCGACTCTCTACGGTGAATTAACCAAAGACAATGATAATTTGATTTTTAATAAGGATTGGAAGCAATGTTGCCAACTTCAATTCTCTTTATTCTAGTACAATCAAATTAAAATAACAGTACAATCCGATAGCTTCAAGCGATTAATCAGTGTTGTTAAAAAATATATAGAAATAATAATACTTCCACTGATATCCCATTAGTCTTGAACAATCGAGTGGTCATTTCCTAATTGAATCGTTCGTAATTCTCGTCTGAAAAGTGTAAATCGGTTTTAAATATAACTACTTTTAATATCAATCGCTCAATAATTCAAATCAGTTAATATCTCTTAATCGTTACGATAGTGAAACAACACCTTGTGAGTGGGAACACACATTTTTAAATTTTATAAAAAATATGTCAAACATTAATTTCATTTACTCAAAATTAACATCTTTTTCAGATTTGTTGGATTTTCATCAATTCTTTCATCATTATAAAATTCGTTAAGAACTATAAGTCATAGATTGTGGTAAAAAATCGCCATCTCCAAAAATTAAAAGTGTCATCCCCCACTCTCCTTTAAAATACAGATAACGTCTTGTAATGTACAGCAATTATTAAATAGGATCGGTGGTGAGTCGAAGATAATACTGGTTGTGGTCTCGCTTGTAATGGCAATAAACAAATGCAACAATCAGGAAAACTAGGAGGATTAACATCAACACGGAGGACGTCAGAATCGCTGAAACAAATGTATACAAATATATATCCAATATAAATAATTAAAAGTGAAAGTGAACGTCGATAAGTTTCTTCTATTGGGTGAAAAATCACTAGACTATTCACTTACCGACTATAGCCGTTGTGTTGACGCTATACTCGTATTTTTCCCACTCCGCTGAACATTCTTTCTCCCAATTTGTTGGAATAACATCCTTTGTCAATCTTATAAACTGGCTGAGCGGACACTCAGCAATGCACCCGGGCAGAGTCATGAGAATCGGATCTTCAGTTGAATTTCTGTATAACACCTGTTGAGCATACGAAAGTGGCTAAATTTAATTCAAGGTCAAGTTATACTAAAATCACATTTTATCGATTCATGTACAATTTTTAATAACGTAAATAACATGACTTAAACAAACGAATATTTTTGCTCTCATTTTTAGGATAGCAACCACTTGAACAGCCTCCAGAGGGAATAATTTAGCGCAAAGAGGTTCACTTACCGTAACAAAATACTGGTTTTTCGAGTTGACTCTCAACTCTATCATCACGCTAGCAGCGTAAGGAGGTGAATGAGGTTGAAAGAGTCCCAGGGTCATTAGCATGTTCGCCACCGTAATGTCGTGGGCACTGTACATCCACAGTTTCCTATGGGGGCTCAAGGTCTTCTTCGACTTCAAGACCATGTGTTCTATCATCTCACCGAGGAGAGGTCCTGTTGTCGTGGCAGAAAACTTTAGCAACTAGAACTTTAAGAATTGGCATCAATGAATTTCAACGAAGTCATATTAAACTTGCTAAATGAAATCCTCGGATTATTACTATAGACTCTTTATAATTGTGAAGGCACAGGAGAAAGGCATTGTAATTGAAGATTCACTCTTCGTGTAAAAAAAAGTCTAAGATAAAACCTCGTTACTCTGCTGTAATATGACTTGCCTGATTTTAATCGTTGCAATATTTTGTTGTACGCAGGGGTTTTGAAGCTCTCAGCCGCCAGCGGTTTGAGTTTGTCAGGGAATACTGATTTCGTCCATTCGGGCAACGTTTTGTTGTAAAGGCTCTGAAATCGTTAATTCATGTAATGAGATAATATTATAGTACAAATATCCCATATTTTAAATCTGAAAAATAGTAATAGTACTCACCTCTATGTAGAGAATATTGTAAATATACTCGACTTCCTCAAGGGAAGCGACGCTCTTCCCCGATTTCTCCGTAAGGTAAGCATAAAGTTTTCGGTTTTCTTCATTAATCTTCTTCATTTCCTCCGAAGCAAGTACTTTGGCCAACTCGTAATTATACCTCGAGCAGTATTTCTTCCCAGCCAACAAGAAGTCCTGCTTCTCTGGGATAGTGTGGACAGGAATCGGCATCCAGGACATATTATCCCAAACCTGGTCTCCTTTTGGTGGATACAAGCCAGCCAGGTTTGCTTCAGCAGACATCAGAGTACGGTCCACATCGGTGCTTCGAATGTACACATCGTAGGGTGAGTACTCCTCTGATAGTAAGTGCGAGTATCTCTTCCTGATCCATCGTCCAAGCAATAATTGTTGGTGCTTTCCAGTCTAAATAAAACAATCCGATATGAGTTAACGTGGTGTCAGACAAAAATATCGCGAATGCCCAGAACCAGCAGAATGTACAACTTACATTTGTAAGTTGACCGAAAGGAACGGGCCAAAGCGATTCGTTGTTGTAGGGATCATTGGGATAAGGGTCCACAGGTGTCCGGTCTCCGTGTCTGAAAAGCTAAAAAATTAAAAACTGATATCAAATCATTGATGAAATTTTTTGCAAGTTGCTGGCCTTATAAATGGCCAATTAATTGTCCTAAATTATTAAGAAAGGAACGGGCAAATAATATTAGATGCAGCACCGTTGCAAATTGGAGCACTGGCCCACTGATGATATAATTCTGCAGCTGCGCTACAGTTAATTTTGGTATAGTGGTGAAAGTTAATCAGGTCAGATTGGACCGAGCACCCAAATTGTTGAAATATGCAACAGCTGTCTAAACAAAGCGTATCAGACAATGGTGTTTGTTTAAGATTACATTCTTAAGCAATGAGAATATCGATACAGCATGTAATCTACATGAACTGACTTTATATGACAAATAATTATACCAGGTCACATCAAAACCGACCTGGAGATAAGTTGAGCAAATTGGTATTGTGTACTACTGATAATTTTCCTTCCAAAAGCAAATCACATTAGGACTCGTTTGCGCGTAGGCGACAGGCTTATCGCAAAAATGTACATACGTCGCCCTCGCCAATCGTCACTACCGGCTGCTTACATAAATACACCGACTGATAAAGAATCGCTTTTAACTACTGACCAAATGTCGGAACATTGCGAACCAAAAGCTGCCTGTGGTTTTTTGCTATAAAACTCTTTTTGTATCCACGGTATAACAGTCTGCACCAAAAACAACATGTATTAGAGTGATAACATCTTACTGTGATAGCGACACAAATATTTTGCCAAACAGCGAAGGAGGCAGGAAATCGGAGTACATATTTTATACAACGTACTGACACAAAATTACGACCTCTGTATAATTATCAATTGCAATGTCCTCTCTTTGGAGAGGTAGGAAAATAAACCAAAATTGTTCTGAGCAGAACAAGAAAAAATACGAAATGAATTGAAATTTAACTTACAATGTTAACGAAAACTACCGATTTGGAGTCCAAGTTTTCGCCGACCGAAGAGCCGAGGATGGCAGAGAGGCAAACGAAAAAAATTGGAGGACGCATCGTGCGACAATTTTTCACTGGGAAATCGCTTAAGTCATTTGCTCGGTGCGCTGACAGATTTGAAGATCTCGATGCGCACGACAGCGAAGTATCGTGACATCTCGTGCGATCCTCGTGCTCGCAGATGTTAACAAAAACCACGGCCGATTGGTCGACTACGTCAACCAAGATGGCGGAACTCCAGGGAGAAATCAAGATGGCGGATTGGCGTTAATGGTGCGTGGCCGTGACTTGAAATTTCGCGTCGTTTTCAAATGTTCACTTCATTTTTACCGACTTATCAACAGCCGATTGACTTACCGACATTTCGTGTGTCTCAAATTCTATTGTTGGATTGAATGGCTAGTCACCAACAGCCAATTAATTTACCAGCAAAATTTCGCTTCAGTGTGACTCTCCTCGCAAGCAATCTCCCAACTCATCTCTGATGACATAAGGGGTTCCGCTGCGACATCGAACGTTGCCGAACGTTGGAAGCAGGTGGAACATTCTCAGTCCTCAGTTGTTTTCTGACCGTGCTCGGTCGAAGGTGCTAATTGTGAGTGGAAAACAGTTGCGCACTTATTGCGTCATGTGAGTAATTACGCTTGTACTTTTTCCAAAACAGCCCCAAAAGAGATAATTCCCAACTTTCGAGATCACACTTTTCGATACGTTACCTTGAGAATCGTAAATTGGCTGAAATTTTGTAAATACTAAATTTCAGCAGCCGGCACGATGCTGCGCAAGCTGATTCCCTGACAATTAACCTTTACATAATTCCTCCGACAGAGTCAAAGAAAATTCCTGCAGAATGTTGCTCGCAAGGGTGTGCCGAGCTTCTCTTGCTCCGCAAGTGGCTGGATATCTGAAGGCTCCGGTCAGCAAGCCATTTGTGCCAAAATTTCAAACGGTGAGACTACTAGCTAGCGATGGACGCAGCACGTTCACAAGGACTGCTCGTAAAAGGACTTCGATCGTCGAGGGTGCTATGGCACCCGCTGGTGAAACAGGTAAGATCGACAGCTATTGAACCGACCTATATAATAGATATTATTCCTAGTTTTTGCTGTTATTACTTACCAATTAATACTCAACAAATATTACAGCTTTTAATATTGGCAAGGGAGTCATAGCTGGAGGTGCTGCTTTGGGATTAGGAGCTCTTTGCTATTATGGATTAGGACTCTCTTCTCAAACAGGAACCATAGATCATGTTGCGTACGTATCAAAATCTATGCATCTAATTTAAACAGAAATTTACAAAGGATTTTAATTAAGATTGAATATTTTATTTTTTGGGTTCAGGTACAGGTAGTACATAGCTTTTACAAAAAATGAAGATAATTAAAAATTTCTTTCAGACTTTGGCCACAGTACGTTAAGGATCGTATTCACTCAACGTACTTATACTTTGGAGGGTCCATCTTGGTCAGTGGATTGTCAGCAGCTGCGTGCTTACGTTCTACCTCCATGATGAACTTAATGATGAGACAAGGTTGGGGCGCTCTCGCCGTTAGCATGATCGCAATGATTGGAACGGGAATGCTCGCTCAGAGTATTCCTTACAAGGAGGGCTTTGGTCCGAAGCAAATGGCCTGGTTGGTGCACACCGGAGTGATTGGGGCCGTTTTGGCTCCTATGTGCCTTCTTGGAGGCCCATTGGTGATGAGAGCCGCATTGTACACGGCTGGTGTAGTCGGAGGGCTGACCACTGTAGCACTTTGTGCACCTAACGACAAGTTCTTGAACATGGGAGGCCCTCTAGCCATCGGTCTCGGCGTGGTCTTCGTCAGCTCCCTTGGCTCTTTCTTCCTCCCACCTACTACGGTTCTTGGATCAGGATTGTACTCCATCGCCCTCTATGGTGGTCTCGTTCTCTTCTCCATGTTCCTCCTGCACGATACTCAGAGAATTATTAAGAACGCAGAGACACACCCTGTCCCTCATCCTTATTTCAAGGATGAGGCCAGAGCGTACGACCCGATTAACAAGTGAGTATCTCTGAAAGGAAGATTTTACGACAACCGTGGAATTACGTTTTTCATAAAATATTAAAAAGTTTATGGATCATGGATCCATCTCTGCTTCATCGTAACTTTAATGGTGTTTTTTTTCGTTTCAGCGCAATCTCCATCTACCTCGACACTGTGAACATCTTTGTGCGAATACTTTCAATCTTGGCTGGAGGTGGAAATAGGCGAAAATAGATCGATACTCGATTACGATTAAAGCGAGGCGTTCGATTGTAAGTAAAGTTAAGGAAGATGTGTCGCGGCCGCGTATCTCATGCAAGGCTCTAGGCTAGTCAACCAATGATAAATTAAAAAGTTCAAGACTCTAACCTAGGTCCAGTTATTCCGTTTAATCATTGATAATAAATGAAAAGGTTTAACGCGATATGAAAGGCGCTGAGAAATTTAATCGACCCCATTTCAGTAAAGTAACGATAAAGAGTCAGACTCTAATTACGATTTAGACATTTCAACGTGACCCTGTTCCGGACAGATGAGAAGAGATTGTAGCGATAAAATTAAATGCACTTTATTGTCGTCCCTTAAGCACAATTCTCTCTGGAGAGAATAAAAGTAAATATCGGCGGCTACGGTAAAGGGTATTTTACAAATTGAAGCTAAGAGTTTAGCTTTATTTGAAGGTACACGGAGGTTAAGGGGTACGGCGTAACTGGGCCGTTGTGCAGTTCTCTCCTGGAAAGTGCGAACAAAATGGCTCGCGGCATTTTGGGCGATACTCAATGCCGCGAATCTATTTAAACTAATTCAAACGGGAAAATGACTCGAGTGTCCACGCCATAGACGTATGCGACAGATGCGAGCTGCACCGATCCCTTCCAGTGCAATCAGGAAGCACTCTTTTGAGTCGATATAAGTACACGATGTGCATGGTTTCCACAAAGTGAAGTGGAACCCCCCCTAAAATCAGTAATATTTAAACTGCTAAAATTTCAGTTAGTTCCGTGGAATGTCCATCAAGAAAGATGTCCTATTCGGATCCACTGTTTCGAGGTGGGTTTCACTTCACCTTCGTAGATGGATTCTCGATGGAGTCGCCACTCCGTCGATCTCTGTAATAATACTTTAAACGTTAACGTAGTCCGGTCTTCCAGGTGCCGAGTGTCTTCGCAGATACCCAGCGAAGAGCTGTCTGGCCTGGTTGAGCACCCGAGTGACATTGTGCCTGCGAATCATCTTGTCGAAGTGCATGGCCATCTCGTTGTAGTCCATCTGGTTGCGCATCACAAAATCCCTGTGCTGCAGCAGCAGGGTGATGCAGAGAAACATGAGGAAGGGGTTACCACCACCGAATTCATTAGGAGGGGGTAGAGGGCCTCCACCGATCTGATCATCACTGGTTCCCACTGGTATCAAATTGGTTAGCTCCGTAGCCTCTTCGCAGTGTTCCTGTACCGGTGGAGTTTGAAAGTCCCCTGCGGTGGTGTTTTGATGCCAGCTCTCCGTACCTTCGCTGTCCGATGCAGACTCCGACCTGTAAGGAATTTATTTCCACAGCACGAAAGCACCGATTCTACCTACTCCGATACCGTATTAATATTTTACGCAATATATTATATGTTATAATAGGCTCTTAAGATGATACGAAAGGGTCATCTCCGAGAGCTCACCTAGGAGTGCGTTTAAGGAGTCTGATGGGGGTGACGGACTTGACCCCGTTGTGGTCCTGCAAGATCTCGCCGTCGTACTCTAGGTCGGCCTGCTCGTCCGGGGTGGCCGGATGGTTCCTTCGCTGCAAGGAGTGCAGGGGATTCTCCCAGACGAAGACGTCACCGGCGGGGCTGCAGCGGGCCACCTCGGTCTCCGTCTCGCTCTCGGCGATCTCGCTCTCCCGCTTTGAGATGACGCAGTCGCAATGCTGCTCGCTCGGCGGGGAAGGGCCGAAGACCTGGCGGTCCAGGGCGTCCAGCTCGAGACGCAGCTCCCGGGTCATCGAGGTGGTCATCGGGAAGAAATCCGCGGAGTCATCCGGCGACCCGGTCTCTTCCCGGACCACCCTGACGACCCCGCTCTCGCTGGACACCCGACGCAGCTCCCTCTCGTCGCTCGGCGTCACCTTGCTCTTGTTCAGGCTCGTGAAGTTCAGGAACTCGTTCAGGTTCTTCACTACCTTGGCGCACTTCTTCTCGGCGTCCCCCGACTCGCTTCTCTCGAGCTTCGCCGCGGACAGTCTTTCTTTCAGTTCGAGCAGGTTGTTTCTCCTCGTCTTGCTCGGCAAGGAGTCCGTGCTCAGGCACTTCTCGGTCCTCGCGTTCCTCCGATTCCTTAGCGACGTCAGGTCGTCCTCGGGCTCGGAGAACGCCTCGTGCGGCGAGGCGGACCTGAGGAATAGGTCGTACCTTTAAAATTACAAGAATTGTAAAAAAAGTCATGTAAGGCAATGCTTAGTTGCACTTTCGTTAATATGGAAGAAAAATAGAATGGCTAGGAAAACCACGATTGGGATAACCATGTAGTATAAGGAGACATAACGCCGACTTAGGATCTCAGATTTTCGCCTTTCAAGGTTAGTATAACACGAGGAATCGCGACGACGTGAACCTTTTCGACTCGCCGTTCTCGCTAGTAGTCTCCAGAGGTTGCTCCTCGCAGCTCAGATTTTTCCTCTTCCCGCTGGCTATACTGGCCGAAGAACTTTGTCTGCGAATGGCGCAGACCTTAGTGTAGGCGTTTTCTCGGATCTGTTTGATATTCGGACTCGGCGGAGGCGACGCGGGGGGGAACGAAACCTCCGCGAGGGAAAGTTCGCCATTCGGAGGTGAAGCTGGCAAAGCGGCCCAGAGGACTTCCAGCATCCTCAGGGCGTCTTCCAGGGCAAACTCCCGTTTCATCTCCAGCAGCAACCAGCGGTAGCAAAACAGCAAATCGTCAGCCTGGTGAGACTTCAGGTAAGCGTAAAAATCCGGATCGTAGTGCTGTAGTCCTAGAAGAATAGCGACGGTACGTTATACCTCGAAACACCGGATTAAATTTCAAGATCTGCGTCTTACGGTGACGTAAAGAGTTAGCCTATACATATACCGTGGGGTTATTAGAGCAAAAATGATTAGCAGCTAAATTAGTGCTGAATTATTCCTGATCTACCTTCGGCCAGATGCGCGAATTTCGTGGTCATCGCAATACCGTCCAACATGAAATTGTCCTTGAGCCTCCTCATCAGGGCGCACAGGCAGATGTAAGCCTGGGCTTCGTCTCTCATGGTGACGAGCAAAGGCGAAGCGAGGTCGCTCATCCCTTGGCAATAACTAACACTAGGATGGTTCAATGCGTAAGTAGTCAGGATGTTGAAGAGACTGGCCGTGTTCTGGTTGTCGTCCGACCCTCCGTAGAATTTGTGATGCCTGTCCGTCCTGAGCACGTCTTTTCTGACCATTCCCGTGACGTATCCAAGATCGCCGACGTTCTGACCCTTCTGGACCAGACTCCTCCACCTCTCCCTCAGGGTCTGGTACTCCTGGGCCTTTCTCTTCATGTAGTCCATCCTCTCGCGACCGGACATCCCCTCTGGGTAGACGTTTAGAATATGTTTCCAAACTACCTTGCGTAAACTGGGCTCTATACCGCCAAAGTAGATCACCGCTCGTAGTTCTTTTGAGTGGACCACCTGACCAACTGGGTCCAGGAACTTGCGAAATTCGGCGTCCGTCAATGGTGGTCTGGGAGGCTGCACGTTCTGCTGGGATTCCTCTCCTAGGTTCCCCAGGGCTCGTTGCACCATGTTCAGGGTTCGCTCCATCTGGAAAATTGATACTTTTCAGAATGCTTCTTTCCTTTGCATCGAGTCAAATGACAATTATTGATATATTGCCTAGGCAGTAGTTTTTTAATAATTTTAATTATTTTTATGTATTTTTGTGGAGAATTGGAGGTTTCAGTTAATAGAAGTTAGTGGAGCATTATGGAAGATATCAATGTAACCTTATTCATTATGAGGCCGGGAAGTTTCTGAGTTTTGTACGGAAATCCTGATTCCTGCCTCCGGACCACTTCCTGAACATTCTCCTCCCAGTCGCATTCGCAATCGTCAGTTTCACCGAAGGGCTTCAGGTTCACTTGCAAGTAGAGGTACGGCTCCGATGCACTGGAAAACAATGCAGCATGTTTGCAAACTGATTTAACGAAATGAAGATACTGTATCTTATCGAGTAAACACATTAGTAGAAATATTTAAACAGCACGCTTTGAAAAGTACTTGACAAAAATTGTTAACGTCTTTTAACATCAAACATTTTAATCGTTTATTAACATATGGTTTTTACGTAAATAACTGAGTTCGTTTACCTAATAAAAGCTGCGTCCAGATCCCAATCCGATAGCAAGAAGAGATACGTTTCACTGCCGTAGTCGTCGATAGCTCGATAAGATACGGTAAATTCTCTGAAAAATGAAAATACATGTAATTACGATTTTCTTTTATATAAAGTAATTTTCCTTGTATAACACGGTGTACGTGAGAAATTTACCCTTTAATGTCAAATGCTTTAATCAGGATACTTTGCAAGACTTCGATGGACGTTATTTGCGGATCTACACTGAACTTCCTGTACTCTGGCTGATGTCGTGTCTCGCACTTCTGAAAGAAACGGAAGATTACATTAATTGATTATTTCGATTGCCCGTCCCTCCAGTTAAGAATCTCGTTTCTATATTAACCCCGACGTCAATAGGCAATAAATCGAACGATTCCTCACAATAATTGCCACAATTGCACCTAAATGGCTCGCGCATGCGTTTCGCTTATTGGAGCATGCGGTATTTTCGTTACTACAGATTAACATGAGAAATGCTTATCAGATTTAAATTAAAAATTTTTTTTTACTGAAATGACAACGAATTAGTGTTAAATTTTGTGAGGTTTCTCGTTTACGTGTTAAATATAAGGAAATGGAAAAAATTAATTGTATGTAGAGTTAACGGAAGTGAAACGGAGGAAACATAAGAATCAATTTCAAGTACAAATAGAATTAGCGAAGATAGATTTATTGAGGGTACAAAAGAGAAGAAGGGCATTTGTCACAAAGGGCTATGTGAATATAATTTTTTTTTACACAGAAAGAGAGTAGAAGTAAAAAATTGCAGCAAAAATGGAGCAGATAACGAAGGAATAAAATTAGTTAATCTAGGGCAAGAAAAAAAATTTCTTGTGCACTGTTACGATAAAATTAATACATCGCAACACGGCATGCGAATCGAAATCCTCCTTTACTTGTGATACCTTAACTTTAACCCGAACAGCTTCTCTAGGGCTGCCGAACATCTCGGACATATCTTGGCGGAGTTCTCGAGCTCCAGGAAATTGTCCACTCAGCGACTCCAAATCATTGTGTTTCTGAATGTACAAAGCACTTTAAGTTTACCTTGAAATTTACAAACGTTTCTCTAAGGCTTATCAACCATTGGCCTTGGAAACTTCTCGTTTCGAGGCAGTATTAAATATTGCGAATGCCGATTAAATCGGAGCCTTTTGCCAGTGCAACATAAGGTCGCCGTCCACAGCGGCGATTAAAAAAAAAAAAAACATTACAGAATTAATAACAAGACGTAAATCAGGGTTGCATTAGAAAGTTGATCGCTCGTTGAAACATAATTTCCCTCGCGTTACGATTAATGTAACAGTTTCAGGAGAAAAACTGTAAACTTCAAGGCGATATTCGAGATCTGTCTGACCCTTATCAGCGTTCTAGAGATACTCACCGGGTAGTATTTTCTGAAAAAATCGTGCACGGTCTCACATATTTCTTAAAGGATTTATTTCCCGAGCGGTTTTTGGAATCGTTGCGCCCATTTTGTCGACCGTTAGGAGCCGATAACTGTCAGTTTACGGTTTTAACAGTATCGAAGTGCAACATGCACCTTGAAGTACAATCAAGTTGATAAACCTGTCGTACTTTTGCTATCGATTTGATAAGAGCATCGTGCATGCATGTACAGAGATGAGTTGGGAGATTGCGCACGGGCAGGGTCGCGCGATTGGTCCTGTGCTGCCCTCGGTGGGGAATGCGGACGGTTAATGTATTTCTGGTGGGGGTTCGTGACGCGGTCCTCCGGACCGGCAGTCGCTCCGGGTAAGTCGTCGTGGTAAGACGCAGAGATGTGTCGATCCGCCATTGTGAGGTTAAGTGACAAGTGCGCGAGTCGCCCGAATTCTCCACCAAGAGCAGCAGAGAACGCGATCGCGCGACCAGCCCGTAAGTGATCTCCCAACTCCTCGTGAGTGTTAATTTTTCTCTTTTACCATCACGAGGAAACTTTTAAAATGATACTTTTCGTAAAACTCCTTGGGGGAAATGAAGAAAAATTTATCGAGTCGGATTGGAGGAATTTTCGAAACGCGGTAGGAATGTATCCGTGATTTTCAATATTTCCCGGTTTCTTTTTAAAACGCTTCGGTATCGTAGGAAACTGCTCTCCAATGCATCGCTAAAAAGGTGCTCCCATCTGGCAGCAAATCTCCGAACTAACGGATGCATTATCGCTTGATCATTTTCAGAACCTTATTTTGCGAGAGTAACACGAGCGAGGGTCGCTCGTTCGCTAAAAGTGGTATTTTCTGATCGATAGACTAAGATTTTTATTAAAAACGAAATAAGACTATTTTTCCACATTTCCCCTAACCACGCGAAAAAGAGGAGCGTGTCGTATCTTCGTTGCCGCGTAGAGAGCCAAGAGAGGAATATCCGTAAGATTCTTGAATCGATACCACGTGAATATTTAGGAAGAGTATCGGAAAACTGCAACGTAGGTAACTCTGCCCTGCAAGAAGTCACCGGAAGGGTGACGTTCCGCGTGCGGCGAGTCGCCGTAAGGGCGGACGTCGGGCGAGCTCGGATAATCGCGGAAAATCCATACGGATTTTGCCGGAGCTCTCGCGGCGGTCCGCAGGGACGGGACTCCACTCTTCCTCTCGTTCCGAAAGCGTTCGGAAGCGTTCGAAAGCGCCGCTTAAAAGCCGGCGTGGCCGAGCGCGCCGAAGGGAGGGCCGCTGCCCGGAATAATTATCCAAATGATAATTGGGTCGTCCGACGCAGCGCGTGCGCTCTTCTCGGTCGAAAAACGGCACCCGTGGATGCACTTGCAGCTGCAGGCGATGCGGCAAGCCCGGAAACTCGAAACCCGAGTAACCCGAAAAAATGCCGGACGAATTGAAATTATTTCCCGTGGATCGCAAATTGCGCCTCGTCGTCCGATCTGGGATAGCCGAGTTTTCGAAATGTTTTTCACCCGCTACGATTTGCCCTCGTTTTTCGGAGTCCCGGTCAGCTGGCGGTCATTAATAACGAGCGAAGGTTATCGGTTCCCCCCTAATCGCTAGTCGCTTCGCGGGCTGAGTCATCTCGTAGAATTTTCAGAGATCGACAGAAATTCATCGAGTCCCCTCTGGACTGGAATAAATTAGAACAGTGCCCGGAATATTTTTTTTTTTTTTTTCGAGAACTGCGTCGAGGTCGCCGAAGGCCGGCGCCATTTTTTATTTCCTGTCGGGAACCGAACTCGCTCGTAAAATGATCTCTACGCAATCGATTGAGAAAGATACCCTCGTCGATTTCGCCTCGTTGGTTCTCGACACGTTAGAAGAGGATTCGTTTGCCCCATTTGCCTCGAGATTCGGACGTTTAAAGGACCGTCTCCGAGTCGCGGGACGGTATCCCTTTACGGGCTAAACGGCAGGAGCAAAGTTGAGAACCCGGGCACGACGCTCAAATAAACCGTCGTCGGTCTCTATGAATAGACGGGATCACGAGAGTTAGGAAGTTTCGCTTTGTGCGGCCTTCCTGGGAACGAAGAGCACATTCCCGAGGTCCTTCTCCTTCGAATCTCCCTCCGGGACCGAGAAAGGACATCCCGGGACATTCGCCCTGGCCACAAAGAAACCCCTTCCTTACCTCGACGGAAATTCTTCCCTGGATGCCTCGACCGTCGATAAATCTCTGGAACGTTGCCCTGGAACAATATTTAAATGCGTATGCGATAAAATATGTGCGCAGCTTTTCTGTATACCTTTTAAATGTAACGGGGAATAAAATGGGGGGATGGGTTCTGGAGCAAGGTCGCGATAAAAAATTCCATTGGGAGATCACGTCACGCGTTTGTCATGGAAGGATGCAAGAGTTACGCGTCTCGGCGAATCCCTCCCTCTATTTTCGCCGTCTTTTGGAGGTCTTTTCGATGTCTTTTCGACGTCTCCTCGGCGGCGATTCCGCAAACCCGTAGGACCCGACGGCCTTCTTTCTCTCCCCTCGATATCGGATCTCCGTCGGCGCGCCGTCACTTTTCTTTTCCTTTTTCGGGATCCGAACGGCTTCTCCTTTTCCATCCCCGAGGTCGACCGAGTCCTGGGGGAGAGTAAGGAAAAAAAAGAAAATACTTTAGGATTACGTTTCACAGCTGCGAGGCGTGCTATACTCCCCGGGAAAAATATTTCACGAAGCGTTTCACCTCCTGAGTTTTAGTCACGTGTAAATGCAGCACCTGGCGCATTCGGAGCGTCGCGAAGTCGTTCATTCGGACGGAATGCGTCTGTTTCGCGTTAAATCGCTAAATTGGATCTTCCCTCCCCGGTTCGCCGGTTGTCTAAGGATAATCCTCTTAACGGGTGCCTTAATAAACCTAATCGCGGCCGCCTTAATAAACCGGCCGAAGGATCGGTACTCCGTTAGAGATAGTAAAGGCCACCTCGTAAGGCCCGATATTCGTCTGGCGAGGCGAAGATGGCTCTCCGAGCCCTAGGTACCGAGGAATACGTCTTCTCTATTTATCGGCGGCTGCACCCGCCATTATCTTCCCCTGGAAACGCCTCGGGTTGCCGGCGATTTCCCCGTATATATAAACTCCCTTCAGGACGGTTTATACGCGACGACCTCTTTACGGCGTAATCTCTTACGATTTTGTCCTCGGATCGCAAAGGATCCTCCTCGGCTTTCTCCATTCGAGGCTCCGAAATGTCCCGGTGGAATGACTCGGGACAGAGTTTCGCGACGGATACATTTTGTGCCAGGGAATTGACAGCATCTTGATATTCCCGTGACATTTGCGGTAACACCTGCGAGCAGTGGAAAATATACGACCCTCTTCGAGCAATTTCGTCCTCCTCGCGGAGGCCAATTTCTGATATCGAGGAGACCTCCGAAGACTTTATGTCTCCGGGACTTCTCGAGAGTTCATGGATGCCTTTAGAATTTTACGAGGACCGGTGGGCCTTCGTTACTTCCTCGTAAATGTGCTCCGCACGTGGCGAGATACGTGCGACTGGCGTGGAACGACGTTATTAACGAATTGTCGATTTTTACTTTATTCACCCCCGAATAATAATTCCTGGGAGCAGCGAATAATTTCTATAGATGCGATCGTATAACCTGGGACATTCGAACGATCGGGACATTTAAACGATTTAGGTATTTCAATGATAAATTTGCATCCGGGAGGGGCAGGGTAACCCACGGGATGTTCTTCAACAGGCCGCAAAGAAGACGTCTCCTGCGATGACAGGGCTCGTTTAGGTACGACAAGGGGCAGGAAGGTCCCGTGGAAACGGGTCGTCGAGGAGCGTCTTAATTAATCATCCTGGGTGACTAAATATCCTTGCATGCTCCTAGGGAGTAATCCGGAGTCTTCCCGAAGGTGGCATATTGAATACAATTCGATATCCTTAGTTCCTCCCAGGATTCCTCGATCAGAGGGCGACGGCACCTCGCAAGAAATTGTAGACGAAGAACACCGCCTAGGGAAGTCTTCTCGGTCGGTCCGATCGCAAAACACGTTCGGGCTTTAACCTTTGAAGAGAATCCTTTGTGTACTCGGTCGCCTCCCAAGAGTAATCGTTCCCCGCCTCGTTTCCAGAAGAACCCGACACCCACGCCGTCGGCTGGTCCGATAAGGATTCGAGGTATCGGGGATCGCCCGCGTTCTCGGGGAGGCGACGAGCGCGAAAAACCCCTCGCGGAAAGTTAGATGAACAGCCAGGTGTATGATCGAGGAAATGTCAACTAATTTCTGGGGAACGGAGGGGGTAAGGTCATTTTCCTTCCCGGCGAAGGTGGAAAAAGGGAACTGGAAGTGGAGGGGATCCCGAGAGCCGGTGGAAGAGCGAGTGCGTGTCGTACACGCAGCGTTCTTGTCAGCGAATTAGTCTCGACCGGTCGCCGGTTCTATCCGGCGTGTCCGCGAGTTCCCTCGGGCCATTCCGATCCCCGGATTCCAGGTTAGGTTAGATCCGGGCCCGGAAGACGTGGACTTTTCGCCAGGCAATTAGGCAATTATCCTCGGTAGGGCTCTTCAAGTTCGCCGAATCGATCCCACGGAGGGGATCCTCGCAATTTCGGGACTTCGAGGGCTCGTGCTCGCTCGCTAATCAGCTTCGTTCCCGTTTCCTGCCATTAGTTTTCACGGGGAACGAGGGGAGACGGAAATTCAGGGTCGGCAGCCCATTGATCGCGAACCATCGGCTCGATCCATCCTCGTTATATAATAAACCGTTGTTTTTCCCCGGGAATTTCGGAATGCCGAGGACGAGGCCAGGAGAGAAAGGCGCTTCTTCTGCCGATCGAACCATGAAATGAGTTATCGCCCTTCTTTTGTCTGAATTTTTTTTATTACGGATAGAGCAAAGTTCGTGATCTTGAACAAGAAGAGTGGACGAGGCTCGAGGTCTTCTTCAATGGAGAATTTCGTGTGAAGAGAGAAGTCATCTTTTCTGATAATGCTTTGAAGCGAGGTATCGGAGTTAAACTTTGAAGATGTTTACGAGAGGATATATACCAGAAAGTTAACTTTCACCGATTTTTCCGGAAGAAAATAAATCGAAGCGGAGAAAAGAAGCAGCGATGAAGAGCCCCGGGAACTATTTTCGCCCTCTGAAATTACCCTGGGAAAATAAAGACTGACTCAATGGGAAGAATCGCGATTACGCGTGTTAATAATGCCAGTTTATGCAATCAAGAAATAATACAACAGTGATGAGAAGAAACAGAAGAATCGCGATTAACATAAGAGAAGAGGAATTCGCGAGAAGAAGATAATGAATTCGGAAATATTATTCAGGGACGCAAGGAAAGCTCGAGAAAAGTAAAGCAGAGTTTTCCAGTCCACTTGAGAAAACTAACACCGAGGGAAAAAAAATCCGCAAGAGGCGATTAACCGGCAGTTGAGAGGATTGGAAAAACGCGGAGATATTTTATTAATGCCTATCCCATGTATGTTAATCCCTATGCGAATTATCTAACGATTTCCATTACCGGTTTAATCTCCAATCAAGTGACTATAAACCCGAGAAGGAAGAAAATCTGGAATTTAAATCCGAGGACGAGAAACCGGCGACGAGGAAGTGAATCGTTCGGTCGACCAATCGCGATGCTTCCTTGTTCCCTTGTTTCTCTTGTTTCTCTTGTTTATCGAATCGACTGAGAGGCCAAAGAAATTCGGTAAACGTCTTCTACGCCTCGAAAATCCAGGAGAAGGAAGTAATCAGAAGTGTCCGTTCGAGGACAGAGAGAATCGCAGCCTCCATAATTTAATCTCTCCAGAGGCGAGTTTTTTTTTCAACGCGATTTAATCTTCCACTTCGTTACGCTTAATGGAGTAAAAATAACTCCGCAAATTTTAAAGTTAATCCTGCGCATACGTGCCGATACGCTCGAAGGGATTAATTGGGCTTTAATTGATGAAAATTATATCAATTCGAGCGGAATTAAACGCGAACGCGTGTGTGGATATTCTTGAAGAGAATAAAGGTTTAATTTGTACAATACAATTTTTTCATAATGGTAGGAGTTAAAAAGTGGGTAGAGGGGATGGAAGGAGTTCGGGAGAGGAGATTCGTATGGGAGTGTTGAGAGGATCGTGGAGGGAGTGAATTTATAAATGTACAATGTATGATACGATGAAGTGGACGTATGATAAGAGGCCTGAGATGTGGATAGTTCGATGAATGTCGGGGTTTATACATGTATATTTTTTTTTTGGCATTGGATAAATGAGAATGAGTACGAGTTCAACGCAATAAGGACCGGTTGAACGAATTAAGGACGAGGTGGACGCAAGAGAAAAAAAATGAGACCCAGCATCCTCGGTCCAGGATAAGAGAGTTAACGTCAAGGAAGAAGCCCGATCGTCGCCGAGGAACCCGCTGCTCGTTTTCGGCTTAGCCGGGGGTTCAAAGGGTTGAAACTCGGGGTGAAAGGGGTCATGGGGAAAGGGAACCAGAGAAAGTGACGCGCAATATGGACGCGGGAGCAAGCCGAGCATTTATTTGAGTCCCCGAAGCGGGTCGAGTGCCGTTGGAGAGGCGAGATCAAATGAAAAATGACGAAACGCCACCGCTTTGAGGCCCGAGGCTAGAGGACCCAGGATACACGCATTTCGGAATAAATTCCCGAAGGTGCAGCTGGAAAATCCGCCATGACGACCTGGCGCAAGTGCGACCTTCGCCGAGGATGGCCGTTGAAATTGGCGCTTCTTCTGGGCGCTCTTCAGGGTCGAATAGCTCAGACATCTCCGCTGGGGAAGTGTTGCGACCCTGACCAAGTGTTGATCCCGGATGCTGCAGGATTTTCCTGCGCCCCTGCACCCCCTGATGCCTCGGAAGTCGTCCTGGGACCGGAAATTGTCGGACTTCCGGTCTGCAGGGCGGCTGCAGAACTCGGCGTCTCGAAGTTCGAGGACGCCAAAGATGGCGTCTTTGACGACGCTTGCGTGGATGTTTTGTTTCGAGCTCTTAATAACAGTTATCCTGTGGTTTTACAGTGTAGGGGGGGTAATGAAAGTCAGGGTGGTTTTTCCTCTCCCCGGATTTTGAGCGTCAGGAAGTGTTGTGGTTTTGGGGAGGTCTTCAGTGTTGACAGGAAGGCTTGCGTGTCCGTTCTTCGGGAGGAGTCTTCTTGGCTGGAGGAACTTCCCTTTGTCGAGGGCGCTATAAAGGATGGCGGTAATTGTGCAGGAAATATGGCTAATTTTATGAATTTCGAAAATTAGTTTTAGGGAACGTTCAATCCTTTTTCAGTGATTTTGGCGGTCTCAAAAGGACCCCCTCGGTGCGAAAATGCCATTGTTGATCACGAGATCAACGCCACCGATGTCACCTTCGTGAACAATGGCCTGCAGGTTAGAAAATGCTAATAATAAAATATTCATCCCGTATGAAATGAACGGAAATATCCCGTATGAAGAAACTAAGTTACGACGTTAATCTTGTTAATCTCGGAGAGGTCTCAAGCGGCGGGTTTACGTTTGTTTTCCTTGAGCCTTTTCGAGGCGTTCATGGGGCCGCCATCTTGAATCGGAACGGGTTTCTCACGGTCATCTTTGGCTCCTTGTTGTGCAAACGACATTTCAGTTTTGCCCGTGATTAACGCTTTTCGTTCCGAGCGGCTGCTCGCGGAAAATGCATCTCGAGGAAGCGGTGATTAAAATCGAGGTCTCGCCTCCGCGAGATCGGCCTTTTCGACGAATCGGTCTCTCTGAATCACCTTCCTCGTTTCTCGATCCGCCGAACAAGGTGTAGCGGATGGAGAACGCAAAAAGCCGGGAAAACGGGAAAAGTGGCATAAGAAAAAAAAAAAAACGAGCGCATTGCCTTCCTCGATTTACACAAGGGGGAGAGTTAAATACCAACGATCAAGACAAATCACTCGTGGGAGGTTCTTTCGGGTTGACGAGTAAATAATTACGCTTAAGTTTGCACGGAGGAGATTTGCAAGTACACGCGGGAGGAAGTTAGCAAATGGCCGATCGTTTCTCGACGTCCTAAACGGCGCCGATCAGCCGAGCAAAAAGTCGGCCGAAGTTTGCAGGGCAAACAAACTCGGCTCATCGGCTGGGAAAACGTGGGCAGGGCTCAGGGCCGTAAACCCGACGAGCTCGGAAGGGCGTCATAAAAAACGGGGATCCCCTAAACCGGCGATCTCGGCCAGCCGCTCGTTTTCACGTTCCCGTTTAAAACAATAACACCCGCCGGGATAGTCGATGGATTGATTTCTACGGGTCGCCGCGATGCGGTTACTCCAAATATTGGTTATTTTTTATAAATCGTATCCCCGTTGGGACCGTAAGTTGGATATAAAATGAAAAAGGGGGTTTTATTTTCGCTACGAGTCGCGATGCAAGACGACGAATCTCCATTCTAAATATGAATAACGTATGAACGTCAATGTCACTCGTGTTTTTTCATTTGAGTCGTGGATTCTGAAATTCTGGATTCATCGTAGCTCCAATTGAGTGGCGCTGCCGACGCGCGAGTTCTTATTTCGGCAACTGGGCAAGGCTGCTCCAGGGTGATAGGATTACCTTTTTTATCGAGCCGTGAAAACTGGACGGTGGTCGGCTCCGTTCCCCGTGTTTTACCGTCCACTCGTGCAAAGTGAAATCTGATACGTCAAGCGTATTGATATTCCTCTCGCGTACCCGCTATTACGTGTGCGAAATGGTACATGTAGTTTCCGAAGTTCCTTCGTTCCTCCGCGAGCCAGAAGAGAACCAGGCTGCCAACAAAGGGAACTTGGATATTGTCGGTTCATCGATTGACGGCCCGGTCGGTTATCGCCTCCGCGACTCTGTCATCGGGTCGAGGAACCCGAGGAAACTCGGCAAACTCTAGAGAAATTCAGGAAAACCTGGGGAACTTTCGGGAATCTAGGGAGATTTTAAACTGAAAATATTTCATACGAGATAAGGGTGATAAGCGAGCTTTCACGTCGCCTTAAGGCTCTTGGAGTCCGTTTCCTCGATTTCGTCGAACCGCGAGGGAATGTCTGAACCCTGACCCGAGTCTTTATGAAATTCTTCGAATACGCCATCGAAGGGGCTCCTGGACCTCTAAACGCGATCCTGAGGAGGAACAACCTCGGTCGGGTCATTTCCGCGAGTCTTACGTGATACCCATTCGAGCCGACTTCTATATCGTCCTATTGATTTTAATATTTGCGCAGCCAAGACAACGGACAATCCCGAGCGAGGATATTGCGTGTCGGGGTGATTAAATAACTCTTACGTAATTCGGCCAACATAAGTAATGCCGCAATTAGGAACTCGACGCTCACGAATTCCTCCTCGGGAATCCGATACGTCATTGAATTCGTCTCCCAGTTGGGAATTCTTTCGGCTCGTGGTCGGGGAACTCGGTAGAGTGTCGCGCCAAGTACATCCGCGAACACGTAGAAGGATATGATGCCGGCCGCGAACGATGGGAAGTCGTTTCGATAAAAATGACAACGGGCAGGAAGAGCAGGTCCCGGAAAGCCGAAACGAGGATTTCCGGGAAGGCGGCCCGGTTTATCATTTCTAATAGCGGATCTCGCGTCTTTTAGGTGACGTCATCGGCCGAGCTGACGCTGACGGAGAGCACCGGATGTCTGGATCGGAGTTCCTCGGGAGGGCTCCTGGTGGCAAGGGTCTGCTCCACTCCTGAATTTTGTCTGGAACACGCCTGTCTCCGGAAATGCTGTCCCGAGGACCAGGCGCTTTTTTTCAACGAGTGTCGCCCTCTTCCGAGCTCCGCGACCTCCGAGAGGCTCCACCAAGAGCTGGTGAATTTCTCGCAAAACGTCTCCGAGGACGATGTCTTCGACGTCTCGGCTGGTAAGGGACCATTCCGTTTTTAGGTATCTCGTGTAAATTTGGAAAGGTTTTTGTCAATATTTTGACGTTTCGATATATGGAGTGACCCTTGAGTCATCTTCGAGATGGTAAGGGCGCATCTCTTTCTCGCCAATGACGAGCATTAACGAGGCCATTTCCTTCCGATTTGGGCAGGTTACGGAGTTCTGGTGGGCAAACCTTGCAAACACGGGATGTACCCGACCCTCCCCGAGGAAAGGTGGCACATGACGAGCCGGGGCCACGTCTACGTGCCCACCTACAAGACCTTCGACCACCAGGAACACTGCATGGACATGTTCTACAACAACTCGGAGTTCCGGGAGGGCCTCTACCCGTTCGTCTGCTTTCCCGAGCCCTCCGTCTACGAGACCTCGGCCACGCGGTACGAATCGATCGATTAACCACCTATTAGCTCGATTGATCCACGGCTTCGTGGTTGAATTCCCCCGACACTTTGATCCGAGGGATCGAGGAAACTCCGAGTCCTTCCGGGGACTCGAAGGCGCCTTAAAGGAGACTAACGAGCGCCGATTTCGCTTCTGTCGATTTCGATACAGGACGCCGCCATCTTGGAATCCTGACTTCGAAAACGCGTTAGCCTCTTCGATGCTATAAATGGGTTATAATTTCCGGCATTTGGGATATAATATTCATGGATTAGTCTTATTGAAATGTTTTCAATCGGTTAAACGAGAAGGAAGCTCCCGGTTTAGGCATGGAAAATCCAAGGAGGACGGAGGTATTATCGGCGATTCGAATGGCGGATTTAATAAATTCCCAGACTCCGTAGGGCTAGTTTGAGCGAACGATGCACTCGCTGGGAAAAGGCGAGACGTTCATTCCGGGACGGGCTCGCTTCTTTATTAGAATTAACGATTCAATTAAGCGGGGTGAATCGATGGTGTCATTAGAGCCGAGGCCCGCGACGAATTCCGCCTCGACGTCTGGGAATTCATTAAAACGGACTCCCTTCTTCGACCATCCGGTTCCACTCTTGTCGGGAGATTATCCCGTGGAGGAGCCCCTCGGCTTCGCTCCCGGAATTCCCTCTGGAAGCGAGGGATGACCACGAGAAGATAATTCCCCGACGACTTTTCCGCCTTTCCACTCTTTCTATACGAATTTAATCGGCGCGATTAGTTTTCCCGGAAAAAGTTTTACCAGGGCTCGGACAAGTGCTCGTACGCTGAAAATAATTGTCGTTAAACCGGAGAAATGTTTTGTTAATTCAAAGAATAATGGAGCCTCTCTTCTTTATTCTCTGTCTTTAGAATGAAAATGTGGGCGTAATGGATGCAATTTCTTAAGTGGAAAAATCACTTCGGTGTAATAATTTTCATTCAGGTGGGTTAAATAGCGGAGGGATGTATGCACGGGGTTTGTTTAAACCCGCGATAAAATCGGAATAACAGCGTCTGCCAGCTGGAGAACAGCCTGTGTTTATAATAAGCAGGAATACAGAGAAGAGAGAATGAATCGGGAATTCGTAGAGACCGATTCGGTCCAATTGGAATGCGCACTTTGTGTATTTCTTTCTTTTTCTTGACAGTTAAATGTAACGATTGAATTTTTTTTTTTTGCAGGTTCGGAGTGAATGCAGCTCTGGAGCTGACGAGCTGCACATTTCTGCTGTTGACGCTTCTGGTCTACATTTGTCTTCCATCTCTGCAAAATTTGCACGGAAAGACACTCATGTGTCACGTGGCCAGTCTCTTCATGGCTTACGTGTGTCACACCGTCGTTGTCCTGGCAACCCCGGAAAGCGTCCATTGGGATCCTAATTTGGAAACCCACGACTGGAGTGTGGGATGCAAGGCTTTAGGTCTGTGAATTATTCGAATTATACGAACGATACGTTATTAAAAATGATTGGGTCACAGTTTTGAAGACGGATTTTCAAGTACGAGAGTTTGGACGTAGAGGGTCTTTTAAAAAAAGATTTTTCTCAAAGGACGCCGAAATTGACAATTTCAGGCGGAAGGGACAATGGCGCCCGGAAGTCTCATAAATTTCTGCCGAATTGGAGTATGCCACATTATCACACGTACATACGTGCTCACCCCCGAAATTCCCTATATAGTATACGTGTATACCGTACATGTATAGTATACATGTATACATCGGAGGTGGATTACGATTACGATCGTGCTATCATAACCGGGGGCAGATCCAAAATGGTTATTGCTGATGGGAGCATTAATTAAGCGACGGCCGCCGCCGATAAGCGATTAATCGTCGATCCTTTTTCCTGGCTACACTCTGTACCATTCCCGATATTTTCCGGGATTAATAAATGCCGAGGTACCGATAAACGATAAACAGCTGACCCATTTCGACGAGGCGATGGAGAGTTACGGGGAATTTACGGTGGGATCGGTACCCTGGAGAACGCGTCCAGGTTCCCGTTCGAAAATCCCTAGGGACCCCTTGCCGTCGTTCTCCCTTAAAAAAAAAAAGAATCACCGTCGAAAAATCTTTTCTCTTTTTCTTATTGCAGGATACTCCATGCTCTTCTTCTTCCTCTCGGCGTTCTCCTGGCTGAATGTCATGTGCTTCGACATTTGGCGAACCTTCGGGTATGAAAATCTTCATTACCGATGTTTTTTATAATAACTTACATATTTATCTCTTTCTATCTCCACCTTATCGTAAAATTGCTGACGAATGAGTTCCAATTAAACCCTCGCGTCGCGAAAATGAGCAAAACCTTGGCATGGATAAAGGAATGAATTACCCCCACGGATAAAAAAGGAAAAAAAATTCAGCTTTCCATGAAGTGGATTCGATTAGAGATTTTTTTTCCCTTCGCGGTATATTTTCCCGGGAATTTTCACGATACGCGTCTGCTTATAACCTCTCGAGAAAATGGCGCACACGACCTTGGGAAGAGAATCCGGGCGGAATAGTGCATTTAAGTGCATCGGCTTCCGGGGTCTCTTATCTGATAGCACGAGCGGCGCGTTTAAAACCTCCATCGGCACAACGCTGTTTGTGTTTTCAAGGAGCGATCCTCTTAGAAAAGAAGCTCCGGGCTTTAAGCCTCACCAAGCCGGAGCTTCTCGAGTTTCTACGCGGAGGCTGAGAGGAGAGCGAAGATGCATCTCGCGAGAGGCTCGAAATTGTTCCCGCGTCGACTTCGGCGCACCGATACTGTATAATTTAATATCAAACTCCCGCCGTTCCCTCGGGCGAAAATGCTTAACATAAATTGACGGGGTGATTGCATAATACAGTTCTGGATATTCGTGCTCTTAACATTTTATACATTCATTTATTTGCGTCTCGGTATCGAGGATGCGTTTTACCTAGAGATGCTCGTGATAACGTTTAAAGAATATTTCTACGAGAGGTATAATCATTGTCAATTTTGATTTGATTTGAGCGTTGGTTTGCTTTCAGGGGCCTGAAGAGGTTTGGAAATCCAAGGAGCAACAGGCATTATCACCTGAAGAGGTTCCTATCTTATTGCACGTATGCCTGGGGACTCGCTCTGGGAATCACCGGTCTGGGGATACTTGCGGACTCCATGGACATTTTACCTCTACATCTCAGGCCGAATATAGGCACCGAGAGATGTTTCTTCGCCCGTGAGTGAGCTTTTCTCAATTTTCCAAGACATACGTATATTTCAGAGCGCTCCATTAGATATCCAAAGATATTAGGTAGAAAATCGTTTCAATGTATTCTTCGGCAGTATCGTGGTATTCCATTTACGTTAGTCTTCCGAAAGAAAGGAAGGAGAGAAAGGGGGAAATTCGAAAGAAATTTCCCTTCCTCCGGAGTTTCTCTTCGGCAATGTCGAGGGCACGTCCATTAGGTAGAAGTAATGTGCGAGCGGAGGACAGTGTTCCTTCAGCAGGGGAGCCGCTAATGGTAGCAGAAATCTCGGGAATGGTTTCGAACGAGTTTCGGGAATCGAAGTTCCCGACTTCCCCGAGAAACTTCCCCGGAAGCCTCCCCGGAGTAACTACCACGAGCCCCGGCCAAGGTATTCGAGGTGGCTACCCCAACACCAAAGCCGAGTCGAGCTGGCGCAATGGAAAAGTGCTCGAAAGGGAGTCGACGATCGAACGTATTCCGTTCGGGCGTCATTACGTCTCATTAGGCGCAAATTAAGAGCCGGCTGGAAGGCAGAATGGCACCCATTAGTATTTCGATCTCGAGGTGCACAAACGACGCAGACCTCCGGAGGTCGAGCCCAAGGGAAGGGGACGTCGAAGGAACCTAGGGAATTAATGAAATTCCCCACCTGTAGGGTCGAGCCGGGGGAAACGGGGTTAAATCGAGTCCATTGTGTCCTGGTGCAGGGGAGGGGACCGGTCTTGGATTTGGGAGTCTTTTGCATCGATAGGGCAGACTAATTCACGAGTCGTGGTTTTGGATTCGGGAGAAGGGCACAGACTTGAAGGCTAATTCCCTAGTCTCTGGAAAACTGAGGAAATCTCCCCGCAGATGTTATCCAAGGGCCGCAGATTTCCGGGGGAAGGGGTGCGTGGAAATAAAGCCAGGATGATCATCCGGTGTTAGATCCCCATTCGTGGCTCGGATTCAACTAGAATCACTCCGGCAGCTTTGCGCAACTTGGAGAGAAATCAGGCAGTAGATTTCCCAGCAACAGGCTATTTATTTTCGGGGACTCCCCTGCAATCCTTGCAATGGACCGTGGCCGTATTGCGGCTCTTCCGCGCGGCAACTTCCCACGAACTGGAAGTAACTGTTATTCCTGTTTGATTTGCAGAGACGCCGGGGTACATCGGGGAGATACTTTTCTTTATGGGGCCCCTGTCCATCCAGCTGCTGGCCAACGTCGTCTTCTTCGTCCTTACGGCCGTGAGCTGCAGCAAGGTTAAGGCTGAGATAAGGAAAGTCATGGCTGGTCCTGCCGATCCTCGCAGCAGGCGCTTCCAGGCAGATCGGACGAAGTTTGTTCTTTTGTCTTGACTTAATTAACGGATAAATTAATCCCTATACCGAAAAGTACTTGCACATGAAAATAGACAATTTCGAGGGAAACAGGGGAGTTCGTTATCGAAAGAGCCGGGTGGAGGGTCCTTCCTGTAATATCTTCGGCTCGGCATTGGTAGTCCCCAGGATGGTTGAATTAGCGAGGTTATTGCTCGTAAAGCGTGGTGGTTTGCCCGCGGTCTTCGGCTCGGATAACGAGGTTGTACCTCGGCGACAACTCCGCGGATGCCCGAGTTATCGTAACCGCGTTATCGCCGTCGAGCTGGAATAACAAGGTCCCTCCTCCCGGAGTGAAAAGGTGCCCCCGGGTTAATTCTACATTCCCCTTTTTGCCAGGTTTTAGTCACAACGTTTCCCCTCGCACGATTAATTGAATGGTATTGTGATTATTTGTTCGGTTATTTTTGTCCCTCGTCCACGAGGAGGAGGAAAATGAAATTTTCTCTAAGAGGGTGCGGGTGTTAGGTCGAAATCCAAGGCACAGGATGACGGGGTAAAATCCTGGAAGGGAATCCTTGCTGGGTAGGGGAGAGACGCGGCGTCGCGACGTCCAGGACGAAGTTGGGACGTGACGTCGTTACGAAGCGCTAGAGACACGTCGTGTAAACTCGATCCAGCAAGCAGATCCTGCGATGTAACTCGCTAGTAATTAATTCCGCACCATCGACTTTCCTGACGAGCATCGCCGCGATTAAGAGGCCCCTCGACATGAAAATTGTACGCCATAAGCTTGGGTCATCGAAATTTTTATTAAACAGAATGTTTACGTGATTTCAGGTTCATCATGAACGTGAAGCTGTTCACCGTGATGGGGATTTCCTGGGTCCTGGAAGTGGTGTCCTTCCACGTGAACCGCTACGCGACGAACCTGCAGTGGAAGGAAGAGTTCTTCTATATACCGGATGCTTTTAACTGTCTTCAAGGACTGCTAATTTTCGTTCTCTTCGTCATGAAGAGGAACGTCTATCAAGCCTTGAAGAGAAGACTCGGGATTGCCGAGAGGAATCCTGCCTGTGTCGGGGGTCTTCGGGATCCCTACAAGGTTCGGATGAGCGCCAGCAACAGCACCCTTATGTCAACCTTCGCCGTCAGCACCTCACCCTGACGTACCCAGTGACGGTGAAACGCTTTTTCTTTCTTAAAAGAAAAGAGAAGATGTGGACGCGTTTAACTGCCTCGAAGGACTGCTGATCTTCGCCCTATAAACGAAGAGGAACGTGTCGGACCCTGAAGAGAGGTCTACGGACTATCGAGAGGAACTTATACTCGTACCAGTCTTCAGGGTCTCTTCGTGGTCCGGATGACCAGGATCGGCACTCTCGTGTCCATCCACGTCATCAGCACTTTGCCTTAATGTGCCTCGGGAAAGCGAAACGCTATTTCTCTTAAATTGGAAGAAGGGCAAAGTAGGAGCATAATCCTAGAAATTTTACGTGTGCAATTGTAGACATAATTGGCCATTTTTCACGGTTTCTGTAACATCGAATTAGAGATAAATCTCTTTGTAAGATTTGTATCGACGTTAGAAGAAGGATTCCGAGTCCTGTGGGAGAGAAATCCCGAGATCTTTCCTCGGGATATCTTTTCGAAGTAGGACTTGGAATTAAAAATTGATCTTCGCCGCCAATTGGGGCTCTCAGGGACGTAACCTGCCAGGACTCGGCCACGGGCACGGTAGTTGTAAGGATTTACGATTGTCTGTCCTTCTGGCGAGTTTCCAGATGCTGCATCCGCCGTTATCCTTTAAGCCGCGACTAGGACCAAAGAAGCCTCGTTATACGTTTAAGTGGGTGAACCTTACAAGCGGGGGACGGTACAAGTTACGGACAACTCGCGACTTGCCTTGACAAATGTCCAGACTCGCCGAAGGATGCATTTCGTGCACCTCCTCGAAGGACTTTGGAGGACTTCCGGACTGCCCAAGCCCCGGCCTCGCCCCCTTCGAGGTCGTTCGCATCGATTCGCTCTTCAATGAGGCACGCCACGAAGAAATGGTTCATACAAAAGTTGGCCATCGGATCTTTTTGAAAAACTTTTGTGGGAACCATTTTGCCGTAGTATGTGATGTTTAATAAAAAAGTCATATCAAAGGAAGCGACGCAGAGAGACATTTTTCGCAGCCGGAAAATCATTCTCATTTGGGGGAGGAAAAGAGATCGAAGACCTCGGCAGAGATACTCCCTAATTTTCCTGCTTTCCACCCTTAGTCCGGAATTTTTCTCCGATATTGCGAAGACCCGAAGAAAAGATCTCCGAAAGGTAAGGAGCAGATATTTCCGGCCGCGAAGAGAAATTTTATTGTTTTCCCACGGGCGTTTCCCATTATTTTCGCACAACCTGAAGATACCGATCCAGGAGACCTACTTTTCCCATTTCTTGGCTTTAACCCAGTCCATTGTCCGGATCTGAACCTGTAAAACTGGAAGTTTTAAAGTACCGTATACAAAATGGAAGGAAAGAGAAAAGGTTTCCTTTATTTCTGAATAATTTATTTCTCCTCCTGGCACGTTTAGTCTTTTCTTTTTTCGAGATTTAAGAGCGACAAAAAGGCCGGAGACCTACATTCCTCGTTTCTTGGCTTTAACCCAGTCCTCCTTTCCGATTCAGGAGCTTTAAGAAGCTCCGAGACAGACCAGCGAAATCGGAGCGGTTCTCCTCTATTTTATCATTAAAAGTAATTCCCACTCCCCAATTGTCGTTTCGTCGAGAATCCGAGTAAAATGTAGTTTCTCAAAAATGATTCCTCTTAATTCATCGTTTATTCGTTTAACTTCTAAAAGTGCCTTCAAGAAATCTGACGAGGGCACGAAAGAAGAATGCAAGCATTAAAATAAAAAACTAACACATATCCAATTTACCGAAAATAATTTTATTCCTAATTCGGCACGCTCGCTTGTTTCTGATTTTACAATTAAAATCGACTAAACAACATAACTACAATTAGACAATATTTCGATCCTAACTATATGGATTTCCGCTTTCAGCGAGAAATCTACAAATAATGCCCTCGCGGTAGGATATATTGATAAGGATATATACACAGAATGCACAGTTTCTTGTTAACGATAAGACCCAGCTTACCTCAGCTCCAAGCCTACGAGACCTCTAGTCCTCGTTATCAAGTTTCATTTCAAGATACAAAATCCCCATTTCAGAAATCAGGGTTTCCTATCTTCGGCGTTCCCCTCCAGGACGTCCCCTCGTTCCCGATGGAAGATCCGCGTGTTCTGCAGACCTGGAGCTGAACTACGGGACAGTGGTCCTGGTCAGAAACTTCAGATCCGATATGGAGCGATAGCTTTGGCAGTTGCTTTCAGCAAAAGTTATTCAAGATGGAGAGGATGCAAAGCGTTCAGCTCTAGATCTAGTTCCTGGCATCTAGTCTCGGTTGAAGGTACAAAATCTCCATGGCAGGTCGGGACCTTAATCGACGACGAATACTCTTTGCGTCTAGCTCCAGGTCTAATCTCGCTTCAAGTTACAGAATCGCCGGTGCCTCGGAGGTCAGGGTTTCCTCTCTTCGGCGTTCTCCTCCAGGTCGGGGTCCTCGTTGATGATGGAGATGTCCCTGATAGAGGGTCTGCGAGTCCTCCAGCCCTCGGGCTGGACCACAGGGACAGTGGTCTTGGTCAGCAGCTTTGGGCCTGACAAGGAGATGACGATTGCCCCGGTAGGGGCCGTCAGCAAGATGGAGAGGACGCAAAGGGTTAACACGGTTTGCGCGTACGTAGCTTGTTCCTCATTTTTGGAATCCACCTCGTCCAGGGTCACTGGTCCCAGGGCCGCTTGAACAGTGGCCTTGGCCATCCAGGACAGAGCTATGAACACTTTTTCCTTCAGGTTCAACTTGGACCCGACGCCAACCAAGATGGTCGCTGCGATGCGGATGACGATCCCTGCCAAAAGACAACCAATGCCTAGGTACACCGTGCTACCCTCCAGCTCCGAAATCTTTATCTGGGTCCCGGTCACTGCGAACAGGATCGGCTCGAAGATCATCCAGAAGATCTCGAAGGACGTCGCCACCGGGTTCTAGGGAGGAAAAGTCAGATTAATCTCCGCTCTTATGCAGGACTCTGGTTCTAAAGAAGAAGGTATTGCAACGGAAGGAACCAGATGGACGAGATGACAAGACTGGACATTTAGTTAATATTCTTTTGTACTAATATAGTCTTAAACTTATGTACTTGCGCTACTTATGTAATAGACTGTAAAATAATTAGTGTAATAAAGAAAGTTAATGAATAATAAGAATGAGTACGTTTAATTAGACGAGTATGTCTAGCGAATCCTCTAATTGCCTCTTCCTGATCCTTGAAAATCACCCGTAGACCTAAGTTAATGTTAATTCTCTTGCGGTGGGAGAAAACTTTGCGTGCCACCTCCTCGGTTGTCCTGTGATCCTGTTAGAAATCGAAAATTTCAACCCCTAAAATTTTCGCTCGGGAGAGACTCGGTGCCACCTCCTCGGTTATCCTATGATCCTGTTAGAAATCGAAAATTTCAACCCCTAAAATTTTTGCCCGGGAGTAACTCGGTGCCACCTCCTCGGTTGTCCTATGATCCTATTCCACCTCTGGCGATTTGTAACAGGAACATAGAACAACCGAGGAGGTCGCATGGAATTCTCCCGGGCAAAAATTTTAAGAGTTGAAATTTTCGATTTGTAACAGGAACATAGGATAACCGAAGAGGTGGCACCGAGTTTCTCCCGGGCAAAAATTTTAGGGGTTGAAATTTTCGATTTCTAACAGGATCATAGGATAACCGAGGAGGTGGCACCGAGTCTCTCCCGAGCGAAAATTTTAGGGGTTGAAATTTTCGATTTCTAACAGGATCACAGGACAACCGAGGAGGTGGCACGCAAAGTTTTCTCCCACCGCAAGAGAATTAACATTAACTTAGGTCTACGGGTGATTTTCAAGGATCAGGAAGAGGCAATTAGAGGGTTCGCTAGACATACTCGTCTAATTAAACATACTCATTCTTATTATTCATTAACTTTCTTTATTACACTAAATATATTACAGTCTATTATACAAGTAGGGCAAGTACATAAGTTCTCGAACTAGTTTAAAAGAATATTAACAAATAGTCCAGTCTTGTCATCGGCTTGAGATCTCGAAGAGGATCCGGCCATCTCCTGGGAGCTCGATGTAAAATCCAAGGCAAGGATTCCCTCTGCTACTCTCTGGAAATTCCTTGAAATCATTCCTAATTTTTATCCCGGGTACCTGGATAATACCTTGGTACTTCCATTGAATGATGACAAAAAAATACGGATATTCCATCAGGGGGGACAGCACAGGATGCGAACGCGCGATCCTGCCCGTGTGCAATCTCCCGATTCACTCGTCGACAGTCGTGGTTCCTTTCCGGAGAGGTGTCGCCTTTCGAGCCTCGACTCGTCTACAAGGCGACGTGAGTTATTCCCCCGACACCGAGTAGCGTGCTTTCAATTAATGCCAGCCACGAAATATCGTCCCGCTTAATAATATCTAGTTAACGTCCTCCGTCGCCCACCAGCGCCGCTAAATTACCGCCATTAATATCGTAACGAAGGTGTCGCCTCTGCGTAGACGAGGCTCGGATCTCGATACACGGAGGAAAGGCGAGGAGCTTGGACTTTTTTCCTCCCTCTCTCGAGGTTGCTTCCAAATAAGTGCCCTTCAAAAACCGTAAAGCCGGAGTTCCCGTCCCCACTTGCCGAGTCGGTGTAACTCGTGTACTCCATTTGTTAGGAAAGAGAGATAAAAAGTAGACGAACGGGAGTCGCGATTCCATGCGCGATATTGGCGCGGAACTCTGCCGCCTCGATCGGCGAAACGCTCGACGATAATTCCCAGCCGACGCTAATTGAACGTAAGCTCCTCGATGCGGAGAGGAAATGATTCACGTCGCCCGAGGCAAGACGTGAAAGACGATATTTCCGTCGCGAAGTGCGCGGCTACTTTATCGGCCATTTTATCGCCGGGGCCCTCCGGGAGAACGGATGATCGCCCTAATGACCGGAATTGATCGCCGCGCACCTACCGCGATTTGAGAAATGGACATCCCCGGAGACCGCCGATAAACCATCATCTCCGAAATATTAATTAAGGGGACGGCAACGGAGCGACCGTCCGTAAAACCGTCCCCTGAACCGAGGGGGCCGAATCGTTTCAAATTTGACAACGCGAACACGGAGTTTATAAAGAAGGTCCTGACCCTCGTGGAATTTTAATTTTCATAGAAAATTGTCAAAGATAAAGGAAACTTCTCCGACGCCACTTTCACCTCGCCTTTAAGGGAGGGCTCGAATTTCGACTTCCAGGGAAGTCGGGGAGGAACTTCCAGATTTTTAGGGATCCGCGAAATGAGACGCAAAGTCCGAGGAAAATCCTAGGTAAAAAAGGAAAAGAGAACGATCCGTGGGCACACTCGAGGAACCGGGTCCCCGAGGGAGTAGCCGAGATTGAAAGCCGACTGGCTCGACCTCGAGAGGAGCGTCTTTGTAATTATGCAAAGTGGCCGGACCGCTCGAGTAATTCGAGGAGCACTTCCTCGGAGGAAGATCCGACAAAGTGGCGAGCGAAACCGGCAGCGACTGTTCGGGGATTCGACGTGGCCTCGGAAAAACGGGACGTCGACCCGGGGGCTCCCTCGGGAGTCCCGAGGACCGAGGGAAGAATTAACGCGCGCCTTTCGTCCTTTCGTCCCTTCGACGGCGGTGCCCTCGCCGTTTCCGCTCGCTGCACCGGAAGTGCCCGATCCCGACGCTAACTTATTCCTAAGGTCGCCTCGGATGATAATGGCGATTTAGTATCGCCCGGAACGCGGTTAAATCTGGTTACGCGATCGCCATTATCGCGAGTCGACGTCGACGCCTCCAGACAATGTACAGGGCGTTTTATAGTTCCTTTTCATCCTTCGAATTTGGATCAATACCCTTAACTACGAAACGCAAAGAGATGTAGTTGAAAAGGCAGATCTTGAAAATATGTATTTTTATTTTTTCGGGTTTCCCTGGATCTTCGGGTCGAGAGGAGGGATTCCCGGTAAGGGAGATTTCCGCGGTTTAATTAGTGGGACTCGCTCGTCCGGGCGGGCGAAAACCGGGAGGCGTCTCCGGGAACGTCCCTGTCATCCCGGCGGGTCCTTCGGGACTCCTCGCTTTAGCGAGCGAGTAAATACGAGCAAACTTGGTTCTTAGTTGTTAGTTCCTCCGCGAGTTTAAGTTAAGTCGGGTGATTCCGCGACCTCCCTCGCGCGACACCGCTAACTGGAATAACTACCCCTAGCTAGGGAAATTCACTAGGCGAGTCACGTGGCCCAGATGTCGACCCAACTTCTGTTTTCTCTCTCTCTCCCTGTCTTCCTCGTTTCTTTCCTTCTTTCGCGAGCCTTCTTCCGCTTTATCTTTTATAGCCTTTCCCCTCGGTTCTCCCGATAACCTTCAAATCCGGGGCACATCGATCGGTCATTTTCTCCCCTCGCTTCTTCGTTCATTGATTTCTCCTCGATTCGTCATCCATCGGTTTCGTCCTCGTCTCTCCCTCCTCCCGTCAAATTTTCGCGTCTTCCCGCCGTTTCCCAGACATTTCCATGATAACTCCCCAGCCTCGGCATCCCCCGGAACAAGCAATACCTCTCCCGGCCCCGTAATTCCTTCATTCCGCTTTCAGTCGATTCCCCGTTTCCCGAGTTTCCCGCGAACTTTCCCAGCGGACTCCCAGGCGAGGCAATTCCCCAGGCAAGCCGCGAGGAGCGGACACTTTCTTCCCTTTCTTCCCCCCATCTCAAGCAATTCTCCTCTGTTTTCTGTCTGCTCGTTTCTCTTGGACCGCTCGACGGGAAATTTACTAGCCGAGACCGAAGGGGAACTTCCCCCCGAATCCCACCGAGAGGACGTTCGGGCGATTTCGCTTTCGATCTGAAAAGTTCCGAGTTCCGAGTTCCTCCCCCGTGATTTTCCAAGTTCAATCGGCGCCCCCCGGAAGTACCTCCCTCCCAGGGACCCTCGAGGTTGCTACCCCCTTTCCCCAATTTTTTTACTTTTCGGACGCTTTTACTCCCTCGGGAGGGGGTGGCTTCGAAGCACCCCCAATTCCCGGGATCCACCTTCGACGTCGACGTCGGGTAATGACTCCGCAGACGTCCTCCACGGGGTTGCACGTCTCGACGGTTAGCTTAATTGAACGCTCGAGTGCGCTTTAATAAAGGAGAGTACACTTTTATCGAGGTGGGGGAAGGGGGAAGGGACGCGCGATACGAGCTCGATTCTTGGTTAGGTTCGCCTGGCTATCGGAAAGCCGGATAAGGGTGGAGATACGGATGGGGTTAGGACTCGGTTGGGAAGGATGGATGACGGTAATGACGAAGCGAGGGGTGGTTAGGATGAGGGGGAGCGGGATGGGTAAACGTGGTCGCGATAACGGGAAGGGATGACGATGGTGATGATTGCGGGGTTTGTGGGGGTGGCAAGTGTCAAATTGATAGCGGGCGTGGGCGATGATGTGGGGATTACGAGCGTTGTGGGGCTGATGATTGAGAAAATGATAACGGGTGCGGGTGATAACGATGGGGATGATTATGAGCGTCGTGATTTTAATTTACTTGTTTTGGGAGAAAAGGGGTGGGGAACGTTCTCGATAAGGAGGGAGGAAGAGAGTGGAGGGGAATCTTCCCCGGAGGTATTTATAAGGGTGGACTATCAGGGACGCACTTGGCGAGAGAAGTATCCTTTAAGTCTTCTTTGCTCTCCCACCTTACCGAGGAAACGGCCGGGAAAGGAAAATCGGAGGACGAGAAAGTAAACCAACGGCCGGGAAATTCCGTCGCGGAAAGCTTGCGGAAATTATCATAAAGTTCTGCTTTGTGTGCCCGGCTTTAACGGCGGAGCCTTAAAACTTCCCTTAAAGAAGAGATAATGTGGCGAAGCAAGTCTTGTCTTTGGGTTCAGAAACTTATCTCCCCCGTCCTTTTGGTCACGGTTGCGGAATCGCTGCGGAACGCCCGAAATTCTTGCAAATTCTTCCTCTTTAGGGAGGAAGTTGGGCTCGATGGTTCCCGCCTTTTAGATAAATTCTGTTTTACGGGTTTAAAGCGACTTTTCGGCGTGGGTATCTCCGCCCTTCTTCGGCCGCCATTTTGGAGAACCTCTCTCTCAACACGTAAGAAAACGGACATAAACCCATCCCAGAGACTTGGAAAAGTCGTCGTTGGAGCGCAATACTCCCGTCGTTAAACCGACAGAGGGGGAAGGAAAAGGCTCGAAAAACATTGAAAGGAAAATGAAAAGATGGAAAAATCGATTGCATCGGGCCGGGTTTTTCTCGTCGCGGCCTCCGTCATCCGCACTCATTTCAGGGAAGCTGATCGAACCTGGATGATCAAACGTCACCCGGAAAAAACATCCCTTATGCGCCTCCACATTTGCAGTTGCAACCGCTTCCCTTTGCCCCGGAAAAGGAGCCACAAAGAGACGACTCGGCGAGCCCGGAAAATCCCTAACGATACGCGAAGCCGCGGTCGAACGAGCTTCGAAAAACGCGAGAAAAAAGCCCTCTCGGAAAACCGAAGGAAAATTCCGGGACCCAAGAAGGGACGAGTCTTTACGCTAATTAAACGCGAATGAGTCTAATGTGCCGCCCCTTCGGTTGGGCGGTCGCGGTTTCCGCGATGCAGAGGCAGTCCGCTTGCCCCACATTCGGATGTGCCTCCGAATGAAAATCAGGTGAAAGGGAGTTGTCACTTCGGTTAATGGGAGTCATGGCGGGGGTATTGTGCCGCAGAGAAATTTTTTCACTCCGTTTTGGAAGTTTCTTGAGGAAAGACTCTCTTCCCCGGGAAATTCGGAATAATTAGTTCGACGGATCGGGTCCCGGAATTGCCACTTTCGGCTGGAATTAATTCCTTATTCTAATTGGGAGGACAATTTATCCCGAGGGGTAGTTCTCGGAATCTGATACTCTCATTAGAAACAATCCGACGTCTCTTTCCGACTCGGTGTGCGGCCGCGCTCGATACTTGTCCTGGTCCAGGGGTGGCTATAAGTTTTATCGCTTGCCCCAACACTCCTCGTAAATCCGGAAACGAGGGCCGATATCCTGTCGAGGAAGGTTTCTTGGGTGCAGGGTCCGCCATTTAATGGGCCGCTCGTCGAGCCGGTCAGAGGACACTTCCGGTTGTGATTTTCAAGGGAGGAAGGACACTTTAATGCCTCCGCGGAAAGTCTCTCGATTTAAAAGTAGCCCCGAAATCCCTTCCACCTCGAAGCCCCATAAAACATTTAAAATATCGCCTTCAAGATGACGTCTAAAATTCCTATCACTTTTTTTCTTTTTCAAGGGAGGAAAGTACTTAGCGGGGAAAAATGATCTCGCGAGAGGGTAGAAATTTATCCCTTAAAAATGTCGGCTCTTGGGCGGGGATCATTTTCGGAATTGGGGCGAACCTCCGGGGAGGAATTGGGTCGAGCTATCCCTGCACCGAATTTATAAGAACCTCTGCTCGTCAATTTTGACGGGCCTGGACTCGACTTTCTCGGCCCCGATTCCTTCTTCGAGGAAAATAGCAATTGGCGGAGAAAAATAGTCTCCGGGAAGCTTAATATGAATATATTAATAATATACTCATATTAATAAAGCCGTCACGGTGATATAATTTTGCGCGTGTGACGAAATGCCGCAACGATTTCGCCCAGTATGTCGGAGGAATTTAGTCGAGATGCAGCATCCCTGGACCAGCCCGGAGGAATCTCTCGTCGTCATCGCTAACATTTCTATACTCACATCGTCCACCTCCCATCCTTGTTTTTGCCAGAAGTAACAGCTGACAAAGGCAGCAGCCACCACTGCCAATGGACCAGCTCCTCCCAGCTCGATAGCTTCGCTGCCAAAAACAGCCAGCATCCCTCCTCCCAGCAGCATCAGAACCCTCAGGGGGACCATGAAGGGCTGAAAAGATCCTCGCATCAGTAAAGCCCAACGATTAGAAATTAACCTTCGCCCAATCATTTCCGAAACGCCCTACCCCCTAAACTGTCGGATTTGAAAAATGAAATAAATCCGGTCAACGAAGTAATAAAGCATCGCGCAATCGTTATCAATTTACTCGCTCTCGGGGTGTCCGGAGCTTTTTCATATGAGAAAATTGGTAGTATTTTAAATGAGGGAGCCGAAAATCCTTCTCGCGGCCCGGGAAGAGTGTTGCGATATTGCGGTAAGCCGTCGAATATTGCGTCCGACGCTTATACGAGCCGTGGCTGCGTAATGCTCTCGCACACGAACCCGGCAGAATGTACCTCGGGTATATGAGCACGCGTGGGGTGGCTACATCCATCTTATGCGTCCGTATATCGCGCGCAACGGCGCAATACCTTGTACGCGCCCCTCGTGCTCATCGATGTCCCTTCCTGTAATGTGGGTTGGAAGTCATAGAGCTCGTATCGAATCTCTATCAAGGCGTAACGTAAACTACGAAACTCGATGGAGTTACGCCCCAAATACGAACGTACCGTTAAATAACCAAAAGGCGATATTTCTTAAATATATAGAAAATATAGGAAAAATGAGTGAGATGAGATAGAGATGCGATGGGAGGATAAAAGGGAGGAAGACAGGGAAGATGAAATTAACCATTCCTGCTCTTCTCTGGCGGAGGCCTTAAGTCCTCCGGGGGATGAAAACCGAAGAAAAATATCCCATCCCTGGGAAAGGGGATGAAACGGGACTCGTATCGGTGGATCTCGAGAAGTTTCGGATGATTCGTTATTCTCCGGATCCAACTCCCGACGAGCAGGGATGAAAAATTGGAAACGGGCCGCCGGAAGCGGAATAGGGAATTCCCCGGAAAATCCGAGCCAGAAGAAACGAGGACGGAATTCTCAGGATTTCACGGCTGGTCTTCCTCCTCGAATTATCTCCTTTCCATGATAAGTCCTTGTAGGAGGACGGAGTTACGTTCCACGAAATGTGATATCCAAAATTAGGTCTAGCCGGGTACGAAAATGGCCGATATCGGTGGATTTAATGTGACCAGGGTTGGGTACGCGTAATATGCGTGCTTTTCTCCGTATATATCGCAACGTGTAAAAGACTTTGACATCGACTTAAAGGATTTAGAATCACTCGACGAGGCGAAAAGTGCATTTCCCAAAAACTCCGAATGCACCTAAGGCTCGAGTGCACTGCAGGTGACGATGCGGCAAAAGTGCTGGCTGCAACTTCGCGTCTCGACCCAGGACACAGACCTCTAATTCGGCAAATCGATGTCTCGCCCCCAGCCTCGGCTATACCCACATACATACCCCCTATATACTAATATGCACCCAAACATATATGCCTAAGAATTGAATTTCAAATATTTCTGCGATCGATACGTGCACGTCTAAAGCCACGTATAAATACGTACATATATAAGACGTATTATATATATACATATCTATACACGTGGGTGTATCGATATGTATATGCCCATGGATTCGAACACACACATCCGGCTGCAGATTAAACCTCCCTTATCCGGAAGCGTTCGCGAGACGATATCAGCCCAAAATCCTGCACCCCCAAACCCCCCTCTACCCCAACAGCCCACCCCCTGGAGATAGTCCGTGTTAAAATATCTGCAATTCATGAGGTCTATCCTGGGCCGGCCAGCCAGGACGAGCTTTTGAAGGAACGACAAAAGCGCATCCTGCCCCCGGGGGCTTTATCGCCCCCGAGGGCCTCGGACCCTCGTAAAACGTTGCGCCCAGAGAGGGGAGGCCTTCTATCTCGTTTTATCTTGTTTCTCCTTTTTTCTTCACTTTTTTCGCCAGCGCAGTTTCGGTACGATTCGCGACTTCGCGGTTTTCAGGGCGCCCCTGTTAAAGGCGTGGCGGGGTAATTTGTTATTACTTTGATAGCGATTCACCCACCCACGTTGATAGGGTTGATAAAAGTTTGTCTTCTATGTCTTCATCTGGTGATTTTTTCCGGGGGTGAAGACAAAGCTTCGAAATTTAACAATCGACCCCGACCTGCCCCAAAAGCGCACTTTATTACGACCCTCCTGTTCCGGTTGCAAGTTTTCCCCTTTCGACCAGATCCGGGCGGAATTTCTTCCCCTGGTGGGCGACGATTCGTATAATAAATTTCCTCCGGGGACGATGCCGAGCCGAGGCCGAAATTCCGCGTCCGGAAAGCCGCAGGGACGTCCTGGGGGAAACTCGGAAAACCGTGAAAAACGACCCGCGCCCCACTCCCCGCGAGGCGGTGCCGGAAGTTCTCACCTCGTGGAAATCAATGCCACCCCTCAAGAGACACGCGTGTAAGGGATGTCGTGGAAATTCCTTCCCGAACTCGACGGAGATGTCACCTCCCGGTGTCTCGTTAAGGTGACGCGAAATTGGCGTCAAAGAGTTCTTCATGAAACTTTTCTCCAAAGGGGGGGTTCTTTTTCCCGCAAATGTTTGGATTTCGGATTATGAAAGCTTCTAAAACGATATCTTCGATGGACGATGTAATAAGGTGGAGACCGGAAGTGGGACCGGAAGCTGAACCAGAAACCACGTGGTTTCCCCGGCTTGTTAAAGAGTTGCGGCAAGCTGAAAGCGCCGGAACTTTCGACGGAAAGTCGCGATCCAAACCCTCCGGCAGTTGCGAACTTTGGACGTCCCCAGGTTTTTGCGAGGACTTGTAGACGCGATTTTCGAGTTTGCTTTCGGGTAACGCCGCGTTCCGGGAACTGTAATTGGGGGTAATTTGCGGCAGACATGGAAGGGTTGCAGTGGTTACGGGCTGAGAAACTCCCCCTGCGGACCTGCCATTTTTCCAAGACTTCCCTCCACGGTCAGCCTTCCATTAAAAATATTTCCCCATAACGTCCCCACTCCTTTACCCGTTCCTAGTATGTATAAAAATACATTAATATTCGCCAAACACCCCGGATAAAGAAAACCGAGAACCAGAATTTCCGCGGCCGTCAAGCAGCCACGAGGTTACCGGAAAGACCTCGAGGCGATCGGCGTCGGGCGTGAACCATAATGGCGGCGTCTCCCTCGAAGAAGCTCAGGGTCGTCGGTAATCGATATAGGGAGGAAAGCGGAAGGGAAGGAGCCGTTTCCTCTCGATTTTTCCCGATAATGCCCCGCCATTGTCCGCGGCGGCGTATCCTTATCCAGGACTTCTCCCGTTATTCCCCTAATTAAAAGTTAAGGGGAAGTCGCAAGAGTCGGCGCCATCTTTATTCCGACTCGTCGAGGCGACGTCCCGAGGGAGGTTTTGAATCCATTCCAAGGGGAGCTTCGATTTTTCTCCATGTCCCTCCCCCGCCCCCCACCGGGAGGGCCACTTTGTCGAACCGAAAGGGAATCCCGAGGATTGTCAGGAAATCAATTTCTCCTTTGTCTCCCTGCCGCCCCGGCCATTCTGGAGAACATACTTCCCACTTAGGGGAAGGGACGCGATCTTCCTCCCGGGGGTCCTTCGACCCCAAAGCGCCCCTCGCCTTTTCTCGACCCTGCTTTTTCCACGTTTTTCAGAAAAGGACCTCTTGGGGATCAACCCTTTTCTGTATACCCCTCTTCTCGTTTCCCCAGATAGGAGGGCAGGAGATAGAGGGGTCGGAAACGCAACAATGACCCGGGATAAATTCTCACGCTTCTTTTAGATTTTATTCGCCACTGCGCTTGCTTTCCAAAAATTAAAAAAGATGCCGAAACCAAAACCCATTCGGCCGGGAATATCGCAAAAATGCCGGAGAACCCGAAAACCCAAAATTCCGGGAAACTTTGCGCATCGACACGCAAAAGTGGGAGCGTACCGATTATTTTTTTTTTATTTCAAGTTTTCCAGCCCCCGCTTGGAAACGCTTTAAAATAAAAAATGTATTTGCCTCTCCATGACCGATTTGAAAATTTCGCTGCAATTGGCCCACGGAAAATAAATAAACGTTAACCGTCCGGGTTTACTCGAAACGATTTACATACAGGTTATGCGTCGCGTCGTCATAAAATAAAAAATATTTTGCGCAACTTCCCCTGCTTTTAACGTTCTAAGCGGAGCGGTTTTATGGAGTTATCCTTTTTTTGCCCGCAGGACGACAAATCCTGCGTCCAAAAAACCGGCTATATATCCTTCGGGACGGTTTGTAAAGTCGGAAGTCCGGAAGATATCTCCATATTGAAGCTCGAATGGGGCGGCAGGGAAAAAGAGCGTCTTCCTTCCATTTCTTCCATTCTCTCGATTTCTCCCCGTCACGTCCCGGAGTGAAACGCGTCCCGCGAGTCGGGACTCTTTTGATCGGGAGAATAAGGAGGAAAGCACGCAGTCCTCGGTTCGATCCGACCGAAAAGGGATCCCTCGGCGAGTCCCTTTACGGTTCGTTTGATCTCCACATTTGTCGGCACCGGGATATACTTCGCTATTCCGGTCCAGGACCTCTTCCTGGGAAGTTTACGAGGACACGTCGAGGAAACGTGGCTCCCGGGTCTACCTCCGTCTTGCGGACATATGCAGGCCTAACCTCGCTTCGATGTCGACTCGGCGGCGGTTCGCGCGCGACTGTGGGGTGCAGAAAAAGAAATGCCCGCTACTTGGAGAACGCGCGATGACGCTCCGGATAAATGGAAATGGCGAACGGGGAGGAAAGTTGGAAAGCAGATACTAAGTCTTTCTCGACTTTATTGGACGCGAGAGCGATCGAAACTTTCGAAAAGGCGGGACGACTCGGTGATATAATAAGGACGGCAGACGCGGAGGAGAAAATGGAGGACGCGAAGGAGAAGCCTTTTTCCAAGATTTCAAACGGATAAAAATCAATCAAACTCGTAGTTATATCGGATATATTTGCTGCCGATAAATGACAATACTCCGGTGAATAGTTCCCTGCTTTTGATACTTCCTTCATCGAGAAGTATCTCTTTGAAACGGCGGCCATCTTTGGGAATGAAAATCCGAATGAATATTTCCTTCCTCGAAAATCCCTCCGAAACGAACGTTGGCCATTTTCGCGGACGAAAATCCCCGTGGAAACAAAAAGCGTTGAGGGGGAGGGGTCTTAACCCAGGTCCGGGAACACCGTGGAAATTGCGTTCCTCCCGGGTGAAGGCGAAAAACGAGGGTTTGGCAAGGAATAGCTGGAGCTTTCCAGCGAGCGCGGCAAAAACCAATAATGTCCGCGAGGTCGCGACCCGATATCCCGAGGGACGCAATAATGGGAGCGTCGCGACGCCGGGCTCCTCCTCGAGGGTTTCGGACGTGTCGGGAGACGTTTCGACGGCGAAACGGGAAAGCGGATTCCCCGTCAACCGGTGAAAATTCGGCCTGACTCCGATCCCGGGGTTCCCGTGGGATCACGCCCGAGTATTCCCGGATATGGGAAGAGGTCGCTAACGAAGAACCCGAAACTTCTTTCTCCATTTTTCAGACTTTTCAATTCTTCATTTTTCGCACCCCAATGAAGTGATTAATGAGCGGCAAATTATTGATTAAAAATTCAATAATTATTCGACAAAGGGTTTATGAATTCACCCCCCGATTATACAATACTCTCCGAATTTAAACCGACCCGGGACGTGTTGGGCGTTCAGAAACTGGGAGAAAAATTCGGCTAAATGATTGTAATTTGAAATCAATTAAATCCGCTGCCGCGTAAGTGGATCGATAGATACGTGTCACCGGGAATCGATTCAACCGAGTCAGGAAATTAACCGCTAATCTGTTAAATTAAATCGCCAATTTGCTCCCGGTCCAAGTGAAATTTAATTTGCTGTCGTCACCTTGTTTAGCAAAATTCCAAATTGAACGTTTAACATTTTTCAGGAAAATGGAAATCATTGTGGTGGATTTTTCGCGTCCCGTTTGGTAAACGACATTCGCGTTAATATGAAGATAGTAATTCGCGTTAAGTGATATGGTCCTAAAAAATCTCCTGAGAATCTTTCCTATCGCAAAGTCGATTTCTCCGTTTTTCAGGAAATATCTTTCGCTTCGTTTAAAAAACCCCGAACCTTCGGAATATAAAATCGAACCGATCGAAGGCGATTCAATTAATTGACTCCCGACCTCCAATAATTTGATTAACCCGCGAGGGCGGATTCCTGATTTTTATCCGGATTAATATGCGTCTCCCGACTGCCGGGAATATCGAATATAAGAGCTCTCCTTTTTTTCTACAAAATCCTTAAAAACTGAATTTTTATGCATAAATGTTTAATCAATTTTCCCTCCCAGACGGAAACCTGAAATCCTGTAAAACGTAAGCGGCTCGAATTTCCAATGGCGAAAGATATACCGCGGAAGAAGGGGAAATCATTTAGAGATGTAGAAAAATGTAGATACTTACGTCTCCTTGTTCGGGGACATATTTCGCCAGCCAACCCCAAGCGACTCCGAATCCGAGACCTCCGATAATGGCGATTGGTCCTTGAAGGATCTGATACCATAATGCGTCATGGGAGAACATTACGCTCTTAACGATCCCATAGATCGCCACGGAAGCTGCGTCGTCGATCCCTGCAACGGCGATGATCAACGTCGGGATACCCTGGAAAAAAGATGGAGCATATTATCGATTCAACGAGTCAACAATCGGCTCGACAAGTTAATACTTTTTTTTTTTTTTTTTTGTAATAGGGATGGCATGTACAATTTATTTATAGGACAAAAGTGAGGATTGTTAATCATCCTCTATACAAAATATAGAGAAAAACGAAAAACGATATTTTTTTCCCTGTGCGCGACTTGACTCACCCTGTACATCTTCAATTAAATCATTCAATGGAAAGCAAGGATTCTCCGTAAAAGGGAAAATTTCCCGACGGGACGTAAAGTTGATCCTCGGGGGTCAGGGTAGGTCGGGGTCGGAAAGGAGCTTCCCCGGGAAGAGCGGTTCCCGGAGCAGGGATAAAGGGAGAGGCTCGCTTCCCGTCCATTGCCCGTGGAATTCCGCTCCGCGGCTGCCGCACCGGAAATATAGAGCCGCATCTTTCACGGATGCTAATGGAGGCTCGTATTTTTGAATGGCGAGTCGCGGGAGGAGACGAGAGACCCTTCTCGAATCGAATCGAGATGTCCTCCCGTTCTCGAGGATTAAGCCCGCTGGATCTCAAACTCCACTTTTATTCTTATTTTTTGGTAAGAAGTAAAAGCAAAAACGGAGCTCAAAAAGCACGTCCAGAAGAGGCACATTCCCTCCGGGAAATCTCACCTTCGCAACTCCATAGCCTTTTTCTCTCAACCTGAAGAGGCAGGGAACGACGACGGCGGGCGACACCGCGGCGATGATGCTCCCCAGGAGGAAACCCCAGATCCAGGGCAGTCCTATCAAGTACCGGGTGGAGACGGCCACGACGAAGGCCTCGACGCACCAGGGGATGAGGCCCAATTTCGGCACCGTCAGCTTCAGCTTCTTCAGGGCGTCGGGGTCCAGGTCCAGCCCGGCCCTCGTTAAAATGATCACCAAGGCGACTTTCCTGCGGATCAAAAAGCGAGCTTAAGTTGGAAAAAAAAAAGAAAAATCTGACGTTTATCTCTGGTTACTTTTGGAAAGTGCTCTGAGAAGTGTTTTGGCATTGTTCTCCAGGTCTTAGGCTGTCTTCGAAAGGAATTAACCCAGAAACGACGCGACTTTCTGGCGGGCCGCCCGGTCGGGCCGATCAGCTGATTTTGACAGCTCGCGCGGTGACAGCTCCGTCGCTCCCTCCCCGGGTTCTCGGGGTTGACACCGAAGAACCACTTCCGGGGACCCGATCCCGCGAAATTTCCCCAGGGGATTAGAGGCCATCTCTCCCCCTCGACGTGCACGTCATCGACGTCGACGAGATCGCCAAAGCTCGCCGTTGTCTCCGCGCTATCTCCCCGATTCGCTCCGGGTTTTGAAATGCAATGACACCTCTACCCCGAAAAATCGACACGAGGTTGAAAACTGCAAATCGAGAGGTTTTGACACCCCTCGCGAGACTTTTCGATTCGTGATTCCGACGACGCGCGAAAAATATAATTTTTTACATTTAATTTCATTTCATTTATAAACGAAATAATTGCAATTATTTAAGAATAAAAATATACCGCGTACTAAATTATGCGACACTTCGTCCTGGGATGCGAATTTCTGGGGTTCAACATGAACGGTCGATCAGCTGATTATGACAGCTGCCGCGTGGGAGGCGCACTTCGGATGCTCGAACTTGGTTTGCGCGTGTAAGTCGTCGCGTCCCCGACACGCACGCGTCGTCATGCGTATCCGATTCGTTGCGTAATGTCAGTTCGCACGTTACGTCAACCAAGCGACGCAATGTCCCGCCCGAGCCCAGAATTCAGAGCCGTCGAACATAGGCCGGGAAATTCAAAACTGGATTTTTATCCTCTTTGTTTATAGAAATGGCAAGGTAAAAAATATATTTTTTGGGAATTCAATTTCGAACTATGGAATGAACAAAATCCAGGAGAACAATTTCACGCAACCGCTCCTTTGGTAGCCCACGAGCATCCTCCCAATTATTGGAATTGGAAATTGCGGCATTTTCCGAAATTCCCTCTCGGTGTTGCGTACCACGAGGGTGCGTGCAAACATATTAGATCTCTATCTAGGATAGATCCGAGCCGAGTAAACTGATTCCGGATCGTTTCCCCCATACGACGCAAATTGCCCCGGGATATTCTCCGGATTTGCGGAGTTATCGGCATAATGGGGCGCTCAAGGAATATGCTCCCTAACCTCTAATTCCGTACCTGAAGGGCTTTCAACTTGAATATCCACCACTTGTCTCACTTATCGCGCGAGTCCCTTCCTGTGTCGGCGTCTCTGTGATTTCGAATAATCAAGGAAAGACGCGAAAGCTCGAAAATTCATCCCTGAGAGACATTGTAATAATCATAGTATAATGAAATTCTGGTCTAATCATTGTTTTCAAGATGTCACGGGACGAAGCCGACACTCAATCGGGAATTGATTTCAAACATATGTGGTATCTCCCGGATTTATCACCGATCGGTATCGAGCACCTCGTGACTCCCTCTTATCAATCTGGTACAAATACAAGATGGGCAGACCTCGTTAACGTTTCGTAAGAAAATCCCCCGGTACGATTTCTCAGGAGTCAACTAACTGAAGTTCCCTTCAAGAGTGTCAATTACATCCCAAGCGGAATTTTCCGCGATACTCGACAGTAGTTGTGACATTTTATTCTTTCCCGTCGTATTTTCGTGAAAATTGAAAGGTTGAAATTTTAAACGAAAATGTGTATCGCAATTCCTGGCACTTAGGGGTTTCGAGAATCGAGAAATTCCCGGGTTTCGAGCATCCGCGGAAACGAAGGGAGGAGGGATGAAATCCGTTCCCGGTTTTTACGGAGGATCCTCTGGGAAGCGCGCGAGGATTTTATGGAGAGTTCCCAGGTGTCAGCCGGCTTCTTGCGGACTTCCTCGGATCTTTTTAGGGAAGGAAAGGGGATCGTGTCGAGAAAGCTTGACTCGATCAGCTCTTGTCACTATACGAGTCCTGGAGGAGAGCTCGTAACTCTCTAAGAGACGCCGAAAGACCCGCGAGGACTCCTGGATCCAAAGTGGACCTTAAAGGACGATATTCCAGGATTCGGGAATATGTTTGCGGCGTCGAAGACCATCGAAATCTTCTTGAAAATTAATTTCAAGTATTGAGAATTAATTGATTAATTATTGAGAACGTCGTCATTCTGTATATTATTTTTCCTAGAGAAAATTCAGAAACTCGAAAATTCTCCCCTTATACGGACATAGAAAGTGGGGACACTTTCCCATGAGTACGACGCTGAGTAAACGAAGGGTTCGTGAGCATTTTACAAATCGTCGAAGAAGCGCCGCAGATTACCTAATAAGTTAACCACATTAACAGTCCGTCTGCGACATGGATGTCATTAGCGGATGTCAACGCGCGTGTTAATTGGCATAGGTGACCACGAGAAGGGACCCCGACCTTAAAACTGGCAATTTCGAATCACTTTTAGAATTTTAAACCGTTTCGCTGGGAGCAAGTATATCGATTCAAGGTTGAAGGAACCGAAGACATTTCAAGGCCATTCGACGCGTTCTCCAATAATATTCTTCAACCCTTTCTTTCGGCGAACGCGTTTTGCAATTAAATCCTGCACCCCCTTATTTTCGCAGAACATGCCAGCGTCATAACCATAAAACAAAGAATAGTAATAAATAGTAGGAAAGAATTCCCATTTTATCCCTGAAGACTCACCGAAGATTGGCGACGATGGTGCCGTAGCTTCCTTCTATGGTGACGAGGCCGGCGTTCTGGAAGATGATGCCGGTGACGAGCATGCCGATCAGGGCAGGCAAAGTCGTCAAGGAGAAGAGCCAACCCCCGAAATGTGCGGCTATGCAGAGGGATGCCAAACCGAAGAGAGGCCCCCCAGGGGCGGCGTCTTCGCCGATGATGGAGAAGACGATGCCCCAGAGCAACAGGCCCAAGAGGAAGAGGCACAGCACTCTGGCGAACTTCCTGTAGGTCGGGCAGAAGGGCTGGGGACACGCTTTCCTCCATCCCGGGGGCTCCCAGGATGGCGTGTCGTCACGGCCGTGACATCTTGCGCAAAATAGATACAACCATGATCTGGAAGTCAACGCATCACTCTTCACCAGGGCGACATCGAGTACAAGTCGGGGAAGGCTCAAGGCAGGGACAAAACGGTGAATTATTCACAAGTTATGGAGAAGACGCGGAGAATCTACGTGGAGCTGTCCCGCGAACGTTATTTATACGTTTTGAGAATTCAAGTCTATAAGGTCGGAGGGTGAACTCACCTTTCGAGTTCCTCGGAATACTCGATTTTGTCCCTGATGGAGCTCGTCAGGCTCATCGCCGATTTTTTCCTGGTGGTCCCGTTGACGCGGCCATTTTCAAAGTCGAACTTGTGCTGCGGGATATTTTCGGAACTGCCGCCATTGCTGTGATGCAAAATCGACTTCCGTCTCCCGGGCTCGGAATTGGGCTCGGAGCTGGCACTTATTCGCCGATGGTGATCGAAGGCGGGATTATCGACCCCGAGAACTTGATCACTGATGGAGACGCGTCTCTTCCCCGGTTCTTCGGGCGGCCTGAGCCTCCCCGGGTCGTTCTCCATGATGGCGGCTCTGGAGAACAAAAATTAATCCTTATGCTCCTTCGAAATAAATTCACGACAGAAAATACACGCAAGGGTATTCGATTCAATCGGAGTAATTATATCGACTTTACCGTTTATCTAAACGATTTAGACCGTTTAATTGGATGATTTGAAAAATATGCAAGAAACGTTACTCCGCCAACTTTCAAGAGATTTCACTGGGGACGGTAAACGGAATACGGAGACACGAGCAAAGATGTAAAAATTCCAGGAAAGGAAAATCATTAATGTTCACCAAGTGCAACCGAGCCACCTCGTTCTCCACTCGCGGCGTCCTTCGTTGGCGGTCTTCGCTTCTCTGTCCGGCCGCGACTCGGCGTTCTCCAAGGAAAAGAGGAATGGCGGATCACGCGGATTTCCGAAGCGCGTGACCCCTTGTTTTCCCTCCTCCGGAGAAACGACGCTAATCGTTTGGGACCACGCCGGGTCCTGACGTCTTTAGCACCTCGGCGACGTCGCCCAAGGTCGGCCTCCTCCTCTTCTTCGACGTCCTCTTCGGGGGTGCCGCACGAGTCTCTCCGCGGTCTCAGCGCGAATCGAACGCGGACGCTCGTTTGTCCATTGCGTTATCTCGGCCTGATTATCCGAGATCGCGGAAACTCAAGAGGAATCCCGGACGCACTTTCTAGCCGAGAAGGCCGATCCTCGGAACGGCGTCGCGACGCCCTAAGGCGACTTGCGAGCTTAAATCCAGATCTAGTGCTCGCATCGTGGCGTCTCCAAACGTGTTGTTAACAATTTGTAATATATATTTTTTATTCAAACAATGCCAGAGAAGAATCTAAACATAAGGCGTAAGTCCTTTTCTTTAAAAAAAAAATTAAATAATATCAAATATTAAGCGAGGGGGCCATTGGACGCGTTCGTCCGGGGATTTCCGGAGTTTCTCACGATCTCTCTCTTAATCCTATATTATTATTTACGTTTCAGGCTTTCGTTTCACCTTGGCGTTGAGGAAGATCAGTGACAGCTCCTCAAGCGTTTCTTGAAGACATTAAATTCCCGTTATTCTTCAATAACTCTATCGCTCCACGCCGAGTGAGATTTCACGAGCAAGAACGACTGCCTGATGGAGAACCGGACTTCTTTTCAGGTTTCAATTTCTAGCGGTTTCCTTTCAGCTTCGCCTTTCAAAATCACGTTCACACTTTTGTGGAAGGACGGCTTTTCGGAGCGGCGACTCTTTCTCACATTTTCCGCTTTTTTATCCGTCCGGAGAACGAGATCAGCTCGACGACTCTTGGAGAGCCGAAGAACTGAACCGGAGAACTCGCGAAAAATTCCTGATAAATTTAGGCAGAATTCCCGGATATCCCGCGAACGTTTGGAGAACCCTCGAAGGATATGACACCCACGTTTCAGGAGCTTCTTCTCGGCGCCTCGTCGGCTCGCTTTCGGTTCTCCATTTTCTATTCGAAGAATCGAAGGTGGGCTCTCTCGGCAGCGACGTCGGTGTCGTGTAAACTTCAAAGGCTGGTCAATGACTGATTCGACGAGCGAAGCTCGACGTCCTATCCCGGCCGTGGTGGGGCTAGCAGAAACGTGCCAGCTCGACCCGCTATAGAGAGAATAATTGTTATCACGGCACAGGATGGGCACAGCTGGAACCTCATTGACAGTCCGTCGAGTCTCTGTCAAGTTGACCACTTGTATGCACCGACAATTCCGAGTCGAGAGCGTGGCGGCCGAGGGAAAAGAAAAACTTAGCCCCCGACCGAAACGAAAATTCCAGCCCCGCTCGTAAACCGCGATCGTTCGTTTCCTAGCGGCCCGAATTTCCGGAGCGACAAGAAAAAAAAATTAGACGATGTTTACTTTCAATTTACTTTCTTCGAGCTGCTTACTTTCAACGCGCCTTGGTCCGAATCAATTGAGCACTTTCCTCGCGTAGGGCGTACTTTCGCGTGTTTCGATTCGCCGGAGAGAAGACTCGTTGGGGGAAAAGGTTAAGGCCATCGAAAGGTATAAAAATGCATTTTCCGTTGAACCATTGCATCGAAAATTTCAATGGCAGATCCAGGGGATTCGGTTCGGCCGACTTGTGAAGCCGCCGTCAAAATGGCCACTTGTATGCACGAGCGGCTCAGATATGAAGGGCGGTGGCGCGAAAACGCATACACCTGCGAGCACCTGCGAGCACCTGCCCCCCTGAATCCACCTCCACCCACTAGAGGGACTTATGCCACTCGGCTCCCCAGGGCCATTTCCCTAATTACTTTCGCTCGATTTCGCGCTGCGGTGAAAGCAGTTTCCGTAGGCTTGTAAAGGGCGCGTCTCTCCTCCGGATGCGGGGGATGCACCGGATGCGTTTCGATCCACGACCGAGCCCATCGATCGAACTCTCGATCCATCACGAATCGAATCGTTGCCGCGTAAATACGCGACGGCCCCCAATTGCGGAAACTTTAACTGCAATTGTGGGGAAACGCGAGGACGACGACCCTTCTGGTTGAGTTATGGCTGTTGATGCACAATGCACGCGGATGATTTATGCGAGGACTCACGTGACCCACGCATTATTCCGTAAAATAACGCGCAAGACGATGCGATCCCCGCGCCCTTGTACGCGAAGTCCGGGGACTCTCCTACGGATCACCACTTAGGAAATCGTATCGCGTGCATCCACGGCGTGGAAAATCTCACGGCTCGTTAAATCATAGAGCTCGGGGTAAAGTCGCATGACTCGTGTCTCTCCGTGAGCGAAGACCCACGATTAATGTTACTCTTACGTGAAGAATCGCCCGACCCACGTCGACGAGCGTATAGAGTCGTTCCACTCACGCGGCGCATCCGCCGGTCGCGCGTCACCGATTTCTCGATTTCTACCCGACCTCCGGCCAATCAGGCGCGAGTTTTCCGCGGAAGCCCCAGATCGACTCGTTCCGCAATTTGTGACACACCCGCCATTAGGTCGGTCGAGGTCGTTGGTGCTCGGCACGGATTTCGCGCCTCTTTAGTTCCTCTTCGTGACATCACCTAGATATACCGGCACTTTTCAAAAGCAATTTTTTTTAGAGATTCAAATTTTCTAAGTATCGGCACGTTCTTTAGGCGTTCGCGAATCGCGTGCCAAAATTGCAATGAATGAAATTTCAAACGATCCGGTACACCCGGTTCGGAGGAAAGTTCCGCGAGCGAATCCCAGAAATCCAGGGAAGCAGTTTCCTCGGAATGCAGCCTCGACCGGGCCCGACAAATTGGTCGACCGCCATTATCGAGGCTGTGGGTGTAAAAAGTCACATCACCGGGCCGATCTTCGCGAGACATCCTCCGTCGGCGGAATCCGGCCGCGGCCGCGAGCCGCGTCGCGGATTTGCAATTCCGATGGCACCTCGACCTCGGCCCTCCTTTCGCTTCCACCTCGAGGACGATTTCCGAGGAGGGGATCTTCCAGAATACGATATGAAGAAGTGCCGGACCCCTTTCGCCCTACCTAAGCCGCTGTCGCTCCAAGAAGAGGGACGATCGGGATTTCGGGTCCCGGGACGCCAACCAAAATGCATACCAAAATGGAAACCCCGAGAAAAGCCGCTCTTTGCTCCCCCAAATCTCCCTCTCCGCCCCTTTGATACGCCGACAAATGGATTCCCATATCTATCGATATCCCCGGCTTAACTCCACTTTTATTACGCTGCCGTGTATGTAATAAGAGCAAAATGAAAAACGCAGAATTTATTGAATTGTCCGCCAATGGTGGCGGAGGGTTCGCGGAGAAAAATAGGGGTGGAAATTTCAAACTGTTTCTAATTGGAATAAACTGATGGGCAAGTGGTCTGAAATTTATTGTATTCCCTGTTACTAACCTGAAATCCTTCCCCTCTTTCTGGCATTTGGGAGCAAAAGCTTGAAATCTGGCCGAAATGCGAATTCTCATAAGTCGAGGCGACGTCGGGTCTCGGGCGTTTCTAACCTCAAAGGAAAGACGAAGTCGCGAAACGTCGGCGAGAACTTTTCCGGCAAACTTCAACCGCGGAGAACTCGACGTGTGCGACTCGCGGATGCTCGAGCTAGTTTAAACTCGCTCGAGCTTTAAGCCACAACTCGAGTAGCTTGTCCAATTAAACTCGATTATTGCGACCCAAGCGAGAATACTCGAAGAGGCGAGCGGATGCGAAGAAGACGGCTTGGCAGAGATTGGATGGTGCGAAAGCGCCGGCGAAACTTACGCGCGATCGCAGCGCCACCGGGGAGGAGCTTTAATTGTCCGCGATGTAAAGAAAGAATAGAAATCGGCAACATGATTATTAGTCGTAGGTGTTCATTGTTGACAACTCAAGCTTAGGGGATAGATTTCGACATTTCGCCGTATTTTCGGTTCAATATCTTCTTCCTCGCTATTCGTCACGATTCTAAACTATTCCGGCGTATTATCAACGATTTATCGATCTCCGATAGGCGCCGACGGTTTATCGAGATGATCCGACCGATCAGGAACTGATCTGGAAAAATGTCAACCCAGTTATTACCGAAAGATACGAAAAGAGGATTTCCGCCAAGATTTGTCATCCACTACGTCATTCTTGGGGTTTCGATGAATTATCGGAACTTTGCGTATGAATAAATATTGCACAATTTTTACTCCAAAACAGGAAGACGAAAAGGTCGCACCGATTTTTCGATAAATCGTACGGAAAGCAATCTCGGGAAAAATAAATCGAGACGTTTGCCGAGACCAAGACCCACCGTGGAAGTAAATATCTCTCTGGCAGAACTCGATGCTCCATTTTGGACGACCGAAATCGAGCCACGAGCTCATCGGCAAAACCCGATTAGACCGGGATTAAGAGATCGAACCGAATCGATTGCGGCCTCAAAGCTCCATAGAGAGCCTTTAATTCCGCCTCCGGAATTCCGCGGAAATTCCTCCGCAGAGCCATTAGACCCTGCCGGGAAATATGCACGAATTGCCGCATTTCTCCGGCCAATAGAGATTTCTCAAATTTTCATTATACCTCACTTTTTAAATGCAAACTCATTCAACGCGATAATCGAGGATCGCGAGGATGTAATTTCTGCTGCCTCCTAATTTCATGGGATTTAGTCTATAATACTATTTTAATTCCTTCCCCATATATTGCATGCCAGTTCCAAAACTGGAAATCTACAATTTCACGGTAAAACCTCATTTTCACTCATTTGTGAGATAATGTGAAATTTGTTATGTTATTCCATTAACTGGAGCAGGCGACCTCGCATTGTTGCGAAGAAGCATCAGGCCGGTGATAAGAGGTGAAAAATATTACCTGAAGACCGATAGCACTATCGGCAAAGTCCTAAATCTGTGCAAGGAGGTAATTTGTGCTTTAACGGGGACATAACTAATAATTGGGAAATTGAATGTAAAAAGCGAGGTTCGGTTCGAGGGATATCGCAAATTTCGCCTACTCTCGTCGAACCGTATCCAGAGATCCAGGGGAAGAGCATCGCTTTGGGCACTCACGAACCTTAAAAGCACCCTCTGCCGTGGGAACGTAACTTAATCGGAATTAAATCCGATTTTATCCGCCTCTTTCATTCGAGAATCCGATTCCCCGTCAGGTGCCATCCAGCCGTGGCTTTCGAAACGACCCCATATCTACCTTTCGAAGAAATTCAATTCAGAAAGGAAGGAAAAGGTTGAAGTGACAAGAATGCGTCCGAAAAGCACATAGTCGGATTTCGAACTGTCTAAAAATAAATCATACAATGTTCATAATCTTAGTAAGCGGTGAAAGTATTACAAAAATGCAGGAAATAAAAATAATTGAAGTGAAAATTTCATCGAGCAATTTTGCTCACTTTTTGCGAGCGAGGCGAAGAGAAGAGTACATTACGAGAGACACCTTTAAAAGCTCATGCGAGTCCGTTTCATCGCAGGAGAATATACTGTTACTAATGTTGATAATTTATTGACAATTGCTGTCAAGTAAAGATGCGCGTCAAAGAATGAGAAATCGTATTACTCGACCTCATTTGCTGCTTTGAAGATGATTTACGCTAAACTCGTAACAAGGATTTAGAACTGTACGTAAATCATTTCACGAGCAAGTCAGTCCGCCATAACGTCACTACCCGGGACGAGGATCACGAAGAGAGTGGATTTTCAATACGGTAAAGGGAAACTCGAGGATATTAAATCCCGTCGATTTCTGCATTCCGGTAAATCCTCCAGCGGGTTTTACATCCCCTTAATGCCTTCCAGGGAGAGATCAGAAGACGCGAGAGTTGTAAGTAACTCGAGGAAAGCCCAGAGTTCTTGGCATCCTTTGCCCCCAATCGCGGATTTCCACGGAGGGCCGTACACGGCACGAAGCCCATAGTGGTGCACAGATATTTCCATTTAATCGAACAGCAGACATCTAACGTCGGATTTCCATTCGCAATATTCCTGGCTTGCGTTTTACATACTCGAAGGACACCCCGAAGACGCCGAATTATCGTCACCCCCGGAAAGGGACACGATGGAGCACTTCCGATATCGAGCCGAGTAAACCGATTCGCTTATTGGAATAACTATAAGAATACTAACGATAAGATTAGTCCAGTACTCCCCAGGAGAAAAAATGTCCGGAAACTGTCTCCGAAACTTTACTTCCAAAAAATCTCCCCCGCAACCCACGTCGAGGTTCCTCTCGTAGCTTACGAAGCTACCTTACATATTTAATTTTACGCCGCGGCGGGATTGCCTTATCCCCTCGGATTTTTTCAGACTTGTTTCGCCAGAGGGCTCGCGTCGTGTGGTATTTTTTTTACGCGGCGCGATATGGCTCGTAAAGTGGGAAAAAAATGTTTCACCATCGAGGGAATACGCGCGAAGAACGCGCCGCGTCCACCTGATTTTATGCCGCGTTTAAAGCGTCTCGCTGTATAATGCAGCACGAATGGATGCACCGGAATCCGTCGACGGGCGAATCGCTGCGTCTCTTCGAGTTCTTATACGCGTGTCGCCGATATATTAGAAATCCTTGGAATCTTTACGAGCCATTTTTTTTACCACGAACGACGCGAAGTCCCGGTCGATTTCTGCAAAGTGGAATGTTCGCCGGTATCGCCGGTATCACCGGTATCGAGATGCCAAGGATGTGACGGATATAGATAAAAAAAGTGCGTGAGGGTATATAAACGTTAAGTACTGGCTTTGCCCGGATTTCCGCAAGAATTTCTTAAAAAAAAAAAAGAATTCGATGTAATCTCACGAGATGAGTCATTCGAAAGCCTCGCGATACTTTCAATTTTACTACGAAATTTTCAGGGCATCGTTAACAATTTCCGAAATTTGTGGTTTTAGAGACCAGGAGGGAAGGGGGGAATTATTTGGCGAGTTACCTCGAACATCCCACTAAAAGCATTAATCTACTTTGTTCGGTAACCGGGCGAACGTTTACTCCATTATTTTCGTTTATACCGCCGTTACGGTGAAAACTAAAGCCCATGTTCAATACGATAACGCATAACGTTCGTTAACTCTAATTTCTAATAGAAGCTCTTAGACGTCGTGCGATAGCGCATGGAAAGTACGATGATAACGTCGGTTCCTGAATTTCGAGGCCTACGAACAGAGGTGAGGTAACTATTTGGCGAATTACCTCCAGCATGTCCCCAGGAGCACTAATCTACTTTGTTACGTTACCAGGCCGGCGTTTACGCCGGTTTTATCGGGACTGTAAAGTGCCGGCGATGGCCCCAGCCTCGAGGTTGTCGGCGGCGTTATGGTCGCCGACACACCCCAATAGCGGCCAAAGCGAAATGAAGATTAACCGAGGTGACCAAGGTACCTGGAATCGTTTCCTGCGACAAATTCAGGCCGAAAGGAGCCGATACCGGAAGATAATGGCCGCCTCTAAAAGAAACGAGCGCGGAAAGGTTGTTCCACATTTTCGGGGACATCCCTCAGATCGTCCCATCATCATCATCAATAGGTGCCTCGGAGTTGTAAGATAAAAGGGACGTGCAAATTCGGCCTCGCCCGAGGCGGGTCTTCCTTACCTTGGGAAAGCTCTGGGTGAAGGTGGTCCTCCAGGTGGTCCTCCAGGTGGTCCTCCGGGCGCAACCCAGAGCAGGACTAATTACAGCCTCGCCCGAGGGGACTAGGCCTCTTCTTTGGCGGAAAGCACCCCATTAAACCGAGGACGTCAATACGAAAGCTCGACCAGGCAATTCCACGAGCTGCGAGTCGTAAAGAAACCTTCCGACGATCCTCGAGATCGCGGAGGCCGGAAGTTTCCTGCTGACGAGACCGGAATTCCATTACCCCGAAACATCGGAAATCCAGGAGGGTTCTCTTCGCCCCCGGAAGCCCCAGGATCCTCCAGATTTCTCTCTACGGAATTTACTTCTCCAAGAAACTCTCGGTCTTCTTTATCTTTAACTCTTTTTAAATCAGGAGTTAGCGTCAATTTCCGCAGGGGGTGCCTATTATTCGTATCGCGTCTTTCAAGGATCTGGAATCCACGACTGTATTGTTTAATAAAAATTGATTCACCTGCACCGCATTTATCCACACACGCAGAAAAACAAATTTGGTTCATTTAACAAAATCGTCCGATCGACTGAATTTGGTTAATTTCAGGAAATGTTTCGGTCGAGCGAACCGAGTTTTAGTTCACTCGACCAAACTCGTTCGTTTCAATCGATTAAAGTGTTTTGGTTAAATTGTTTCGTTAATTTTGTTACGATTTTACGTTTTTTAAGCTTCGTTCCCGCTCGTGCAGTTTTTAGGTTGAAGTTGGATTAACCGAAGCTAAAGGGTCTAATTTGGCTAGTTAATCTAAACGTGGTTATTGGAAATTAACCCGCCGTTAAAACGTGCAACTCTTAGTAACCGTGGATTAACTTTTTGACCGAGGTTACTCCGGGTACGTCTTCCCGAAGGAAGGATTAAAAATGGCTGAAATGACAATAGCATCCGCGTGTTTTATGCATATGCATGCGGGGACGTGCCAAGAGGTGGACCCCTAATTCCGCGACATGAATTTCAGATTGAGCTCGTCAACGCCTAATTGCTAATCCCCGTCAAAGGAAGTCAATTCCGTGGAGCGTTCGCAGGATAGTCCCGGTCCTTTGGTGGATTCGCCAGACCGGGTCCAGACGAGGCTAATCCTCCAAAGGACCCGAGATGAGACGACAAGTGCACTCGTTAAAGCGACCCGTAACCAGAAACTCGTAATCCTGATCCTGCGGCTTCCGAGGACGCGAGACGGCCACTCCGCGCGGCAATTCCGTCTAAACGAAAGGGCTTCAAAGCTGCGGAATGCTCTTTAATTGCTTCCTGCTTTGGCTTTCGATTCCTGACACAAGAAACCTCGACGAACGCCCGATTTCCAGCTCCCCTTCCGGAAAAAAAAAAAATTCGCGACGAAAGATTCCCGTTTGGAGGACATTTTATGATTTTGTCGACGCGTGCTGGTATTAAATTTAATTATTAATTTGCAACATTTTTCTTTTGCGTTGTTGGTTATTACCGTCGACGAATCCTTCGTGGCTCGAGGTGCAACTTTGAAGAAGCTCTTGCAATTTCATCGAGGCGTCCTTCGCGCTCTGGGAATAAAAAATGATTTCTTTTTCTCACCTTTGCCGGTGCGCGACCTGTACCTCTCGCATTAAACGCCAAGGAGGGCCTCGATTCTACGTGCGTCACGACATGCTCGTTGCACATTTGCTATTGGGCTTAACTGGGTCGTCTTTTACAGGAATCACCGAATCGTGACTGGACGCTCGTAATCGCTTTTTGTGAGGGAATCCAGGACTTCTCTTCCGAGCTTCTTCCTGCACCGGAACTCTTTACGGTCGCCACGCGCCGAGTAAACGAATAAATTCATAACGATAGAAGGATAAATAAAATCCCAAGGAAAAGACCAAGGAGTGCACATCACAAGACAGCCCATAAATACTTCAGGTAATTTATTTAAACAAACGCCAACATTCGAAACATCGATAGACATCCGCGGACCGCAGCTGCGCCGGGCGTCTTCGCGCATTCCGGACCCCCCAAGGGGCGCTTAATTAATTATTCAAATCCATTATTTCCGGGGAAAATGATCCCCCAAGATGGCCGGTGCTCTTCTGGTAACCTCCAGGAAGCAACTTCGATGAAGCTCTGGCCTCCGCTTCGCGTTTTTTGCGAAAGGGTTGCCCTTTCCTCGTCAAAGTGCGACCAGGCCGTCCTTGCGAAAGTAATTCACGTCTAGGCTAGTTATGCGGTTAGGCTTAATTACAGGTGGCACCACTCTGCGGGATTTACACTTCCGGCGCTTATGGTAATTATTATTCGTCGACCTCCTCGGTTTAGGTTAGGTTAGGCAGTTGATATGCGCGCCGGCTCGCGCGCGTTGTGCGTTCCGTTACGTATCTCGTTTGTCTGCGTCCCCGGGATTTTTAGGGATTTCCAGGAATGTCCCTAGGGAACCCCTGCACTCTCGGGAGTCCATTTTACCCCCAGGATCCCGAAAACGACTCCTCGAAATCCCATTTCGAAAAATATTACGCCTCAACTGAACTCGCGTCGCCTTTCGAAGAGGCTTCTTCGGCCGCCATCTTGGTTTCGGGTTAACACTTTCACTATAGGGGGTTAATTTATTAGTTTTTGACTCTTTTCTGGGATTCGGAAGAGAAAGCGTCGCAAAAATTCCCGCACATTGTTTCGGTGAGTATTTTTTTTTTGGAAAAGGAATGTTCTAAACGGAACTAACTTTGACGAAATTAGTATTTTTTGGGAATGTGTGAAAGCGTCACTGAGGATGATGTTAAGGAGTATTGTTAATCAGAACTTCAATTCGCTTATTAACTTGTAACAGACCTTAAACATCAACACTAAACTCGAAGACTCGACGTCCAACTCTTCCAAATCCCAACTAGACAAAGTCATAGGTGAGCCACAACACATCCAGGAATTTAAGTGTTAGAGTCCTGAGCAAGGACATCGCGAAACTGAACTTATTTTCTCCGCCAACACCGATATTGGTCCAAACCCACAGTCACCGGTCCTTCTTCGCTTAATCGATATGATCGAAGAGTTTCAGAAGACCAAGAACCAGTTCCAGAAAAAGAATTTCTGCAGATGCAGTTCCAGTCGTTGCCCCACCCTGCCCGGAGCCCCACGTCCTAGTTTTCAAAATCCATCCGAAGAGATCCTGACCAAGTCTTCGGATTCCAGAATGAAGGGGACCATCAAAGGATCTTAAAGAGAAGTCCACGGAAATTTTCAGCATCCTAAACAGAGATCTCCTGAATCTGGACCCTCTTCTTGGCACTGCCTGGAGTCCCAGGCTGTCTCAGGATCCCAGGACACGCCAGGCCAACATTAGGAGCTGGGGCCTTGGGCGGAGGCGGCGGTTCCGGAAGTTCATCGTCATCTTCATCATCGTCATCCTGATTCGCGGTAGCATCCATACAAGGCGAAGGTGGCCTGGGGGCACAAGGACTCCTGCTATAAGACGGGGGCTCCGAAAGACGCTTCCCACCCCCAGGTGGTGGTGAACACTGGAACTCCTGCAGCTGCAGCTCCAACTCCTGCACCAGCTTGGCCTTATGGGCAGGAGGACTCGAAGGAGGCGAGTCCACCAGCCCCAAAGCAAGCCTCTGCTTTCCTGCCGATGGATCCAACCCCGAACACCCTGCTTCCAGCAGCTCTTCCTTCTTCTTGTCGCCAAACCCTGCCGCCCCCGCGTTCTTATCTCGCTGGTGGTAGATCCTGGCGAAGATGAGGATGTTGAGCAGCAGCAGAAAGATCCCAACGGCGATGGTGACGGTCAGGGCCGTGGTGTAGCTCTGGTAGTGGCTGGAGGCTAGCTTTCGCAGCAAGTTGTTCGGTCCTGGACCCAGATTGGGGTGCTGGGTCCTGGGAGACGTGGGCATCGTTGTGGTGGTGCCGTTCGGAGTGCACTCGGTCGTTGGCACCATGCTCGACATGGAAGATGGCTCCGTGGGTGATGGGGCTGGCAACGGGGGTGCCGGCAGGGGAAGGGCCATGCTCTGGGGGCGAACCGCCCCCTCGTACAAACTGGGACTCTCCACCAGGTGGTGATGGCGCATGCTCACCTCGTACCCCGGTCGGTGCAGCTGCGGCAGCAGGTTTAACCACAACGACATCTTGTGGCCACGATAATGGGATCGCATCGCTGTCTCCCGACCTGCCTCAAGGTACAGCTGATTAATCGAGTCATAGGAATCCCAAAATGGGGGACTCGAGGGCAGATTTTCTGGCGACTTCTGGGGTGATGCTCCGTTCGGGTCCCTGAAGCACACGGATCACCGGATGATTACTTTTGGACAATTCCCCAGATAAACAGAGTGTTCATCTACATAATTCTAAGTTAACGCAAGTACAATGAAAGGGCCAAATTTGAACTCTAATCCGCAGGATTCCAGGGTAGACCGACGTTAGGAGCTGGTGCCTTTCGCAACAAGCTGCAATCAACGGCAAGGAACAATCGCTCTCGAACTCCGAACAGGAACTCCTCTCCCTCTACAGAGTTAAATCCCAAGAACGCATCAGCAGATTATCTCCAGCACCAGCACCAGGACCCTAAACTAGGAGCAGGAAAACCCGAACAATCCTGCGAGGTAACTCCTAAGGGTTTGACCGGAGCACTTCGATCGATCAGGAAACCTTCAAAGGACGACTTTGCTCACCCTCTGCGCACGAAGTTGGCCAGGTAGTGCACCAGCAACCTGGAGAGTCCCTCGTCCTCCACGGAGTAGTTGCTGACAGAGGACGCCGCCGAGGCCGTGGGTTCCCCATGGAGCAGGGGGGTCCCCAGGAGGTAGGGCACTTCCTCCCCCCTCAAGCTGGCCCTATCCCCAGGCTGGAAGTGCAGGAAGTACCCCCTGCCCCCGCTGGCAGAGTGGAGTAACGCCAACCTCAGCAGCGGCGCCGCCACCTGGCCGTCCCCTAGCAGCGAGAGGAGCCCCTCGCAGATGATCGCAGGACTCTGCTCGCCTCTCTCCCAGTCCGTGTACTCGTTCCTCAGGGTCGAGTAGATCTCGTGCAGATGGTACCTGTACGTATTCCGGACGTAGGTGCGCAGGATGCGGTCCCTCCTGGTCTCGTTCAAACCGTTCTGGAAGATGAAGTGGAAAGAAATTTTATTGGCGATGTAAACGAGGGGGAGAGGATTTCTTTTACCTCGAGGTCATCTTCGGTGAAGTCCAGCCAGGCTTCGCTGCTCGTCAACCCCATAAGGAGGTCTCGATCCCCGAAGCTGGCGAATTCCGCTCCAGGACCAGGCACGATCGGCATCAATCCCGAGGAAGAGGCAGTAGGTTGGAAGGTCTATTAGGAAAAAAATCCAAATTCTTTTTTTCAAGTACGAATAATAAAAAATACCGGGGTACCGATACGACAATACCAGGAACCGACCATTGAAGGAACCGAGTTCGATTATCGCGAGGAGGAGAAGATATACCGAAGGAGTTACCCAGGACGAGTCAGCGGTGTACTTTCTTCCGGATAGGGAGAATAAAGGGAATAAGGAGAGGGAGAGCATCCGGGAAGGAAGCTACCCGTTGCTCGAGAAAAAAGATTCAGAAGTCGCAAGAAAGGCAGACATGCGCCATCGGGATCATTTCCGAGGACGCAACATTAGTAAAAGCCGGAAGACGAACCAGCGCGGCACTTCTTTTGCGGATCCAAAGCCGGGGAAGAAAGCACCACCGCCTTAAGATAGAATCTGCCAAGGAAAAGGACTCGGGAGAAAATTGCAAAAAAGCCGCGCGACAGACCTCAAAGGAAATCCCGCCAAAGGAAACCGCGTCCAACGACCGAATCTTTGTCGAGGTCCTTGGCATCGGAAAAGGTTTGCGAAAAATCCGCCGAATCGTCGAGCTTAATCAGGACCCGGATGAACTTTCTAGTCAGCGAGTTTTCCCTAAAAGGACATCACATCCAGAAAGTGGATTCACCCTTCAATGGAGTCATGAATTCGAGGAATGCGCGGAATTCGACCGGAAATTTCGTTCGGAAAAAAAAGTATAAAGGAGGAAAAGAAGGAAAATCGCGTTCTCGGGATTCCAGGAGCCGTGAAAAGGACTTCGGCTCGATCCCGATTAAGAGCACTCGACGGCATCGTCCCTGACTCCCTTTCAACGTTCCCGGTACCCACCCTCGCTTCCTCGTCGGCATCGGGGACGAAGCGACAAATTAACCGATACATCGTGCCCGACATAATGCCGCGTTCCGGAAGGGGAGGGCAGAAAGAGGGAGCGAGACGTAGCAGGAAGGACCTCCCTTCATTCGTCACCAGGATGTCCGTCCAATTAGAACGCGCATCGATTTCCCGTCGTCCTGGGACCAGTCCTTTGTGGACTTCCGAGAGCGAAGCTGCGTTCCCGATGCGCGGATTCAGAATGGATTCCTGTTGGATTTCGAGAACCGAAGGAGCGCCAGGATGGGTGCTCCGGTATGCAGGAAACGTCAGGAAATCGCCCCTTTTGTGCAGGAAGTTTGAGAAAATGGCACCGTTATTTGCAGGAAGCGGTAGGTGTCCTGTTGTGCAGGGACCTTCAGGAAGTGGCGCCTTTTTTGCAGGGAGCTTGAGAAAATGGCGCAGTTAATTGCAGGAAGCTTCTGAAAATGACACCGCCGTGATTGCAGGAAATGTCAGGAATGGTGTTTCGAGGAAATGCTGCCTTTTTTACAGGAAGCTTGAAAAAATGGAACGTCCACTTTTTCAGGAAACTTAAAGGAACGACGTCCTATTCTGCGCAAGGTCTAGGAATTGATGAAAAAGAATGCTGCAGAATGAAATTTGCGATGCCGACCTGGAGGCCCGAGGACGGCAGGACCGCACCGTCGACAAAGGGCGCGAACCCGGAGGTGAACCGGGGAGGGTCCAGCTGGACCTCGAGGAGCTCCTCCAGGGTGCGAAGACGAAGGCACGGGGCGATGTCGTCCACCTCGACGTCCGCGGGACATCCCGTCTGCTCGGCCACCCTCCTCTTCACCGTCAGGGGGTCCCTTTGAATCGCCCATGGGGAAAGGGCCGAACCCCCTAGGAGGACCACTCGTTCCACCAGCTCTGCAACAACCGAGGGAGGGGATGGTCAAAGGGTGGAAGCAATTTCCTCCCCCCCTGGCCGGAATCGGTCGTCAAAGACGGGGGAAATCTCGGGGCGCGTTTCAGTCGGCGGAACGCATTCGCGCGTTATACATCCCGTAAGTGAACATTCGCAAGTGCCATTCGTTCATGAATCTAACATACGTTGAGTCGGTGGATGGCCTCTTGCCGTTTAAATTTATACGCAAGTCGAACGCGAGCTTGCGATTTCCTCGCTCGATTTTGGAGTGCAAGGGGCAATTCCTGAAATTTTTGAAAAAGTTAATACCTTTAGACATGGGCGACACGGCGAGGAAGTTGACGAGCGCCGCGCCGGTGCCATGGCCCAGAAGAGCGAGTCTTTCCGGGTCTCCGCCGAAGGCCTTGACGTTTTCCCTGAGCCAATGGAGACCGGCCACCAGGTCCATGAGTCCGTAATTCCCCTGTGCACTCCCCTTGGAGCCGGTCTTCAGGAAGCCTGCAAAAATCGGTCGAATCAGCGCGACCGGGTCTCTCGACGAGGCCGGAGTGTCGACCCCGAAGGCAACCGGGCAGGTTGCCTCCGAAGGGGCTCGTTAACTTCCCCGGACTCGTTAAGCTCCCTCCAGCTTCGGGGTCACGGCGAAGAAGCCCTCGACGAGCCGGAACGCTTTGAGCCCGACATAGGCAAGGCGTGCCAAACGAACTTACTCTAACGCAATTTTCCCCCTGATAGCCCGCGGCCGGGAAAACGACCGCGACACCTCCCAAAGAGGCGGAAATCGACGGGAACTGCCGGAAACCGGGACTCGTCCTGGAAGGAGGGTCCCCCTTCGAGACCTTCCAGCAAATAGGAGAGCTGGAAATTATTTCTAGGGGGTGACTGCCTCGGGGGAGTAATCGGAGCCCTTCTTCAAGGGGCGCCGAGGGGACGCCATATTGCGAATTAGTGGATCAAATGAAACTTGAAACGCGAGTTGAGGAAACCACTCGACGAGCGATACGATTTTTCCGCTCAAGATGATACGAAACGGTCGTTCTAAATATATGAAGCGATGAAATATTTATAAAAATAATCGTTACGTCAATTAAGGCTATACAATTTATAATTGTCTATGACTATGTGCACGATTCTATTATTTAGCTTCGCATACATGTAAGTTTAAAAAAAAATGGAGCGACCTCAATGGGGCTCGATCCCTCGGCCTTGCAAATTGGGGTGCGATTGGCGCCAATCGAGCCGACAAAAACGAATCGTTGGGCTCGCCCCGTTCGGTTCCATGGCAGGGATGGTTCCCGGGGGAGGATCCTCGAAAAAGCGAAGAGAGGTCGTCACAGCGACTCGACCGACGATATTGGATAACGCTAGCTGCATTGTTTCGCAATGCGGAATCCGAGAAGTTGCGGCTAGGGCGACGTTGAAGAAAATATGGAGGTAAGCTCTTCCAACAACCTGGGAATTATCTATAACGTATATAAAAAATAAGGGTCTCTTACTTATCGATAACGTAGCCTTTCCCTTTCCGCAAGATCAAGACCGAGATCGTAAGACCAAGAGCGATTTTGCTCATCCGTAGAAGAGACCCTGAGTTTCCATACGGCTGGAGATTAATATGCACGGGGGTGGCATCTCTCCACCCTTGGAGGGGGAGTCGAACTCCCCGAACATTTTCCCCGGAAAGATTTAGGAAGGATTTATGAAACTTTCGTGAAATGTCGGCCCACGATAAATGATCTCTCCGCGCGAGAGGTCTGAACGGTTGGACGTAAATAACGTTCCATAGATCTTCTTTAAATGCCTTATGAACGATTTGCGGAAAGGTATTGGGAGATTTCGGGATCGACTCGGCCATTTTCTGCCTTTATCGAGCCTCGCAGACCGTGGGCCATAAATAATACGATTAATATACATACGAGAGGTTTATATAAACCTCCATACAAAATCATGAAGGTATTTCCCGCATTGGGTGTACCAATTTATTTCAAAACTTCCCCCATGAATAAAGAAACCGAACAACCCAATAGTTAGTAAAAAAATAAGTCTGAAACAATTAAGCCGTTTGTAGGAGCGGAAGGAGTGGCTGGGGGGAAGAAGGGGTCGACCGAGTTCCTCCCTATCGATTGGTCCCCAAATGGCGCACGTGCGCACCCTAAATTCCGGACACCCCCGCTAAATATCGAGGATTTCCTGCAGTTTTCCATCCGGTTGTTCCCCAGGGGGAGGCAAAGCACGTTCGTGCTGACCCGTGGTAGAATATTCTACATAGCTTAGAATTCGGGAGCCGTTTCCACCCCCGAAAGTCGGGACATCTTCGGGGTGGTCCCTCGACGATGCCGATGATCCCTTAGTACTAACTATGCAATTCCGGGGAATTTTCCACTTCTTCGACCCCTCGGGGACGCGAAACGTACATCCATCCCCGCAGAACACCCCTCGTGCAGGAACTCGACAGACACCCTCGTTCTTTCGGGCCAAAGGAACTCTCGGGGATGATTCTGAAGTGTATCGATGATCCCCGAGTACCCAGTGAAGTTCTCTACGAGCCATATATTTGTCGTATTTCTTACGAGGACGCGCCCTAAATTCTTCGCACCCCTGACGGAGCACCAGCAATTTTTCAGAATTTTTTTCCTCTTTACCACCTCCTTGGGAGATAAGTAATATTCAGGCTTAACCATTGGAGGATATTTTTCGCGTGAGAAAATTAGGGGTGAATCTTCCCGGGGAAAAAAAAAATTGCCGGATACCCTGCACGTGGAGGAAATAGTCGAAATTTCCACCCTTTAGACGCATCTCAGGGGTGGTCTCCAAGAGGTCTCCGGACGGCGCTTCGAGCCAGGTTCGGCCAGGTACGGATCGCTTCCGGTCCCACAAAGAGCTCCCCGGAAGTGGCTTTGTCCGCGTTTACCGGGAAGATTGCCTCGTGAAATATTCACGGGACGATTAGCCGGGTGGTTAAGCCAACGTCGTCGCCGAGGGCACCCCAAAGCCTGGGCCTTTTATGCCTGCGTTCGTAAGAACTTCTTACTTGAAGGATGAATTGCCGTCGAAGATGGGAAGTGGACTTTTGCGAAGCACTGAGGCCCAATAAGAGTCGCGGTTGATGGGAAATTAAATGCGTCTACATTAGGATATTGAGACGGAAGCTGGAGCTTCGTGATCTTTTTAAAAATCTGTTAAAAAATGTGCAATTAATGGAAACCGATGTCGTCAGAACGTACCCAAAACCCCGAGGCGGAAATTGATGGAAACGACGATCAGACGACCATGGGCTGCCAGGGCCGTTCCATCCAGGGAATTCCCTGCTCCCCAGGAGTAGGAGTCCCCGTGGACGAGCAGCAGGGCCGGCAACAGGTCGGGGAAACTACCTGAAATCATAAAAAAGAAATACAATTGGTCTGGATGGAAGTGAACTCTCCTTGCAAGTATTACAAAGTATCATATCCTAAATTCTGCACAGTCGCTGCAGACCTGCTGCAGACATTCCCATCAAGAATATCTACATCCCCCTGGCTAACGCCATACATTTCGAATAATGCCATAACACCGGTTGCGATTAGGGCAATCGATCCGTACATGGTGCAACTTCCCATGCAGCTGATAAATTTTATTATGCGAGAGGGCGGCACATCGTTCGGTACTTTGTCGGAGCGCAATTTCTCGGTGCACTCGAGACGCGGAAACCGTGTACGTGACAGTAAATGTGGGGAGCACGTAGAAGCTTGTGCGACAAACTTTCCGAGTGCCGCAGCCGGAAGTGCGCGCACCAGTGATAGGTACCACTTCCGGCCTGGGGCGTTGCGGGTTTGCTCTCATTTTCTTGCATTCCCCGCCGAGGGATGAAGGAACCACTTTGGACCACACATCTCCCATTTTCCATGCCGGAGAAATCTCCGCACGGCGGCTTACGGAGCAGCCAGGGCTGGGATTAAAAATAACGCAAATATTGCGGATCAACGCTACAAACGTTCTACGTACGACCGGGTTTTAATTAAAAGAATAAAAAAAGTTATTTCGTAAATTGAATGTCTTATTGCAATTTGTAGGAAGTCAGAACCTTCGGCTGATGAAAAGGTAAATAATAAAATAAGTAGGAGAGGTACCCCAGCAGTGGCTGTTCGAGGAGATACTTCGGAGTCGATACGGCTTATTCTCCCGGGACTTAGCTCCCGGAATATGAGCCGTATCGACCGGGAGTTGGAGAGAGCTTTAAGTGAAAAGGGATAGGAACGATATTAATTACAAGCCAGATAACCCGTAATAATTTCCAGGAAACTCCGTTGAGTTCAGAATCTTCGCGCTACAATTGTCAAAGTTGTCATTAATTGAAGTAATAATAAATAGTAGTTTATAATCGGAAATATACTCATCCTGCGAGTATAGTGGATACCTCGAGTTTCGATACGGCTCCCTCTCGCGGGACAAAGCCCCGGGAATATGAACCATATTGACCAGAGGTTAGTTCGAGTTTTGAAGTGGCTTCCCTCGATTAATACACAAACTTTTGAGGCTCTAATCCACCCCGGCATGGCATTACCCCCCAAGGGACGGGAAAATTTCTCTTCGGCAAAGCGCCGAGGGGCAACTGTCCAAACTTCTGCCCTCTGAGAATCGATTCATCGCGAGAGAAATTCTCCCCTGTACCCAACCTCTACCCAGGAAGTCTCACCCGAGAACCTCGTTCCCGCTTCAACAAATTTTCTCCTCGTAAATCGTCCCACCGTCGTTCGATAAGGCTCACACTCCCGGGAACGGTCGCGGGAAAATGGACCGTAACGATTCCGTAGTATTCCGATCGTACCTCAAGCTGCGGACCGATCGGAGCGCAGCACCTAGTTTAGCGAAAAACGTTTTATAAACATTTTGGCGCTCTACGTGTACAGAATAACCCTTTCATATAATGTTAGCCTCTACAAGCTCTATGGAGGCAACACTGGTCTGGTTCCGGCACTCCCATCAGACGCCGCGCGTCGTCGCAGCAAATTGGCCGACGCCTCTCGCGCTTGTTACGGTTTCACGCCCGATGAAGCGCACCCTGGCGATAATACGCGGAATCACATAATCATCGGCGAACGAGCCCAGCGATGAGCGCAGTCAGGCTAAGCGATGGGAGACGAGACGAGACGTCCACCTGTTGCGAATCCTGCGGCTCCCTGCTCCCTCCACCCTCGCCATCCCTCTGTGTGCCTAATGCGTCCCTTCGCCCTCCTCTCCCCTGGAACGACCCTTCCTCGCCCAGTCGGCCTCGCACCGTCCTGTCATACCGACGGTGTACCTCTACCCCCGAGTTACGACGTTCCGCGGTTCTCTGCTCGACCCAGCTCGACCAGTTAACCCCGCCGAAACGCGACAGTCGGTTCATCTCTCCCTCTCTCTGGATTCCCGTATCTCCTGAATATTGTCTGTTGCACCTCGAGTAATAACCAACTTCTACTTTCAGGCGAATTGTTCCAGGCGAAGAGGAAACGGCAGTTGGAATGCCTTGGAGGGCACGAACGCGAATGCCTTCCCTGCGGATACGAAGTTCATGGTGGGTGGGTGCGCTCGTGTTCACCTGTACGCATGGTGTAATAAAATTGGGCGACCTTGATAAGACGATATTTTTCACCGTCCATTTCTCCCCGCGCATACAGCATGCAATTCCGGGCTTTTCCGATGCAGCGTGCACCTGCAACTAGGCTAAAGGGCTCGTATTGGTTTTTGATTAGTCCACTCCAACGAGCTCTTCCCCTCGGCCCGATCTTTTTCCAGCCTGGAAAGAAAGTCTCGGGCATTATGGAGCCACTTCCACTTTTTAACTTTTCATCGAGTGCTCCCGTCCAACTATTCCCTCCCCTTTCTTTTCCGCTCTTTGGTCCAACGACTGGCCGTCTGTCTCTCCTCTCTCTGCCGTTTAATTATAAAGCTTCTTCGTGGCCAGACATACGAGGCAATAATTCATCTCCGATACAGAAAATCCCTGACGTGTACCCCGAGAAAAAAACAAATTTCATGACCCCTACACCTAACATCCCATTTCCCCTAGTTGGGTATAAAACGTGAATTAAGCGTGAATAGAACGTGAACGAAACGTGAATAAAACGTATATAAAACGTGAATTCCACTTCTTTCTGTCTATTGGGGCAGGTCGTAGACCAAGCTGAAGGGGACTTTCGTTTTAAATATTCGAGGGTGCCTTTCAGACTTTCCGAGTGGCGCTTTCTTAATTACAGAGCAGGCCGCAAGATTCTATACGAGAGGCCGCGTCGGGAATTAATCCGCAGTCTCGCCCTCGAGCAACCCCTATCTAAGCAGGGTTGATTTTTGCATCCTGGACAAAGTCCTCGAGGACCCCAGGAGGACGTTGAGGCACGTACACGATTTTCACGTGACTGTATAAATTTTAATAAATATATTGTAAAAATTCCATGAGGTATTTTCATGGTTTTGTTGGGAAAAAATTCAACTGTCACCCGGTACGACTGCCTTAAGGAGCTTGATCGTCTAAAAGCTGTAGGACACCAACGGAGCATCGAAAGCCACGTTACGGGGCACTAATGCTCATTGGCCCATTTTTGACGTATACCCACAAGGTTTGAAAATGTAATACGGTCAATGAAGAAAACTAGGAGTACCCTGGAGTATCTCGCAGCATCCAGGAGGTCGCGGGATCTCGTCCGGACTTCTTGCAGCGGCGGTCGTTGATTCGCAGCGAAGCTCCCTCACTCCCGCGGTGCTTGCAGGTTTTCACTTCTGGGTCGGAACCGACTGCAATGCACTACGGAATTGAGGCGAGCAACGCGCATCCGATGTGGCCCTTCCCTCGAGTTCAGCTCCTTTTTTTCCGGCTTCTCCTTCGCCTACTTTTACTCATTTCTCTTCCGGCCTTCTTCTTCCCGAGGTCGGTCGATAGCCGCCTCCGAGGCGGGGGCTGGACTTCAAACTTCCCCCGATTTTTGCTCTTTCCTCGGGACCTTCCCTGGAAGGAACTTCGACCCGATGCTTCGGAAATATATCGACAAATGGCGGAAGCACAAGGTCGAGAATGATCTCGGTATTGATTTCGTTGCGTGGGTGCTGAACCCGAGAAAAAAGCTCTGTTCCCCGTGGTAGTTAAGTAGAAGTGGAGATAAATGTATGAACGGATACGCCGATTATTACGCCTCGGGAAAGAATTGTTGGGATTGTCGGAGCATAACCTATTTTAACGACTAAGTATGTAAACATTTGTGCAAAACGTGAAACGCATTGCCGACCCTCGCTTATCCCGGTTTTTTACGGCTTACTGGGGCACTCTGCCGCTTTCAAGCAAATCCGCATCGGCGAATCCGGCTTATTATCCGTCCGCCATTTCCGCATCCCTCTCGGCTACTTTTAACAATAAATACTCTACCGAGCCCGGAACAACTCCCACCACTTGCGAGCTAAATTTATTGCTCGATAGCTCTAAACGAAGAGAAACCATTTAAATAAAAAATTAATCGGGGAGTAACACAATTCGTCCATTTAATTGAATAATTCACGATTACGTTTAAATAATGAATATTCTCCAGTTTTCGGTAAACGCGCTTAATCGTTACCGTTTTAATCCTGTCTATTAATGAGCAGCATTTCCCCGCAAAGCCGAAAAAACAAATCGCAAATACTCTCTTATCGCTTATACGGTTTGATATCGGGCTCCACTTCTTCCGGAGAGATCTGCACCCCCAAATCCGGATTATTATTCGCCTCCCTTTCCCATCCGTCTCAACCCCCTGGGCACCCACTTTTAATATCAAATATTCCATAAAACCTCCGGGTACGCTACTTGCATCCTGAAGTATTCCTAAAAGTACCTGGCAGACATCCCGCTTGGTCGGCTCTTTGATCCTTCTCGTCGAAAACGAAAAAACCTCCACGTGAATTCGAATTCGCAAATTAATTCCGAAACACCGCGTCTCTCGTCTAGAATTTCGCATCCATCTTATCGTTCCGACTTCTTCCGTTCGTTCATTTAATAAATGCTGTTCAACTCCACTGACTTACGGAAGAAAATGAGAAAAAGGATTACGTACGATAACGAAGGAAAAAAATGAAAGCCTCTTTAAAAAATAGTAAAGGGAGTTTAAAGACATGGTTGTCCTTTTTCAGCCATGCAGTCCGGTCCAGGGTGCATTGTCTGCATTACAACGACCTCTTTCACCAATGAATAAATGTAGGAATTGTGAGATTTATTCGCGCAAAAATAGGGGGAAAAATCGAGGCAAACTTTCTTCCCTTTGCGCGACGGAATTATTGTAGAAATCCCTAGATAAATGGCCGACGCGAAACTTAGGACCAAGCTCTGTCGCGCTTTAATCCGATTTGGATGCATTATTTGCATTACGGTGACCTCTTTCCGAGCCAGTAGAAAAAAGGATAAACAAATGCAAAAGCCGGGGAATTTATTCCCTCGGATAGTTTCAAATGTGTCTTTTTCGCATACTAGTAGGAGCAAAGTACCTTAGCTAATAAATACGTATCGCTTATTTTGCGATGCACTGCACATATGTAAGAACCAAGAAATTGGGGAGGTACACTTGGAGTACTTTGGTCGTAAGTCAGATTTTCGCGTATCCCTGAAAGCACGTCATGTCTATTTCAAACGAGAGCTCGTCCAGGGTCTCCAAGGTAACGTTCCCCCTGGATCCCCATGGTCCTGGATCCCCGGGTCCCCGTGCAACCGAGCACAGGGTAAACTTCCTCCTTCGTCCTGGCTCATTCAATTTTCACGATTGCTTCTCTCGTCCGGTGTGCAGAGCTTTACCCTCGCGAGTGCCGGCACACCCTGAGACCACTCGGTCTCGAGTAGGCGAGACGTTTCCTTCTCCAAGACCCATCCATCTTAAAAATTCAACCGCAGACTCGACCCTCCACCCGGAGACCGGAAGTCTCGCAGCCCAGCCTCTGGACCGCTGAAAACGCCCTTAATGCAAACTGAGGTCTACTCACCATGAGGAGGTCTAGGTACGTAGAGGTTGAGGTAAAGGCAGTCTTCGCTCTGGTTAACCAGCAGAGGAGCAACTCTCTGCAAGTAGGCTCTCCGGCGGCGAGGAAGAGTGACGTCGATGTTGGGGGTCCTCTGGGGGCAGGCGGGAGGCAGGGCGTCGGCGACCTTGGTACCCTTCCACGGGGTGGGAGTGACAGGAGGCATGTACCTAAGGGCGCCGAGGGGAGGCGTCGCGTAGGGCACCCCAAGGTAGGCTTCAACGGTGGTGGTCCTGGCGACGATCCCTCGCAAGATGCCGTACCTTGTCTGTACGACCCTGGTGCTGTACTTCTGGCCCCCGGCGAAGGCGTCGGCATTTCCGGTGCCCCAGTGGCCGCAGACCAGCCCCAGGAAGAGGACCACCGCCGCCAGGCACCTGCCCTTAGTGCCCAAGCCCGATCTACAGGATTTAACGAAATCCCCCAGGTCGAGCTGCCCAGGTTCATATTTCCATATCTCGGGGTGGGTTTTAAAATTGAAGGTGGAGGCTTCGAGAGTGACATCCTGGTCCCTTCCCGGAACCTCTTCCAGGGCGAACTCCTCAAAGTCCAGGGGTTCCCCTCCCGGTCCTGGACCAGGGAGTCCCGAGGGGCTTTCAGCAGCATGGTCGAGGAACCCGACGCCCGAACCCCCAGTTTCCTTTGTCCTTCCTCTTGATCCTGGGTCAAGGTACCTTGGAGACTCATCGCAAGCACTCTCAAGAGGCCCTCTTCCCAAGGCTTCGCATCCGAAGTTCGAAAAGTGGGACCTGGGGGACCAGCCCGGATCTCCCCTGACCAACGTCCTTCTTTCAGGTCCTCTCGCATCGTGATGGGCGTCACTGGGATCCACGCTCCCCAGAGCCCCTCCTCCGAGACCTGGGGATCCCAGGTGTCCCCTTCCTGCGGGGCACGGGACGCATCCAAAGTGACGTCTCCTGGACCACTGCCCAAATCCCTGATCCTTGCGACCGCTCTCCAGGACCCCTGATCCTGGGTCTCGGCGCGCTCTCTTGGCTCGCTCCCTGCAGTCGCAGCTGCAGGTGGCACATCTCTTCCCAGGGTTCCCAGGGGGCGAGGGTCCGGGGCTCCGCATCGCGTCACGCCACCGCCTGGTCCTGGCCCCCACGTGGGGCCCCGCATCGGTGGGCCCCTTCGGTGGATCCGGGAGTCCCCGAGGGGTCCGGGCCCGGTTCACGGTATGCACCCCCTGGTCTCTCCGAGATCCGGTGCGCCCTCGACACCTCGCCAGCCATCTCCGGGGACTCCCAGACGATTCGTGCTCAAGACCGCCCACGCTAATCTCACGGAAGTCATCGACACCCCAAGTGGAACCGACCCTCCGGGGCAGCCTTCTTCTCTGTCCCGCACTCCACGGATCTGCTGACGTCAGCGGCTCCTCTAACTCCTTCGCCCTTTGCGGCTCCCTTCGGTTGCGACTCCCTCGTCAATCCCCCAGGGGACACGTTTCGCGGATCGCCTCGAGGAGTGGCTGCATCCTCTCCCGAGAGGCTCCTGGGGAAATCGACGGACTGGTCGAAGGACCCTCTTCAACCCACGCAATAAATCTGGAGTCCTTCGTGGACACCCTTCGCCTTGGGGTGAAGGGTTTCAGCTCCTAAATGATTATGTTGTCCTAAGGCGGGGGTGCCTACTGTGGGTATTGCGGGTACTTATATGTGTGTGGAACTGTGTCTGGCCAGTACTTCAGGGTTCTGATACGCCCTGAATGGATTGCGCGGATTGCTTAGTCACTTCCAACATGTTGGGCTCCTTAGGGGTTCTTTTGGGGTGCGTCCTGGGATTAGGACGGATCGATGGGGAGTTAATCCAAAAGGAACTTTGGATGATCTCTGGAGTCTTCGGCTTCTACTGGGGTAGAATGTTGGTCTTTCTGTCACGCTTCCGGACATCCGGATCTCCGGACTCGCCCAAGTCCGATAAGAAAGTCTCAGCTGTGTCCCGGATTATTTGAGGTTAGGTCTCCGACTTAGCTTCCAGATCTCATCCGCTGATCTCCGGTGCCCAACACCATCGCGAGTAATTCTGCAGGATCTTCCTCTTCGCGATAACAATGACTATATTTCTTAGACATCGAGAACTCGGGTAATCCAGAAGTAAATCGGGACCCGGTGTTATCCTCTCGTTCTCCCGACGGACAGTCTCCAGGTCCATGTGGACCCCGCAGAAAAGGAACGACAGGTCGCAGTGTCGTGGCACTTCATCGCGGAGTAATCCTGGTCCCAAGATTAAGCCGTAAAAGACCACCGGTCACATATCCAGAGCACGGGTTCCTCTCCACCGTCGGAAAGTGTCCCCAAAGCCAGCTGGACCCCGGAGGGTTCAGACCCCAACCTAAGCTCATCCAGACTCTTCGACAAAGGGACCACCCACCTCCGGACCAAATCATGTAAGCCCTCGTCCTGCCTTCCCCACACCCAGCACCCAGTCCCCAGGGAGCCAGTCCAGGCCCAAAGGAAAACCCAGCAAACTCCCGATAGAAGTTCCCGCGCAGTCAACGCCAAACGGAATCCCCTAAACGAGTCATCGGCAGGAAGCCCACCGACAAAGGCTCAAAGGCCCCTTCCCTCCCGGCTCCATCGTGCCATTCCACCGTAACCCAACAGCGGTCTCTATCAAATCGGTTCCCGTCCATCCAAAGCCATCATCGAGCCCAGGACCACACACCCAAGCCCTAACAAATCACTAGGTCCTGCCCAACGGCACCAAGCCCCCCGAACCTTGTTGCGTCCCGCCGTGTGCGTTAACGCAAGGAACGCAAGAAATGCAACAAACGCCGTAAACCCGCGTCACCGCGACCGCGCCTGGGATCTCCCGCCTAAGTGGAGCAGGACCCAGGGGTTCCCGAGGGACCCGGTTGGCAGACGGAGTCCAGCCGGAAGCGCGCGGCCCGGGTCCGTGCCAGGTCGGATATTGTCCCGGGGTCTACTGGCGTGCGAGAGCCCGGCACGATCCCGCCGAGGACCGAGTCGGGCACTCGAGGACGTCGAGGCGTCACGGCGCCGACGCCGCGGCGTCCCCCGGCGTCCCGACGCCGGGTCGATAACGCCGCGGCAGCCCCCGGGTCGTCCCGGCTCCTCTTTTCCGCCGGTCTCTCTCTTTCTCCGGCCTATAACCTCCCTCCGCCCTCCTCGACGCCGACCTAACCTCCAAGCCTCCCACGCGTCTCGCCCGCCGGCCTACCCCCTGCAAGTGGCGCTCCCTCCTTCGCCCCCAGGAGAGGGGAGGCCGACGCTGACACCCCTTCTCCCCTCCGCCCCAAAGAGCTTCTCCTCTTTTCTCTAGAGTTCGTTAGCGCCACGAGAGCTGGCCCGACCGCTGCTCTCGCACGATACTCCCCGCTGGCTCGAGAGCGTCGGAATTCTAGGGCTTTTCAGTTTTTCCTTCGTGTTTTGTTTTTGTTTCTTCTCCCTTTCTTCGTTTTCCCTTCTGCTTTTTTTTTTTCCAGCACCTGGGCCGGGGGTGACTGCCGCCGACAATGACGGGGCCGACTCCTCCGCCGTTGTTGCGATCTATGCCTGCGGAATGTCCCGAGACGCGGAGAATAACGCGTCCACGTACCGACTAATTTCCCGGCTGGAATGCTTTTTTATCTTGTTAGGGTGGGTTCTTTCTTGTGGAAATAAAGTTTTTTTTTCAACGCTGGTTTGCGGCGATTTTTAGTTTGTCCCCACTTTTGGCAGTTTCTTGTATGTTGGAATTTCAATGGTGTCGCGTGACGAATCTCTCCAGGTCAGGAGAGGCGTCAAGACAATGTCGCTTCACCCCCGAAATTTGAAGCGCAATCGTAGATTAATTTCCTCCCTTGTTCATCTCGTTGAAACACGACTTTCCTCGGGACGCGGACGCGGAAGCTACGCGTCCGCAATCTCCTCGTTTCCCGTGGAAAATTAATTACTAGCCCGGCTTTCCCCCGACAGTTTTATTCGAAAGATCGCGCGACAAAGCTGCGCTTCGAATCGACCCTCGAAACGTCAGTCTTTTTCGAAAAGCATTCTCTCGAAACACCGCGCGGCAATCCCGCTGATATTTAGGACCGGCTGATAACTCGCTGACGGATTTGGCATCACCCGATATGTTTGAAAAAGAAGTGAAAAAATGACCGGACGCTTGTTCCACCGTCGAAAAAATTCTAAAACCTTAAATTGCCCTTAATATCACTCGTAGTACCGTATTAACATATAATAATAAAGGGAAGAAACAAGTAGTCGTCGCCCTCTCCTCGAATATAATAATCTTGAAAATTATCAATTAACCTTCCACCCTTTTTTTTTTTCCTTTCATTGAGACAAGACTTCCCCCAAAATGCGAAGACCGAGTCGCGCGTCTTCCTTCGACGACGACTTAAGAAATTCATTTCTCATCGTTCAATTGAAAACGATCGCCCGACAAAACCGCCCTTCGGGTCGGCTCTCGAAACGTCAAAGGTCTTTTCGAAAAAGCACTCCCCCGAAGCACCGGGAAGCAATCCCGCCGGTATTTGCGACCATTTGATATCCCGCACGCGTATTCCGCGCCACCTGGCACACTGCGGATTTCGTCGTATTGTCCCGCGGAAATGCGTTCTGCCGTGCATAATGGAGATTTGCAATTCGGACGAGGCTCGTCTGTCGGAGTTCCCAGCAGGTCCTCGCAGCCCTTCCCGAAGAAACGCCTTCCTCCGGTTCTTCTCCGACGAGGCCGACGATTTCCCCCGAATCCCCGACAAATTATCGCCCGTGTCTTTTACAAATATTCCTGACATTTTCTGCCGATCTAAAATCCAAAATGGAGGTTCTTAATGTAAGGTGTAAAAAATCCCTGAATGGAAAACTTCACATTACCTGAATTTCCCCGAAATCGTTCTCTCGTGAGTTCGTGATTTTTTTTTTCGATAGCAAAATATCCTAAACGAAAATGGTTCGTTACTAACTCTTGTTTTTCAAGATTTATCGGGTTGTTTGTTGTTCCCCGGTAAAACGGACATATTTTGGTTAAAAAATTGTTCCGGCAAATCGTTCTATTTATTTTCGGAGCTCGGGGGTGTTTTTTAATTTTAAACCGGTACACGGTCTCTCCACTAGTGGTTTCCGTCCTGAGATTTATCGCGTTATTTATTATTGCCGTTAAAATTCCGCGCATCCTTGGAAGAGCTTTTCGGCGTTCCTCGTGATACGGCTCTGGCTGTTTGCGTTTAATCGGTTTGATTTATTTTCCTGCGGGAAACCCTGGGAAGCTCCCGAATTTCCAGAGACGTAAGGAAAGCTCCTTTCCGAGAGGTCCCCCGGAAATTCCCGAAATAATCTTCATCCCTTACGTTTTATTTTACATTCATTGATATTAATAATTCCCCACCGTGTATAAACTCCGCGTACGGTTTCTCTTTAACTCCACTCAAGGAAATAAGATTTTTCTCCCAGGGTACGGTATCAGATATTTTCCCATTATCAGTTCCACATTATCCAGGGTCTTTACTTCTCTTTCTTTCCTCTCGCACGCCGTTCCGATGAATGCGGCTCTTCAATTTTGCAAAAATCCGCGAAAAATTCGAGAGAAGGACTCTTTGGCGCTGCTCGAAATTCCTTCTTTTTTCTTTTTTTAACCCTTTCCCTCTAACCAGATCGATCCATTCCCCTCGCCGGAGGTTGTCCCGAATTTCTGGGAAGGTGAGGGGATAACCCTTCGGGAGGATCGACGGCCAATCGGGGAAAATCCAGCCGGTTTTTCCGCCGTCGACGTAATGTTTGAGCGAAAAACAGTGTCAGCCGAATCAATAGCCCACGGGCACGACTCTCGACGTTCCGTATTTGCGGGACGTGAATCACGAGAACTCGCCTAACTCGGGAGATGACCGTTTCCGCTGCGGATTCCGCACCGGGTTCGAGGGTGCACCCATCCCCGGAATCGGCGAAATTACAACAAAAATTGCCAGCGCGATTGGAATCCGAAACGCGTCGTTATTAAAAATGTTCCTCGTGAAAAATTCATTTTTGGTCAATTATTAACCACTTGATCATTAATTGACAGACTTTGATACTAACGGGTGATATTAGAAGATAGGAAGGAAATCATTTCGCGTGAATTTTTCTCCTCAAT